TTTGTTATGTCCGAGATATAAAGCGAGAAAAAAACATGCGACTGCTTGTTGGATAATTTTGGGAGCCACTGTATATTCTTGTTCTGCTTATACTTTGATTTGCACTGTCTTATATCATCGTTAAGCTCTCAATCGTAACTAAATTTCCTATTTGTCAAAGAACCTATCATCTATTCTGCTAAAACAGTATTTTTGTTTTGACTAGGGATGGATTTATTATATGAAAATTTTCTTGTGGTATTAAATATGAAAATTCATCGTATTAGCACATAATGATAGCTGGCCTTCGTTGTTGTTTTCGAGTGGTATTAGATTCTTGACTTGAATCGAGAAACATAGGCAACGTCCTATTGAGAAAGAGAAAAACAATCACATGTGAACGAAATAAACTTTATCAATATGTTTCATGAAAATAGAGCCAAGTTTTACAAATCAGCATCTAGAAAATGATCGATTACAATATTCGTGATTCTGAAGCAAGACCAATTAGATACATTTAAATGAATAAAAATATAAATTTTTGAAACTTACTAAAACTAAAATATTCTGCTGTAAAATGCGAATTTCTGACTGTAACATGTCTACTGATTTGAAGGTAAGAGTTGAGTGTTTGACGATAAGATGAAAAAAAAACATTTATTCAAAAAATATCTAGAAGCAAATAAGCCAGTAAGAGTCGAAATAGAATGAAAATTTGTGATAGAGTAGAAAAGGCTTTCTAATATTTTGTTTTAGAAAAAAATGAATGCCAGGAATGAGAAGCCCACTGATACCATCGTCATCAAGTTGCTCAACACATTTGCATGATTCGATGATGAGTTCGATTGGCCGACATTGTTTATTACTGAAATATTTGCAGTCGACTGAATAAAAGAAGCATAGGTGGACGTTTGTTCAGATATACCTGGATATCCTGCTTGAGCACATCCAATACCGACTGATGTTGTTCCTGCTAAGACCCAGCAGTTATTAACACAAGTCATCAATGGACTACCACTATTACCTTGACATGTGTCTATGGTAAAAAAACAAACGAATTTCAAAATCAAATATCCAATAGTAACTTACCTTTACCACCGGTAGTAACACCAGCACAAAATTGCAAGTTTGAATTGATTGTACCTGATTGCTGACAACTGTTCGACGTTGATGAATAGGCTTGAACTGGTGTTACGACCGAAGTGTTCCCCTTCGATCGTAAGACGGAACAAACGAATAATGCACACTCCTTTCTAGTACAGTGGTTAATACGTCTGCCCGGAAAGCAGGAGGTGCATGGTTCGATTCCATGCGAAGGGGGATTATCCTTTTGTTCCGTTCTGTTGTCATACCATCACGTTGCTGTCTCGCTGATAACTGAGTATAATAATGTGAGCGAGAAGAAGACATAACAACTGGTACTTATCGGAGATAGCTTGATAGAGAGTTACTATATTGTGATGTAGTTCTCCATCCTATCGCTACAAGGTTCGGATTGGTTTGAAATGGATCTTGATTTTGTTTTGGTAAACAAATAAAAGCAAGTTTAAAACTTGATGTTATTTTCAGTGAAGCGAATTTAAGAATAACAATATCATTCGTGACAGTCGTATCATTATAATTAGGATGCATGATAATCTTAGTAATTGTTTTTTGTTGCACTGTTACACTGGTTGTATCATATAGATAATTAGTACCAGCAAGAATTGATACTGTCGGCGGATTAACTACAGATTTTACACAATGAGCAACTGTTATATCATATTCAGATGTCAAAAGACATGCACCGCATGCATGTGAGCCCGATTTTCGAAGAGAAAGCATCCAACCCCATGCATGATCAGCTGGTACTTCTCCACCAACTATTTGTGATGTAACCACAGTTGATTGTGTTGAATAGGGGTGTAACAGTTCTCAAATCTAAGTTCAGATCCGATGAACGAACGAACTGTTCGAACAGATCAGATCAGATCCGGTGAACTGTCTGAACAGTTCTTTTGATAGGAACTAAAACTGAACTGGTATACCCTTAGTGCTGAACAACCACATGAAATAGTTGGATCACATTGATACCCAGGTCGAAAAATCTGACGTAAGATCTTACAATCCGAACGGAATCTTATAAGCATCAGACAAAAAATTGTCGTCTCTGGAATCTTGCATCACATCATACTATATTTTCTTTAAAGATCACACATGCAATTTATTTTTCATACAAATTTGTCGTGATATTTTAAGGAGATATTAGTTTAATTAAAATATCACAGTGATATTTCATGGGTAATAGAACCTTTCAAGAATCTTCTGATACGACTTAGTGTAAGAAATCAGAGACGACGATTTTGCGTACGATTTTCCGTCTGATTTTATCAGATCAGATATGATCAAACGTACGATTCTTGTACGATCTTGCCGTCTGGTTTCTCACCCTAGGTATGTAGCAGTGTGTACTGAAATTATCAATGACAACATAAAAACATGAGTGAATTCGGTTTGGCCATTATTGAATAATCTTTTTCTGATCAGTAATATGTTTTCAATGATTGTGCATCTATCTTTTGGTCGTTACGGTAGGATGCGCTTTTTTAAATATGGCATAACGTTTTTCTTCATATTTTCTTCTATGTGATTGATTTATCGAAACTTTCGAAGAAAGGAAGAAAAAACACATGATGCTTAACTTTGCCTTTACACGAAAACAAATAGAGAATGCGCCATGTCATAGAACTAAGTACTGCCTATAACAATGAACCAATCACAAGAACATCATTCTAATAATTATTGAGAGGGGCGTGAGAATATGCTTTTATGCTATAAATTCGCATATAATTAAACTTCATTTCTTTTGCTTCTGCATACCTTATTTTCTTTTACTTTTTCTAGTAATAAGTAGACCAGGTAGATAGTGGTAATATATATGGAAGGCATCTTCATTTTTTTACCTCTTCAAGTAATAGCTATCTTTTCTATCATAAGTACGGGGCACCGTCTCGAAAACAAAATATCGATACCTTACAATTAGTTTATGATGTGTAGCGACTTTAAAAATTGTCCAGGTGCCTCTAACGCTTCAATTATGCCGTAGATAAGTATAAGCATATCAATACTAGATGTATAATTGAGAGTTAATTTTAAATAAGAGTTCGAACTGATTAATGATAGTACAGATTGTATTGTCAATACGAAGAAAATCAATATGCTAATGATAGAAAGGAAAGTACCACTATTGCCATTGATTTGCATATGAAACTTCGACCGTTGCCTGTGAAACTAACATTTGCTTCAATAAACGGAATATAGTCGGACACTCGTGTGTATATGCCGGAATATCCAGGTCGAGCACAGCCAACACCGGATGATGTTAGTCCTGCTAATACCCACGTATTATTAACAAACGCCATCAGTGGATCACCACTATCACCTTGACATGTGTCTAGAGAAAAACACTAATTTCTATATGGAATATCAAATAGTTGCTTACCTCTACCACCACTAGTAGCACCAGCACAAAATTGCAGGTTTATTTTTGACAAACCGGATTGCTGACAATCTGTAGATGTTGATGAAATAGCTTGAACGGTTACTTGTTGAATGATAGATTGATGGAGTGCCACTCTCTTGTGATGTAGTACCTCACCCTATAGTGGCAAGATCAGTATTATTTTTAAATGGATCTTGGTTTTGTTTTGGTAAACAAATAAAAGTACGTTTAGAACTCGATGATACATTGAGTGCAGCAAATTGTAGAATAGCAATATCGTTTGCAATCGTAGTACGATTATAATTAGGATGTATAGTAGGGGTGGCACTTTAGCTTTACTTTAAAAATTAAAGTTTAAGGGGCTCCCCTCCCCTCAGGAATCGTTTTTCGTTATTCGTGGACCAATTGGTCTGAGATTTTTAGGCAATATGGATGTTGTGTTAACTCAATTTATTGCAAAGTTTTGGCTCATAAAGTTTTTGCTTTGAAGAGTTATTGACAAATTAGTTCCCAAAATGGTGGTTCTCATAAGGTAACGATNCCCCCCCCCCCCCCCCAGCCCCTTAAAGTCTACTTTAAACTTTAAGCACTTTTTTTTAAAGTTTGAAGTTAAAGTGCCACCCCTAATGTATAGTAACCTTAGTAATTGCTCTTTGTTGTCTAGTTGTAACCGATGTATCATATAGATAATTAGTACCAGCAAGAATTGATAGTATTGACATATCACTTACACTGTATACACAATGAGCAGCTGTTATAGCATATTCAGATGTCAAAAGACTTGCAGCACACGCGTGTGAAGATGATCATTGCAGAGAAACAACCCAACCCCATGCATAATTCTGTGCTGCCTCTCCATCAACAATTCTTGATGTAACATTTGTAGTTCGTGCTGAACAACCACATGAAATAGTTGGATCACATTGATACGTAGTACAATGGATGATTTTAATTAACGACAACACAACATGTATGAGTAATATCATTTTATCAAACATTTATGAATCTTTACAGTCGACTAAAACACTTTAAATGTTGGTATAACTTGTTTTTTGAAAAGAATAATAAGGAGTATGTATTTATGCAAAAAAATATTTGCATGTTTATCGATTGAATGATTTAACCGATGACTGCAACAGAGTATGAAAACAAAATATATACATGTAACCTGTAATAGAAGTTAAATCTGCATTTGCCTTTTCATTATAGTGTGCTGCGTAAAAACATGAGTACTGTGACGATTGTCGTAGTTAACTTAACTGTATTGTAAAGAACGTTGTTGCTATTTTTTTTAAACTAAACATTTTTGAGTCGGTGGCTATTTTTTGTGAATAAAAATGATGCTTACCTTATTTTACCGTTTCGGATTAAACGGAGCGCATATATTTTTGTTTTCAAGTATATGATGACCAATGAAGTGAAAATTTTTTTATTAATATCTACTGAATGAATAATACTTTCTTTCAAACTATTCTTTTAAATATTGCGTGAGAAATAAAAAACACAAATAACCTATTGTACAAATGTATCAATAAGCGAAATGGCAGAAATCTGTATATCGAACAGAATTCTGACCCATCATGTGCACACCTGTCCATAGAATCATGAAAATTAATTTAAGAATATTTGTACTTGATGCGTTTATTGTTTGAACAGGAGATGCCAGACGAACATATCGTACTGTTTACATGGGGAAAAATAGAAGAATACTTTAGTAAATAAACAGAAAGGCTCTTCATCGCTATGTACTACTGGTATTGAACAAGAGTACTGATTTGATGCTTCATTGGTGTGGCAATAATGGACTCGTCTAAATACATTTAAAAAAACAAAAGTCTTAAAATTTAACATTCTCTTGAATTCGATTTTAATTTGAATGCGTTTCAAAAGATAGTTGCCTTTTTTTGTATAATATACTATAGCTTTAATCTATGATGCTGTATGTTCATAGATTATAATCTTTTCGCCAAAATACTAATAAATTCTTGAATTTTTCGAGAAATGATTGTACAGCTAAGCTATAGGTATCAAGTACTTTAGTATGTTGACTCCGTAGAGTTGATTTGAGAAAAATTTTTATATAAATAATTATTTACTATCTACAATACGGCCTTATATATATTTATAATTCATCCCCTCTATTACTGTTTACCATTAGTTTGGACTTGCACTAAGTCAGTTATAATAAAGAATACGTATTAGAGTGTTAGCTTTATCATTTTTAGTAGTTATAAATTAATAAAAGCGTGTATTCCCGATCTAGGGGAGTTCAGCGGCTCTAGCAATCATTTCAATCTTTTTTCTATGTTGAATATTACTAACGCAAGAAAATGATAATATTCCCACTGTTGAATTTTATTCGAAATGTAAAAGCCATGATTATTCTGTCATAAATTATTTCTGGAAAATACAAATATCGATTTTAAAAAAATTCGATTAAGGATAAAGTCACTCCGAAGTCCAATAATAAAAACCCATTTGAATATTTTCAGATGAAGTTAGCATAAACAATCAATAGTAATTTTAACTGTGTGGTATAATCGTTATGAGAAAATAACGTCGCATCACTATTTATTTATCTTCGCCTTTTGTTTTGCATAGGCGATAGAACCACAAGGCTTCAGTAGGCGCACCTACTTTTCTTCTTCTTCTATCTGATTGATAGATTTCAACAGTGCGAAACATTTTTTGTCCAAATGGCAATTGTTTGTGACGCCTGTAGCAGCTGATAATAGCATTTTCTTTGTCGAAAAGACTTCGACCTTGTGTAAATAAACATTTGAGTATAAATCAACTATGACTTCAATCTGGAATCCTTCTCTACAAGATAAACAAAAAAAAAGAAATGTCATTCATGTATTCTCATTCAATGTAATCCGATTTCGAGTTGTTCAAACCGTGGACTCAAACCAATAGAATCGAACTTTTGTAAAACAACTATTATCAAATAAAAACTTAAATCTGCTGTTTGAATCATTGCTTATCAAGAGGAAACAGTGCGTAGCTCAAAAACTTTTCCACACACTCGAGAACATCATTTTCTTGATTGTCTTTGTATATTTTCTTCTACATCAAAAGCATCATCAATCCTTAGTTTATGATGGCAGAAACTATTTCAATGTTCATTTTTGGTGTATTGACTTGAAACTTCTCTCATTCGATGAAGCAAAAGAACACAGTAGAAATAATCCAACATATTGCTTCCAGTATTGTCAATAAAAATTGATTCAACGAGAAAACATATTGAAATCTTCAGGGAAAATTTTTCATCTATAGGTACAACCAAACCAGGCTAACACACATCTATTAAAGATTCAAATTCTCATAACACTTATTTGATATCTTATTTCATAGAACGTTTACATACTCTGGTAAGAGTTGAATTTTTGACAGTATTCAATACTAAGGCTCTTATTTACTGAGAAAATGAACCAAAATTTTTGCTCTAGTTTCATAAAATTCAGTTCGTTGCTGGCTTCGATGACAATTTATTCTAAAAAAAAGGAAAAACATTCGCTAAACATCATGTATATCGTTTCAACAAATTTTCCCGAGCAAAAAAACGTATCCTATTTTTTTCCGTTGATCATTTTCTTAAAATAACATTTCTAATCTCATCATCGTTAATTTCCTTTCTATTATTTTTCTTTTTATTTCCGATCCTCTATGATCATCGTCACTAAACAGTTATCAACTAAAGCTGAAGTATATATATATACAATTTTTACTAACTATAGGGCACTATCATGTGCCTACGGTTGTATATGCAGATGTATGCACCCGTTGTGTCGTTTCTTTTGATCTTTTTATTCTTCGACTTGTTTATTTTTGCCTATTGTTGTTCATTAGCTATTGTACATGGTGCATCGATCCATCGATCAGTATGGCCATCAATATATACAAACAAACGACTAATGTGCATGGGTGTGCATATATATATATATATATGTAGAACAGCAGCACATCTTTAACCATTTGTCATTTGCCCGGCAGAGAAAGAAAAGGAGTGGAACCTGTCGTTTTAATTACCCATTTTATGATTGACAAAGAACAAGGGTCAATTTTTTTCAAGGAAATTAAGCACATGTTTCAAAAAGTCTCATCATCATGTAAACTATGAATGTTTAGTTCTTCGATCCGTGATCATCGGAATTTCCGAATAAAATTCTAATACAAAAGAATGTTTATCTTTCTGTAGACAATTAAAGCATAGAAAGCTTAGGGCATTTTTTGATTTTTCGAGCTTCCCCACATCTTAACGCTTGATATCTATCGAACAAATAAATCTTCTGAACATATGTAGCAAATATCTTATGGTTTCAACAGACATTATTGTTTAAAACAAAACAGAGCAAAAAAAACGAAACACGCACACACAAATACAAAGAAATTTTGGAATGTAAATGATTTAAATATATATGTATATAGTAATTATATAGAAAGAAACATCTATCGAGTTTTGTCATTTAAAATATCAATGTCTTTTTTATTTTCAACAGAACCTGCCATAGGTTTGTCACATATTTTACTCATTTCAGTAAGATAATTTTGTAATGCTGACATTGCACCGATAATTGCTGGCGTACCAAAACCATGTGTAATAAGAGAAAAATTTGTTAAATGTCGTTGAAATGATACATCGAGAACAGATGCCAAACGACTATTTGTACCCAATGGGGAGCGATCTTGAGTTAATAAATCAGTAAATTCTTTAACTAATTGCCTTTAAAACAAACAAGCAAACAAAAATTAAATTAGAAATTTTACGAGTCTTTTTAAGAAAAGAAAATCTTTACTTTGTCGCGAGAATATTTTGTTTACGTTTTGATATTGCCGATGGATCTTGTAGATGATTTATTGAATGATATTGGCGAGCTGTATTTTCTGCACATTGTCGTGATGGAAATTCTTGATCGCATACATAATGAAAATCACGTGCTAGATGAGCAGCTTCACCTTCGACAAGTGATGTTAATAGAGTAACCGTAGCTGCTTTACGTCGTCCGGCAGGTAGATTTACACCGATTTTTTCAAGTTTTTCACGTAATAATCTTCCACCATTTTTTGATTTTGCTCTAGAAAAATAAAAATCGATAAAAATAAAAAAAGATATCAAGGAAATTTACCTTCTTAAAATACCACCGAGTAAAGATGCATTAAGACATTCGGGTGGTGAAAGACGTCGTTGAACTTCAGCAACACTAACTTTATATTTTGAATTTGAACTCAGTAATGATAATCGTCCTGGTACACTACAAAATACATCTGCTGGAGTAATAGGTCGATTACCAGTGCCTAAATTTAATTGAATACCTTCTTTTGTATCACCACGACGTAAATCTTTAATAAAATTGACAAAAAAATAAGAAAAATTTTTCCTGTTATAACTACTTACCTCGGTGAAGCGATGCTCGATAATGTTCAGAAATTGCAGGTGGAACACTATCATCAAGACCAGGAACCTTAATAAAACTTTAGAATTGATTTTAAAAAATCACAATTTCTATTTACTCGAAAAGCAGCTGTACCAGCTGGATCACTACTCAATAGACCACTTCGATAAAGTTGTAATGATTCTGGATCAAGTACCATAGCATGCCGACTATAATACGATGCTGCATATTCAGCATAGGCACCATATGGATGACTTAATGGTGTTGTTGATTCATCAATATTTACACCTGATGAACGAACTAAAGAATTATATGATTGAGACGTTTGATTATCTGAAAATGGGGGCGATGATGATGTATAATCAAGATTATGCGAATGATTAGATTGAACTTGATCAAATGGATGTTGATGTGTAGGATGTGAAACACTTGAAAATGGTGGTGGAAAGTACGGTGGTTGAAAATCGATTCCACCCGAATTCGATGACGATGGAAGAGACATTGATGATGTTTGATTATTTGATCGATCGGAATTATTCTGACCATTTGATCCATTACCAAAATGATTTGATCGATCCTAGATTCGAACAAAAATCATAAAATATCCTTCTATTTATTGGCACTATGAATAAAAGTCTTTATTTCTCTCTATTCTATATATGTATTACATATAGTACACGACAAGTCAATTTACCTGCCAGGAATTTTCGGCAAGATGATGATGATGAAGGTGATGAAATGACATGAGACGAGCGCTTGCGGATGTGTTTCTGCAATGTGTAATGGTATGCACGCGCCGTTCGCACAATCGTAAATCAAGAAAATGTTGCTAGTTAAAAAAAGAATGGCTAATGGGCGTTCGATGTATGTATGGATAGGAACGTATGTCGTACCAGTTCCGATGTTTCTATTCGTCCTTATTGCTGCTTCTGTTGCCTTCGAGATAGAAACAAAGAAGAAGAAGAAAGAACAAAGTCGGCATTTCTCTTTCTCTCTTTCTCTTTTTTTTTCCATGGTCGATTTCGATTGGTTATTGTATAAACTCGAATATGGATTGGTTATGTCAATGAAAATATTACTGTCAATATTGCCGAAAGTCATATAGAAGAAGAAAAAAAAGAATTTCAACATCGTTAATACTTGACAAAGAAGAAACTGACGAAGAAAAAAACGAATGAATAAAGTCCACTTTATAAATTACTTAAAAAAGATTTCCTTTGTGTTATTCTCTCAATTGTATAAGAAATACACAATAAAATAAAAGTATATACGTCTATTCAGCTTGAGATTGAAAGATATCAACAAAAAGTTCGTTGATCATATGGCTGATGACGCCTGAGGATATCGTTAGATATCATCATCATTATTATTATTACCAATCTTTAGTATTCTGAATGGGTTACATCAACAAAACAGAAATGTGTGAGCAGCAAATAAATGAATCAGTTGAACTACTTAAACTAATAGGATGTTGATTCAAGTATTTAGGTTGACTGATCCGGCGGCAGTGCCAAGTATTCATTTTCTTTTTTTTCAACATTGAAATACATTTCGTTGATTTCTCTTTTACTCATTTTCTGCTTGGCTTGTTAACACCGAAAAAAAGAAAGAAACATTATTTATATCGTTTAGTGCGTAAGTAAGCGTAAGAAGGAGAGAAAAAATGAAATGCATTTTCCCATACATGAATATCCTGATGGTCTTTTCTAAGTTACTCTATCTCATCATCACTATGGCTGTTAGCTATAATTTCATTAACAGGAATATGACATCCGTTTTTCTATCCATATCTTATAAGAATCAAAGGTTTAACGTCAAAAAAAAAGTAATGTTGCTTGAGGCTTATTCATTTAACCGGCTGAAAGATTTCATATGGAAGAAAATACATATATGCTCGTTATTTGTCTAAGTGAAAGGCATGCAAATGATCTTGTTAATGTTCAAACTGAACAAGACGATATGAACCTTGGTCGTATTGAACTCTAAAGAGAAAGAAGAATTTTTATTATAAGATAACGGAAATTCATAAAAAATGACTTAGTTCAATAGAAGCATTCAAGAGATTAATTTGCAGTCTTGGAATAAATACAAGATTTTATTTTTTTATTAGCATTTCTCTATGATAGACATTACAATCGAATGGTTCTTAGCAAAACATTCCATGGAAAATCATTTGAATAGAATTTTGTATTCTCAAAAAATACTTTTATTACACAGTATAAACATTCATTGTTTTTAAAATCTTCAAATAGAATTTAGTGAGTGTATTCAATTGTATCGCTTTCATAAAAGTTCGTAATGTTTCTGTTTTGACATCATTGAGTTTATTGATCTCAACTGCACTTTCGAATATAAAAGAAAATTTAAATGAAGAGTTTTTTTTTTCTGTTTACTTAACAACCAACAGCTATTATAGCATTAAACAAAGTGATATATAGCGATGAAGAAATGCTGTCTATTTAAGTATTTATTTAATCAGAATTTTTTTAGTTAATTAGTAAAACGTTTTGAGAAGATGAGAAATTGCCTTCGGTAAATTGATTTTCGTATGTCCTGAAAGAAAAATGTTAATATTTGTCAAATTAATTTTTGAAAGGCATATTCAATTACAAGATATTCTTATTGTATTGAAATTAGTTACTAAAAACGGCTAACATTCTTGTTGACTCTCATCTAGAATGGTTTGTTTTAGATCGTGAGTATAGTAAAATTTTCAATTTATATATTTTGAATATTCTATGAAGTTGTGAGATTTTGAAGCGGAATATATTCCAATAAAAATTTTTTTTCAAATTACAACACGAGAAAAATTGAAATTCATTCTCGGTGCATACGGAGGAAATTTACAATTAAGGTCGTTACATAGTCATCGAATAAATGATCAATGAAACTAATTTTAAATTAATAAATCTCAACCAATGAAGTTAAAACATGGGAAGTTTAAGTCATCGTAATTGATTTTTTCCTCTGATTTTGATTTTATATTCAAATAGTTTACAAGCGATTCGATCGTGTTCTTTCTTTGCTGTAAATCTCAAATAGATTTTCGTGCTTGTTGGATAAAATGTCTCGTTTGTAAAATACTTCGAATAAAAAGCAGGATAACAATAATAACAGGTTTATTAATGTTCAGTTGTAGAATTTTTCATTTATCACTCGTGCATTTGAAGTATCATGAAAATATCGCGAATCCTATTAGAGTCAAGCACTATTGTTCATCGAATTCCTCCGGAACCGGTTCTATGGAATCTTTGGTTGCAAAAGAAAGATTATGTGTTAGTCATTATTTGATGAAAACGACTTTTTTCAACAAATGTATGAAGCAAAAATAATTCAAATAAATGAGATGATACCATGTTGAAGATGATCCAATGAAGATCACTCGATCACAGTTCAAAGAGAACAGTAAATATACTGAAACTTCTTCGATATGATCTAATACGAAGTCCTAGTTGTTGAGTACAACTGTAATCTATTAGATTCCGTCGATTTTTCAATAGAAAATATTCCGATCTTGGAAGTAATCTGATGGCAGATCAGATAGGTCCCTGTCAAAGTCGGACGTAGGATTGAAAGATCGTTGGCCACCAAAATCATCTGATTGCTTCAAAACACAATGTTGATAGTAGAAGCAAGATATTCTGTCAGCAAGATTGAAAAAAGAAAGGCGTAAATTCTGTACTTAATTTTACTGTAGTAAAACTTATGGCGGTATGCTTTTCTTTACATAAGATGTTGATGGAATTAGTTCTGATTTTCTCACCTTAATCGCCAAAATGAGATTTGCAGCATTGATCTATATCGAGAAGCCATTAGATAGATTTCGAGTTTGATTTCATTTAATAATATATTATCGTAAAACGGTCAATTAATTATTGAATAATCTGATATTTTTATTATCGAAATGAATATAACTTGTCTGCTTAAATTCAAAAACAAACATCAATAAGATGATATGCGAATATTGCGGAAAAGAAATATACATCAAAAACTACCACAAAACAGATAAAAGGAAAAAAGAAACTAATAAATAAACATGACAGATAGATTATTTTCATGTTATAGGATTGAATCAAAGTACAAACACGTAGATCTAACTTTTAGCCATAACAATCTGCTCGGTTTGTTTGTTTGGATCGAGATCTGTTGCTAAGCGAATAGCTGCCAGAAGAGCCTAAGCCAATCGAAAAGTAAAAATAAAACGCATTTTAAAAATAATTAATGACTTAGATTTTCTTACATCATCAGGATTCATCGTTGATGATGATTCTCGAGGTATTGCAGGACGAGCTGGTGGTTCAGGCTAAAATGAAATAGGGAAATTATTTATGTGATAGAATTTCTATGATAGCATACTGGGAAATTAGCATAATCAGCGAGTGGAGCTTGTCGCTTTGGTTTCACTTCCTGAAATAACAAGAAGTAGAATGGCGTAAAGCATTAAAAAAACTCGTATTCAAGCTAATCCTATTAAATTGCAATATGAGAATAACCAAAACATTTCCGTTTTTTTTAGTTCGAAACGTGATCGTTTTTTTATCATGTTATCTGTTAGAGAAACGAATCAGAGAAATTCTGTTCGACGCAGAAAAGTTAATACAAACACTGATTTCAATACGCACTCACTACTCAAGACAATTCTGATTCAATAGGATTAGTTCGTCAATACTACAAATCTCCTCATGCAATAACATACACGTGGCATTAATGGTTGCGGTGTTCGCGGTGGTGTAACCTAAAACCATAGACATATTATTTAATAAGAGACTTGTAAATCATTTACCGGTGCACGTTCTGGTTTCTTTTTCACATGTGCATAGCCCGGGGTTGGTACATTTTCATCTTCGTCATGCTAAAATAAATTTAAGTATTACAATAGAATAAATCCCAAAAAATTCTTTCGAACAGCAAACTCATGCAGAATTGTTTTCTTTCAAAAATCTTTTCTATCAATCATATTACCTTAGAGAATACTTCTATTTCTAGAGAAGACTGATACATATTAAAGAAAAACTAAACTGAGAAAATATTTTCGTACCTCGATGATTGGTATTCGATGCGTTTGGAAAAATGGTTCAACACTTTGAGGCCGTGGAAATGTTCGCAGTGTTTCACCATCAGCTAAGACATAGAACATATTAGCAAAACATAATAATTATAAATTCTTACAAAGCTTACCAACATCAAGACTTCTTGTCATTCGTTTACTCAATGATCTTTCGAAGTCAGGATTAGGTCTATCAAGTAATAATTGTCGAGTTTGATGATACGTATATGTTCCTGTGTAACGAAAAGTCGAATTAAATCTAGGTAAAATTGGTCGTTTGCGCAATTCTTCGGGGCGACGTAAACTTAAAAAAAATCATCGATACATTTTGTTTTTGTATTCCACCAAAAATCCTACCGGAAGAAAGCATGATGTTCAACAGCGATTTTCCATAAACATTTTGCTGCTCGATAAGTCGATAATTTAAAACCAATTGTACTTTCATATCGATCAAACTGAAGAGAAAACGTTTTTTTTTCTCAAATAATTTCTTTTTGAAAAAAATGCGTACATCACTTGGTCGAAGTTTAATGAAGAAATACTTTCGTTTATAAGCTATTTTTAATATTTTTGGCCAAGCAAAACGATTTATACGTAATTTATCACGATAAATTAATATTCCATTAGATGAAACACCTATATTAATATTCACACTTTCAGAATCCTAGAAAATTCTCGTATAGATTATGAAGATAATTTTTAAGAAGGAATTCTACCTGTGCAGGATGAATATCTACACCATACATTGCTAATTTTTTAGCATTTTCAAGAAAATGTAAGTCCGCTGCATTTGGTGGTTGGCCTCTATAATGAACATAGAATTAAACAGTAAACAACAACAACTAAGCTCATACTTATGTCTTTTATGTTGTTCATGAATACGTTTTAATAATTCTTCGTCTGGCTTAGGTGCAAATTGGAGTTCTTTAAGATAATCATGTGTTGTTCCATGATCTAATTCACTATAATCTCCTAATTCAGCTTGAGCTGTATATGAACCCAATAAAGCATAAGTCACAAATGAACATGGCAATCTTTATATGAAGATAATGTAAATGAAATTTTTTAGATATACCAATAAACTTACTTTCCGGATAGGATATCCTTCCGTAATTGAAGACATAATTGATATCTATTAAAAAATTACTTATTTATTTTATCATATACACTCGTCAAGAAACGTATGAAGCCATAGATTAAAAGTATTTTTATTGAGTCTGTCGAAATTAAATCACAGTATTTAGTAAAAACTTACAATACGTCTTTCGAAGAAAATCTACATTTATTTCTAGTATTGAAGTTTCCGCTGATGCCTATGGGAGAAACAGATTTATTATTAAGATCGTTTTCTGAACTTGTAATTACTGTTAACACATTGTAATTGATTCAGTGAGCACATAATGAGAAAACTCATGTTTAAGCATTCTGACAATATGTTGACACATCCGATCTCTGCAGAGAAGCTTTATTCGCCAGTTTAATCAATAGTTAATGTTTAGTTAGGAAAAGCAAAGAATAGACTAGCAGTGATAAAAGCAAATCTGAGTTCAGAGTGTAAACGTAAATATAACAGATCGTCCCACTATGAATCGATTATACAAGAAAACAGAATCTTTCTTTCATTGAGCGTATTTTTGTATTAGTAATATCATAAGATTAAAGAAAAGCTGTATTGAAAAAAACAGAAGTTAGCATTATATACCGTTAATGACTTTCATAATCTAAGGAAAAATTAAAAACTAATATAGGTATACATTCACATGTCTCTTTATTTTCCTGCGATTAACATTTTGTTTTCAATCAACAACAAACCTGGTAATATCTTCTTGAAGTAAAGCTGGCTCTGGTGGATAAAATTTGACTTGGAAATAAAAAATTGGATCATGCCCTAAAATACCCAATATAATTAATTGCTTTTTTTCATCAACTTCAAATAGAATTTTACCTTTCAATTGTCCTCGTGCTCGTTTATCATTATCAAGCCAACACTAAGAAAACTCCGTGCTAGACAAGAAAAATAACTTTTTTTTCAACTCTTTACTAACCTTATTATTTTCATTATCAACAAACGTCAAACCAAAATAATCTTTTTCTTCTAATCGCATTAAATCACATACACGATTATACAATATCTTTCCTGAATCTTCTTTCTAGAAAATAAACATTTTGTTTTCGTATAAAATCAGTAACAAAAAAAATTTTACGTACACCCAATTCGACATATTCTACACTATCATCTAACATCATTATTTTTGCTTTCGATTTACTTATAGGTTGCATAGTAACAATTCGTTTTGTTGATATGGATTGTTTCTCGTTGTTTAATTTTTTACGTTCTTTTTCTTCTTGTTCACGAGCTTTTTTTTCGTCTTTTTCGCGTTGACGCTGAGCACGTTTTTCGTTTTCTTCCTAAATAAAATAAAATTTCCTATTTTATAATACTAGTAGAGATATATTCCCACTTCTTTTTTCTTCATTTTTTTATCAACTTTTCTTTTGACATTTTCTTCAATAATAGCATGATTACGATCATCAACATATCGTAATGAACCGCTGAATCGATCAGTATCGAAATTGTCAACATCATGCATTGATCCAACTTGAAGCTAAACAAATCAATTGAAAACAAATAAACTCTTCGCTAGATTTTTTCTATGCTTACACGAGAAATTTCTTGACTGAGTGGCTGAACAAATTCAGTCATTTCACTATAGCTGAACTTCTAGTGATCAATTCGATTGAATTAATGGATCGGTCAAAAACAATGAATGGAGAATTTGACAAGCGTATTACCAATGAATTTTCATTTTCAAATATTTAATAAAAATTTAATTGAAATATATACTTAAGAGATAATTCATTAAAATCTATTTCATCTGATATACAATATCGATTACAATCGAGATTAATATTTGGTGTTGTAGAGGTCGCTAGATGACAAGTCATTTTCTGCTAGATAAGTTTGGCCTAGTAGCTATATGAAAATAATTACTTTTGTTGAGATTGAATATTTATTAGAAAAATTCATGACTTCAGATTATAATCGAAGAATCATGATGATTACGCTTCGTGAATTTGCCTAGGAAAATAGAAGATGAGTTGGTTTGCTCAAAACATTTTTATCATTTTCACATTTTGTCTTAACAATTCACTAGTTTTCTAATCTCTTGGGATGTTGGATGTGTAAAAAACTACTTCCCTATGTCTCCTTATATGTGGATTCTTTACATTTATTTCAATTGTGACTCCAATACCGAACATACTTTGATATGTGATAACTTTCTGGAATATGAAAATTTTGATTCTGTTAGAATCGATATCTTTCGAAAGGCTAAATTTATTTCTAATCTCGTTATAATAGGTAAGAACAAAGAAAAGTTTATTTAACTAGCTCTCTACTTATGATTTATATTGAGAAACGTTATTTTTTCTTCTTCAAAATTTTATATTTATATGCTAAATGACATGTATTTTTTAAGATTTAAACGCTTAACTACTTTCTCAGCAAAAATGTCTATTGTTCTTTTTCTCTCATTATTAATTTTACCCATGTTTAATGCTCAACGTCTTGCGCCTGGTTTCAATAGCAACGATGAATTGTTAGCAGATCGTTCGGCAGCATCGAATTATTTATGTAAGTCTCTAAGATTAATTTTTATCTTTATTATATTTCTATTTTAGTTGGTTTACCAATACGACAATATCAAGATCAATTATATCAGAGACCAGCGGACAGTTTATCAGCATTATCAGTATCAGATAGACATAATCAACAACGTACAAAACGGATCTATTGGGAGAATCTCGCATTTCATGCAGCTGATTATAATCAAAAGCCCAAGAAAACTTAAATATATGCTGATTTTGGTTGTTTTGATGTCGTCTAGAGATAAATAAAGATAACATATACTATCTTGCATAAAATTCTTTCTTCTAATTAACATAAAGAAATCGATTACTCAAAAAAAATTTTGTTTTCGTTTATATTAGCGAAATCTATCCAACAAGGCGCCTATAGTCATAGTTTAATAAAATTCAATAATACATGATCATCATAATTTTGTTGGTTCATAACTTGATCATTTGTGATTATGACGAAAGCAGAAGTGAAATTGATACATACACTTGTCTGTGCGTTTGTTTAACTTCATGACGGTTCTTTGTTGGGAGTGATTTAACTTCTGGGATCAACTAGTTGTTACTTTCGCTACACAGTTCATGTTTTGTCAATAATTGAATTTGCTCATTCTGTATGGCATGTTTTGTTCTTTGATTTTGATTCATGTCGATACTATTCCTCGAGGATTCTTCATTCCTGTTTCGATAAGATTTTCTTTTTTACTCTAGCATGAATAGAAAGTTAAATTAAGATGCGATTCAATCGTCACATAAACAATATAAAAAATATTTTCAATACTATATACTTATACATCTATACAAGACATCAGCAAAGTAAATCGTGTTGCGTATGAACATATAACATATCCTTTAATCTCGCAAGAAAACTTTGAATAAATTTGCCAATTTTCATTTGACTCTAACGAATGTCTCAGATGAAATTGTACTAAATCTTGGTGACTTTATCTTCGACTTCGTTTCCATAAGAAAGTTTTCTTTCTTGTTGCCGAATTTCGAAAAGTTCCGATGAACTTTGCACTAATTATCACACAAGATTCTTCATATAATTTTGCATCTTTTTATACTCGTTTCAAATTCCAGAAAAAACATTTAAGAAAACGAGCTCTAAAGAAAAAGAATGCAAAATCGTCGAAAAAATGTTTCCTTGGAAAGACAATGATGAGTTTATCCAAAATAGACTCAACGAATGCCTACAGAATATCAGTTACCAATCTTTTCATCCACAGAACAGCAGCATCAGAAAAGTTGAAACGATCCTGGTAACATAGAGGCACCAAGATTTAGCCCAGTTTCACCTCGGACACCCGTTATTTTGATGAATATCAAATAAATATCAGATTAACATCAAAACTTTCCGCTTCTTAGACGAAATTTTTTGTACAATGTTTCATCCTTCATATACTGTTTTTAATGCGATGCGATGCGAAGCAGAAACATTTATGTAGTCCGTCGCGAGTTTTTTTAATTTTTTAATTTTTACTCACTTGACATACACATCACAAGTCGTCGTTTTGTGACGCGATGATCTCGAAAACCGAAAATCGTAGAAAACTCGTTGAAACGTGAGATCGAAGTATCAAGATCGAACTGAGACCAACTGTTTTCGAATCTTTAAACTGAAGTTTCGTTCACTCAGAAATGTGGTTCCAAAATGACGAAAATGAAAGAAATTTATCAAGAGATAATTAAAGTGACGTCATCAACATATGTTATCCACTATAGTCTATTCATTTCCAGCTGATCTAAGATAATGAATCATGGAGATAATTAATCGATCAATCGAAATCGATCCTTAAGAATGTATCGCTAAGTAAGAATGGAGTTTTCTCAGTGATGAATTTCATCATGTCGACATAAATAATATTCAAGATTTCTCTGAATCGTAGATTTTTCGTGAAGATCCGATTCGAGCTTCGCATCGCATTTCGTATTCGAGTGAAACTTGAATACCATCTAGTTTAATTCAATTTTTTCTTTTGAGTAGTTCAATTCTTGATTTAGACAAAAGCAATCGATTAGAAGAGAATGATACTTCTTTTTAACAGATAGCTACTACAGACATTCATCATCATAATGAATAGAATAACTAGTTACTCAAGATAATGTGTCATGATTTGTTAATGTCCAGCTGTGATAAAGCGTATGACAAAAATGATTGTATTTTTGGCATCATCACTCATCAAGGACATATAATAAATGGTTTCTCTTCTTTTGATTCAATATTATGATGGCAAGGTCACATATAATAACCAATGATAGTATTCAGTTAAATATTTACAACAATTGTTAGATTCTTCGAGCTGTTAAGAATCGAAAAAATTAATTCAATGCATATCAGAGAAGAAATATGTTTTAATAGTACATAAAAAAAAGATGATGAAATCGATTGTGAAGTATGAAGTTATAAATAAAGCCATAGAATTAGAACTCAAATATTTTATCGGATATTTCAAAATGTTTGTTTTAATTCTATTAGAATATGACCTTTATATTTTATGTTGTTGTTAATCGTGATGAGTTTTCATTTACAATAGAGATTTGTTGTTTGGACGGATTAGTTGACTCGTAAATATCTAACCTTTGTACGAAAGTTTATGTAGTACTCTCTATTCTTTTATGTCTATTGGAAGTCTCTCACTTCAAAGTATAGTCAATCAGCATCGTTCATACAAATTTTCGAATGGACCCTTTTAAGAGAAATTTTTACTTATTCATTTTAAAAGTCGCTTTGTGGATCAGACTGTACATCAACTAGATCTCAATCTGATGATAACCTCTAGAACTTCCCAAGTGAGTTCTAAGCATTTGATTTATATTTTACTTCATTTCAAGATACACTAAGTGGTAAGTAAAATGTTCTTTGAACGAGAAAAAAATTAGAGGCTACTATCGTTCGTAAAATAGGAGCTATCTTTTAGGATAGAATATCTCTTGAGGGAACATTCTACTTATATCAGTATCATGTCAATAATTCTGTTGCTAAAGTCTAAAGGTCACATTGACTGTGGAATTATAGATACTTTATTGAGGTCAGGTTGATGGATTAACGAAGAAATTCATAGCGAATTTCCAATGTTTGCTCGTAAGACATGCCAGATCCATTGTATGGTATTTATTTCCTTACTGTTATATTTTCATAGATCTATAGTATACTAGAAGAGTTTACTTTTTAGAAAATTTAATCTTCTAAAATATGCGACATGTAAATTTTATTCCATCTACTGATCTGATAGCATCGATTGCATATAGATTACAAAATAGTAGTGTTGAATTTGGGTCTCGTCATGTTCTTGTGTTTTTATTCTCATAAAACCGGCAATATTGCAATTATATAAAATCATCCTATTTACATAAAAGAAAAGAAAAGAAAAATAAAAGCGATCAATATTTTGGTGCTGCTTGAGTTAACTAGTTGATGATGTTGACGGTTGTGAAGTTGAGAATGTCGGAAACAAAGAAGGTGTTGATTGACGGAGACGATGATTAGATGAAATAAATGAGGTCGGAAAAAGAACATTAGATGAAGAACTCAAACGATGATTTATTGATGCAGATAATGGTAAAGAAGAAGTTAGACTTCCATCTTCGCTTTCTTCATAATCAATACGATTTGGATCTGTTGATATTGAATGTTTACGGTATAGAGTTTGTACCAGTCGCAAACGCATCACCTGCGGAAAGCAAAAGAAGATTTTTTTTTCAATGAAATTTTCGATTGCAATTCATTATTGATATTTAGTAGGTATTATAACTAGCGATCAGCAAGCCTCACTCTGAATCATCAAAAGAATCTTCATCAATAGTATCACTTTTTGGCCATGATGCACTGGCATAAATGACACTCGCACGTCTTGTAGGCAATGAACTACTACGAATAAGGGGTGTACGTCTTAGCTGTAACAAAAAAACAAAAAATTAAACATCATGTAGCAGCAATTAAATTAGCTTTGTGTTCATAGGGACAACATCAACCTGACAAGGAAGAATTTAATGGTTTGAAAGAAAAATTTTCCTATGGATATAAATGAATAAGAAAATATCGATTGTATGCAATACTAACCTCGTCTTGAAGTTCAATAAGTTTTTCTTGAATATCTTTTTCATCCATAATTTGACCTCGAGTGATTAATTCTTGATTCTATATGAAAACAAATGCATAAGATAATAATTTTTGTATCAGATTTATTTACTGCAACTTCTAATTCAGCTATTCTTTGACGTAAATCACCAATGGCTTGAGTACTTTCAACTTCTCGAATACGTAACATCATTGAATCTTCTTTTTTCTAAAAGAAAAGAATGTTTATTTAAAAGAAAAGAAAAATAATCTTGTACTTACTCTCATTTCTCTATCATACAATTGATTTTTAAATTCGTTCAATTGTGTACGTAATTCGTTCTCACGTATCCGAGATTGTTCTAATTCAAGACGAACACGTTGCATTTCATCGTCTTGACGTTTTATTTGATTGTGTAAAACATGTTTTTGTGTATCGGAATCCATTAATTTTTGTGAAAGAAGTTTATTATCAGAATCAAATTGAGCTTCACGCATTTTCAGTGACAATAATTCATGAGCAATTAAATCATAAGCATCATTATTAGGATTGGCTTCATTTAAATAATTTTTTTCACGTATAGTTTGACATGTACTACAATGAGCTTGCCATTCATGATTGAGATCAGCTATACGTTGACGAAGTTCATTTATACTAACTTGAGCTTCGGCATCGCGCATTTTAACAAGAATTAATTCATCTTGTAAAGCAGCGATTTCGACATGCGGTGTAGTTTGTAAATTACGATTTTCCTATTGAAAAAAAGTGATTAGAGTGTATTGAAAGAAATTAAAATTTATTAAAAACTGTTTACCATTGTTAATCGATTAATTGTTTCGCGAAGATTTTCTAATTCTTCTTTATCCTCGGATACGTTTGAAAAATCAGATGAATTTTCAGTCTTAGTCGACGATGTAGTTTTATCATTATTTTGATGAAGAATTTCGTCTAATTGCTTTTTTAGAGTATAATTTTCACGTTTTAATTGATAAGATTCTTCAGCATGTTGAGCATTCAATACCTGACCTTCAATTAAACGATTGGCTAACGTTGCACTTTCCTTTAGATAGAAAACGAAAAACTATGGATTAAATGCTTGTTTATAGAAGACATACTTTTTCTAAATTTTCAACGCGTTGTTTTAATAGACGATTTTCATTTCTTAATCTCTAGAAGAAGAAAAGAAACGTGCATGACCTAGAGCAATGCACTAAATCAAGTATATTACATACACGTATTTCAATTTGTTCTTCTTGCTCTTCTTTACGAATAACGACGTATTCTTTTTCTAGTCTAATAATTATAAAATAGAAAATTATAAATAATCAGATTTCTTTTTAATGTAGCCTTAGGTACTTTTTCATTTTCTTGCCATTATATTGCACAGAAAAAGCGCGTTGAAATAAAGTTTCATGGTCATGTTCATGTTTGACGGGCACTTCTTTTTGAAAATACTAAAGAGAAAGAATAATTTTATTTAGTAATAAAAAAAGAAAGAAGAGAAATCTCTAGTACTTGATTAGACTCTTTCGTAGCTCATGTACATTATGGCAAGCTCATATGAATTCAAATTTCAGGGGCACAAACAAAAGAAACAAAAAGGTGCGAATGTATGTATACCATTGAATGATTCTTTCCACCCATTTAAAAATAAGCACGTTAGTACTGTGCAAATAAAACCTTTTCTTTCGTATTTCTAATAACCGCTTTTTTGGCTTTTTTTTTCATTCGTTTTAATATACAATGAATAACTCACCGATGTGACAGCAGACATCGAATCCTGAACATTTTTAAACGTCTGCGAACATTGTTCGACTAGACGGTCTTGAACGGCGTGCAACCGACGATCCATACATGTAAATTAATGTATATGACAATAGACAAGGTCTGATATGGATGGCAATTTCTTTCTCCTTTTCTCTCCTCCTATTTTTCTAGTGAGTTGCAAATGCCTTCACCCTCGTTTGGACAGAACAAAACGCACATGCAGACACAAATACACAATCATTAGCAGCAGCGATGGTGTCATTTTATATTCTCTCTCGTTTGCCTTCTCTTTTTTCTCTCCTTTTTCTCTCCTATTACTCCACAAAGTGAAGAATATATTACTGACAAGATCAAATACATATATCATATATATATAGAATAGTATCGCAATGATTTGTATTCTTATAAAATTTTGCTGTTCCTTCGAGGCATTTCTTTTTTTATCCTTTTCATACTATCGGAAAATAAAAATATCACAATGTGAATGGTGTAAAAATATAAGCACATACAATAATATGACAAGCAGCTGACGTAAAAAGCCTCACATTGACGCCACACTCCTTAGATTACGTGGCCAACTAGGGCTCAGAATGAATAGCGATAGTTTATCGATTGATTATGACACCCTCGTAAACAATGTGTAATAGGTTAATATAATACCTACCTTTAGCATATCTTCCATTGATAAAAGCATTAATTCCTCTTGATGAATTTCAAGTAAAGCGATAGCCATACGAAAAATAATTTCTATGCCCTAATATGATTGAATATTATATATATTTCTATGAATAACGTATTCAATAAATAATTACCTCATTCAGAAACAAATCCATCATATGAGCAGCAACATTAACAGTAAACTGAGTTGTAAATAATGTTAAAAACCAACTTGAAGCATAGACTGATGTATTGAAATTTTCAGCTTGTAAATGTCGATATAATTCAGGTAAAAACTCCTATTGATTAACAAGTTTTTGTTTTGCTTCATTAATAAATAATTATTAAAAAAAATGATAACATACTTGAACCATACATTCTAGTTGATATATACAAAGACCTAACGAATACATATCTGGTTTATACATATCACGCATGGAAAAATCTTGCATAATAGATACAAGTACTGCAAAAGCCTCTTCTTCAGGCATCTATCAAAAGAACAAATATATAAATGTTCACAAAGAATTTAAAAATCAAACTAACATGCATAAGTAATAGTCCAACAATAAAGCCAATGCCTTGACAATAGCCAACTTCTCGATCGAACAATGAATATGCCTAGACAGAATATTCATCGAAGTAAAGAAATTGTCTCAAAACAGATACAATACACGTTTTAAAATATTTTATTACATTAAAACTGATCAGCGAGCAATTCATATTTACTATCATCATCAATTACGTAATAAAAGATCGATCGTTCTATTAGTAATTTTCAACAAAATAATAAATACTGATGTCTCAAGGACAAAAGAAAGTATCAACTGAACTAGTAAATATTTTTTTTTTCTTTTTAAAATTTAGTCACTATTTTATTTATCTATCAAATGTATCAAACCTTAATCACATTGAATAATCTTTCTTGGCCAACACCATGTTTTTCTTTGAAAAGCTCATGTTCAGGATATGTTCGTGAAATATCTCTTCGAATAACTTTTTCACATGACGATGTCATTTTCATATAATCAATATATTTTTCTTTAGCATTTGATGTCTCAACTTTAGCTAAACATTGCCAAACTAATGGCCGAAAATGTACGGGAACACCGGCTCGAATCATATCCTAAAGAAAATGATCCTAGAAAATTTTCTTTTTATTTACATTAAAATCTTTACTTTAACCCATTGAGATTTTTTTCTACTATACGCTGACCAATTATTAATTATTTTATTCCATAGAACCCATTCATTTTCAAGATTACCTAAACATATATGTATAGAACTTGTGTTATAGAGAAGAAAATGACCCAATTATTTTATTATGATATACCATCACTGTCAGTAGTTAGATTGCTTAAATCGCTTGAAACTGAATCTTGCCGTAATTGTTTATGATGTAATTCAGGTGAACGTGAATTTACTAGAGTAACCGGCACAGAATTAACAGGCGACTTTAAATCATATTCAATTCGTCTATATACGAAAAGAAGAAAGCGACAATATCAATAGAAATTTGAGTATGATCAAATAAATGAAAAGAAAAATGTAACATAATCGTTATTTACCGATTTGCTTCTTCCAATCGTTTCAATAGTTCAACATCATCATCAGTCATGTCAGGTACATAAGGTTGTTGTGATGGAGATTGTGTCATTTTTCTTCTTTTTTTTTAGTCAACTGGACTCTATAGACAACACTGATGACAAATATATATATAGAACAGAAAGAAATAACAAAAAAAAAGAAGAAATGGTCGAACAATACAACATATTTATACAAGCGAAAAGAGCGGAGGTTGAAGACGAGTAAGTGACATCATTAATACTTTTTCTTTTTCTTCACTAACGAATAGATGACAAAACATCTTCAGATTCATATTATTTTAACTCTTTCTTTCAACTGATGAAATCAATTGAATCTCATGAACAAAATGTATAAACTATATACTTTTAGTCTTAAGATTATTTTTACTTTGTATTAGATGGTCACGCATCCTATTTATACTCCTTTGTTTCAAACATATATATTCCATTGTGTCTTACGAGAAAGAAAATGCAATGCAATTAAATAAATTATAAGTAAATAAATAAACACACTGTTGTTGTCTATGTTTATGATCGAAAGTTCAAAGAAGGATATATATTTATGTTGACGATAAATATAATGTATAAACCTAATCGATATAAATAACTTAACAAGTAGATAGAAAAAAAAAACTAACTGCAAAAAACGTCTACCTAAAATAGAAATCAACACGTGGATCTGTACGAGACATCCTTACCGTAATATTGATGATGACGGTTATATGACGGATAGCAGCATCGGCAAGAAGAAAGAAAAAAAGGTTTGCTTTTTTTGCACCTTTTCTTCTTTATTCTCTTTTTCTTCTATGCTTTTTTTACCTTGAAAAGTCCCATTAGATTGCCGTTCTTTCTCTTTTTCTCACGTGTGACGGTCGAACTAACGCACAAATTGTGACAATATTTTACATAGTTCTTGTTCTCACGCTCATCATATAAAAATTAAACAAAAACACAATACAAGTGATACTTATTTACATAGATAGCATTCTTGAACAACAACAAAAACAAACTTTCGCTAATACTATTTACTTGATAGTCATCGTTTTCGTTATTTTTTATTATAAGTAGAAAATAGAAAAAAAAACTATCGACCACTAGGGAAATCTACGATCAATCATTCGAATATTACACTTACTAATTTGTATTTATCATGAGTTCGGAACCGACGAAAAGAATTACTCATTATGGCGTTAATAAAAATGACTCGAAAATCTTTTGTTAATTTCTTTTTGCACATTTGTCAATATTTATTTAGATCACTTTAAACATACTACTTTGTCTAAGTACATAAGCGAATGAAAATGATCTGAGAATAAAGTGAAATGACTCGCTATGTTATACTTAATCTCTGAATAATAGAAGAAGAAACGACTGATTTCTTGTTCTTGATACGATTAAAATTCAAACCCTTTAATTATTGATTATATTATTTAAACAAATAGTTCTATAAAAGAAAAATATATTATTCATGAAATTGTTTGTTCATGGGATCGTGTCCAATAAATCAGACTAATCAGATTAGCTATCAATATCAATGGAATAATAGGAAATTCAAAACCACAGCCATATGGTATACCATTTTTCGGTTCTTCAGGTAATGCAACACCTATACCACCATGATGAGCAGCTCGATCAAGTTGCAAATGATGTTCTCGAACATAACGGCGCGCATGAAATGCATGATATGCACATTTAACAGCTCGACGAATACCGCTGAAAGTGACGAGAACAATAAAAAAAGTCAATGTAAAAAGAAAAATCCTTTACTTTACACAACCAAATAATATAACACCTTGCAAGGTCAATTGAAGCGTAGTTAGTCGAACAAGTGGAAATAAAAAGTAGAAAATCATACCGAAAAGTAGACCCTACAAGAAAAATCCTGAGTTGAACCGAGAAGATTTTTAAAAATTACATTTCAATGCGTATAACCAATGAATATGCTAATCAAGTGTCAAAATGTAAACACGCAGATTATCTGCATTGAGAAGCTTTCTACTAGGTTAGCGAAACACTGATTGATAGTGAAACAGGAGTTACAGAATGTCTAGCGAACAGAATTCAGAATTCGGTGAATTTTTTAAATTCTGAATTCTACTTGCTAGCTTTTCTGCAGACCCTCTAGATAGCATAAAAGAAAAGCACATTGTGTAGAACACATTCGCATGTAAAAAAAACGGTACCGTACTTGTCCCTCCAGTAGCAGAGTTAACTGGCGAGATGATAACAAATGTTTGTATTGACGCTATCTTAGATAGAACACTGAATGGGCTCAAATATAATGGGTTAGAAGGCCACCATTTGTTAGATGTAAACGAGTTGACGTTCTTTTTCGTATGTTTCATCTGTCTATGATGTTCTCCATCTTGTTGGAGACATGAATTTTGATGACAAAATGGCAATAGTTTTTCGCGATACATTAGGCAAAATAATCATTGATATTTTTTATCTCTCTCTGTCTCTCTCTGAATAATGGAATATTTCATTATCATACAGTGTTTCAATGTTAACGTTATGAAAAAGGAATCAAGATTCTATGAGTTATATGCATTGAGATATTCTTATAATCTAACCTGTAAGAATCCGACAACATCATAAACAAGACAATGTGAACGATGTTGACAGCATTGTTCCAATGCTTTTATTTCTGTTGCATATTCTTCTGGTACACCTCGTTTCGATTTTTTCGATGGTTCTTTTCTACGAATTGATTCAAATAATTCTATATCAATAAAATAATTTTCATATCGATACTAGAATTATTATATATTTTTTTCATTTACTAAACAATTCTTGATTAATTTCTGTTGCACATTCACCTTGCAAACCATGTCCAGCATTGTCAAGTTTAACAAGACGACAACCGAGTATCTATAATGTCAAATAATTAATATTCGAATCTTTACAATCAAAATACGAACTCGTCGAAGCATATAAGAATTTGCTTCTCGTACAAGTAGATCTTCAGTACCAACCATAATCAAGCATTGAAATGGTGAATAACGAATTTTAAGTAGATCAGCATAACTAACATAATGTCTGTAAACAGCCATTGTCTGTCCTATAAAACCAATAAGTGTTGGTTTAATACGTTTTCGAACTCGTTCAGCATGATAATCATACAATTCCTATAATAATAATAAAAGATTTCATTTCAATGCATTCATCTTTTAACTTTTCGTTTTTCTGGATCGCCAAGTGCCCTTGTACCATACAGCATAGCCATAGCATTTTCAATTAATGAGTCTTCATCACTCAATAATATAGATCGTGCCATATGACGAATACCAGCAAATGGTGCTCGTCCAGCAAGACCACCAGCATGTGTAGCTAAAAGTGTTAATGAAAGAATTCTTTCTGGTGCTAGTAATGCTAATTCAAGTGCAGTCATTCCACCCATTGATATACCAACAACATGACATTGACGCCATTGTAAATGATCAATCAATGCAATGGTATCTTTTGCTATTTGTGTAGTAGAATAATGTAGTGTTAATGGAGAAGACGAACGATTAAATCCACGATTATCAAAGCTAACACACTATTAAAAAGAAAAGAAATAAACAATGAATAAGATGAGAGATTATTCATTTAGCTCTTATTACATACTTGATAATCGGGTTTTTCAGCAAAGAAATCAGCCTAAAAAGAACTCTGTTGAATAATGAGATAAATACTTTTTGTATCTCACTTGACGATACCAAGCTGCAGCATCAGCTAAGTATCCCATGATAAGTAATATTTTTATTTCACCTGAACCGTGTAATTCATAGTATAACTCTAGATTTTGATTTGAAGATGATAATTTTATGTAAGGCATGTTTTATTCAATTATATAAACTTTGCCTTAAAAAATATCATATGAAAGTATTGTGTTCGATGCAATGAAGAAATTCTATTGGTCAACATGGATATCCATTGACATTTAGTGTCGACGAGTATTCACCTCAAACAAACAATATACTATAGCGTTGTTGTACGTGACGTAAAAAACAATTGTTATAACACAATAAAGTATAAAAATACACTCTTATTATGTTTGAGTATCATAAAACTTTAGTATTTTCTAGGAATAATTACACAGAGAGGTAGAATTAGAGGATCAAATCTTTTATGTGTATTCAGTTTCCAAATTTGAAAAAAACTCTTTCGATTAGTATATCAAATATTTGCTATGTTACTGTAAAAAAGATGTTTTAGTACACTTTCGACAGAAAATCGTATGGAGTATCACAAGTATGTGAATGTATCGTTGGTTATGTTCAGATGGATTAGAAACTCAATATGGCGGTGTGTGAATCACAGCCTTTGATATAGAGGTCATTTGTAAGTTGATAACTATGCACATCATTATAGATCGTGTTTTACCAAGATATTTATCACCTATTTTAAATTACAGTGATCCTCATTACTTTCCTATTGAATTAAGAGACATGTTATAAGAATATAAAGTCAATCAGGGCTTAATTAAAACACAACAGGATACAGACAATTTATTTCATATTAAAGTTGAATAAAAGAAATGCAACTGCTGCCCATGTTTTTGGTACTCCACTCCTTTTGGCAATGACCATGGTGGAGGCATTGTGAATGGTGCCATCGTCGTCGACTTTACCAATCGTTGAATGTTGACTATTGAGGACGGTTCCATTGCTTTCCACTTTACCAATAAAACTTCCTATTGAGTTTTGTATAGTCCCATCGTTTTCGATTCTGCCTATGACTCGAGACATTGAGTCTCGGACAATGCCATCCTTCTCAATTTTACCTACCATCACCGACAATGAATTTCGAATCGTTCCGTCATCATCAATACGACCAACCATTTTTTCGAATTCAGCTTATGAAATAGACGCTGATTCTGTTGAATGAAGAAAAAGTCAAGCGGAATGTCATCAAATTTGGCCTATTTCAATGTACTTTTCTTTTTCATTGTTTTTGTTTTCTTCTATCGAACGGAAAAAAAAACTTTTTGTTTACTTATTCATATATGGTTGTGTTGCCATTGACTTCTAGTTTTGAGACAAACTATATTCCCTTCATAGTGTGTCAATAAGAACAATATATGCTGTAAAAAAAAGTAATATAATCACTTGACTCTGAGGGAGTCCACACCGGCAACATCTCAACATACTCGTATTTAGAAGAATGTGGAGACATATTATCAAATTGAAATGTAATTCAAGTAATAAAGATGGCAGAAATGCTACAATGCAATAAACGGATATTAGAGAATCAATGCTGGCTGTGATTGTAAATAACTTGATGAATTCTAATATCACTGGTGAACCACATGCATATTACGCGTGAAGAAAACGAAGAGTATCAATTACTTCTTCATGGTATTATCGGACACTGTTAAATTATATCATTGGAAATTTTCTAGGATTTACTACACCGATGACTGAAGATCTATAATTATTTTCAGAAGTTAATCAGAAGAGCAAATTAAGAAAGAGAATTTCTGCAAATGGCTGTGTTTTTCAAAACTCATCTAACATGAGAATTTGGCTGTTATTAGTGTAAGTTTTCGTTGTTGTTGAGTTCGGTGTTTTATTGGAAATCAGAAAACACAGGAACAAAACAATGGCAACAGAAACAAACTATATCAGAAGATGAGGAGAACAAAATACGCAATGGAACGAGATATAAATATACCTTTTATATGTATATCTCTAGATCAAAATGTGTTTGTTCGACCTTGTGTGAGAACAGAAACAAAGGATGAGCACGATAGATACACAAGATGAAAAAGAACATATATATTTATATATATCATGAACAATTAGTTACAAAAGAGTCGTGACCAATAATAAAGAAGAGACTTTTCCGAGTAGTGTCACTCAGATTAACAAGAAAAGTACGAAACTACTTTATTCTACTTATTAAAGAAATAATGAATCAAACCAATGATTTTTCATCAAATTCAAACAGGTAAACGTATCGAAATATTTGTCATGAAACTTGCCATTTAATAGCGCAGTATTTATTGGCTCATCAATCATCAGTGAAATATGTTACACTTTATTACTCATCTGCAATCATATTTCGCTACAGAAAATTTGCTTTTTTGGTAAATGTCGTGTTGTCATTTTCTTCATTTCTTCCTCTTATCAGTCACTCGTTATCGAAGAAGAGAATAATAAAAATACGCATTTATTTTGCGTATTTTGTTCTTTTTTCAACAGTTGGAGAAAGCAAACGAAGAATATTTTATCATCCCACGCCATTCTTAGACGGTATTTATCGTAACGAAATCGCATACTTCAAGTAAGTAAGATATGAAATGTTTCCTCTGTTTATCAACATGAATGTAGAAGAAGTGTCTAAAAGAGCTTCTATGCATCAGCGACGGAATCATTTTTATCATGTACCTGTTCCAATGACAAAAACATTCATTGAAGATGTGACATGAGACAAACTATCATAAATTGTAACATAGATATACTGAGAACATGGAAGATCATCTGAAGTCTTGCAAATGATTTTTCGTGTTCTCCCATAAGCTACCTGTGTTCGCACAGATGATATAGTTTCGATTTCACACAGAATTTAATCGAATTTAAATTTATGTAATAGAACACTAAAATATTGCTTGGAATAGAATCTTTGTAGGCGGAGCAGTTATATTTTTTGCTGAAAATTTCTCTTTTTCACCATTAGCAAACTTTTACTGAAAACGTTTACATTATATGCTTGCTTTTTCTAATACTTGCTACCAAGACTGAATCAATCAATGTGAAAATAAGTGCAATTTTTACATGTTTCTAGTCACAAGTGCCGAAGAAGATCATTTTGGCACGATAAAAAAGAAATTCAACATGGCAAATTTATATCAAAATATAGTAATTCAGAATAACTTCTTAAATTTCATTAATCAGTACTTTTGATAGGCAGGCAGTTTGGAAAAGCCAGTAGCAAAACAGACTGTTGTAAGCGCTGTATGGCCTCCTATTGCAGCACAACAACGACAAACTTCGCCTGTTCATGATCGATTGAACACTCCTGTATCGCAGTTGCATGCGGTAACAACACATCATACTCCATACGACAATATTTACAACAAAAATGTTATCAATGACAAAACACAAATAGCGGTAAGAAGTTCTAAAAATAGATATCTCGTCTTTTAGAAACTGTTTGATGTTTATTGAATCACAATATACTTTCAAGAGTTATCAGTGAAATTCTTTGACTGAAAGTCATAATTTGTAAAGAATAGCAATGCTTTAGTTTTAGAGTTGAGACATGAACCACGAGTTTGCATGTTAGATAAATCATATGTAAAAAAATGATTGCCAGTCTGATTATGTGCAACTTGTTTCTAAAAAATTCTATACAATTTATTTGCAGCCAAATGCTGATCTATCTGTGACGATTTGTTATAAATGCAAAAGTAGTATCGATAAAAATAGTCAACCGAAGCTCACATTTAACAATCGTTTTTATCATCAACAATGTTTCAAGTGTGGTAGTTGCCGAAAAAATTTGAGCGACTCCGAGAACAGCAAATTTTCAATCGACGATGATGGTGAACCTTTATGCGCATATTGCGGATTAATAACTGCAAAAGTTTGTACTGTCTGCGGAACCCGTATTGTCAATGGAGGAACCATCAATTTCGATAGGAAAAGTTATCACACCGATTGTTTTCGTTGTAGCCAATGCCATCGACCAGTAGCAGGTGAACAAAAAACGCTAACACACAATTCGAAACCTTGTTGTATTACATGCTTTAAAGATAATTTCGCACCACGTTGTTCAAAGTGTACCCAACCGATTGTTCTTGAGCCAGCGGTCACTTGCGATGGGAAGAAGTATCATTCAGATTGTTTTTCTTGTGGGCAATGCCACAAACCGGTAACCGATTCTAAATATTACACACATCTTGGAGAACCTTGTTGCGCAAAATGTTTCACTGAACGTATTGCTTTTCGATGCGCAGAATGTTTTCGAATAATTTCTGATGGAAAATCGATTACTTGTGATGGCAAACACTACCATTCTGAATGTTTACATTGTGGCCAATGCAAAAAGCCTCTGGCGACTGAAAAAGATTTATTCAAGCACAATGAAAAGCCGTGTTGTAGTCGATGCCACGAGGAACATTTTGCACCGCGATGTTCAAAATGTTCAAGACCCATTAAAGATATCAACTATTCGACGTACGAGAACCAAAGTTTTCATAGTGATTGTTTCACCTGTTGGAAGTGCCACCGTGTAATTCATAGCTCAGAGAAGTTTTGTACCGATCAAGCTGGATTTTTATGTTTAACCTGTGCCAAATTATTGGACTAAGAAAGAGTGCTGCTACAAAATTTAGAAAGATTACTGGTGCTATTTTTTCAGCTAAAACTTTTTCTCCAAATTTATGCTTAAATAATCAAAAGATCGTTCTTTATTCATCGAGTTCCTCCTATTAATAAATAAATCTATGATAAAAACAAATGGAAATCAAAAACTAAAAGTTACAAAATAACCACTTGGTGATATTTTGAGAATTATTTGAATAGTAAACTTTTTCTTGAACACTTTTTGTTCACGATTGACGAATTCAATGTGATTACAAATGTGTATTCAATGGACAATTTGACAAGATGCTTTGAATCTGAATACACTCGATGATCTCATCAAATTGATAGGTTTGCTACAGAGGAACTTCACATTTTCATCTCTCCCTTGGACAAATTAAAATGTTGTTTTTTCCGCGCTTGATTTAATGAGAGAAGTCGAATATTGAGACTTCAACTAATTGCACACCTTATGTAAAATTGAATTTTTTAGATAGTCTTTACTTGTTTGTAGACATACTGAAAAATTGAGGGATGTGACAATTTTTTATGATTCTGCACTATGGAATCAAACGACCGAGTTATTACTGTACACAATAGTATTAAGTAATTTTTTTCCTACTCTAGACAAGATTTATTAATCAAAAGAATCACACAAGAAAGCGAAAAACTTAACAAACACGAAAGAAATCTCATTCTCTCCATTGATCTTTCTTCGCACAAGTTAATAAACGATAGATTAACATGAATGATTGAAGTCTGTTATCGCAAAAAATTACGAAATAATAACGTTCGGGAAGATGTTAGGACCTGCTACATTTGATTTTAACCAAAAACTCACGGCATACACTTGCCCAGTGGTAACATTAAACTGCTGACTCAGTCGATCGAAGCATTCAATAATGGCCTCACAAAAACAATAACTTCCAATTTGACAGTGGGAAGTACATACATGACCTGATATTCCTGAGTAATATCCAAGGTGAAAGCGATCCGGTCTCAGAACCCTCATTTTTTAGCATTTGAACCGTTCCATCATATACTGATACATCATCAAGATACCATGCACCAGGATCATTGCGAAGTTCAAAGGCAAGAGCAAATGAACCTGTTGTAGGTGATGTTCATTCACATGTGAAATATTGATATAAAGTTACAGAGATCGATGCAATTGTTAAAGGAGTACTTGCAGAGTCAACAGAGCTTGGTAAACAAATGGGCGCCACATTCATGACTATAAATATCGATAGAACGGATTATAGAATATAAATTTAAAAAAATGAAATCCCTTTTAAGAATGAAAGAATTGTGAGAAATTTATAATGAACAGTTATCGCGTAGAAACCTATGGAAAGTATAGCTTTATTTTCTTCATGTTAAACTTAACTTACTTAATGTTGTTGTTGCTGTTGTCTCTGAAATGGCAAACAATGAATTACAAGTCTGTATCGCATGGGTTATATACTAACTACGGGTTAGTAAAGTTAGAAAATTTCAAGAAACTGAATTCACTTTGAAGGGAAAACCTATATTTACATCATTTATATATAGCGAAATATTTACAGTTTCTGAGCTCTTGAATCTCAGATAAATCTAGTTGCCACATGATTGAGATTGTTAGAATTTTCTCACAAAATATTTCCAAAGCTTTCATTATTACGTGTACAATTGAATAGCCAACAATAGCTCGATTCAAACATTGGATACAACTATCTAATGCGAAATTGTACTGATGAAGTTTTTGATGAGCAAACCCACGCTGATAAAGTGCTTGAAGTTCATGTTTAGTTGATAAGTTTAAGGATAAAATAGCTGCATCAAAATCCACAATGGCAAGCTGATATTTATTGAGATGAATTCCTGTACAACCACGATCATAAAGAGAAAGCACATCATTTTGATTGGACGAAAGTAATAAATTGAATTCAGTCTCTGCATTGGCATAATCATACCTTTTTGCGAGTCCAAATGCATTAGTAAGATTTGTATTTTCAGATGCCATAACTGCAAATATTTAACTTCTATACCGACAAAGAAACAAACAAGAATAAAATGTCTGAATACTTCTGTTCTAAACGTTGTGAATTATTCATTCTTTTCTACCATTTTTATTTCTTTTTTAAGTTAGTCGTAGAAAAAAAGACTCACTTACGCATAAAGAATATTAAGATTTTAAAATTCTCAATTCTTGTAATAAGAAAAAGAAATTTAACATGTATAACTCAACAGCAAAGCACCTTCATGAATCAAAATTTTCTGAAGTTTTTGTCAACTGATTGGTTGTAAAGCTATAACGATACTAAACTATCCATCGTCTTTAGTAGGTATTTTATTTTGAACCTGAACAAGATATCGATGCATCAAGTAAACACTTATTCAATTTATCAAATTTCATTTTGGTGCGCAATACCGAACGAAAGTTTTGTTTTCGTTTTCTGTCGATGATTGTTCAATGCTTGTTTTATTCAGAGTAATTTATCGGATAGCATTTGGAAATTCCATGAAAGATAATCGGATTATTTTTTAACAACAACATCTTCAATTAGAAGTCTTTTTCTTAATTGTATCCAAAACGACGCGGTGTGTTTTTAGAATGTTTAACTCTCGGCCCATCTTTGACCTTCAATGATTATGAAAAGATATCACCAAGGGAAAAAATTAATATTTTTGTTTTCTTTTTCTTTGCTATTCGTTATATAAGATGATCTTTTTGAAGGTGGCAACATCATGAAAAAAAATAATACAACAATAGTCGAAGAACAAACGTGTGAGTAAAAAATGTTAATATTTTTCTCTCTATGAAATTTTCATACCTGACAGTTCAATTGCTAGCTCATGAACTTCAAGAAAAAATTCAACAAAGAGTGATGGCTGTACGAATTAAATGTAAATTTGAAACATACCAGCTAGAACAAGAATTATAATCATTTAAAAAGCTTGTATTTAAACACTATAGAAATATTCGTTTAGAAAAAGGGGAAAATTGGAAATACGATACTAATTATAAATATTCAAGAGTATCTACCTCGAGTAAATATGATTATTAGTTAGAAAGTAATTCATAGTTTTACCATTTATGAGAGATTTAAAACCGTACATTACTAGTCACAGATACTTTGAACTGATCACTAAAACCAGTGATTTGGTGAGCTTTCGAATTGTTGTTGACTGCTTTTAATACAACTGCTCCCTGAAGTTGTTCAGTTCAAACTGTCAAAATCAATGTCACTCTGGAAAATTATCATTCAATTCATCTTTTTTGGTCTCTTGTACAAGCTTCAAAAGTTCATCCTTGTATGAAAGAATAATAACAATATCAACATCAATATGAACTTTCTTAAAGGTAATTTTTTCATGATTGTGGATTTATGATAGTTTACCAGCATAAGCTGATACCCACGCGTGCATCCCCTCTGTGCCCGTGAGGAGACATGTTTGTAACTTTAAATTAGGCTATCGAATGATCACGTCATTATTGTGAAAAACAACAACTGAGTATGAGTTTTATTTTCTTCATAAAATTGATTATTTTGATGGAATTCGCGCGGGAGCACAAAAGTTCAAAAATGTGACAATGATTTTTCTATTGGTCTCTATTTGTAAATGTTTATACACGTGGAACTAAGGTGAATCATTCGATTGTTTGACTGAAATAAATTACAAAAGAGTAACCACTGCAGTTATCACAGAGCCAATTGAATCTGATTTTAACCAGAAACTCACAACATACACTTGTCCAGCCGTAGCCGTAAACTGTTGGCTAAGTTGATCGGCACATCCATTACTTCCATCAGTAGCACAATAATTGCCACTACGACATGAAGAACTATATATTCCCGCTCGGAAACCTCCACAATTTCCATTTGGTCCTGTTCGTACCCAAGGTGAAAGAGTACCAGTTTCGAAACCTATATTTGATAGCATTTGTGTGCCTCCTTGATAGATAGAGGTATCATCAAGATACCACTGACCTGGATCATTGCGCAGTTCAAATGTGAAATTAACTGGGCCTGTAGTAGGTGGTGTCCATTCATATGCATAGCAGCCGTACGTAGTCTTATTGGAAGTTGGGATAGTCAAAAGAGTACTTGCAGAACCAACATAACTAGGGGAGCATGGAGGCAGTGGTGTTGTTGCTGTTAATGAAGATAAACTTAATGATAGAAGATGAATAGACAAAAATTGATCTCACGAGGTAAGTTCAGATTTCCGAAAAAGTAAATTTCCGAAAATAACAAATTTCTGTCACACTATTAAAAGACGCAAGAGTGCCAACAGAAATTTCCTTCAAACTTCCGTAATTGCCATTACGTACAAAAGAAAGTTATCAGAAAATACCATAATTTCAAATACCACCCAACAAAATATCCTGGGAATTTCTGAAATCCGCTTCACATAAAGACAGAAATTTTCCGTTAATTTCGGAAATAACTAATCACATGCCAGCAAATTAGAACCAAAACAAACACTAAATTCTCGACTGCTTTCCGTCATTATCTGGAAATTACGGTAATTTCTATACGATATTAATATAGAAATTATGGAAACTTCCGTAATTTCCGAAATTTCCAGTAAAAGACTTTATTTTGGTTTTGGCTTATGGTGAATAATATTGGAGTAATTACGAAAGTTTCTGATATTTTCTAAAACTTGAATTTTTCATCCCTGTAGTTTCCGAAATATTCATATTTAACTAGGAAATTTCCTTTTTTGGAAATCTGTCCAGTGCTGATTCACGATACATTTATAAATATTATCAGGACATACCACTGGTTGATGAAGTTGATGAAGTTGATGAAGTTGATGAAGTTGATGAAGTTGTTGTTATTGTTGTCGATACTGAAAGATTTATAAAAGATTTTTCTTTATACGCTCAACTTTAACTCCTTGGAATAACAACAAAGATGTTTCATATAGATTATAGAATACCTGTAGTATTTGGAGATGATGTTAGCCAAAGTGTAATTATGATAGCTAATACTATACCGCCAAATAATGAACCAACGATGAAATATTTTATACATGTCGATTTGGCTGTACAAATATTGTTAACCAATCTATATGTATTGTAATGAAATATAAATTATGTTCAAAGAAAGCGATAGAAATAAAAACAATATATTTTCAATAATAAAACTCATAAGAATTCATTGTCTTCACGACTTATTCACACTATGGATGATATAGTTCTGTTCTTTCAGTTCGATTGAAGCAATCTATTAAAATGAATTTCCTAACTCAATTAGTGCAACATGTATCGGAATAGATTTTAGCAGATGAGGTAGGAATAATTGCACTTCTAATATTTAAAAGGCTTCCCTTATGTCTTTTCTCAATGAACAAAGCGTTTTAATCAAAATTTGGTGCTTGCAATTATATTACGATAAAGTATACTTTATTTTGCAAATATACTAGTATTACATTTCACTTGAACTATTCAATATATGCTTCAGCAGTGTTCAGACTTCCAAAAAAGGAAATTTCAAGTACTTGTGTTCTAAATTGTTTGGTACTTCCCAAAATTATACAATTTCCGAAATTTCTGAAATTTCAAAAATTCTGTACAAAGCGAAATTTCCGAAATTACAGAAGATTCCGAAATTTCTAAACTTTCAAATATTTTCAAAAAATTTTCATTTGCTTTGCTATGTAGTAACCGAGTTGATGGAAGCTTCGGAAATTTCTGTAATTTCCTTTTTCGGAAATCTGAACATACCTCATATGCTTACGTTTCTTTAGTTAAAACTTATAACTTAAATAAGTGTGATCTATATGTTAAAAGTTGATTGATGTGCATACGATGAATTTAACCGCTATATGTGCCGATCAAGATAAAGGTAGACTAATTTATCGACATACTCATATCTACTGAAATCAAATCGGTAAGTGTATCTCAGGTGTCGAAAGCATCCAGAGGCCATTTGTATGCGACAAACAGCAACATTTTCACCATCAGAAAGAGATATCGGTGAACTCTACGACCGAAAATAAATTTAAAATCATCGCTGCAAATTATCTGAATAAGCGTGATATTTTTTTGAGGAAGAAAATGTTTTTCCTTTTCGCCCATGTCTTTTTAATGTATCTTCTGAACTTACATCGAGCTCCTTGAAGCTGAAATGGATACTTAATTGAGAAAGCTACCTGTTGAGAAAAATAATCGTTTTAAATTGAAAACGTGAATGTTATGTACATTATCTGAAATTATATTGGTTTTACCTGATATAGTAGAATTATCACTAGGATGTTACAAGTAACATGTACGTGTTTGAGTCACCATACATGATACTTCTCGCATCCCCAGTACTATCACTAGTATCCTAGATGCCTATACGAGTGTTAGTGTGGATTGAAATGTTGGAATTTGATTGTGGGGATAAGAAATCTGGCTTCATGCATTCTATCTCAGTACTCACATCAACAGAGTAGTTAATTGTGTTCCAAAGGATGCATTAACTTGAAATAGAAAAACAAAATTTATTCTGCAGGAAAGCATTATCTGCTGTGGTGTAACGTGTTTGAAGTATCAACCGCGTAAACGTAGCGCACATATATGTAGTACAACATTGAATAAGCAAGGTGTAATCACGCATATAGGATGTTCGTTTCTAATGTAGCTTATTTGGTAACTAAATTCTCATAAATTTTAAATTCGCAAGAATCTCAATACTTTATTGGTCACTTTGCAATTGAAAAATCTTCAACTAAACTCAATCTGCTATGCCGATAATTCCTAATGATGATAAATGGTGAAGAATAAGCCTGTTCATGATTAAATTACTTCTGAATGTTAACGTTTGATATGTATTCCTTTTTAATATTGGTGTTAGATTTTATTGGCTAGTATGTCAAACATAGAATCGGCTGATAAATATTGAATCATGGTGCGATTTCTTCGACAAAAATAGATATTCTTTGAATAAATAAGAGTGTAATAATGTCTTCAACACATTGTTTATAGTGTGTGTTTCAGTATCTGATAAAAATATATTTCGTTAATTCTTAAATAACTTAACCTGTTTTCATTTGTCGTTAGATTATTGTTCCACTGGTTATTATCAGTACTATTTTCCCGTTGTACGCTCGACGATTGATGATAATCCATTTTCGATGATATATCCGATGACCAAATGCTTTTTTGAGGAAACTTCATGTTTTAGTAAATAGAATTATTCTCAGTTTTTTTATTGAGCTCTGTTTATGCCTATTCAAGAATAAAATGCACTTCAGATTTTCTTACATTGTGTAGACAGAAATACTTTTATTTTCCCTCTGATTAGAATAATTACAAAGCAAATTATGACATTGAATAGGCTTCAATCGAGCTCCGAATGACGATTCAAATGTATTAATTAAAGAAAATTTCGTTCGCCTGATCGAAGCATTTTTTTTGTTTTTAATCTTTACGCAAAAAATAGGCATCAAATATAAAAGAAACAACACATGACGTCACCTAGAATTTCATTTAACTAAATCTTCGTAATTACTATAAACGAGTTTGTAACAGAACTTTCGGAAAATCTACCAATTGTTATGTAGCGCAATACGTATATACCCAACACTTCTACACAATAAAAGTCAGTTTTATTAGTTTGTTATCAAACGTTAAATACAAGTTTTAAAGGACTAACAATAGGATAGTGATTAACGAACCTTATACAATATCTTTCATTGAGATTGTTCTCTGGTCATTGGTAAGAGCTATGATAGACATTTGCAGAACAGCAAGACTCCACTTTTATTGTTTTTTTTGTGTATACAGAACAATTGTGTTTAAATTTGGTGAAGAAATATCAGTGCAACCACGCCATTGGATAGTTTTCTCATGCATTAGCTCACTATGACTTTTCAATTTGAATTAAATTTCATTAAAAATTACAAGAGTCAATAAGGATTGAAAAGGTTTTATCCTATACATGTTATCACACACGAGATAATGTAAATGTCATTCAGGAGATAAAACTCAGATACATTGAATAGTCAACAGGACAAAATTTCAGTTTTATCCGACGTACAAAATGAGAGACAACAAACATAATAGCACACAAACATTATAGTACGGATTAAAATGACAATCAGAAGATTTCATCTCGCAATTTTTCATTTATCTAACCTTCTCAATATAGGGAAGTTTATTTCATTAGATTTCAGTGTCTTATTTAGTTTATCTTTGAGCTTTGGGAATATAAACTTGATTAATATTCTTTCTAAAAAAAACGATGATAGTATATTGTTAAAAATAATTTTATAAATTTGAATACTCGATATATAGCGTTCTCGTTTAAAAACCTTGTTGGTTTATTCGAAATGAGAAGGATAATTTATAATAATATTGGTTTTGTGATATCAAGATTGTTTAGTTACTTGATTGGTTATTACATGAATTTAAATGATATTGCAATCAATTATTTACGTTCAATTTTTTCTTAAACGAACTATTGAGGAAACGAGATATCTCTATATCGAAAAATCAATTAGAATATAAATTTTCATTAAAAGTGTTTATTTTTCTGGATAAGGCAGTAGGTTTGTTGTTGATATTTGAAATTTCGGCGAAACTTCTAAATCATGAACCCATTGTTGCTACAGCTCTCACGTCAGTCCTACTAACCATAAGATGAGGATTCTGAAAACTAGTCGATGCACATGTTTCTTTATCTAACAGAAAATGCATAGCAATGTCACGTTCGTTCTCAAATTTTGTACAATCTAACTTGTCTAAAACTTGTTAGTTTAAAAAATAGGGAACAATTCTCCTTGTATCTATCAATCAATAAAACTGTTGTATTATTGATTCATCATAGGCGGGCTATGAAAAACACAGTAAAACGTGACGTAGATGAATTCTTGCTTATTCCTTACAGTTTGCCGAAAAAAGGATTTGTGTACATACTGTACAAATGAAATGGTAGCTGCTTCGGAGAAAGCAGAGTCACCCAGTTTAATATTCGTAGTCCACAAATAGATCAGTATTACAAGTTTGTTTTTATTTTCGGCTAATTAAGTAATCTTAATATGGGCCGAGACCTATATTAAATTAGTAGTCGTTGCTATTGTCAAAGTAGTGTTAACAAACAACAGAATTGGAATAAATTTATGAATAGATGGCAGAAAATCGATGTGGAATGTGACTGGTATTATTCAACCGCGCTCACAGCCACATTACACACTCTCTTGTTGGTACCACGTTTCTATTTCCACTGATATAATTGAGAGGTAGAAGCCATTTTCAGTTTCTTTTCTTCTCTCTCAAAAGTAATCCAACGAAATATTACTTCATGAATATAATCAATTTTTTACGATTACTTTTATGCATATTAATTCAGAACAGAGTTGCATGAATAAATTTATTCTATTGCTGTTCTCTCATCAAATAAAAGAAAAACAAAAGAAGTATGAATCGATCGATTGCTTAACAAATTCATTCGTTAGATCTTGAAAATATAATAAAAACTACCAATTATAGCGCTTCAATCGAATCAACTCTTTTTGTGTACTCAAAAAAAGTGAGTACACAAGAATCGGTGTGTGTTCGCCCGTCCGTTTACACGATAACTTCTGAAAGGCTGATCAGATTGTCATGAAATTTTGTACACAGCATTATCTCATCAATATCTCGGTCGAGTTCGAAGATGAAAATAATTCGTCGATTATTTACTGAGTTACAGCAAGAAATATCATTATTTTCTATGCAAATATTGACCTATTCCAATTTCCCGCAAATCAAAATCTTTGTCATAGTAAAAATGAAAACTCGACTATAGTATACTATTCGATAGAGAATTTCATGGGCTACAAAATGAGGCTAAATTATAGGGGTAAATATGCTGCGTTTGAAATTCCCTCAATGTCTTAGTGTCAAAAAAAGATGAAAAACTCACATAATACCGACACTTTGTCTGTATAATATGTGTTTATCTTCCATAGAACTAACGTTGTTTTTATGAAGTAGATAGAACCTGTCAAGAGCTCTAAACGATGATATATTATAGAGGTAAATATGGTGCATTTAACGTTTCCTCAATATTGCACTTCCCAAAAACTATGAAAAACTGATGCATACTGACACTGCTGGTCGATTCTTTCAGACAGTTTGATCAAAATCAATCTGTCGGTAATTATGTTTCATTTTTGTGTACTCAAAAAGCAAAAGTGAGTACACTATAGAATCGGTCAGTGTGTCCGGCCGTTGACACGATAGCTCCTGAAAGGCTGATTCGGGGGCGTACAGGGATTTTAAAAAAAGTTTTTTCTCAGTATTATTCACAACATAAATAAATCGACTCAGTTTTTGCAGTACACATAACAATCGGATGCAAATCCGATGTTTCCGCATTTATTTCATGAAAGAGTTGATATGTGATGATGGACACTTAAATATGACTTTATGACAAAGGATGAGATATTGCGTGAAATCGTATCTCTGATTTATTATTGTTAATCCTAGACATGAAACTATTTAGTGAGTAGTTCATGTTTTGTGATGTTGAACTACGAAATCAAAAAATTGAGTTATTGTTGTAAAAGAAAGTAGCGGGTAAACAGTTTTCTTGTATTAACAAGATTTTTTATTTTTCAATGGATCTCAAAGGATCGCCAAACAAAATTTAGAAAAAGCAGCATCATATTTCGTTTGATCCATTTCGTTAATGTTTATAGGCGATGCATCAAAGTAAATTATTCAAGTCTATCATTCAAATGAATTAAGAAAGAGTAACCTCTGCAGTTATGCCAGAACCAAGTGAATCTGATCTTAACCAAAAACTCACGGCATACACTTGTCCAACCGTAGTCGTAAATTGTTGACTAAGTTGATCGGCACATCCATTACTTCCCTCAGTAACACAATAACTCCCACTGTGACATGAAAAACTGGATATTTTTATTATATGAAGTCTTTTTTAAATGTGGCTTAGAATACATTCGATAGAACTATTCCATCACAAATTTCCTCATTTCTTTTAGTTCGCGACACGTTACTGTACTATAAGTGGACAACTTTCATATATATGTGGGCAAAATTATTTGTTAGTGATGTGACCTCGCAACATTGTAACACATAACTTGGGGCAATGAACGTTCCAGAAAATCACTTTTATACGTTATATGCATATTACGTTATTCTAGATACCCTGAAAAACATCAGCCTCAGAGCTCTTAGTTGAGAGCAACTATCACCAATACACTATCGTTAGCTACGTGACATAAAAAAAAAGAACATTAACTTCTACTTTAGGCATTTTAGTTTAAAAAAGCTCTTAATTAATGACAAAATTTTTGAAAAATAAATAATACATACTGGAGATAACTCTTATAAATGACAATGAATATTTGCAACTTGAAAGTTAGTTGTCACCTGAAATATTAGCGGTTTGTTTTCACGTAGTTACATAATACTCCTTATTAATATTCAATCCAAAATTTAATAAACTTAAGAAAATATAATTTTCCAAAACCGGTTAAACTTCTTCAAGGTTGAAACTGAAACCTGTAACAATTTTTATTATTTCGTACGAAAAATGTTTCCAGTACGACAAATGAGCATCATCTAGTAACAGTAATTGCGCTTTTATTTATTGTATCTACCTTTAGATAGTACGCATATACAAATGTGATAAAAACAACCAATGGATAAGGTAGGCTGTAATTCAAAAATGAAACACATTTCTGTAATAACAAATAAAAACTTTGTTATTGACAATTATTTTTCTAGGATGCGTCATAATCGTCTAATCTTTAGCCATCATTAACAATTTATCACTTTATTATTTACGTGATTGGGCTATGATATAGCTTGCTTAACGTCCGGGATATCTGTAAAGTCTCTGTCGGCTTGAGTTGAAGTACTCGTGCAATTTCAGTATGATTCATGAATCCTTGTTTCTGTTATCACATGAAAAAAGAAAAAAAACATCTTACAATCGCTTGAAATGTCGTAAAACTAGAGATTCTATCCGTTCTCGATTGTAAAGGGTATACATATATTATTGACAAAACCAAACGCAGATTAGAATTTGCTGCCTCTGTATTCATGATATCTAAGCGATTGTTGATTTACCCACTTAGAAAAGCTATCGAACACAAAACATTACTTTTTTCTTTATGCAATATGTTGATTCTGTCTTTTAGAGCCTGTGGAGTATTCCATTTCAAACCGAAATAATACACCTCGAGTTTTCAGAACCACGGGGATCTACGGGATTCAAACAAAATGCAACACCCCTGTCATCCAAGAAATCATAGTGGCTTTTCTCCCATAAGAAACTACGTACATTCTCTGCTGTTCCCAAGAAGGCACATCTTAACTACTCAACCAACTATTTGAACTGAATTCTGAATTCAAATATGTAATATGTCCCATTATGGATCTGTTTTGTTTTCGAATGACGTAACCTAACTTTAATTCATTAAAATTCAGGTGTGAAGTGAATTATTCTAAAAATCCCGTAGTTCCTCATTTCTATCAGAAATGGTGGTGCTCTTTTTTTCTTTCGAATTTAGATTGAAATCATATACACCGTTGTATATTTTTTAATCGGTTTCATTTCATATAATTATGTCAAATCCAACATTACTTGACCTACCACTCGAGCTATTTCATGGTATTTTTGAACATCTTGACACAGAAACCATAGCTATATCTGTTCGATGCGTGTGCAAAAAACTCTTCAATATCGCTAATAATTATGACAAATTTAAGCTTAGTCTTGCACGGATATATGGATCCGATTTGGTATCTATTTCTCGGATTGTTGAACCCGTGAATTTCGTTTCGTTGGCGATATATGTATACAGCGACTATCATCAGTACGGCAAAATCAATCTGTTCTTGTCTCTCTTTAAATTGAATTCATTTACTCAACTGCGATCGTTATATTTTTATTCTACTAGTGGCGACACAGTGGAACTATTTCTGCAACAGGTGCCGTTAGGAAACTTAGGTTTACTTTCAATTATTAATACAAGAGACGGCATACTTGGGAGGGCGATCAAACAAACGTTGCAATCCGTCGTTCAGTTCAATATTCCAAAGCTCCAAATATACGAACCTAAGTGTCTTGAAAGAATAAATTGGCCAGCTCAATGTCCATTAGAATATCTAATGCTGGCTGATTGCTCTTTTAGTCAATACCGCAGTGTTCTCTCTGAATTATCTAATTTAAGAATGCTGATTGTCGACAACATCAAGATGACTGATAAAGATCTAAAAACTCAGGAAGAATTTTCCATTTCACAAAATGCCGCCAAAACACAAGGTAAGCCTATGAATTAAATTAGTAACGTACACAGTCGTTGAACTTCAGTAGAAAAAATATGTACGTTTTTACTTGTTTCTCTTACTCGTTGAGAATCATGTTTATGAACTGAAATTTTCACTAATAGATTGTCAACATTTAACATCGTTGTCGATTGTTAAATTTGACGGAACGATGGAAGATATCGAATTGATTCTCTCATTAACACCATCGCTGACTCGTCTTAGATTAATATCATGTCGAAAGAAATTCGATTCGACATTTGATGGCTCGACCTGGGAACGAACCATCGGAAGCAAGCTTCCTCTATTGAAAAACTTCGAACTCTTCCTCAGTCATGAATTCTGGCGAGACGTAAAGTTTCCTCTTCTCTGCGAAATAATTGCACCATTCCAAAGTACATTCTGGCTCAATCAAAAGCACTGTAATTTCAGTGCAGATTATGACTTGTGGAATCCGATAATACGGCTCTATACGACTCCTATCTGCGCAACGAATGATCAACATTATTATTCTAGCGGGTATTTTAAATGTGTCTTATCGTCAAAAGAAAGTAGATATTCAATTACTCAGAACCAAGGATGCAGTGTTCATTTCTCCGATTACTCAAAGGTATATTGAAATAAGTCCATATGTATTGCAATTATTTTAGCTATATTCAAACTAAAAGTCATAATTGAAAACATGAATTGTATACTGCAAGAGTTAAGCAAAACGATCATTCACTATGATATGTTATTTTCATTTGCTATGCTGTCTTTATTTCATTTTTCCTCACACAGACTTGCAACACGCTCGAGTTGTCGTACAAATATATCGGAAACAATGGAATTTATCATTTGTCTCAGGCCCTACACACGGACAAAGTGAATAATATTTTATAATGATAAATCCATAAATATCTAGACTGCTCTTGTACAGACAATCACCACACTCAGTATTAAAGAAATTAAAGTTGGATCAAACGAAATGAAACATCTATATAATGCATTAGAAAAAAATACAGTAAACTTTTGTCGTATAAGCTAGCCTTGTATTTTTTTAGTGTGATTGGTTTAATAGACCATCGAAGATTTAGCTCTCAGAGACATTAAATTGGACAATAATGGACTCAAAAGCTTAGCTCATGCGCTGTCTGTTAACAAGGTGATCTATTTATTCAATTGCATATTATTTTTTAAGATTTATTCTCACTTCATCACAGACTATTATAAAATTAAACATTTCAAGCAATCGATTCGGCGACGATGGAATGAAACATTTAGCGGAAGCATTACATAATAATACAGTCACATACAAAATTTAAAAAATCTCTTTTATTCGTAATCGTTTTCTTTTACAGACTATGACAATGTTAAATATCTCCTATAACAATGCGGGAGACGACGGAGCGCGAGATTTGGCTAACGCGTTGTATAATAATAAAGTCGGTTGTTTTGAAACCAATTACACATATAATGCAGTTTGATGTTCAATATAGACGCTTACAAATCTCAATCTTTCGGGAAATGACATAACAAATATCGGGGTTGAACATCTATTCGTTGCACTACAAGATAATTCAGTAATCTATCCTGTAATATAATTCAATCTCTTAAAAAGATTCCTTTCTCTTGAAGACACTCAAAGTTCTAGAACTTGGATCGTGTAAAACCGGACATAAAGGTGCTATGCATCTGGCTTGTCTTCTACGTACAAATCAGGTGAATTAAGTACTATCTCTGTCGTTCTTCTTGTTATGTATCTTGATTTACACAGACGTTGACACACTTGGATTTGAAATATTGTAACATTGAAAACCAAGGAGTAAAGGAATTGACGGACGCATTACGAACAAATAAAGTAATCTTGCATTCATTGTATTGAGTTACCCTAAATATAGTTATTGTTCTGTACGTAGTCACTTACAACGCTCTTTCTTTCTCATAACAAAATTGATGCTGAAGGTGTGGAATATTTGATTGAAGCATTAGAAGACAATAAAGTGAACTAATTTCTGTTGTTAAAACTCTAATACAGATGTTATTTGTTTGCAGACACTTTTACAAATTCGTGATATTTCTGCCAGCAACGATAATCAAAATTTGGTTAGTGTTAATGTGGCAATTCAAATGCGTAACAACAAAGTAATTGTAAATTTACTTTATTCAAAATTAGGGGGCAAACGACTTGAAAAAAACATAAATATCTATGCGACAAATAAAGGACCGTCCTATTTTATCGCATTTCAGTTCTCTAGTAGCATTCGGCGACCAGTATTTGCCATTTTCATATTAAATTTATTTTCTTAGGAACTGAATACAGCATCGTTTTGCTTAAAGAACATAACAAGCAAAAGCAGAGAGTTTCTGATCAATACATTTCAAAATCATGAAGTAAAAATAATATTATTCAATGACTTTTGTGATACATATTTTGATTGTTCTATTTAGACATTGACTAGACTGGATCTCGCACAGGATAACGCTGATGATGAAGCAGTAAAATATCTAGCCGATGCATTAAAAAATAATACAGTGATAATTCTATTATTTGCTCGAGTTTCTCATACTAATTTTGACTGTTTTATATAGAGAATCACTGTGCTAAATCTTGCGTCTAATACCTTAAAACACGAAGGAGCGAAATATTTAGCCGATCTATGCAAGAATAATACAGTGACGATTACATAATGTTGCTCGAATATTTCATACTGATGTTGATTATTTCATATAGACACTCACTGCGCTATATCTGCAGAAGAATTCTTTAGGTGATGAAGGAGTAAAATATCTAGCCGATGCTTTAAATAATAATACAGTAAGAATTACATTATCTACTCGTATGCTTCATGCTGGTGTTGACTATTTCATATAGACACTCACTGAACTGAATCTTGAGCAAAATTCTATCAAACACGAAGGAACAAAATATCTAGCCGATGCACTAAAGAACAATAAAGTGAACATTATTATTATTATTTACTCCAATGTCTCATAGTGTTGTGGTTTATTTATAGGCCCTCACTGCGCTATATCTAGCGAATAATTCTTTAGGAGATGAAGGAACAAAATTTCTAGCCGATGCTTTACAAAATCATCCTGTGAGTGCGACCTTATTCGTATAAATACTGAATCGATATTATTATTTTCATCTAGAAACTCGAAATAGTTGATCTAGGAAATAATAAAATCACATTCATTGGAGCAGACTGTATGTTTATAGCATTGCAGAATAACGCTGTGAATTAATTTTTATGGTTAACTAACTTATTATGACGCTATAATTTATTACACACAGACACTTACAACACTTATTCTAAAAAATAACTCGGGCATAGATTGTGAAGCTATTTCTCATGCGATCAGTCTGAAGAATAACCAGGTTATTATCGATATATTTTACTCTTTATTTTCGTTGAATTGATTTTTTTCGCTATAGACACTATCTGAATTCAAATTTTCTTGGGAAAAGGCAGGAGGCCCAGGTGCAAAATATATAAGTGATATGATCAAAAATAACACGGTAATCCTACGATTCTTTGTCGAATTATATGATGCTATTGTGTATTTATTCGAATTAGGTCATAAAAACATTGAAAATTTCGTACGATCAGGTCGAACTTGGTGTAGTACAATACTTCTTAGACGCACTGAAGTGTAACAAAGTGAAATCATACTATTCTAATCACTATTCATATGCTTCTTTATTCTTTTTGTCTGCCCCTTACAGACAGTTACATCTTTTGATATGTCGTTTCAACCCATGCAAGACAACGATTGGACATGTTTTGCTGATTTCTTAAGAACAAATGAGGTAAGATTTCGATTCAGCACAGTTCTTATCTCTTCCATTCTTTTCTTCAAAAACAAAAAAGACACTCACGTCATTAACACTTGCCGTTCACGCTTTAAAGGAAAGAGAAGCTCAATATTTAGCTGATGCACTATCACAAAATAAAGTAACAGTGAAATGTTTTCATTTCTCATTAAAAGTTGTATTTCATTACGCAGGCACTCACTACGTTAAATCCCTTGGGGGAGGGTACTAGAACTACTTTAAAAAAATATTTTGGATGCATGTTTAAAAACAATTTGGTAAGTCATTCTTCTCAGTTCTTGAACTTCAATAGAATGTAACAAAAGTCATAGACTACATTCAAAACTACTAGCATCCATGATGGTAAATAAGTATTCTTTTATTTTTTTTGGTATAGACACTAACTCAAATTATTTTACAGCACCGTTCGATTGACGCTAATGATGCCAAGAATCTCGTAGACGGACTAACAAATAACAAAGTGATCAATTTCCTTTTGGACTATAATAACTTCAAAACGATGTTCATTTTATGTACTGTTAGATTGTCACTGAACTACGATTAAATAACAATGATTTAGGATCAGCAGGGGCGAAACATTTGGCTGATCTATTAAAGAATAATCAAGTACTAGGATTTTATCTAAAATGCTGCGTGAATTTACACTTTGCGCATAGACACTGATCTGCTTGGATCTTTCAACAAACTATATCAAAGACGAAGGAGCAGTACATTTGGCTGATGCATTACAATACAACAAAGTATAGATCAATTTTCTCACTTTCCTTCACTCATCATATCGCTTTTCAACAGGTATTGAAAGAGATGAATCTTTCAGAAAACCGTATCAAAGATCATGGATTAAAGTCTCTGGCTAATTCATTGAAAATAAACACGGACACAGTAAATAATCTATCATTATTTTGAGAGTACAGTGTCTGATATTCTATTTCTGCTAAACAGTTTTTAGCTGAAGGAAGAGAGGAAAACGAAGCTCTGCAGTGCGCAAAGTCTCCTTTCCTCTCGTGTAATTATTTTAATGTTTTTGCGTAGGGTGTAACAACGCTCAAACTGGGAAGAAACCTTTTTGGAGACGAAGGAGTACAAGCTATGGCAGATATGCTGAAAACCAACAATGTACTGTCTTGTACGCGTTCATTCTATGTATATTTTGAGATTCTCATGTAGACACTAATCTCGTTGGATTTCCACAAGAATAATGTTGGAAATGAAGGAATAATCGCCGTGGCTTATGCATTAAAAATCAATCAAGTCTGCATTAATACATATTTTACTAATATAAAAAGTTATATTATTCTACATAGAAACTTGTCGAACTTGATTTAGATTGTCTCAATTTCCATGAACGAGCTTCGCAGCAGCTTTTTGATGCCTTAGCACTGAACAAAGTAATTATATCCGATGAAACTATTTAAATTATGTTGCACCCTCGCTTATATAGACACTTAAACTATTAAGAGCGCATAGGCCTGATCCTGCGTTTGACATGTATCCTGAAACGAAAGATTTGCAGCTGATAAATTGTTCCAATCGGGACATTAGAGTCCAATATTAATCCTTACAATTCAACGATCATTTTGAACAAAGACTAACCACGAGGAACTAAATAAAATTCTTTGAAATACATATAATTATCATTAAATTAATTATGATAGACTTCAGCTTGCTGTGACTAATATGATGAGATGAGAAGATGCTTGCTAAACTGGACTATCAATTTTGGAAAAATACTGTTTGCTATAGATCTATTCCGATGAAGTTTCTGGCAACCCCTTGATAAAGACGACAGGAAGATTTGAACTGTAATAGGTCTTTTCCCGATGACCTAAATTCCAGATAAGCGTTACCGACAAAGATATCGCTCTAAGCAGAATGGAATAAACGTGATTATTTCGTTTATTGAATCAATGGAAAACAGATCAATCTATCATGTAACAAAAATACAAATCAATCTGCTAATCTCAACTCTTGCTTTTCAGCAATCGATCACAGTCGAAAATAATATATTAATGTGCTTGAATTAAAGTTGTGGATGCGCCAAATCCGAATCCAGTCAAACTCAAATTCAATGCTTTGTTTGATGGTGTACCCCTAAATTAAATTAATTGTCAAAGAAATCTAGAGTTTAACTACGTCAAAAGCGTTTCTTGAGTGTGTGGGTGTGAATGTAGGTATAGACTGAATTAAAAATACCACACCCACACCCTCAGTAATAAAAATCTAGCTTCACTGATTAGAAATCATTATTGATAGTGATAATACTAAGAATGAATTATTCTAACTATATACAAGGCAATCTATTCGATGATGAAAATCGACAACCTAGTTAATCACTGAAGGTACTAGACCTACAGAAATTCTCTGTTCCTATCAGCATCAATCATTGATAGTTATCTTACATATTTAGTGAGAAGTGAATTTGTTGTGCAATTTTGAATTTTGGAATCGAGTCATTGTCGTGAAAGACCGTATTTATTATTCGTATGCATCTCAAGCGATAAAATCAAAATTCAAAAATCAATCGTATAATTTTCGTGTCTGTCTATTTTGTTTTCCGAAGGTCAATAGATGGTGAAACGGTGCATATAGATAAAGTCTTTAGTTTCAAGAAATTACGACAGAGTAATATTTGCAGACACGACAGAACCTGTTGAGCCTGATTTCAACCAACAACTCACGATATAGATTTCTCCAGATGTAGCCATAAATTATTGACTAAGCTGATCGGCACATCCATTACTTCCATCATAAGCAGAATAATTTTCACTATGATACAAAAAATTACACACTTCAGATGGTGCTCCTCCGCAAGCTCCATTCGATGTTGTTCGAATCCAATGCGAAAGGTTACTTGTCTCAAAATCAGTATTAGTTAGCATTTGCACAGCTCCAGCATATACTAAGACATCATCAAGATACGAGTAGCCTGGATCATGAAGCAAATCAAAGGCAAAAGAAGCCAAACCCGTAGTAGGTGATGTCTATTCGTATGCAAAACATCTGTATGCAATTGTACTGCTAGATGCTGCTATATAAAGACTACTTGCAGAAACAGCAGAACTAGGAACGCATGGTGGAGCTGGTGTTGTAATTGTGGAAGTAGTTGTGGTTGATGTTGATGTTGCTGTTGTTGAAGTTCTTGTTGTTACTGTTGATGTTAGTTTATTTGTGAGAAGAAAAACGACGAGAGCAGTAATACCTATCAGAAGTAATAAAATACCAATAAATGTTGAAATACAACAACATATGAAACATTCTGGATAGATTTTACCAATATAATGACGAGTTATTTTGTAGATATTATTTTTTTTCATTATGTTGCACTATTTTCTTTAATTTGTTTCCAGTAACGTCCACTGAATATCGGAGAATTCTTTCTTTTGACTCTTGTTCTTGATAATCTCCTCTTCATTTTACTCTTGATAAATTACTTGAAGCGCCATCATAGTTCATTACACCTGTTAACATTTTTTTGGATGATGATGTCTACAGCGGTAATGAAATAATGAGAGAAATGAATAAAAAAACCAAGAAAAATAATTACTTTCGAAGTCACATTAGATTTATTGTCAGTCGATCTCCTTGTTTTAGTACGAGTAATATCTATACTATTTAATGATGAAGTTTCACGCATTTTGGTGGCTACTGGATGCATAGAAGTTGATGAGAACGTTTTTGATTTATATTGACCTGATGGACCATTCGCTTCTTCTAAGTTTAGATAATTAGGCATCGTCTAAAAAAATAGCTGAAAGGAAATTTTTGCAGTCAGATGCAAAAAACAGACTTTCGCTTTGAGCATTAAAAAATCTCGAGAAAACAAATTTTTAAAGGAACACAACTTTATATAAGGTCATGTATGTTTACCTGTTTTTCTTCGTCACTTCTATCTTCGTTGTAGTGTGCTGAGTGAATAATATTATTTCTATTGAGTGAATGTCGACTGTCAGGAGCTACTTTGATTATGGGCACGTTGAAGTAATAATAACAATAAACTGAGATTTCCTATATAGAATAATTTATCCGATGTCGTCGTTTTTTGTATGAATACGGGAATTAATATGTTCTTGTGAAATTGCAATTACAGTTACTCTAGTTTTCTGTTTGGCTTTTGGCATCATCTCTACTCATGTAACATTTAATAATGATGTAATGATTTTAAAAACTAATAGCGACAAGTATTTTCAAATAGAATTTTATTGGTAATGCAGTATGTGTAATATTTGAATTCAAATTGAAAAATAATTTTGATGGCTTCCTTTGCGAAAGAAAGACTCTCTATTCTATCCTATGCACAGAAGTCTGATAGCAACTCTTTTCACAATGTTTTGATACAAAGCTAGTTAAACTAGTTATCATGTAAGAAAATATGAAGCAACTCAATCAAAAAATTTAACAAGATAATTTGTGTGTAGCTCGTTAAGCTGTTGGAACCAAATTGAAAATTTTGACTGTACATTATTTTGGTTGTAAATGAGAAGTTTAAGTTAAATTAGCAGAAGATGATATAGAACTTAATGAAGAGAAACTTTAAATATTTAACTATTTTAAAACGTTTTTTTTTGGCCTGACGACAGCACTCTAGCCTGAAAACTTGGCTATGCTGCTAGTCACAAAATCAATATATTCAGGATATAAATCTGAGTATGAAACATTCATCATATAATGAACTTTTTAAATACAAACATAGAAAAATTTTGATTAAATATATAGATACTACGCTGTTTTCGACAATATCTTACTGGTTAACAAATTTCAGCTAGGAAACATTAATTGTTCCATAAGTGAAGTGTTTTCTATTACCTAATGAATTAACTCTGAATCTATATACAAAAACAAATAGCTAGTTTAGAAAGAATAATTTGATATCCAACCTCGATTCCAAGCTGAATTAGAATTAAGTCAACGGAGAAACTAATTCAGATTCATGGGAGTGCTCGATAAATTTTTGTGTATGTATACTTTGCGATTACACTGACGAATACTCATTTGTATTTCTCGTGGAGGATTTATTCATTAGGAAAAGCATGAGTACTCAATACGGTACTGATACTTGTTTCTTCACAAATCATTTAACAAAACACTTATGTATTAGAATGTAAAAAAGCAATGATATACTCAAGTCGAGCGTAGAGAGAATGTGTTTTAATATCATATCCATTTTTTCCTCTATTTTATTTTAACGAGTTATTCAGTACTATTTTAAATAATGATGACATTAAGAAAGGAAAAAGGACCTTTCATTTCGGCTGTTTTCCTGTACGCTCTGGTTGCATATTTGTATAAATGAAAACTCTTGCTAATTTCATTTTCTAAAATTTAAATCAAGCTTTTTAATACTTTAAATTATAGTTTTCAGTTTGACTGTGAAAAGTAATGAAACATAGCCATTAGTCTAAAAATTTGTTTTTCCTGTAATAATCACCACTGCATCTGTTCAACAAAATACTTCTCCATTTCACTGAATAATTCATCAACTACTGATGAAAATCGATTGCTCACGAAAATTGACTCCAATTGATTAATGGGAAAACATTGATTACGAAGTAGGTGCGTAAGAAAGTCAATTTTAATCTTAAAATTAGTCTAAAAAACAATTGCTAGATTTTTATCGGCTATTGGAGCTAAAAATCGATGAAAATCGTATAGGTGTTGGTTTTCAGACTGATATTTTTTGACATAAGGTAGCAATAATACATTCCTAAGATAAAATGATTCAAAGTAGAACGAAATGGTTCGTTCAACATTTCTGTTCTCTTTTATTTTAGTGTTCGTTATTACATGATTTAATGATTGAGAAAGAAGAAATTACTCTAAAAAAATCTGTTTTCTAGAAAACCCAAGCCAGTTTCGGAAGCCATAACACAGTTTGCGAGTGAAATTCGGAAAACTTGAACAATTTTTAAAAATATCTTTTTGGTTTCCGGAGCCTCTATTCGGAAACTAAAGAGTATACTTGAGCATCAAAGTCAGTTTTTGAGTGCATTTTGATTTTGTGAGAGGTTTCGAAAGTTTTAAGAATCTTCAGAATGGTTCACTAAATCACTCAGAGTCGAATTTAACTAATCCCTAAGAAACAATTTTAGGCGTTGGAATTTTCGTTTTTTGATCGCTGATTTCACACATTTTAGATTTTTTTTATTTTATAAAAACTGTTTATTTACTTCTGATAATTTGTTTGATTGTGGACCATTCTTTTATTTATCTCGCTTTTAAATATTTAGCTCATGTGAAATATTAGAAGATGATTTTGTGTGAATTTGATATCAATAGTTCAAAGTAATTCATCACTTTTTTATGTTTAGATCGTTATGAGTCAATGATTCTGGGGATCATTTTTTGTTGATGTGGTGTAGTGCAATTTCGTTATTGTTTTTCTCTATCGCTGTGCTTTCGTCTCATCTACTTGTATTCTTGCGTTCTGTGTTTAATCCTTTCGTTCTATGGATTATTCTATTGAGTCTATACATATATATTTTTTTTTTTCATATACAAGTAGTCAGTTACTACTTTCCAATTATTCGTTCCATTCGTTTGTTTCTTTGTCTTGTTACAGTAGTGACGGTTCTGTTGGTCAAATACAACATCGATAGTGACCTTGAATTCACAAGCATCTATACGCATTTCGTAATACGTGACAAGTTGGAAAAAACTTATCCGTCATCTCAAGTATTTTTATCTCAACGATTCTGTTATGATAGTCGTAAGGCTCAGTTCGAGACTAAAATTTGTAAGTGCTATAGTATGAGTGTCGGCCAAACAATGATCTCGTCTAAATGATTTCATCGTTGAAGTCAGTAAAAGATAATTCAACTCTAATTTAGTTTAAAATTTGTGTGGACATCGGATGGAACGTTTGTTCCATGTGAGAAAAAAGGACTGGTTATCATTTTCTCGTGATTTCCGGTTGAGAATGTCGAAAACGAATTCTCGTAATTAGTTTTATGTTTCCGAAATTGATTTCCGGTCGGAATTGGTATGTGCATTGATGAGTTTCCTATGATATCTTTTTTTTTTTTAGAAAGTACAGTTTATTCTTTATCAAAAATATTCAACATCACGTCATCTTTCTGTAGTATATATTCCATTAGACAATCATTTTTTGAAGCTTTTACTAGTTTAATTTAGGGGAACATTGAAATTAATCGTATTATCAAAACTGTAAAGAAAGTTTGCCGTCGCATATTTCGAACATAATATCTTGATGATTGCTGTGAAACAAAACGAAACAAAAAAGTTGAAAAACTCTTTACTTGGATCAACTACTTTTGTAAAAGTTTATAAAAATTATCATCAAGCATATGCTTTTAATAGTTTGCCATTCTTTTTGACGTGATTGGTTGGACATTGGTCATTTTGAAGGTAACTCATAAACACATTCAGTTGAAATCAACAGTCAAAAAAAAACAAGTTCTTCAGTGATTGTTCGACTAAGTGGTATACCTTTAGATATATAAATATTCTATATGCTCGTGCCTAACTAGTTTAGCTTCTCAAAAATTAAGATATATTCAAAAAGCGTACGATGTAGCCACAAAATCCGAAAAAATGTTTTTAAGACAAAAGAATGATGTTGATCACGCTGAATTGGCTGCTTTTGCTTTAAAGTACAAAATTTAAACAAAAGTTTCGAAATTTTATCAATACCATTATCAGATGATATTGTAAGAGGAGTCACACTTATTGGACAAACATTATCCTATACCGAAACGATGCAACCATTGGCCAAATTAAATCTTTCTCTATGCGCACTCGAAGATGATTTCATCCTAGATCAATTACATATTTTCAATCATGACAAAGATAGAATTGCAATGAATAGTTGTGTAAGTGCAGTCTTTGATGGACAAACAGTTACAAGATCAACTTAGCACGGTCTCAAAATTATTGAAAACAAAACGTTGTTGATTTGTGTTGGTTCAATTGGCGCAAAGTGGTTAAATATTTTATTACACTGATATGAAAATTTAATAGCAGACTGCTTTAATCCATGGTATTTTTAACTGCGTGGAACCTACAACACTGCTGATGGTAAGCATAGTTGCCAATCGATCTTCAGATATTGAAGAAAAAATTTTGGTTTTTCTCTGATTTATAGAATTTTCTGAGCACGTCAAAATAATTTAACAATAAGTGGCTACTGCATATACTTATATTACACATCTTTATTTCACTATATCAACTACGTGGTGCAGTTTTATAAACTTAATTGAAGATATTTTACCGCTTTGAAAGCTCAGTCTTCAATAATAGATAACATGCTGTACAAGCAGGCAAGGTCCAGCTGTCTATCTCGATGAACCTTTTTCTCTGTTAATGTGTTGATAACTGAGAATGTTTTTCGTTTTTGCTATTTCATTACAAAAATAGTAAATTAAAATATCAATGATTTGATGGATGCTGTAAATATACGTGAAAGTGATATTGAAACATAAGAAACAGAAGCATAATAAATGATATTGTGCTGTTGAAAAAACACATCAGCTATTTAAGTATTGCTCTTCTTAAGATTCTGATAATGACTGAGTTCATTTAAGAAATGCTCTAATTAATTACCACTGCCTATTATTGACTGAGCTTCTATTAAAGATATTGATAAAAAATACATAAAAAATTGTGTTAACATAATATGAATTTTTCAATACACAACAGTCAAAGTATTTTAAAGTTGTTCTTCACTGCAAACATACGTATTAACCAGTATTCTGTATAAGCAAAAGTATTACTTTAATGGTTTATACTATAGCTGAGGCTGTATACATATAATATTACCGGTAATGTACTCCACATAAAAATTCATCATTATACTTTCCCAGGTCGTGGACGTACGGCGGGAAACGGCCGGAAAGCACAGGAACGCGCTGGAAACTGGAAGCAGTATTCCAGTTGGAAGTTACCGGATTTTCTTCCTGTAGATTCCGATCAACTTCCAGATGTAAAACACAGAAAACTGACCGGAAAACACAGGAAACTGACCGGAATCCACAGGAAAAAAATCCGGTAACTTCCAACTGGAATACTGCTTCCAGTTTCCAGTGCTTTCCCATGCTTTCCGGCCAGATACGGTGATTTTTCCGCATCTTTCCGGCCGGTTCCTACAGTATCCGTCCTCCGGAATCATTGACCTGGGTTAGAAAATTTTCTACGTAAAATTTTTGACCGGGTATATATTTTGCAGTTTCTTAATTCTTCATAATGTATAATTGTGTTGAAAAATATCTCCGATTCTTCGTGATTTTTCGAACATTGAATGTATAATGTGAAATGTGTGATGAATTAATATGTTTGCATAAACAATTTCTTAACCACACCCTCAATAATGCATCTACATTCGTATTGTGTTTCACATACATATTTGCTCAATACTCTATAATTTATCCATTGATATATAGTACTTGATTTCAATGATAGGATTCCATATACTGCTCAGTGTCTATACGTAATCTCACACATTCGTGAGCAATTACATACATTTCTATATACATCTTCTTTCAGTCTCTATGAGAAAGAACTCCTAAATCATTTTACACGATACCCTGACAAATTGCAAAGGCGCAGACGAGCAATTCAAATTTTTTTGGTTAGACCATTAGTTTTTCTTGATAAATTTTATTATTCAAACCTGTATCATAAGACAGAAAAGAAAAAAGGGGCCAGAAAAAGAAGCATTGTTTGTTTTTGTCATATTTTCGTTGATGTATTTAAGCAACACAACAGTATAGATGAGTCAGATCTTGTGTTACAGTCGATTAGGAGAGAGTAACCGTCGCAGTTGTGACAGGTGCTAATGTGCCTGCTCTCAGCCAAAAGCTTACAACATAGACTTCTCCTGCTGTAGCGGTAAATTGTTGACTGATTTGATCAGCACATCCAAGACTTCCATCATACATACAATAAGTTCCCCTGTGGCACGAAGAATTAGTTATACTGCCTGGTGTTCCCGTGCAAGCTCCATGCGGTGTTGTTCGTACCCAAGGTGAAAGAGAACCAGTTTCGAAACCTATATTAGTTAACATTTGAATAGCTCCATCATAGATTGAGGTATCATCAAGTACCCATTGGGAGGGATCATTACGAAGTTCAAAGGTTAAATTAACTGGACCTGTAGTAGGTGACGTCCATGTATATGCGTAGCAGTTGTACGTAATTACAGTAGGAGATGAGATCGTCAAAAGAGTACTCGCAGAACCGACAGAAGTAGGAACACAAGGAGCAGCAGGCGTTGTTGCTGTTAATAACGATAAACTTAATGAAAGAAAATGAATGGGCAAGCATTGGGCTCACTTGTTGTACTCGTACTAGCTAGAATAATTAAAGAAAAACATTCAAATGAAGAGAAATAATGATTCTTTTTATTTGAAACTTGACTTGGTAAGTACTTACAGGTAGTTGATGTTGAAGCTAATGAAAAAGAGAAACGCGAAAATGATTTCTAATAAAAGATAATGGATGAAAGTTGTTACTTGCTGATGTCGTACTTGTCGTTGATGTAGCTTAAAAGAAAAATGTAAATAAATCATTTGTTATTTATCTTTTTGAAAGCATCCTAAACTAGAAATAATTTGCTTTCATTTCAAACTAATTCTTAAACATCCCCGTCGATATGACAGCGGATGCTAGGGGACTAGGCCTTCTCATTTGTTCGTGAAATAGTATTAATCAGTACGAATCCTTTCTAAAAAATGATGGCATATAGAGACCTAGTTGCTCTCAATCATGAGCGTTTATGCTAAAATTGAAAAGTAATGCAATATAAGTTTCGTAAATTCATATTTAGTTCGTATGAAAATATTCATACTGTGTGCTATATACTCAATCCTTGAAATTTCAAAAATATTGAATACTGTTTCCTTCGTAATTTGATAGAACTTTTATGGTGATTAATCACATTTGTCACTTGCATGATGTCGTTTGAATACTTGCTTTTACTTGAATAGGAATATTAAAAAAATCAGTAGTGAATGCAGTCCTGGCGGTCGAGACTTTCATCCTATGGAGTGCAGGTAGAAGTAATAGTGTGGGGACAAATCTAAGTAGGTCTGAGCAATAGTTGTAGTGAAAAAATAAAAATACTAGTATTGAAGAAGTACGTTATAAGTGAGGAATATGAATTCTGCAATATTTTTCTCTAAATAGGTGTAAACTATAGAGAAGCTAGAATCACCAGGATCGGGGGATCAAAGAAATATGGGCTTCGATAACTCTACGCTTGAATGACGGGAAAATATAGAAATCCACATTATATTCATGAGACATTCTGAAATATCATTGCGACCTACTGTTTATTGATGAAGTTTTTGTAATTTTATGGATACTGGATGATTTATAAAAAAAAGACAATCTCTTAACAACCGAGTTCTATTTATAATTATAAGTTTATTGGTGATATGAAGAAGTTACATACAAATTATAGAATACCTGTAAAGGATGTTAACCAAAGCATGATTACGACGGTTAATATTATACCACCAAATAGTGAACCAATAAGAAAACATAGAATACATATGCATTTTGGTGTATAAATACTGGAAACATGTTCATATCTATGGTCAATAAAAATAAAAATAAGTTCACAAAACGTCGTTTAAATTCAAGTTATTGCTTTCCACAATAAAAACACAATCACCCATTCCCTACAGGACTTACTGATACTAATGATATTCAAATTTACTAATTGCAGTTTAATTCGAGAAGAACGTTTTGACTTATTTCAATAAAATTCATCAATTCTGACGACTCAATACTTCCATGAATCAGTTTTAATAGATATTCTTGGAAAATTAGTATTTTGAGGTTTGTTGGCTCATCTTTTCTGAATGGAAAAGGCTTTTTTTTAAATGAAATACTTAGGGTTTCACGTTCTAGACAATAGCCTATACCTTATGGAGTCAATGCATACGTTTACGTTTGTTCAAATGTAGAACACCCGTATTCTTGCGTCAGAACCAATAATTTGATAATCGCCTTACCTTTTTTCATTGTTTTTATTTTTCGTATGATCACTATGCCACTGGTTAGAGAAGGTATTACTCCGCTGTTTCCTGTTGGCTGATTTAGAGTAATCTATTGTCGATGATGAATTTGATAACCACATTCTTATTTGAGGAAAATGTATCTTTAAGTCTATGTAATTATATATTTTCAGTTTTCGATAAAATTCTGTGTTCTATTGAAAATTCAACGTAGAATCATACTAAATAAACAAAAAATGTCGTCCTTTTGGTTTTTTTTCATAAATAATTTGATTTCTTTCTTGAATATTCTGTACAGTGAACAATAAATATTCTTTTACACAAAATTCTACTTTAATTGAAAGGAAGACCTTCAATGGATGTATTACTTTTCACGAAGAAATCTTATTAGGTGAGCCAAGGAGATAGACTGAATTTGAAATATGTAATACAATCTATATATATATATATATAAATTCTGTTAATATGATCGAAGATATCTTTCTGTTTCTAACAATGATTATGAAAGTGGTATCAACCGAAATAATAGAATTACAGAATGTTGTTCTAAAGTTGTTTTTTCTTACCCATTTTATCTTATAATATAGCTATTCACTTTCTCTGTGTAAAACTTTGACTTTTGCATATCAATTAATTCCTATGTATAGAACTTTATATAGGATGCCTGTAGAACTTTTCAACCATTTGCTTAATAAAGTCCCTTTTGGATAGATCAAGATTCACTCGATTTATATTGCTCCGTATGTAATACAATTAAATTTATACATGATGAAGAAATTTCTATACAAAAAATCCATATTGTAGTTTATTTGATTTATTTGTTGGCTGTTGCTGATTTTTTTTCTATTGGATTACATTAAAAATACAAAATAAACATGGACGAGAATCAATATTATGAATAGCAAGTGTAAAAAGCAGCGCGTAGGCACTACACTGTATATAGGAAATGAAAATTTTGTTTTTGATGAAAAATAGTGATGGCATAATCTCGTAACACCGAGTAACAGCTTCGAAACCGTAACATAAAACTATATACTATAATTTGAGTAATTTCAGTTGTTCTGACATATCACCCTTAGGACATCAAGCTCGTTACCTTTTGCGAAATACTTGAAATTGAAGTCGATGAATATTTTAGCATTGAAGTCTCAATACCTAATGTAACGATATTATGATACCCATGGTTGCATAGCTTGCTAGTGCTAGCAAATCTGAAACAGTTAAATAATGATTTACTGTAATCTTTAAATAAACTGTGCCAATTAATATTCATCATCATAGTTCTCGATCCTAGAGCTCTATAGAAAACCCTTAAAGATGTCAATCTCTTCTCCTATGCAGGTGATGATATCATGTAACCATAGAATTTCAAAATCTTGACACGATTGATCGACATTCTAGCTGAGACATCAGTTCAAAAGCTGTTAATCCTGTTCTACCGCATACCCTCTCGGAACTATGACGCGTACACAGTAGCATTAGAGTAAAGCATTAAACACTAAAAAGTGGAGAACATCTTTTTGATCTGGTCAATGAAGAAGGTGTTAGATCTCCTTCAAACAAATATTGGAAATTACAATTTATATCCTTCTTCATTGAATAGCGCTTTTGTAAATGTGTCATATATTGTGCTGTTTTATAAAACAAAATCCCCTGGAATATCTTCCATGATATGATAAGATAGATTAGATTCATAAAAGGCTTTTCATAATGGTAAATATTACTTTTTTTATGAGAGAATTATGACAAAGAATTAATTGTTGTATATTAAAAAAGATTCTAATTAAATTTCGTTGTGGTAGCACAGAAAATATTGTCGCATAGTGTTACTTACGTGATATGAAGAATGGTTCGAAAAATCAATGTACTTCTATAGAAATGAATGTAAACAATTAGAAAAATATATTTTATTTGTAGTAATAAAAACATATTCATATTGATCGCATGATTATAATGTGATGTAGTTGAACAATGGCACTTGCACTGTTTGATTGAGTATTAAGTAATTTTGTTTTCTGATGATCTTTCATTTAGGTATTCTCTTAAATTATCGTGAAAGCTTTTGTTTCATTTGAGTTCATCATTTAAAAAAAACTGATTTGCCACGATGATTTCGATTTAATGTCGATAGAAACTTTCATTAAAATTGCTTATCTTTGAAGGCGATGAGTTGAGTTTACCTTCAGTACGAAACATTTTCCCGAGAAGTCTCAATAATCATAGGGACATTATTGTAGTTTCTCCATGTTGCCTGATTATAGCAATAGGGAATATAGATATTCAAAAGCTAATTGATACTTTCTCTATACGAAGAAGAACAGCTACAAAATCTTAACAGGCATGTATTTCTATCAACCGAATAAAATCTGTAACTAGCATCATGATCATGTTAGAATTAGGTATGCACCGAACCCGGGTACAAACCAGGTAGTTCGGGTCAGTACTACTCGGATTCGGTTGTACCGGTATTCAGTTATAGCCGGGTTCGGTCATCCTCCGATTCTGTCTTACCCGGTATTCGGTACTACCCGGGTTTCTTCATATCCAGATTCGGTACTGGGATTCGCGGGTCCACTTATTCGTATCTCTCGAAGCATGGAAATCAATAATAAATAGCACCTATGGATATATAATAGATGGTAAAAAATGAGTTCATGTCAAAAATCCTTTGCCTTGCTCAGCCTATCATAGTTAATCTCATTTATCAGGAACGGATACAGTTAAATGAGCTTCTCTTAATATTTATCTTGGACTCAACTACAAGAAATCGTCGAATGGTTCTCTTTATTAAATTTTCTAGAAACACATATGTATGATTTTTTTCCATCGGTCTACTAAGAATATCAATATCACCAATACTAAATTGTATTGGTATTGGTATTGGTAGTATTCGAACTCTCACATCCCTACTTAGACTATCAGAAAGATCATTTCAATAAGGAGAACCATTCGACGATTTCCTGTAGCTGAATCCAGGAGAAATGTTAATAAAAGCTCATTTAATTCTATGCTTTCCTGATAATTAAGATTATCTATGATAAATTGAGGAAGAGACGATAAACCTTTGAAATAAAATCATTTTTTATTATCTATCTATAGGTACTATTTGTTTTTCATTTCTATACTTCAAAGGATACGAATAAGTAAACACAGGAATCCCGTTATCCAATCTGGATATTACCGAACCCGAGTAGTTCGGGTTCAGTGCATGCCTAGTTAGAATCCTGTAGACTATATTTAGTCAAAATTTTAAGAGATTATAATATTAATGCTAAATGCAAATATTTTCAACTAGGTAAAATTTTCATAATTTGCAGTGAGCCGGTTAGTTGTCATATTTTTCAATTGAAATATTTTTAAAACTTTGGAAATTACACGACTATTTCATAGCAGTATATATAGATCACAATAGCAACTTCTTTTAAACTATATTTCTTTTTCTCCTGCAATGTGGGGATCGTAATATGAGTCAAGAGCAACAATGTATAGACGATCTGTATAGTATTGTCTTTATTTCGCAGATATTATTTATGTTTATTTAAATGTTCATCGTATTATTTTGACATACGGTATATAAGTATTTCTCTTCTTCAGTAAAACGTATGGCATACTTTGATTACTTGTCAACTAATTAAAATAAATTTACTTTTGCACTCTTCACTATTCGAGTTTTGTTCGGAAAAGAGACATTTCACACTAACTTTTCATTACGATTTGCCTGAGGAGATGTGCGTTACGATCTTCCTACATATAAAAACATACATGCTCTTCGGAATCACAAAAATTTAAAACAACCAGGGTGTTCGGAATGGAAGTTGTCCAGTAGGCCATAGCGGACAGCAGTATTTTTGAAAAACTGAAATTTGCGTGGCGTTCGGAATGAAAAGGGTGTGGGTGTAATAACAAATAGTCAAACCCATACCCTTATATAGTATTTCTATTTTCTTTAATATAGCGCACTCTATAAGTATTATGATATACTTACGATCTCCAGGTAAAATAAGTTTACGGACATCCGGCCATTTTCGCTCCGATTTTCTGACAGTATTTTACATATTGTCGACCATTTCATTTCGATTTCCCTGTATTTTTTTTAAATACGATATCTTAACCGACATGTGTTACGTACTTCCGGTAAATGTTTTAAAGGCAAAAATCAATTCCGAACACCTCAACGGATTACTGGGCGTCCGGGACACTGCTACGAAATGTCTTCGTCCCTTTTTTCCGACATGGTAATTTATAAATTAGAAAAATTGCAAAACTAAAATAAATTTCATCAAAGGTTTTCTCCCCTGGTACATATGGTATACTTTTACTTTCACTAACATAACTGAGGAGAAGACGAAAAAGTTTTTGTATGACTTTATTTTCTTGTCTCAAAAGTAAACATAAAACATTATTCAATTCCCGTGATTGATTGTTATGCAACTGTTGTTTTTTTTTATCGTACACAACGAGTTACGAATTATTTTGGTTTCAAAAATGTATAGAATTGTTTTCTTTTCATCGAGTAAAAGAAATAAAACCCTAGAAATTATTTCATTGATTTGTCGAAGCCGAATTGAATTTCAATATGGAGAACTCTATACCACCTAGCAATGATAGTCACAAGACTGAAGTTACTCGTTAGAATATTCACTGAGAAATCAATTTTTTGATGGTGATGAATTATGAAATCGAATGATCAAGTAACCATTGTAAAAGAAAGCGCTGATTAAATACTTTTCTTCGATTATCAACATTTTTTGCATTTCGAAGGATCCCAAAGGTTCGCAAAATGCAATTGAGAAAAAGTAGCATCATATTTCTTTTGGTTCATTTTCGCAAAATGTGTATAAACGATTAATCAAGAGAGAGTTACTGTCGCAGTTATACCAGCGCCAAGTGAATCTGTGCGTAACCAAAAACTCACGATATACACTTGTCCAGCCGCAGCCGTAAATTGTTGACTAAGTCGATCGGCACATGAATTACTTCCATCGCAGGCACAATAACTTCCACTTCGACAATTATAATTGCAAATTCGGGCTACGTACCCTCCACAACTTCCATATGGTCCAGTGCGTACCCAAGGTGAAAGTGAACCAGTTTCGAAACCTATATTTGTTAGCATTTGTGTGCCTCCTTGATAGATAGAGGTATCATCAACATACCACTGACCTGGATCATTGCGCAGCTCAAACATAAAAGTAACTGGACCTGTCGTAGGTGACGTCCATGAATATACATAGCAGCCGTATGTAGTGTCATTGGGAGACGAGATAGTCAAAAGAATACTTGCAAGACCAACAGAAGTAGGAAGACATGGGGGTAACGGTGTAGTTGTTGTTGATGCTGTCGTTGTGGTTACCGATGTTGTTGAAGTTGCTGTCGTCGAAGTTGTTGTGGTTGCTGTTGTTGTCACAATATGTGTATTTGTGAGAAGAAAAACCAAGAGAGCAGCAATACCCATCAGAAGTAATAAAATACCAATAGATATTGAAACACAACAACATGCCGAACAGGCCGGACAGATTTTACCAATACAGCGACGATTTCTTTTATTGGTTTTGTTTTTTTCAGTATTTTTCGCTGTTGTCTTTAATCTGTCTTCAAGCACGCCCCATGCATATCGAAGACTTCTTGGTTTTGACTTTTGTTCTTGATATTCTTCCATTGATTTCATTCTCGATAAATTAGCTGAAACATTATGGTTCATTACACTACTGAAAAGTTTACTGGATGATGATGCCTATGTCAGTAGTAAAGTAAATGAGGACTCAAAAAAAATAATATGTACCGAAATCTCATTAAATTTATTTTTAGTTGTTCGAATACTGTGAGGATGAATGATATTGTGACGTTTTATTGATGAAGTTTCAGCCATTTCAATGACGAGTGGATGCATAGAAGTTGGTGAAACTGGATTTGATTTAAATTTATTAGTAGTAGTGGATATGCCACTCATTTTGCCTGAGCGTAAATCATCAGATAGTATCTAAATAAATAATTAAGAGATATTTATCAAATTAGAGGAAAACTATCGAGCATTGACTTCGCAGAATTATAGTAGATGTTCAATAGAACAAGAACAATTTCTTTTAATAAAAGATTTTTATCTAGATTACATGGTTTACCTGTTTTTTTCGGATACGCTGATCATTGTTCTTATGCATGGAACGTTTTGTTTTCCTTCGGATTGATGAATTTCTACTAGCAAGAACTACTGTCACGGACCCCTTAAAAATAAAATCTCAGTAAATTAATGTGATACTTTCGAAAGAACTTGCGGTTTTTTTATATTTTTTATGAATGCTTGACTGCATATTTTCCCGACGAACAGGAACCACAGTGACTCGTATTTTCGGTTCAGTTTCGGACATCATATTCACGTTACAACTTATAATGAAAGAATGATTGTAATGAAATCACAGCAACTATCCGCATATAAAATTTCATTTCTCTGATTCAGCACGAGGTGCCACTAACTCAAAATGAGAGCCGATTTTGAAGGCTTTCTTCTTCAAAAGTTTGTTACACTTTGCTTTATACAGAAACAAAAATAAGATTGCTTTATTTTGTTGTCATTGTCTTGATACATTAGTAATAGGGCGCTATGGCTGAATGGTTAAGATGTTCGGCACATATCTACAAGATAGTGTGTTCAAACCTCGGCGCCATCATCCATAGAATAACCGTGGACAAGTTACTAACGGCTGTTTTGTCTCGGACCACCCATCCGATAGCACGCTGATTACATATGACATACATAAAAATATCCTCATGGATAGTATGTGGTTAGTCAGTATGCATGGGAAGCTTAAGTAATTAAGCGGAAGGAACTCTGAGTCAGGCCGGCCTTCTGTCCAGAGCTGCAGCTAGTAATAGTTGTAGGAAAAATATCGGGCTCTTGAAACTGTCTCCGGACAGCACCCTATACTGAAAGGTAGCCGCAAGGCAAGGGTTTCTTTCTTTCTTTTCTTTCTACATTAGTAATTCAATATAGTTTGAGACAATATAAAAGACATGAGAAAAAAGAAGCTCTAATGCTTTAGAATACATATATATATATATATATATATATATATATTCCATTGTGCGGTAAATATTATTTAAATATTTACGAGCTAATATAAGGAAGAGATATATGTTGAGAATATAGATCAAAAGAGCATTTTAGTGTATGTTTTATTTTATTTAGGCTCAAAAACAGAAAGAAAAATATTGATGAAAAAATGTTAATTCGGTTTGAGATTGATCAGATTTTGTATGCCTATTTTTTTCAGATGAAAAATAAACTTTCTTTGATCATTAATAGGGTTTGAATTTAATCATAGATTTCAAGATGAAGAATAATATTGAATTCTACATCGAACAATGATTTTTGATGAATATTATGAGATTGTTTACTCTTCAAAAGTCGCAGCAGCAACGACTAAGAAAATGTCTACTCGGCTTCTTCTGCCTTCAAAGAATAGATGCTCAGATGACCAAAAGACTAGTAAAAAGACTAGTCTTTTTTCTAGACAAGTCGGCCCATCCAGTCTAGTCTTTTTCTCAAAAAGTCCTAGTACATGACTAGTCTGAAATCCCGTATAGTCCATAGTGCCCGTTCGGACTATGAAAGTGACTGGAGTCATTCTATTTATCATGCGTAGTCTTTTTCGAAAAAGTCTAGACATGCTGTACCATCCTGACGCCCGTCAAAAATATGATTCTAAATAAAAGTAAGAGCGTCCATGACGTTTTGCATGGCGAGTTGTGGTCTTATATAATGAAGAGATCCTGACTAGTCTAAACTGAAATATTTTATGACTACAACTAGATTTGAACACACATACCAACTATTACTTATCCATCGTTCAGACCATTGAACCATTTGATCGAGAGATTAATTTATCAGTACTTCTAGTCATTCTAAGATGCTTTAAAATACGAATTTTTCCTAAGTTTTATTCAATTTTTCGTGTGAATAAAAATTTTTTTTTATAAATTCAAAAATTATTCAGATGAAATTGAATAAAGTAAATCGAAAGCTGTGGTTATTTTATCCTATGTTTTTGTCTTGTTTCAGTCATTAATTTAGCAATTCAGCAGGACATTTTATTCAACAATTTTTTTCCTTCTAATATTTAGATAATTCAGAATTCGGACTGACGGTGTACTTAAAAAATACAGAATAATCTTTACGAACATACAACAGTTTATATTAGCCTAGGAACAGTCCTTCTAACTAGCATTAAAGGCATTTTCGGGTAGTGAGAATTAGTGTCCATCAAGTGATTTCTGCACGCATGGTATATGGAAGACACCCATTTGTGTTTTAGAATATATACATAGACATAAGGCTTACTGTATTATGGACTACCGCCAAGACGCCAGTCTGATAGTCTAGACGTCTGTGCGTGGTTGTCTTTTTTCTCTTCCAGGGTGAAGAATCCGATAGTCGGATCCTGTCGGATCCTAGTGGAAAATTATCGGATTTTATCGGATCCGATGGGAATTCATTGGAAATTGGCGGAATCCTTGGCATTGGATTCCGACAGGAAGTTGTCGGATGTCGGAAAATGCCTGAATGACCAGGACCCTGTCGGAACCCTAAAAATCCGACACCTTCGACATCCGACAACTTCCGACGCATTCCCATCGGATCCGATGGGGTGAGTTCGACCTGGGAGCTTTTTTATTTATCGAAAAGTCGATGTTGCTGCGATTTGTATTAATTCTTTTCTTAATTGTCAGCTACAATTTAAACGTGTGCAATTTATGTGATTTTCTTTTTTTTGTCACATGGACGATGTTCGTGCATGACACCGAAGCGTGAGGACGAACCACACAGTTCTGGATGAAATAAAATTATTACAATAATAATAATCACTTGAAATCAACATTTTATTTTCTGTGGAAAAATAATTGAAGTTAAATTATTCGGTATTTCATGACTATTTTTTATTTATTTTTATATATCTACCGATTTTATAGTCATTCAACAACTAAAATTGTATGCTATATCACGTTTGTTCATCAGCAATCAGAATTTCATCGATGATGATACAATATATAAATGATTCGAGCTCTGTATTAAAATAAATTACGAGAGAGTTACTGTCGCAGTTATACCAGCGCCAAGTGAATCTGTGCGTAACCAAAAACTCACGATATACACTTGTCCAGCCGCAGCCGTAAATTGTTGACTAAGTCGATCGGCACATGAATTACTTCCATCGCAGGCACAATAACTTCCACTTCGACAATTATAATTGCAAATTCGGGCTACGTACCCTCCACAACTTCCATATGGTCCAGTGCGTACCCAAGGTGAAAGTGAACCAGTTTCGAAACCTATATTTGTTAGCATTTGTGTGCCTCCTTGATAGATAGAGGTATCATCAACATACCACTGACCTGGATCATTGCGCAGCTCAAACATAAAAGTAACTGGACCTGTGGTAGGTGACGTCCATGTATACGCGTAACAATTATACCCAGTAGCAGTAGGATTTGAGATAGTCAAAAGAGTACTTGCAGAACCTACTGAGGTTGGTATACAGGGAGGTGTCGGCGTCGTTGCTATTTACATTGGTAAAACAGATTATCAAAGGCAAGCAAAGTAAAATACAAGTTACCTGTTGTGCTGGTAGAAGTTGAACCTAGAAAAATTAATAAAATTTATTTAAGCAAAACAAACAATCTCTTCTTTGAAGAATGATAGCAAAGGATCTACTTTTTTGTAGCTATCAGAGACCATCACAGGGCACAACAAACGACTTTGCCTTGGGAGCTGTGTACTGATCCTAATTTATTTTTTTCTGATTGACAATATTTGATGTCAATTTTAACCCAATTACTCTTTGTCCAATGTATTTTGATCGAGTGATATGAACTCAAGCTGTTTGTAAATTGAAATTAAGTAGTAATGTAATTGAGTCTTTATTTTAATACATATCTTATAAAGTATGAACGTCATATAAAGTTGTTGCTCAAGAACTTTATGAACGAAAAGAACTCTTTAACAAAAAAAAAGTAAATAAAAATTTTCTTTTCATTCAAAAGATCCAATTTTAATCGAGCCATTTAAAAAATAGGCGACTTTGAAGTAAATAACCAACAAAAATAGAAGATTATTCTGTACTAGAAAACTGCTCACTAAAATATTTCATGAAGCTTTACAATTAAGAAATGACGATGTCATTTTGTCTTTTTAATCTATTTATAGTGACCGATATATTCAATCTTTATTTTCAGAAATAAAAAATTTTGAAGAAATTTTGTAATAAATAGAAAGAATTTGTTTATGTCTATTTTATAAAAATTAAGATGAAATAGGACTCTCAGTAAAAAACCTTTTTTGTATTTAAATTACTTTCCTTCCAAAAAAAAAATGGTGTTTTTTTCTAGTGAAAATCCTAGTATTCAACAACACTTTCTCAATAAAAATGCTTAACTCAATAATAATAAAATTACCTCAAAAATTTTTGAATATAAATTTGAATGCTGTTATAAAACAAATATGTAAAGAATCAACACTTTCGGAGCAGCAATGTGGTATAGAATTTTTGAAAAACTTATGCATTTCTATTGCGCAGGGAAGGGCTGACTAATATTATTATCATTTTGGTTCACACCAATAAGTGTCATTTCTCGTCACAAAGTGGAGCATGACATGTGTCTGGCGCTAAAATTGTGCTTAGCATCAACGAACAATCAAACAGTTTGATTGGAATAGTAGCATTTCAATCAATTTTTTAGGAGAAAAATACCAATTAAAATTGGATTTCTTCTCGAATCTTCGTACAAACACTGCTATCGGACACGCGATTCTATTTAATTGCATACTAATTTTTTGATTTTGACATTCTTTCGTGAAGACATAAAATGAATATGATCACTAGTCTTGAAAAGCAAATACATTACTTTAATCAAGCCTTACGATCTCATATAGGCATATTCAATTTAGAGATTTCATTTCAAATTGCCCTGCTCTGTGATACTCTATGGTAGCTATCAATCATAGCTGCGAAGCTGAGAAAAATAAAAACTATATTATCATTTTTCACTTTACTCACTTGTTGTTGTTGTTGTTGTTTGTGCTTGTATATACGAAAAAGAAAGAATTATACTGGTTTTCTCATGCGACAAAGACATTACTTACATGTAGATGATGTTGAACCTATCATAAACACAAAATAGTAAAGATTAATAGTAAAAAATTACAAATTACTTGTGGACGATGTCGTTGTAGTTGAAGTTGTCGATGTTGATGTTGTTGAAGTTGTCGACGTTGATGTCGTCGAAGTTGTTGTTGTTGCTGTTGTTGTCACAATATGTGTATTTGTGAGAAGAAAAACCAAGAGAGCAGCAATACCCATCAGAAGTAATAAAATACCAATAGATATTGAAACACAACAACATGCCGAACAGGCCGGACAGATTTTACCAATACAGCGACGATTTCTTTTATCGGTTTTGTTTTTTTCAGTATTTTTCGCTGTTGTCTTTAATCTGTCTTCAAGCACACTCGATGTATATCCACGACTTCTTCGTTTTGGCTTTTGTTCTTGATATTCTTCCATTGATTTCATTCTCGATAAATTACTTGAAACATCATGGTTCATTAAGCTACTGAAAAGTTTACTGGATGATAATGCCTATGTCAGTAGTAAAATCAACGAGAAATCAAGAAAACTAATTAGTACCGAAGTCACATTGAAGTTATCTGTAGTTGTTCGAATTCTTTGAGGGTGAATAATAGTTGGAGTTCGGATTGATGAAATTTCATGCATTTCGATGATGACTGGGTGCATAAAAGTTGGTGTAACTGTATTTGATTTAAATTTATTAACAGATGTTGATAGACCACCTATTTCATCTAAGTGTAAATCATCAGACAACATCTAAATAAATAATTAAAAAATATTTATGAAATCAGATAAAATTACTTTCGTATTTACAATGGGAAAAAGAATTTCGACACAACAATATTTTAAGATAAAAGATTTTACTTCAGATCATACTATTTACCTGATTTTCTTCATCACCTTGACCATTGTTTTGACGTATGGAACGACTCCTTCTTCTTCGAGTTGATGTATCTCTACTGTCAGGAACTACTTTCGCGGTCGCCTTGAAAACAAGACCTCAATAAAGTAAGGTTTTGCTATTCATAAGAGCTTACTTGTGTCTGATGGTTTTTATTAATGCTTAAATGAATATTTTTTCGATGAACGGGAACTACAGTTACACATTTTTTCTCTCTAGATTCTGCCATCGTGTACACTCGTCTCGCAAGAAATAATGAAAAAATGAATATGTAAAAACAACAGCAACTATTCGTACGTGATTGTTTTTGCTAGGGCATTGCGGAGGCCACTGATTAATTCGAAGTGGGGATTGATTTTCAGGGTATTCTAGGTCAAACGATGAATGCTTTGCACAGAAGCCACATAACAAATACTTTACTTTCCACTGCTCTTATATATTACCAGTTGGATCCGCGTGTCAGCTAACAAGAAGACTTTTGTGAAATAAAATTGAATATGTTCACAATATTTTTTTCTTACTGTATGACAACTGTTGTCCACAGATGTACACAGTTACACAGGGAAAATATTTGTACGCATGATGAAGAATAGATTGCAGAAGCTTTTCTCCGTATGTTTAATCGAGATTCAACTGAAGAATGAAAGATGCCAAGGAACATATACTAAATCACTGTGAGATTGCTTAATTAATATTTACTTTCGCGTACAATGATATTTAGGTTTTCTTTTTCATTCATACACTTTGTACCGAACCATAACTTCGAAAATGAGAAACAAAATTAACTTCTACGCCGAAAGATAATTCTCGTTTAATATAGCATGATTCTTTGATAGTGACCAGCAAGATCAATTATTATAGCAACTGTTTTTCAATTGAGTATGCTGCAATTCAAAAACAAAAGATGAAATGTTTTCTGTTGGTTGTAATTTTAATAAGCAAGTGGTGGATGCACTCTTTTCTAATTGTCCATGTGCATCCAGAACTATGAGAAATTTATATTTGACGATACTGTGAATTTGAATAATTAGCATGAAGTACATTATTAAAATTATAATAGTTGAATTTTCTGATATTCTATTTTGAATGACAAGTTCATTTTCAATACGATTTCGTTCGGCGTCTTACATTTGATTAGCACCAAACTTTTTCGTTTAGCTAGACATCATCCAACGATACTTTTTTTACACTTCGGCAATGCGAATTGAAAGCAATCTTCCATGGAAACTTGTTATTAATAGGTTTTGATGATATAAATTGTGAGAAAAAAAGGAAGTATGCATTACTTGTAAAGATCTGATGTATCTCAACAAAGTTCTGTATATAGTTAAGCTATCTGTTTGATAGTAGATGCATTGAACGAAGTAGATAATTAGATGAAAATACTTGTTGCTTTTATACTTTATTTTATGAAGAAACTTCAAAATAAAATTGTAAAAATTTAAATACCAAAAGCAATACATTCTATGATACTTTTATGGACATTACAAAGTACTTGCATATTTTGGTCGGCAGAAATAACAATAATCTTGACAAGCATTCATAATTTTCTTATTCAACAGAAACAACTATACGCTTCATTGTGAAAAATAAGAAAAATAATAACAGATTAAGCTTGTTGCTTAATAGAATTATGCGTAGTTTTTAATCGGGCATATATTTTGAGAGAACATTAGTAATTTTTTTTTGTCTTTCCTGTAGTAATTTCATACAAACACTGCCATACAAGGGGGAGTAAAGTAGGACATTGTTGCGTCATGGTAGTTTTTTTAACATGTCAATAGAAAGCGCAGAGAAAAGAAAATTGTTTGTCTACAATTCTGGCGTTCGTTCAATCATATTTCAAAATGTCATGCTAACCATATCAAACGTTTTTGAAGTCTTCTGTGCCAGTAAAATTATAAAACGTTCTCGTATTACTAGCATTATCATGAATGAAATATCTCTCGTGTGCCAATGTAAAATAATTGGATTTATAATCAGATTAAAAATCTATTATAATGGCACTATTTTAATCGATTATAATAGTTTTTTAGGTAATCAATTAAAATTGATTAAAATACAATCAAAATCAAAAATAATCTGCCTTTTAAGGCTGGAAAATCTGATTCAAATCAGGTTGTAATAGTATCATTAAAATAGATTTATAATCGCATAAAAATCAATTATAATCAGAATTTTTACGGTTTTTTTTTACATGGGTAGCAAGATGAATGATGTGGTTACAATGAAAAAAACCGACGTAGTTTGCTTTCATATACACATCTACATGTAAAAATAATTATGCGCCCAATCAATTGTCATAGTTTTGTTCGAATCATGAATATCGTGCTAAGAATAACTACTAATATTTTACCTATTTTGATCATCAATCACGTGAGGATCTTGTAGGCCAATGCGTATAGTAAAAAGTATAAAAACTTAAGTCAAGTTTCTAGTTAGCTGGATTAAAAATGTGTATGAAAAATCACGAGAGCAAAACTCTTAAAAAGAATCAGTTCAATATATAAAAACTCATAATCATTAACGTCGAGTATAGGTACTGGAGATAAATCGATATTCTTGAATTATTGAAACATATTTTCTTCGTATCTTAGTTGAAGCTAGTTTCCGATAGCAATGACTGAATTTATGTGCACTTATCTAATAATACTCTTCTGGTCAGTTTTACTAGTGCTGGGACGCAACTCTGAAAACGTGGAAAATGTTAGTGAATTAAATTCAGCACACGTGAAAAGGGATGAAGAATCGAACTCAATGGAACCAAATAATTATAGTAGGATCTAGTTTCTTTTTTTATTTCATTGAATTTAACTTAGGTACTCTGTAGAGAAATTTGTTGCAACGTACAAGACTAATATTAATGTTTTGTCCGATAGCATCGATTTATCGAAAATAGAGGAGGAGGTATCTGTATATATATATATATATATATATATGCATACTCTTTCACTTGTAGTTCTTCATTTATTTTCCTTTATTCTTTTCATTCAACAGTTTGAATTAGCTCTAAAAGCTGAATCAGAAACTATTACCATAGAACAGATAGAAAGTGTATCAACAAGCGAACATAATCATCAATTGTTGTAAGCAATACTTTTTGAATGACGTAAGCGATTTATGTTTATGTTTCTGTATCGCAAGAATAATACGTTCCAATACAAGCAATACGAACTTTGGAATTATTATTACATTTATTATTAAATTTCCACGTAGCCAAGTATGTCAAACTACTAAATGTATCGATACGTTCTTCAATGGCATGCAACAGCGATTTGAACGTTTCTGTAACTTGACTATCACGCTTGTATACAAGGACCAAAATGGAGTATATAAAGTTCAGCTAAGACTGTGCTCAATTCAGATAACCAGTACGCAATCGATCAATACAACATCAACAACGACGACAACTAAGACACCAACTATCACAATCACCTCTCCAACCATAACTACAACTGCGACTACAACAACAACTGCATCAACAACAACAACAACAACTGCATCAACAACAACAACAACAACAGCATCAACAACTACCGTGTCGACTGGTAAAAAGGATTAAATTTTTACGAGATAAGCAAAGAGAAATTGTCGTGCTATCCGAGTATAACATAACTTTAGAACTGTAATAGTGTTATTTAGATTTTATATTTTCTTGAAAGGGCTAAAGATTTCGAGGAAGTTGAGTCGATTGTTGGTATTGCAAGAGTTAAACAGACAGAAGTAAATTATACAGAAAAACTTTCGCTAATTGCCGTTGGTTTGAAGTCTCCAGTGTTTTTATCCCTCCTAGATTAGATACCTCATGTGAGCTTGAAAATAGATTAAATTTTTAAATATAGTAAGTATAGAAGCGTAACAGCTGCAGAATTAGCATTGATCTGACAACTCTATTAAAGTGTGAACAGTAGCATTTCGGGCTAAGCGATCTGAGAAATAATAATTATGTTTTTAAATGTATTCTAATTAACAAACTATATGTAGAAGATTATGCTAGTTGAACTACTAATTCTTTTTTTTTGTAGTGAGTGGCATTGCTGGCAGTGGACTACCTTTTGATAATATGCAACCATCTTTGGTACTTACGCAAATAGTACCATTGTCTATTACATTTCCTCTATGTGCTATTCGTACTTTTGCATGCAACTTTGCTCCTGGTAATAGTCTTCTAACATATGGACAACTACTCCCGATAGCATCCAATACAGCGATATTTTCTATCATGGGTACAACTTATGGAGGTGACGGTAAAAAAACCTTTGCACTTCCGAATTTACAAGGTATTACAATTATTGGTAGTGGTCAAGGTAGTGGCTTATCGCCTTATCGCCTAGGTGAACAGACCGGAAGTCAACAAGTAACACTGACTAAAAATCAGATGCCGGCACATGTACACTCAATCCCAAGCTCGATTGATTTCACAGGCATGACAGGTTCATCACAATCATTCTCTTCTATTCAACCATCTTTAGCGATGAGCTATCTGATTTGTATAAGTGGTGTTTTTCCATCCACTGGTTCCTCCGTAGGACAACTACCATTCATCGGTCAAATCGTTCCATATACTGGAAATGTTATACCGACGGGATGGGCACTAGCGGATGGAAGCTTATTGTCGATTGCATCAGATACAGCTCTGTTTTCAATACTTGGTACTACGTACGGAGGTGATGGAGTAACTAACTTTCGTTTACCAGACTTACAAGGCAGAGTACCTGTTGGCGTTTCTGGAAGTTTAAATACACAGATTGGTAATACTATTGGCGTCGAATCTGTTACTCTGTTAACCAATAACTTACCTTCACATGTGCATAGTCTAGTCGGTAGCAAGTATAATGCGACTCAAACTGGTGTTACAGGAGCTGGACAGACTTTCGATAATCGGCAACCTGGTTTGGGAATCACTTATCTGATAACAATGCAAGGAGTATTTCCATCACAAGGAGGTACTGGTCCAGAACCTATGGCACCTTATCTTGGAGAGATTGTTGCATTTGCTGGTAATTTTCAGCCAGGGGGTTACGCCTTTGCCAATGACCAACTACTATCAATTTCTCAAAATACAGCTCTCTTTGTTTTGCTGGGTACTACTTATGGTGGCAATGGTATAACAAGTTTTGCTCTTCCTGATCTTCGCGGTCGAGTCATCCTCGGATCTGGAAGAGGTTTTAGCATTGGCCAAACCCTTGGTTCATCGCTAATAACGCTAACAGCAGATCAAATGCCATCTCATGCACATAGTCTTAGCCCATAAAACATGATTTAGTATCACTGATATTTTTGTTAAATTTCAATATGACCGTTAATGAAGTTTGATCATCACATTTGAACTATAATTTCAGTACTGATTCTTGTCTCCGAATATCCTATTTCATCTATGCAAATGAAAAAATTGCGTAGCATCATTGATTTCGAATCAAAAATAAAGGGTAACTGCGTAACTAACCATAGGTTTTTCCCGCTTTGTCATGTCGATGATATGCTTCGTGGAATAATACCATATGAACGTGTGAAAAATGCATAATTTATAGGAATATTTTTATAGCCATTCACAATCACGTATATATTGTATAGGGAGAAGAGTAGTAAGTAGCTCATAAAAAATACATCAAGAAAGTATCTTCAAGGAAGTCATAACTGCCGGTGAGGTACTCGTTTTTATTTACTTTTGCATTTCTATCAAAAACGTTTCTTATTTTACTAGCTTATTTCTACCTTTTCTCTAGCTAACAAACAATTAAACTAATTGTTAAATTCTACTCATACAACAAAACTAATCTTGAATATGTGTTGCTGTTGAGTCCGATCATTTTTATTTTTGCCTCACTGCTTATCTTTTCACGTGAAAAATATTCTAGAAAATTCACTGATGATTTCTTCACTAGTATTTTCAGTAAAGTTAAGTATTTTATAGCAAAATTAAAATTGTGATTGCGTAATCAAATGAAGCAGGCGTGAGTCATATTCAAAAATACTTGTTTCTTAATTTACAAGGCTGTATCATTGTATTGAAATTTTTGACTTGAATCTGATTAGATGTAGTTTCGAAACTGAAATATGTTTACAATTAGGTGTTACCGCCCATATCAAGACTCGATTCGTAAACCAATGTGTGATTGGTATTGGACAATGAAAGAATAAATGTTTTAAGAATATATACTTGTTGGTTCTCTTTTCTGTTCTTTTATTCGCATTGTTTATTACAAGGGCATAAATATTTGTTTTCTATTTTTCTTCATTCCTTTTCTCTGCACAGTATTCGCTTCTTTTTCGCGTTATGTTGGTGCTCCTCCACGTGATATTATATCGTCTTAAATACTAAAAACTGAGCAAAACAAATGCATTTTTGACAACTAGTACATGTCAACACAAATCTATCTAAAGTAACGATTTTAATTAATCAAGCGTAACATATCCTGGCATTCATTTACGTGTACACTAAAACACAATAAAAAAATAGAACGCATATCACCAACAACTTCAGCAAACATAATATTAAGTAAATGAGCCAAGTTCATTTTTCTAATAACAAAGTATCGTTACCCTTGAATATGATGCATCGAACATGTCGTCGTTCTATGGAAAAATTAAATATTTACGACTCGAATACATCACCATCCATTTCATCAAAACCTCAATTACCTCCACCTTTACCACCACCCCGTAAAAATCGGCGCCATCTATACAATGGTGAAACTTTCGAACGTTATCACTTTCTCTGTAATATGAAGCGTCATAGAACAGATCCGATTTATGCTGCTACGCCAATGTTTTCAACAATACCACAATCAACACCAGTAAAACATACTCGAACATTGCTAGGCGCTTATATACCTTCATATATTATTAAGCCTTTACCGATTCAATCTCCGATGTCTATTACATCTCCAGAACTATCAAATGCTAATAAAATTGATGATGCAGAAAGAGATAGAAATAAGAATAATGATCAAAATGCAAGTGATGGTGATAAAAATAGAGATGTCGATGACGATGATGATGACGATCAAGGAAATTCATCAAGTAGTAGTGATGACATTGGTATTGATGATATTATTAATAATGATGATGATGTGATCGATGATAATGATAATGATCAAGGGATGGTAGAAAAAATATTCAACACAAATAAGAAATGAATAATTGCGTCGCTTTTGTAGCTATTTCATAGTTAGTAAATTTTTATATTTTTTTATGAATAAAACTCAAAAATTGTCGAAATCTTTCTTGTTCTTTTCATTATAAAGTAATACAACTAATTCTACTCGAAATATATACTTATATACAAGCAATTGAATTTCCATACATGGAAAATCATCTATGACAGACTTCTACATTATCGATTTAAAACTCACTGATAGAGTTAGATAAGAATACAAATTGAACGAATTCAGCACAAACATATTTTATCATGTTTTCTACAAGAAATGCAAATCATATTTGCGAATCTACAATCAGTATAAAAAGTTTCACAAAATTCAATAATGCGTAAAAATTATCTATGAAAACAATACCATATGAAAGCTCATTACAACGAAAGAGTACGGAAAATTTTCTGCTGCTCTCTGACATAAAAATGTGCAATCTCTACTCAGTGAGAACAACACAGTTTGAATCTCAAACTACTTTAGATTGCTTTCTGGTAAACATTGAACTGAAACATGCTCTCGAAAGCGTCTGCTTCCAACAACGATCTGCCGATGCGGACATGCATGTATTGTGTAAGATTCTTCTCGGTATATTTTCTTACTAGAAGAGTGGTTTTGTCTCGGATAAAGCATCTTCCCAACTGAGTTCTAAGCGTAGATGAATGAAACGATCTGTATGAATAAATGAACTATTATTCCTCTTCCGATTTAATAATAATTCATTCGATGAATGAAAGAAAAGAAAAGAAAAGAAAAGAAAGAAAAAAATCTCATCAGTCAAAATGAATCATTGCTATCAATATTGAATTTTGAGAGAGAACAAGTAAGTAGAATATACTTATTGATATAAATGATTGTATTAATAAAATAGAATATAAAATATCAATAGAAATAAATTGGCAGATACTCTTCTAGATAGTAAAATACCCTAATGAGTTCTTTTTTCTTTTTAAATAAGATCAATTATTCGCTTCTAACAAGATTAGTAAAATGTATAAATGTTTTGACACTTTTTTCTTCTCATTAGAAAACATACTTTAATTGAATTAGAAAAAGAAAAGTTTTGTTTTTCTTCGAAACTTTCGATGCGAGAAAAAAGATATTACCATTACATTAACATATATGTAACAGATTTACATTCTACTGAAGCATATGCAAGTTTGAATATCGAATATCGTTTAAAAACTTCAGATAATTATGATTATTGTGCATAAAAAACGAACAAAAAACCATAGGATTCTATAGTAAGTTTTCTTACTTCCGTGTATGCCGCTTTTCAATAACATATATAATGTAATCGATAACATTTGTCATCTAGCGAAAGCTCAAGGTCTATGTTTCTGACGTAAACGAAGTTTCGCAATGAAAATAGAAAGCAATTAGTATTTATATCAGTATTTGATGTTCTTTTAAAAATAGTTTTCCGATATTTTTTTTCTATTGTTTTACCCGATGGAGCAAAAGATTTTTCGATTCTATTTTCTTTTTGTTATACTAGTTTAATATGGTCTGAATCGTCGAGGAAAAACAAAATTTATTTTAACTTTTGACATAGTATTGTAATTTAAATCTGAATATTAATTTTAATCCATACAATAAAATCTATCGTTATTATTTTCTTGTTTCTAAATTTAAACTTGGAACTCTTTCGCAAAATTGATCCATTTCTACTATCGTACATTGATTACAAGTCAACCCTAGTAAATGACATTTGATGTAAATATTCTTTTGTTGTAATTCTAGAAATAACTATTTACTCAGTTTAGCAGTCATGCGTATAACAAAAATTTATTACAGTTCTTCTATAAGTTCATTGAATACAGTTGCATTTTTCTGTTCTTAATAAATAAATGGATATTTGATTTCTATTAGTAGATTATTACCTAGTTTAGTATGGATATCCGATATTTTTCACAACACTCTTGTATATATGCTACTAACTCCACTATGATCATATTACATATTTATTTTATTTTTCTGCTTTTTCTGACATCGTAAACAAAATCATCTATTCGACTCTTCTACAAAATAATTTATTTCGATGTGCTTCTATTACATTATTTTGAAAATTTGTTTTAGATCAAACATCGCTTTACTTACTATTTCATGCTAACTGTGATTATTTAATAAGAAATGATATTATCTAAGGTTCTGGAATATAATGTTGTTTCCGCTTATAGTTCCTCTTTTTTGTGTACTCAAAAAGTGAGTACACTCTAGAATCGGTCAGTGTGTCCGTCCGGCCGTAGGCACGATAACTTGCGAAAGGAGAGTCAGACCGTGATGAAATTTTCCACACAGTTCAATCTCATGAATATCTCGGTCGAGTTCGAAGATGAGAAGAATCCCTCAAGAAATGGTTGAGTTATCGAAAAAATTGTCATTTTTGACCAGGTCATCCCTGAGGAGGAGTACAGGGATTTGTTTTCAAAAAATAAATCTTTCTCAGAATTATTCACAACATATATAAATCGACTCAGTTTTTAACGCTGATTCCGAATCTGATATTAGTTTTGAGCTAAACCGTAGCTTTCTGATGAAACATCGCCTGAAAAACGTCTCAAAATGCACAAAAACTGCATCCAGAAATCAAATTGCCTAGTTTCTCATGATAATTTTGGTGTTCAGACATTCTAGAATGACTCATACATCCCATGCACTTTTTGCAGTACACATAACTTTCGGATGAAATCCGAAGTTTCCACATTTATTTATAAAATGCTTTTGCCCTTGAGGCATATGTTTGTATAGGAAAAAGAAAAACTTAGTTGTGCCTCGTTCTGTCAATTTATTTCTTAGATATGCCCGGATAGAGCCGTACTAATACCATTTGTTGTTTTTCTCTATAATTTATTATTGTTATGATGCTTCTTTTACAATATATATATATATATATATATCAATTATTTCTATTGAAACTTTTCAATCAAATGTCTCGCATTAAATAAATATTATAAATAAAGAAATCTATGTCGAATATAAGTTTACTAAATGATTTTTTTACCATCAACAGGAGACAAAAAGAAAGGTCCATGAATCATATCGATGATAATAAAAAAAGAAATGTATTTTTTTATTATGAGATTCTTTTTGGTCGCAGCATGTCAAACAATTCAAGAGAGATAATCCTGATTGTACGAGGAAACGAATATAACTTATATATATATATATATATATATATATATATATATATATATATATATATATATATACGTAACTACGCACAATTATGTGTTCTGTTTCCTTTTCTATTAAGCGACATCCCACCCGTTTTGGTTCTCTGCAGTATAACGGAAATAAGTGGATAGAAAACATCAACTATAGATTTGTAGTCTTTTCTTCTCCATTTTTCTTTACATATCGTCCATGCGCATAGACATATACGTACTAAACAACAGACAGATCTACATATATAACTCGATCCCCATACGTAATATACGGTAACAAAGCTTATTCTTATCTTCGTAGTGTCTATGGTCGCATCTGTATAAAACATTAATTTTTCAGGTGAGAATAACATATAATATAAAACATTGTTCCATTTTAATATTGATATTTATTTATCTCATCTTTATCTTTATAGAATAATGAAAATAGACTTCGTTCAATGACAAGTACAAAAAGCTCCCATGATGATACAACAGTAGTGTTGCCATCAACGACGCCAGTTAAATATAGTTCAACTGATAGAAATTGTAAAACAGTTCCGGAACCACCGGCATGTCCTCTCGACATTGGAGATTTATTTTCTAAACCATCTGATCCAAATGATAAACCTAATTTAGAAAAACTCAAACAACACATTATACTCGAAGGACATCTTACTGAATGTGCTGCACTTCGAATCATTGAAAACGGTAAATATATTTACTCTATTCATTTTAATTCATAACTAATTATTTCTCTATCATATCTTGTCGATACATCGGTCGTGTAGATATTATCTTCTACACGAGTCTATCATTTTAATAATAGAGATAAGCTCGAATCAATATCCCTTTGTATATCTAACCATCAGGAATGTAATACAGTCCTGACACAAGAAGTAGTTACGCCTCAAGAAAAAACACTGGGATGTTGTTGTTATTTTTTAATAATATCAAGCTGATCTTTTCGATACATATGTGAAAGATAGATTCGTAACACAACAATACGTTCTCTATCAGTTTACATGCACTGCAAATTCCCTTGCGGAGAACACTTTCATCGGATATCTACAGATACAAAAGAACTTTTCTTTTTTCACGATCTACTATTGTTTTCTTGCTAGTGTTGAAAGCATTGTTATTTGTCTGCTTTGTTGTCATTGAAGCTTGCGTACTACTCATAGTAAAAAATTTACGAATCAACACTTTTCAAGATAGATAGTCCCTTGTAGTGACGCTATCTCGACATCTTTCAGTTGTGCGATTGTAAAAATATTACAATGAAGTCATCTTACTGAAAACTAATAGTTTGTTTTTAGCAAATATTCTCGATGACAAGAATATATTTCTACTAACATATCTGAGTTAAAATAATCATAACAATATGTGTATAAACCAATGGATAAGTGTTATCTTCGTCAAAGATCATGGGAATAGGCGAAGATTATTTTTAGACTTATCCAAGCGCTTTCTGCTGCATCGTAAGAAACATCTATGATATTGTGATAACTCAAATGTTTCAGCAAATAATAATCATGTGTGTTTTTCTCAAAGTCTTTTTCTTAAAAACAAAAAATTTGATCATATCCTAGATCGTCACGATTAAGAATAATTGTGCTTTGCTTAATATATAGGTGCTACTCTGCTGCGCGCAGAACCAACGTTATTACATATCGATGCACCATTAACTATTTGTGGTGATATTCATGGACAACTCTATGATTTAGTAAAGTAAGTTAACATAATTTTGCTTATTTATTTTAAAAATATGCGTTCTGATAGATTGTTCGAAGTCGGTGGATCTCCAGCAAATACTCGTTATTTATTTCTTGGTGATTATGTTGATCGAGGTTATTTTGGAGTAGAATGGTTCGCATGAATTGTTTTTATTTATTTTTTCTCTTCATGTAACGATCGATTTATTTAGTGTACTTTATTTATGGTCACTAAAAATTCATTATCCCAATACATTCTTTTTACTAAGAGGAAATCATGAATGCCGACATTTGACAGAATATTTTACGTAAGAAAATGATTTTCTTGCTTAAATAATAATTATCATAACGAATCTCTTTTTTCATTCAGATTTAAACAAGAATGTCTTATAAAATATACAGAAAAGGTTTATGACGCTTGTATGACAGCGTTTGATTGTCTTCCATTGGCTGCCGTTATGAATAATCAATTTCTATGTGTGCATGGCGGTCTTTCACCGGAAGTTCAGACATTAGATGATATTAAACAGGTAAAAATCTGTCATCTGAACTCAGTTTTTCTAAATTCTATCGCGAAAAAGGAACAACTAGTTAAAGTGAAATCTATACTAGATAGATAACATTATCGGATCTTTAATTTTGTCTTTTTTTTTTCTAGTTGGATCGATTTCATGAGCCCCCAGTTCATGGTGCAATGTGCGATCTACTTTGGTCTGATCCCGCTGAAGATTATGGTAACGAAAGCGGGTCTTTAACACTAGTTGCAACACGTCGTCTGAGCGCTCCAGTAAAAACATCAACATCAACAGCTACAAACCCTTCAACAGCATCATTATTTCTACCGAATGGAACACGTGGCTGTTCTTACTTTTATACATATGCTGCTGTTAATGAATTTTTAGTACGGAATCAGATACTTTCTGTAATTCGTGCACATGAAGCACAAGACATTGGCTATCGCATGTATAAAAAATCTCCCGAAACTGGTTTTCCATCATTAATCACATTATTTTCAGCGCCTAATTACTGTGATGTTTATCAAAATAAAGCAGCTATTATGAAATACGAAAATAATGTTGTTAATATTCGACAATTCAATTGTTCGCCGCATCCATATTGGTTACCGAATTTTATGAATGTATTTTCATGGTCATTACCATTTGTTGGCGAAAAAATAAATGATGTTCTTTTGAAAATTCTTAATATATGTACAGATGAAGAACTAGCTGAATGCGATGAACATATTAATTCATTAATTGAACGTAATCAAATCGAACAACGTAGAGAACAGATACGTTCGAAAATACGTGCCGTTGGTAAAGTCGCAAAGACATATCAAACTCTACGTGAATTAAGTGAAAATGTTGTTACATTACGTGGTTTAACACCATCGAATAGTATCACAGAAATCAATAAAGAAATAACAGAAGAAGCTGAAGTTGCGGCTTCAATACTTCGTGAAAAAGTAAAATCACCAAAAGAACGCTTTTCAAAAGTGAAAATACTCGATCAAGCCAATGAACGTATGCCGCCATCGAGAACTACAAATCCATTGGGTGGTTCGAGTGTTGCTGAACGTATTAAACAAGCATCGAACGCTACTCAACCAGCGGAAGCATTGAAAAAAGAAATGCCATCAAAAGCTTTTACGAATGCAACAACACAAGGAATAGTTAAAATGCGCCGTGAAAGTTATGCTGGCGTACCAAATTCAGAACGAGCACGTTCATCAACACCGGTTGTAGATTTACCAAAACTTGTTACTGGTCCATCAGCGCCATCATCGAATAAATAATTTACATCACCGGCTGGCCGATTTGATCCCTTGTTCAAAGTTTTTTTTTTCGTTTTCACCCTTTTCCTTTTCCTTTTCTTATTAATATTTCTTATTTTTATTCCATGTGCACTATTGTAAACCCTTATTTTTATTTTGCGACGATTATAAAGCAAGGCATATCAATTATTTATCACTAAGAAAAGTGCTTAGAACATGGTTTTGTGTTTATCAAAGTAGTTAGTTGTCCATGAACTAAATAACTTATTAAAACAAAAACAATTGTATCGGATTAGGAAGCATTAATAACTTTCCTAGAACTAAGTAAATCAGAGAAAAAGTCTTTGATAGTCTGAATTCTAAACCGACACGTTATATGAATGGCGCATAAAGAAACTAATTACAAAAAACCAAAGACATGAATTTAACTTTATTTAGAAAAACAAAATCAATTCTTCTATTTAATATATAATTACTAAAAGCTTCATTAATAAAATCGTCACCAATGAAATTTGTTGAATCAATACTGATCCGTTCGGTAGCGTATTTAACATAATACTATTCGTTAGTGATGATTTCGTTGCTGAAATATTGGGATTCGTACTGTTGTTTGTGTTGAAATATGAGGTTTCAGAACCTTTAGAATTAGAACATAATATTCTCTCTTGTGTGTCTATATTACAAGCGATGATGCTAATTTTATTAGTTGTACCCAATATATAATTCTTATCCATACGATAAAATAATGCATTATTGTTCAGTGGAGGTTTAATTTCGATTCCATCAATAGTCACTCTATAGTCATTAATTGGACCGTGTGGAATACTCGGAGGTTTCCATTTCAATTCAAGATGGTGACCATTCAATTGAACTTCAAAATCACGAGGTGGTGATGGTCGAAAAACGTCCGTACGTACTACTAAAGTTCCAATATTTGTGACTTGTGAACAGTTCATTTCCAATGAATATACTGTATAGGGTTGTAAATTTTCAAGAGTAACAGAACCTGTTGTAGTAGCATTCGTAGATGGAGAAAATTTTACAGGAGTCGAAATGCCTGTTTTATTTTTTTGTATAAGACATGAACATGGTGACGAACAATTTGCTAATTCAACCATTAGACTAGACAATTGAAAATATTGGTGTTTAGCAAGAAAATAGAAATAAATTTACTTACAAAATACTATCGTTAGTAGTTGTTGATTTGTTAAAAATGGTTGCAGTAAATTTAATAATCTCTGCTGCTATGGCAGTTTGAACATGGCAGACTATCAATATGAGAATGAATCGATACATTTGTGTTGAATGCAAACAATTGAATGAATTTTATAATGAAAAATTGCGGCTGTTTTTAATCATTACAGGCTGGCTTTTTGTATGTGATTAAAGGTTGCGTTTATATAGTCCTTCATGAGTTTGTTTTTATTGATGTGATGGCAAACAGAGCATTTATCAAGGCTATTGTGATACGAAAGCACAACACATTCGCATTGTCCTTCATCACTCAAGTTTTTTTTCTTCCCTTCCTGCTTGATGTACACGATTCAAAAACTGTCTCGTCTATCTCGATGATCTCATTTCAAACATGAGAATAATACTTTTCGAATCTTCGCATTAATTTATGGTGTAGAAAAAGTCATCTGTGCAAACTAATAATAGACTATTTTGAATAAGAATCAATTGATTAATTTGTACCTCTCATATTGACAGATTTCTGAATTTCATTACTATTACTTTTTTTTCAGGTTAAATATCCTTCGGAGAAAACTCTTTTAATCATAACGCAATAACCATAGATACTATGCAAGTATATGTCAAAATTTATATCCAGTTAATAAACAATTACAAATAAACGTTGCTTTTTTTTATCAAGCCGTAACAATTTAGTTTTCATGGTGTGTCTCATACCACTTGAAATATGTTTCGTTAGTGATGATTATAAATATTGAGTAACCATAACTAATCATGTTGCGCAATTACTTGATGAAGAACTCGATTATTATTGATCATTTAATCATGGCCTTCTTTTTATCTTTCAAACTATTATTTGCCACAGAATGAACATGACATTTAGCGACATCTCGTGTTCTGTTTCCTTGTCTAACCAGCATAGAAACGATTGTCATCGCTACTCATGCACAAAACATAATCGATGGATGAAGTTTTTTTTTGTTGTGCTCATTTTTATATTTACAGGTCCTTTAGAAACACAATAAAAAGCAATGTTATTCGATCAAAAAGCTAATATGGATACCGGTGGTGCATCGGTATCATTACAAACGAATTATGAAAGTAAAGTGACCGCTCCAAGAAATCCAACGCTAAATCGCGGTCCAAAAATCGAGCCCAAAGTATGTTGAGTATTCATTGAAAAAAGAAAATGAAACACTAATACGATGAACCCATGTTATTTCATTATAGTTGACACCTTCGTCATTTTTAAAAGAAATGTCATTAGATACCCAACAAAAATTACTTTACACAAGAGAAATGTACCTTCCAAAAATAATCTCTCTATCAGATATGGCTGAAACATCATTACAAACAGTAAAATTAAATTTATTTTCATTAAGAACCGAATTTTTAATTTATCTTTAAAATATAGACAACTAAAGTTGACATTGATGAACCTTTATTTCAACCGTATCCATCGGATATTACTTTTCAAAAATATGAACCATTTAATACGTATGAAGTGCCTTTATTACTTCGAAATAATGATAAAGTAACATATTTATTCAATACAACAGAATACTTTTTATTTTCAATCTAAATTAAACTTCAATTAGGTTGCAAGAATAGTTAAAGTCTCACAAGCAGATACACCTTATTTTACAATTGTTACTCCACCGAATGCATATCAAAAAGTCGCGCCTGGAGTCGCTCTTGTTTTTCGTATTCAATTCAAGCCAGAAGAGCAACGAGTAGAAATTAATTGATATTCTTTTTTTTTCAATGAACTAACAACTACGATTGTTTTAGGATTATGCACATGAAATTTTAGTTGCAACTGAACGTGAAAAATTTCTTGTACCCATTCGAGCGATCGGTGCTCGAGCTATTTTAGATTTTCCTGATTCAATTACATTTCCAACAACAGCTGTAAAAAGTAATAATATGAGTAAAGTTTTGTTTGTTCGAAATATTGGCAACCGTGAAGCTCGTTTCGTTTTACAAATAAATAAGTAAATGAAGAAATTCTTTTCAATTTCTATAATAATTACTATTTTAATGTAGACCTTTTCATGTTTCACCTGAAAACGGTCTTCTGTCCGTCGGTGAAAGTATGCAAGTAACTATTGACTTTCATCCAACAGTGAACGGTGAAATGAAAGATGAACTTGTTATTTTATATGACACTGGTTTGTTATAACTGCTTTTTTCTTAATATTTTATTGAAATCATATTTTTTGTTTAGGAGAAAAAGTTTATGTTAATGCATATGGTGTTGCACAAGATATTAATGTTCGATTAGAAAAACGATCTATTCATTTTGAAAATACTTATCTAGAAATGGTCAACCAACGTACTGTCACATTATCAAATCGTAGCGATCAATTAGTTCATTTTCAATGGAAACAATATGCTACCGAACGTGAAGAAGAACAACACAAATTAAGACAACTTCATGCACTCTCAGACGAAGAAGTCAATGCATTACAGAAACTGAATGGTAATTTACATAGAATAGTACCAGAGAAAATAACAAATAGGTCGAAACAGGCTATCAATAATCTTTCAAGAAATCGAATTTCATTCGAGTTTTAGTAATTCGTATAAATTGAAAAAGTCTCATATATTAAGCAAATTTTAATGAGAACTCATTCATTGATGTGAGAAATAATCTCTATTTTTGTTTTGTAGTTAATTCCAGTGAATCTCCCTCAGCTGGTCCATTTGATTTTGGTGTATTAATTCAACGTACATTTATTAATCATCGTCGTCAATTAAGCAATGAATCTTATTTATTCACAAATACAAATTTTCGTATTGATCCACTCGAAGGTGACCTATGGCCTGGTGGTACATTAGACATTCAAGTTCTATTTAAACCAAGTGAAGCACGCAAATATGAACAATTAGCATGGCTTGACGTTGTTGGCCGTGAACAACGATTACCATTGACATTGACAGGCGAAGGTGAAGGCGCAAAATTAGAATCGTCATTTCAAACATTAGATATCGGCTGTGTTTATGTTGGTTCGACACATCTCTATGAAGTTGTACTAGCTAATAAAGGTTTTATTGATGCTCGTTATCGAATTCGTAATTCAAATTCAATGTTCGGTTCATGTTTTCAACTTGATCCGTCAGCGGGAACAGTCTCCATGGATAATTATCAAGCTATTCAAATAACATTTCATAGTGAACAACTCGGACAATTTCATGAAGTATTTAATGTCGAAATTGAAGGTAATCCAAATCCATTAATCGTAGCCATATCTGGACAAGTCATCGGACCAACATTTTATTTCGATCAAGCTCAATTAAAATTTGGTCTTGTTTCCTATGGTTTTCAAACAACATTAGGATGTCATTTATTTAATACATCACTTGTGCCGATGCCATTTAGATTACACATTGATAAAGATAAACATAATAAACCGAATCTTGTTGCGTTCGATGACGAAGAAGAAGAAGAAGAGGAAATAACTAATGATAATGAATTTCAAATTCGACCATCACGCGGTAATATTCCACCACAGAGTGATACGAAAGTTTATGTTGATTTTATACCTAAATCAATTCAAAAATATGATACATTTCTGCAAGTCGATATTGATGGTGTTGGAAGAAATATATTCTCATTGCCGATTACAGCGAAGTAAGTGTTGCTAACATAGTGAAAACTCGATTTGTGTAATGATATTGTCACTTTGAAATACAATTTTCAATGTGACAATTCAGGCAAAAACGAACATTACCTACTCCTAAAAGGATTTCTGTAATAGAATAAATTTTGACCTCAAACGCTTATCTTCAGAGTAGTTTAAGTTCGAGTACTGCAATCTAATCAATTCTATTTCTTTCAGGAGTACTGTTCCTCGTATAACACTACATACTGAAATTCTCGATTTGGGTCGTACATTTTTAAATAATCCAAATCAACGTTACGTTCGTTTACAAAACTCCACAAGTCTTCCAATGCGTTATCAATTTTTATATCCTGGTACTGAAACGTTACATTTTGAATCAGCTGAAGGAGAAGGTGTTATTGATGCGAATACAACACGAGATGTTCCATTAACAATAACAATAAAACAACTTGGTGATATCACAGAAAAAGTTGAAATCCATCGTGTTGGTGCACGTGATCCTTCACTAGAATTAGAAATCACAGCAACAGGTACAGGACCTGTTCTGTTTATTGATCCAGGTGAATTGCGTTTTGGTACAATCAGTGTACTCGATGAGCATACACAAATGCTTTCACTTTCAAATGAATCTCCAATTCCAGCTGTATTTCATTGTGATTTCGATAAGAAAAATTCTTGTTTTTCATGTGTACCGAATTATGGTGTTGTTGAACCACATACATCAATTGAAGTTCGTGTTATCGCACGACTTAATGATCGACTCAAGTAAACCATATTTGTCTTACTCTTCTAAAAAGGAAATAATATCATTATTTATTTTTTTTCATTTAGATTTAACGAAGAATTAATCATTTTTGTTGATCATAGTTCACCACGTTCAATACTTATAACTGCTCAAGGTACAGGCGCATTAATTGTACCTGATGTACCAATATTTCCATCGCTTAATTTGGGTTCACGTTTTGTTGGCACATCGATTGTTCAACGAATACATTTCACAAATAAAGGTCGCCGTCATTTGGCTGTTCATTTTATTCCAGCCGGTGATACAACAGCAGCCTATGGCGTTCAGAGAAAAACCAAAGCAAGCAGTAAAGATAGCGATTTGAATCGTGCATCTGAACAAATATTTCGTCTTGAACCAGAACGATTAGAATTTTCGCCAGGTGAAACTCGTCTATTGACTGTAACGGGTTTTGCAGCACAACCGAAAACTATCGATGAAATATTTACTTGCTTGGCTATTATTGGCCGATCAACAGGACGTGATAAATTACTTTCATTGAAAATTCATTGTGAATTTGTCGAACCATTAATGTCGTTCTCGAAGACAGATCTATATTTTCGTGTCGAATATAATGAACAAACAATAGCCGATGGTTTACGTACACCAGTGTCATCGGAATTAACATTTTCAAATATATCAGCCATTGATTTAACTGCTAATCTTCGTGTAAAACATCCATTTTTATTAAAAACTGAAGCCAACGATGATTCGAGCTCAACAAGTCGTCTCGATAGTACCGATGAAACATTACCGGAAATACCGCCAGGTTTTACATTAACAAAAAAAATCAAAATATTAACAGGAATGAGTTATGTCGAACACATTTATTTTGATCCAAGTGCCAATACAAAAGAATTATCATGGAAATGTGATGAACAAGTAGTTTTTACCTATGAAGAACATGCGTTTAATGTAAGTTATTTTTGATAAATACTGACTAGAGGTCATGTAAACTAGTATAGGCAGATTCTTAGTCGCGATGGACATTTCTGTCACGTAGTTGATGAGTTCTTGCTGTATTTTATTATTCATCTTTTTTGAACGATCAGCTAAAAGAAGTGACAGGTTTCAATCTCACAACAGTATTGTACTAATCATTTTTATTTGTAGGATATCGTAAGTTTACACGGTGAAGTACATTATCCGAATTTATTAATTGAACATGCTGATCTTAATTTCGGATGCATTCTCAATGGGACTGAAGTAACACGATATGTAACCATGGTGAATGTAAGTCCATTGCCTGTAAAATATTTGTGGGCGTTTATACTTGATGAAAACGATCGAAATTATTCATTTGAACCACAACCGCAAACAAATATTTCATCGCCACAATTAAATCAAACACAAATTCAAAGTGGACCATGGTCCGAAAATGCCGATCAACCAATTACATATGATACGACAAATACTAATCCTAAATTAGAAGAAATATTTGATATTTCACCATTTTTCGGTTGTCTTCAACCCGGGTAAATATCTCAAGGAAATTCGAATTCCAAAATAAAATTTCTTTTGTTTTTGTTTTTCTTCAGAGAAATCGAAAAAACTGCTGTTCGTTTTTATGGTCATCCAGGTATAAAAACAGCTGTTAAAGCTATATGTCAAGTAGAAAATGGTCCTGTCTATGAACTCTATCTACACGGTCAAGCATCCTACATGGCGTATCGCTTAAATACACATGAAATTGACTTTGGTGATATTTATTTTGATAAAACTGCAACACACACATTAACATTAACAAGTGTTGGTTTGGTTCCATTAGATTTTCAAATTTTAAATCTATCAAATTTAAAGACCAATCAACAACATGAACAAATCGATGTTGAACCTCAATCGGGTGAATGTGAGGCATTTTCATCAACTGTCATAACCGTAAAATTTCTGCCGAATGTTCCTGAAAAATTTGAAAAAGTTATTTATCTTCAAGTTGCACATTTTCAACCTGATGAAGTACGTTTAATTGGCACGGGAATGTTTAGCCGATTAGATATTGATCTACCACGTTATATTATCAATAATTCCGTCGAAGAACAATTATATGAGCAAATCAAGGAAAAGTTCGATGAAAAAACTCTTCAACATCAACTTGATACAGTTGTCGTACAAACTTTTGTACAAAAATCGAATGAAATCAATCCACACTTTATGGAATTTATTGGTCAATCACCAACACAACAACAATTACAATTGCAATCACTACACTCGAGTAATGCATCACTATCATCATCATCGACAAGCTTATCAAAACGAAGTGTTAGCAGTAAATCAATACCTATTTTACCAGATTATTTAGTTGATTTCAGTTATATTATTTTGGGAACTGTCCGACAAAATTACATTCGTGTTAAAAATCCAACAAATAATAATATTACATTTCGTTTCGATCGATTAGCATATAAAAATACAGGATTTTCATTTGATTGTGATCATGTGAAAAATTTACCGCCTGGTGAATATATTCGAATTACAGTTACATTTGATCCACGTGGAGCTAATCTCGAACTTGGACCGGTAGAATTACGAGTACCAGTTGAGGTAATGATGATTTTATTTGTCAATATTCAAACACTAGGGTTCATATAAAGAGGATAGTTAAAATTTTACGATAGAATAAAAGGAGCAGGACCGTATTTTTTATTTCTTTACTACAACTCTAATTCGATAATTCGTAGGGAAAAATATCGTATCCTACTGATGGTCCTATTTGAGGATCGTCGAGACCAACTGATAAGATCTTAGAGAAAGCTAGATGGTTTATACTTTGTTTATGTATTTTAACTTATCATTTTATTAGGTAACTGCTGGTCCTACATTTCATTTACGTTTGAAAGCTATTGTAACAATGCCAGATTTAAATGTATCAAATGACACACTTGATTTTGCTACTGTGAAATGTGGTGAATGTAAAATTGCAACAATACAATTAAAAAATCCACAAGAAATTCGATGTGAATGGGTTGCTATATATCCAGGAGTATGTTTGAGACAGACGAATAAAAATCTAGCGAATATTTTTATTGATTCATTTACAGGAAGATACAAATAGTAAACAAGTCGGTCGTTTTCCTCGTCGTGGAAATATTAGTACTAGTCGACGAAAACCATCAACACGTATTTTTGAAGTTTTACCGCCATCCGGATCACTTCTGCCTGGTCAAAAAACAAATGTTCAAATTAAATTTACACCTACCGAAGAAGTGATTATTTGTCTTTAGTTTATTTTCTATTGAATATCCGTACTTCTAAATTTAGATTAATTATGAATCACGTGTTCTATTACGTATCAATCAAAGTAGTCAACGTTTAATGATAATATGTCGTGGTGTTGGTCTTGAACCTCAAATTATAATCGGACAAATGCATGGCGACATATTTGAACCAACAACATCGATTATTTTCAATCCAATTCTAACACATAGTCAAGGTGATGAACAAGATATTGTTTTACGTAATCCGTGTATGTTTCCAATTGAAATTTATAATCTTGAATTCGATAAACAATATCTCGAAGAAGAAAAAGTAAAATCTAACAAAATAATTCTAGTCTATCTCATTGGTCTCTGTTGTATTCTTAGATACTTCGACTACTACCAGGTTATGATGAAAATAATAATATTCTTTTACCAACACGAGCTGCTGGAGATAAATTACCAGCTGAATTACAAAAGTTTCATGATGGTAAATATTATTTGATGAATTTTTATTATACTCGTTTTCGTATTATTTAGATGTGATTAAACGAGCTGAAGAAGAAAAACAAGGAGAAGCAATAAAAAGAACAGAGGGTAAGCATTTTTATATGAACACTTTACGTGGAATATTCATAGAAAACATACATGAAAGAAGAAATACGCAAGGATATAAGAGTGACCTATAGTAGCGATTTTACACCCAACATACATACGAATTTATTATGGAAGCTGATAGAACTAAATTTTTCACATACTACATTTAGGATATTCTCAGCCAGGGTAGTTAAATTAAAGTGAATACTATACATGTTTTTAATAAATACTATTGGGTTATAAACGTTTTAAGATCATCTTTCGTTAAATTGAATGTTTAGAAACACCATATACAATTGATGGGATTGAAACCAACGGTGGTGAATTGGCTTCTTCATCACAGCAGCCGATGGCTAGTGCTGAACGTGCTGGTGATAGAGCAACATCGAATTCTATTGGTGAACCAACTGAATCTATTGGAGATAAGAGTGAATTTACATTGAAACGTGTAGCGGAAAAAATTATTAACTATGATATGACACCGGTTGCACAAGCTTTAGCTCGTCATTTAGGCATTGATCTAACCTCTGATGGAATACAAGCACGCAATCGACGTGGTATTTCTGTTATTGTTCATGGTCCACCTGGTTCTGGTAAGGAAAAAATCTGCTCAGATCAATGAACATTTTTATTTTTATAGGAAAGACAATGATATCGCGTGAAATCAGTGAACGATATGATTGTGCATTACTTAATCTTGATCAAGTGATTATTGATGCTATTGATAGCGCACAACGAAGTGAATTTGCACAACGTGCATATCTTATGTGTCGTGATGCATTCGAAAAAAATATGGAAGAACAACGGCAAACAGACGCCGATGTTGATCATGCTCCGGCTGCCCAATTAGGTATACTAATCATTACTTTTTATTTTTGTTTTTGTTTTTCGAAATATTTTCTTAATTTAATTTGTTTATTTGCAGCTGCACATAATAAAAAAGTTTCAGACAAAAAGAAGAAAGGTGCTGAAACAACTGATCCAACTACTCAAACGGCAACATTCGAAGCGCAACCATTAAATTCACCTCTATCAGTTCGATTTAAAATACATAAAAATTCATCGTATCCTTTAGATGGAGATTCCGTTGAACAATCAAGAGAGAATGAAGATAGCCAATATGTTCCTGATGATCAAGAAGAACTTATGACATTCGTTCTTACCGAAGATATTTTTGTTGAAATTCTTGCTGCAAGACTTCAGGTAAAAAATTCGAAGATGAACTTTACAAGTTGTTTGATTGAATCGAAGTGTTTTCAAGTCATAATTTAATTCTCGATAGAAGGAAGTGACTTTGATGGATATCACTCAGCAACCATAAAGAAGCTTTCCTATTAATGATACTATTAAAACATTAGATTTTGAATAAATGATTTTTTTAAAAATTTCATATAGAGAGCCGATTGTATTCACGGTGTGGTGTTCGATAGTCTTGACACATCTTTTCTTGCCAATCCAGCTCAAACAGCAATTGCAGTACTTAAAGCTATCAATAATCGTTCATATATTTATGGAATTATAACAAATTTTTCCTATTCTAAATACAAAGAAGCCCAAGCTCGAGCTGACGAGATACGCCGTATGATATAAAGCTGGCTGTTGTTTTTGTAGTATGTCTAATCGGATTAAATAATTTTATCTTAAGGTTTCGAAGAACAACAACGAGAGCAAACTGAAAATGAATATGTGGAAGAAATGGGCGAAGATGAATATGATGCATTACCCGAAGAAGAAAAGCAGCGTATCGATCAAAAACGATTACAACGAAAAAAAGATCGTATTCTTCGGTAACAATTATTACTTATCTTCAAGCATAAGTTTTCTTATCGTTTTTCTCTTCTATTATTACAGAGAACAACGAAATAAAGAAGAAAAACTTCGATTAGAACAAGAACGTATAATATTAAAAGAAGCTGAATTACAGTAGGTTTTTATTGAATTTATATATTTGTTTTCGCACATGGAATATTTTTATTTTCATTTAGAAAAACTAAGAAAAAGCCTGGTTCAAATCCAGCAGGTGGCAAAGGTGGTATCGCTCCTGCAAGTGGCAGTGAAAAGGGTACTTCGGCAGCTACAGGCATAACAGCTGCAGCTGCTGCTGCTGCAGGTGGTAAAACAAGTGCTCGACCAACATTAATCAGTGCACGAGGCCCACCAGTTTCTGATCGTTCTAATCCAAAAACGGAAGTAACAACGAATGAAGAAAGTGAAAAGTATGATAAACAAATTTTGAATTGCTTAGGGAAGATGAATTTGTTGCTCTATATCTTTTTAGGAAAAAAGCAAAACAAAACGAATCAAAACCTATTAAAGATTCTACTACGCGAGACGAAATAGATATTGCCAATAATTTAGCTAAAGCTTCAATTACAAGCGATGGTGATGATGAAAAAGAAAAGAAAAAAGATCGAGAATTATTAGTCAAGTAATTAGAACAAGAAATTATTTTCAAAGTGAAACTTTTGTTATGCTTGTTTAATCTTAGATTTAAAACATTCGAATATTATCGTAATGATTTACTTAGTGTGTTTGATTTATGGGATCGAACAAAAGGCATAACACGAAGTCCACCAACACCAACCAACCAATCAGAAGAAGAACATGTGACAGGTGCTGCAGGAACTGGTGGTGGTGCAAAGAAAAATGTGCAAAAGAAGGATAAAGGTTAGCCTAGATTTCAATCTTTTTAACGTACGGTGATCAATTGAATTTAATCTTAGTTATTAAAAGAGGAAATTTTCGACTACCATCATCTGATTTATATACGAAAAAATCACGTACTTTTCATATATAATTTTTTTTTAATTTGCATTTTAAGTTTTTTTTGAGTTTAATTTCATGCGAGCTTTTTTTTCTAATTTCTATATTTTTAGCTAAGAAATCTGATACAAAAGATCGAGAAAAAGTTGAACGAGCCGAAGATAGTGGTCAACCAAATACGCCTAATCAACAACAATCCACGTCAACACCGACTAATTTCGTAAGACGATAAACATTCTCAAGTAAAAAAATATGACTAGAATTGTTTTCTAATTCAAGGATGAAAGTGGGCAACCACTCAAAGATGAACAAAAAAAACAAACACCTCTAGGAGCAGATGATGTAATTAATATTCCAACAATCCAAATTGATACACCTGTCGATTACAGTTCAAATCAATCATTGCCATCCGAACTAATGGATTCAATTAAAAATCGTTTACCAAGTTTAGATCTAGTAGGTTTAATCAGTAAATTAAATACAGTGTATATCACTGTCGTATACAGTTAAGCCTTGAAGTAAAGCATGACTTTAGGAAGTTTTGTTTCTTACTACATTGCAAAGATTGATTATCATATGAGCATGTGCTTAAAATCTACTGATCTTGTAGGTACTCGATGGAATGGGTCAAGGTCCACGTGGTCCACCTGTACCTAAACCATTTGACTTTGCTGTTGTTCCATTTCCGGAACCACGTATTAATCCACCTTGTGCTGAATATGGACAATACTTTTTCGTTGCTACACATGAAAATGATCCGTAAGATTTCATGTTCATGCAGTAACTCACTTCTGCTTTTCTTTTATTTCATTAGAAATTTATATCCAGAAGATGGCAAATTAAAAGATGGCAAAACACCAGAACCGACATTCATTGGAGAGGATGCCGATGGAAAAGATACCGGGCCTAAAGGAAGACGTAGTCGAGGTATTTTAGTTCAAAGGAGAAATCAAATTAAATGATAAGTTTTGAATTGATATAGGTGACCGAGAATCTATAACAACGAAACGTAAGGCCAGTGGTGGACCTATTGGTAGTACTGAAGGTAAATCAACGACTCGTGGTACTTCAAAAGGTGGTCGATATGGCGGAAAACAATCACCCACACATCATTCGTCTGATGGGCAAGATGGAACAAGTGAATCCAGTGTTGACAAACTTCTACCAAGGTTGATTCTAGCTTTTACTGCTACGATGTAGCAAACGTATTTTTCATTGTGTTTTAGAATTGTTCGCTTCCGTTGGATTATTCCTGCTAATAGTGAAATACGTGTTCGTCTTCGTTTTATTTCCAGTGAAGTTGGACAATTTGATCAAACTGTATCTTTTGAAATTGTTGGTACAAAACGAAATTATAAAGTATTCTGTCGAGGTGTATGCACGTTTCCATCAATCAGTCGTGAACCTCGGTTAGTGTTGTTTTGTGTTTCGGATTATTTCTATTGAAATATTTTATGCTTTCACATCAGAACTGTCTTTCCTAATCGACAAAAAACACGTAAACCAAATGAAATTGTTCATAAGAAATTCATTCTATCAACGGAACAATATGATTTTGGTCCATTAGTATTAGGCAAAGACATAAACAAGTATGTAAAATAAATTCTTCTATCAAATCATCGAATGACATTTTCTAGAATTCGTTCTGGTACTTATCAAACCAATGTTGAAACATTAACCATTGATAACACATCACCTATGGATGTTGAAGCTCTATTTTGTTTCTTATACGAAGTTGAACCGTCCAAAGCTGCATTTTTTCTTGATCCAACTGAAATGCATCTTAAATCTGGCGAATCAAAAGTATGAAGAAATCTAGAATTCAAATTCCTAATACATAATTTTGCTTTTGTAGCAATTAAAAATTATTGCTAATCCACCAAGAGAAGGTCACTTTGATGATTCATTGGTTATTTGTATTAAAGAAAATCCTGAACCAATTGTTTATAAATTATCTTGTGATGGTTGTACACCTGAATTACAAATTGAACCGACATCCTTCGATTTTGGTCAAGTATTACTCTATCGGTAAGAACATACTTAAGTAAAGATTAATCTAACTTTTCTATTTCTATCTTTTTAGAAAAGAATCACGAGTCATCAAATTGAAGAATGCAAAATTGATTCCTGTTAAATGGCGTTTAATAGGTATTGGACAAGAGGGTATCGGACAAGAATTTTCAACAAAAACTGATACGGGCGTTGTTGAACCAATGAGTACATATGAATTACAATTGAATTATTATGCTAGTCGACCAAGATCGCCAGCATCAATAAAAAATAAACTTTCACTTAAACTTGAAGTAAATTAATTTGTCAAATTTAATTGATATCTACACAGTTTTTTCTTCTATTTAGATATCTGACACAGACGGTATGCCTGGTGCTATTAAAGCTGTGAATATTCCTGTATTTGTCGAACCCTATGATATTGTTTTGGATATGACATTTCAAAAAGGTAACGATCGTGGTATCGATTTTGGCAACGTACGTGTTAATCAAGAAACCAAACAATCATGTGCACTTAAAAATAAAGGCAAACGAGAAATAAAATACAAGTACGATTTTTATAAACAATTATCGAATTGATTTCATTTGAATTTTTACTTTTGAAATATAAAGATTTGAATTAGTATCGGATCCAAAATCGAAAGTTGATGCCAGTAAATTTTTTGAAATTGCTCCTAAACAAGGAACTCTACCAGCTGGTGGTGATCGAAATGCTCAATTTACATCTGTGAATGTAAGTTTTTGAATTGATTTTATTGGCTACAATATGACTCTAATCAATTGATTAAGCGCATGATGAGCATTAAAAATTCTCGTCCTATGATAGCGATCCATATGTACCAGTGTGTTCAGACTTTGTTTTTTTCTTCTCATGGTTCATAAATCTAGGAACGAATAATTCTTTTGAGAATGTTCTTTCATGAGCCAATCAATGAATTTGCATGACATTGGAAACTTCTTAATAACGTTTTTTTTTTCTTTTTAAAAGATTACATTCAAGCCAACAACTGAATTACAACTTCGTGAAGCAGAAATCATTGTTGTCAGTGTGATAAATGTAGCACCATCACCGAAAGGAACTGAAAGTGGTGGTCAACTTAATCAATCAAACACACATATTGGTGCATCCCAAAGTACATTAAAAGGTGGTAGCGAAGCAGTTCCAATACGAAATGCTGCTGTTGCAATTCAACAGCCACCTGCACCACTTGTTGAAGAAGAAGTAGCACGTATTCGACTTAAAATCTCAGCTAAAGCAACATACAGCAGGTGCGCCTTTTCTTCGGCTCACTTTTGCACTCATTAATTTTTCGTTTGAATAGATTTCTACTAATGCCTGAACGAGAAGTTAACTTTGGCCCAATGCCAATGGGTACATCTCGTCGTATAGAAAAATTTATTATCGAAAATCATGGTGAACACGATTTTAAATATATTATTCAAAAATATCAGCGTGAAGTTTCACCACAAAAATTAAATATCAAGTAAGCTACTATTCCATTCAATATCATTTTCATTATTCATAATTATAATAATATAAAAGAGATTATAAGAAAATCTCGCCACCGAATCGCGCTGATTCAGCGATGAGTGCAAAAACAGTACGAAAATATGATCAAACAAGGTATCAAATCTTGCTAACTAATTGTATATTGAAATGAAAACGAATCGATTCCACATGCACGATTTTAATTTTGCTCACTTATTTTACACAGCAGAAAGAAAATAATCTTTATTTGTTCAATGGATTCAATATACTTTTTTCTTTTCTTTTGCAGAGATGCACCGACTCAGGGTCGTTTACAAGTTGGACCGTTTATAATTTCGCCAGCATTTGCTATGATTATGCCAAATGGAAATACAACTGTCTCAGTCGAATGTATTCCTGAATCAGATGTACCAAGAAAATTTGAAGAGGTAAATATTTTTATATTTAACCCTGAAAAGAATCTCAATTGACCTATTGGAGCTGCATGCCTATTTAGTGTTCTAATAAAGAAGTCTCGGATGTTTTAACAATGATGAAGTTCAATACTTTTTGTTCGTTTTTAGGAAATTCTTATTGATATTGCTGATAGAAATCCAACTGATTATCCACAAGGCGTGATATATAAATTGAAGAGTGAATTAATTGTACCACAAATTGATACAAGCGATCTATCATCGATATTCGAAGAACATCGACTCGTTCGAAATCTTTCTTCATTTCAAAATATTGCTGATGTAATTATATCATTTCTTTTGAATCAAATTGTATTTTATATGGAAACTATTTTAGTCCGTAACTGGTGGTGTCTATGGCGAAGAAGAACGTCGTTTTCAATTTCGAAATGTGATTGTTGGTCGAACATCAAAAGCACGATATAAAATTACAAATTCACAAAAAGTATTTTATCTTTCTTTGCAACACTCTAAACATTTTTCATAACGTACAAACATCTTTTCAGGTGCCAGTCGATATAACTCTAGCCTTACGTCCAACAAATAAAGGGCAAAGAGTAGTTGAATCATTCGAACTCGATGTTACTCGCGCGCAAATTCCACCATACAGCAGTCATTATGCTGTCGTTTCTTTTACGCCCGCATCTATGCAATCCTATTCGGCAATGTTTGATGTAATTGTCGATGGACAATTGAAAACAGCTAAAGAGACTCGTATCACACCGAACTTCACATTTGAAATAAATGGCGAAGGTCATCTACCTCGTGTTAGTATTATACGGCCAGCCATAAGAAATAAAAAAGCACAAACAATGATGATCTTTAATAAACTATTACTTGGCCGACAAGCTTCTCTACAGTTGCTATTAATTAATGATGGTGTTTTACCTGCTAAAGTAAATGATCTTCATATCTTTTGTTTTGTTTATTATTATCGAATTTTATCCTATTATGTATTTTTAGGTTGATTTTTATTTGCATGATGTTGAAAATGTTTTTTCATTGGAAGCATCGAATGAAAATCCTCATCCTGAACATCTTGTTATTAATGATTTAACTCGAAAGGCTACCGCAGCCTCGGCTATATTTGAAGTTGGTAAAAAAATTGCATTGGATGTTGTATTTAAACCTAAAACAACACAAGGACCACAACGATATGAAGGCGCGCTTCGACTTGTTGTTGTCGATAATCAATATGAAGATACTATTGTTCAATTGATCGGAGAAAGCTATACCGATGATATTACATTGGATAATATTCATGGATTAGTCATGGCAGATGAACCTTTAACAATCGAAAGTGGCCAACAGACTATTGTAGAAGAAGATGCACCAGGTAACTATCGAATATTTAAATTCAATATTTGCATTTCTGCCCACCCTATAAGAAAATTGTTGGGTTTTGTTTTTCAAAAACTTAACATGTCACCGATCTGTTATCTACCGATTTTTTTTTCTTTTCGTTTAGTTGCACTTTCAAATACGATCAACTTTGGTGAAATTCACTTAAATGAATCTCGGCAAATTCTATTTTCTATCACAAATCATCATCAAAAAGATTCCGTTCGATTTGAATGGCCTGATCATCCTCAATGTACATTTTCACCACGTGTTGGCCATCTTCATGCAGGTAAAATAGATAATCTTGTTTCTTTTTGTCGAATTTCTTATCGATTTGATGTTTAGGTTGTACAAAAGATGTTCAAGTAACATTCAAAACAAATAAACCAATTCAATTAACGAAAGAAAAACTTCTTTGTTCAATAATAAAAATAACATTCGATCGACCGGTTAATGAAGTTCCGGATTGGGATGATCGTATGCGTTCAGTTAAATGGATCGATGTTTCAGCGCCTGCTACCGATTCAACCAATGCCGAAACACAACGCTCAAATCGGCCAGCACGAAAGAAAGTGGTCGAAGCTGATATTGAACCAGCACATCAACGTATTGAAGAACAAACACGTATTTTGGATATTTATGCATCGGCCATTGCCGATTATTGCCGTTATAAATGTAGCGAATTTGAAATTCGATATTTTGATACTGCTATTTTGCAAACACGAATTCATGAGTATGTCTTATTTGTTTTGCATATGAACCAATGAAATTGAATGTTCATTTTTTTTTCTAGAGTAACAATTACAAATCGTGGTAAAGTATCATTTCATTATGCGTGGCAAGTACATATGGAAGATAGTCAACGACCATTTACTCCCATGATTGATCGTGATCCACCAACACCTGAACCAACAGATGGCACACGAAAAGGACATAAAGGCGGAGTTCGTAGTCAAGCACCAAACGCTCCGGCAACAGATGCATTGAATGCACAAGAATCATCAGCAGCAGCTCCACCTGGCTCTCGAGGAAAAGATAAAACGGGCAAAGATGCTGGTAAATCAACGGGCAAAGATGGACCAACTGGTAGTAAAACCAAAGGTGCACGTCAATCGGTTAAATCAAATGTGACAGCAGAAAGTTTAGCCGAAGAAAAAGACAATGACAATGATCCAGCATTCTTCAATGAACCACCAAATACTGCTGACATGCTACGTGGCGACTCCGAATCAAGTGCTCGATCACCACCAAGTGTCATGACTGATGTTGGTTACGCACCATTTATGATTGAACCAGATACAGGTTCGATTGCTGTTGGTGCTACTCAAGTATTTAAGATTAAATTTGCACCACTTGATGTCAATGATTATCAAGCACGATTGACTTGTTGGTGAGTTAAAATTTTGCTTCGAATTGATAGAAAAAGAAAAAAAGATTATAATTTTCTCTTGTTTGTTTTTTTGTCTTTAGTATACCAAATTTAGAAACAGCTAAAGCAGGACCCATTGTTGCCGTTCGTGGTCGAAGTATTTTACCATTCTGTCATTTTGAATTAGAAGAATCTGATTATTTAACCAGTGGTCGACGTCGCCTTGACCTTTTAATAAATAATGGTTCACCACAAGCACCAGCTGCATTTGTTGATCGTCAAACTCGAGTTATGGAATTTAAAGCTGTTGGTATTGGATCAACACTTAATAAGTTAGTCATCATTTGAGAACTGTTATAGGAATCACAAGAGAACATTCTCTTGTTCAACTTTGTGAATTGAATAATTACTATTTCTAATTTTATTTTCTTAGATCATTCTCTGTATTAAATCCAACCGATGCTGATTATACATATCGATGGATATGTGAAGATAATCTTGATCTCACAAAACAACCATCGTTTGTATGTCGTACTCTGCAAGGCAAAATAGCATCGGGCAAAGGAGTTTTAGTAAGTCAATAGTATTCTTGTTACTCAAGAAAACAAAACAGAATATGTGATTTGTTTCCAGATGTCATTTGACTTCTTTCCTCGTTCATTTGGAATCATTGAATCTGCATATCGTTTTGAAATTCCAGCACATTCTTTATCCGTTCCATTTTTACTTGTTGGTCAAGTCAATGAACCTCAAATATTATTTGATCGAACATTTGTTTCGTTTCATCCTGCTCTGATTGGTCATCATGTTGAAGAAACTTTAACGTTAATCAATAAAGAAAATCGTTCATTTCATTATCAATTTCTCGAACGATGCTTTATCAATGGTACCACCAATACAGATTTAATTATTGAACCTGCACCATCAGGTGTCGTACCACCTAATACACGTTTACCATTACATTTAATATTTCGTCCAAAACAAAATCGTGCATATACATATGTTCTTCAATGTCGTATTGATGAAACTATTGAACTTCTAAATGTAAATGTAAAAGGTGAAGGTTTTGCTAATCTATCAAGTGTTCACTGTGAAACAATTGAAGGTAATCGTTATGAATTAACATCATCTCAAACTGGCACTAATGAAATACATTTCGATGATGTTCTAATCGGTAACATTGCATCGAGACAAATACAAATCTCCAATGATGGCAAATATGCATTTGATTTTAATTGGTTTAGTGATAATGAACAAGAGCTGACACCATTTTCAATGGCACCCATGAAAGGTACAATATCCAATAGTCAAAAACAAACGTGTCTAATAACATTTGAACCACGTACACGTGAACATCGTGCATTAATACAACGTTCTCTTCATTTAAATATTGTCAACGGATTAAAATATGATTTATCACTGATAGGAAAAACAACAACGCCTAATATAGAATTTTCATTTTTATCATTTAATTTTGGTCCGTGCTTTGTTTATCGAGCTGGTATGCCGGAGAATATCTGTGAATTGTTAATACAAAATAGAGATTCAAAAGATCATACCATTGAATGTTTATATCAATCAACAGCACAATTAATGTTCGATTTTAAAACAGGTTTAATTCCATCCAAACAAACTACCGCTTGTAGGTTTACATTTTATCCACGAGAACAAAAAATCTATCGAGAAACGATTCAATTCGAAATCGATGGATTAACCATTGTTAATGTTATTATTGAAGGAGAAGGAGTCGATTTTCGTGTTGAATTAGCTGAACCAAAACATAAAATTCTTAATTTAGGTAAAAATTGATAAAACTAAAATAACAACGAGAAACTATTGAATTTGTTTTATTTTAGGCGCATTACAAGCTGGTAAAAATGTTACACGTGAAGTTTGTCTTGTTAATCGAAGTCGTGCACATATAACTAATTGTTACGTTGTATTGAATTCATCTGAAACTAGTACAGTTCGTGAAAATCTAACTGTTCTACCAACCAATACAATAGCATTAAAAGCTCGAGGTGGTACACAGACAGTAACCGTTAAATTTTCACCTCGTTCACGTTTAGCACCATTTGTCGAACAAATCTTTTTGAAATATGGTGATTTAGATGTTCCTATGTTTGCTGTACGTGGCTGTTGTCAAGGTTATGATATTAGTCTTGATTCCGATACACTTCCGTTCGGTGCTGTTGGTAAAGATTGTTCATTGACACGTAAACTGATTCTGTCGAATCGAGGTGATATTGGTGCGTCATTTGCATGGAATCTCGCTCAACTACGTGATGTACCATTTCGTGTATCGCCGACAAATGGTTATATTGCACCGGGTCAAGAAGCAACAATTGAATTCGTCTTTCAACCGCGTGCTATTCGACATGATATACGTTGTGATCGACTTGAATGTCGATTGGAAGGAACACAACCGGTTACTGTTACATTAAGTGGTTCGTGTGTGGAAGTTGCACCGGCACGTGAAACAATAGTCATATCAACAGCTGTACGATCAAAAGAATTATCGAAATCGATTTTGTTAAAAAATAATACAAATACACTATGGACATTAACACCTATTATCAGTGGAGAATATTTTTCAGGACCTGAAACAGTCATAATTGAACTTAATTCAACAAAAAATTACGAATTAACTTATCTACCATTAACTGAAGGTAATTTTTAATCATTTGAAAAACAAAACCGAAGTCATTTTGTTACGTTTTATTATTTAGGTAAACATACTGGTACATTATTTTTCCCATTACCCGATGGAAATGGTCTTCTTTATAATGTTATTGGTAATGCTGAAGCACCGCGTGCATCAGGCAAATTTACACGTGAAGTACCATGTAAAACGCCTTTTGTTGAATTATTACCAATTGAAAATTGGTTGAAGAAACCGCAACGTTTTCGTGTAACACATGAAATAACTAAACAAGATCGTCCAGAAGTCACAACAACCATAAAATATCTTGAATTTATTGATGTTGCACCAAAATCAAAACGCGATTTTAAATTACAATTTTATTCATATAAAGAATGTGTACAACAAATAAAAGTTATCTTTAAAAATGAACAAACACAAGAATATGTTTGGTACGATATTACATTTAAATCAATTGTCGATAAACGTAATGCACCAACAATAGCAAATATTGACCTAACAACACATGTTCGACAACAAACATCACATGATATTATTCTTGAAAATCCTTTACCAAACAAAGTTACATTTCAAGGTCAATGTTCACATTCAGATATACTTTTACCACCAGAACAAGTTTCAATTCCTGCAAATTCTCAAGTAAATAAAATATTTATAGATTTATTCTTCTGGCCAACTAGTTTAAAATCATCATAAGCGAATTTGTGAAACAAATTTCATTGTTGATTGTATATTAAGATAGTTTGGATAAGTGGGAATCTTTGTATTTGACAAGAGTAGATAGATCATAGTTTATGCTTTCATAACCTAAGATTTTTGTGAACAACATTGTTTTGTATGATGATATAAATAATAAATTTTTGTTTTTAGGGTTCGTTCAATTTTACTTATATGCCATTAAAAGCAGGCAAAGTTGAAACTCGTCTTGAAATGAATTCCGTTGAACTTGGCCTATATACTTATATGTTAACATTAAATGCTCTACCAGCTCGTTCCGAACGAACATTATACTTTAAAGCACCGTTAGGTAATTCACAAGTTTTAACAGCAAAATTTACAAGCTACGCTCGTACGAAAACTGATTATGTTTGCAAAGTAAGTAAAATCTTTTATTTTTATTTTTATAATTCAAATTTCTTTCTTTAGATTGATCATCCAGATTTTATTGTTGATCGAACTGTAACAGCAGCGCCAAGTTCATCACCATCAACAATGGAAGTTAGTGTTGATGTTACGTATGAACCATCACAATTAGGCGATGTACGTGCAACACTAACGATTAGTTCTCCATCAAGCAGTGATTATACATTTCCATTGGTTGGCCTTGGCGAATTACCAAAACCGCAAGGTCCATTTTCAATTAAAGCCGGTAATAATACAACAATAACATTTAAAAATATATTTGCTCAAGCATTAACATACGCATTCAATGTTGACAATCCACTTTTTCATGTAACAAAAAGTCAAGAATTAATTCAAGCAAGAAAATCACATAGAATCGTTGTTTCATTTGATGGATCGGATACAGTCAATAAAGCTGATGTAATGGCAAAATTAATTATTTCATGTCCAAAAACTACCGGAGCAACGAATTCATCGAGTTCAAGTGTACAATGGATATATTATCTCAAGGGTGTTACTCCATAAATAGACAGCATATGATAAATCACGGTTATCGAACATGATGAGGACAGTGATAAAAACATTTACTTTCTTTTTTATGACCTCTTTGTTTAGACAAAAATTAATTTTATTTCTCTTTAATTAAATAAAGATGAACTTATTCAATGAATAAATAAATCAATTTTGTGAAACATGATCTAAAAAAGTATTGAACTTCAGATTTCTTCTCTTACAAATTACGAAAAGCATCTTGTTAGCTCTCTCTATCTCTCTCGTTGATAGTACGCATAGCAGATAATTAGATTGCGTCATATTTGATATCTGACACTTCTGTTTAAAAAAATCAGCGAGATAAAAATTGAAAAGGTTAAACAGAAGTCCTGTATCAATTATTTTGATTGGTACAGATTATTGACATGTATCGACCTACCTACGTTCTGTTTCCTTGACAAATTTATTTGAAAAATCTTTTTCTTTTATTAAAAATAAATTTAAGTTCAGTGTCTTACGATTGAAATGTCATAGAGATAAATCAAATATTGATGATCTACTCAAAATAAACAGCATAAACAGTAACAACAGCTACCATATCTTTTGTTTCATAATGAACCGATAGCATATTATCTGTTTTTGGATCCCATAAACAACGTGACCCAGCACGTAAAATTTGGTCATATTTTTGTACAATCATTGCTTGAACAACAATTTTATATCGTGGTAATTGAAAGTTTTTGACTAATTGATTAACACTACGTGAAATTTCTTTAACAAGTTCATTCACGGTTGTTGGATCATAGGCTTGATCTTTCATTTGTTCGGCTAATTCTTCAAGTACTTTAGCTTGAAGTTTATACGGACGAAAACGATATTCATTATCAGGTTCCATTCGATATGTATTTGGTCGAGGTTGATTCGATGTAGGAAACATTGAAGATTTTCGATTACTGCCCAAAGACATTGATAAACGTCGAAAAAATGCTTGAGATGGACGACGTTCACCAGCTCCTCCAGCGTTACCCGACGATGGACCAGCGTTAGGAAATTGCGATTGAATATCATCACGTGCAGCGTTCGATGGTGCTGTTGTTTTCGCTGCATTAAAGCCACGAGGATCAGCTTGGATTGTAAACCGACGATCAGCCATGTTAGATTCTTTTCTACTGAATACTTATAAATGAATACAGCTTAAAAGATTTGATTGTAGTCACAGAGATGTTGTTAAGTTGAATCAAAATTTTCTTTTCTTCCGTCGTTCGTTGCTACTTCAATTTTTTATTTTGTTTCTTAGCACACATACCAGTACGATGTTCACATTCTTCGTTTTTCTCCTCTCTCTCTCGCTCTCGCTCTCTCTCTCTCTCGTCTTTATTCTCGCATTATTGTACACAGTGGTGAGATCAAGTATTGACATCAGAAGTTTGATCAAATAAGAAAAAAGTTCTTAGCGACGAAAGAAAAAACTATTAATGTTTGTATGTAAAAGATGTAAGAACGATAATGCATCTCAATTAAACGATGGTAGCGTTTGTTTTCTTTCTCTTCAGATACTGACAATTGTATGCGTGTTGTATGTTGAGAGAAAGTTCGCTTGTAAATATGATGTTGTTTTTTTTAATTCAATTGCATCCTTCGAAATCAGCGTAAAAATAACGCTACTTGACAATAATGAAAAGTCATTCAATTCTATGCCGTTGATACCATATAGTTATTTTAGTATCTAGAGCATGTAATAAAAATGAATTCTATTGATTATGATTACTTTTCTACAGACGTGATTAACCTTGATTTCTTTAGCATGATTTTAAGTTATTATATATCAAATAATCGTAGACCCTTCATTTGTTTATTTTTATTTATAAGTTATAAATTAACAGGTTTGTGGATTCGTTTTTATTCATGTCAATGTTGTATGCTATTATTTTTTCGCTTCATAATCAAGGACCATTCAACATTCGATGTTAGTATAATATGACGCGTATTTTCGTAAACAAGTATATTCAGCTTCGTCACCGAGTCAGCCAATGGATTCAAACAAAATAAATAATATAGCTGCGTCAATGGAGGTGCCTTACGGTCATGCATCGATGAGTCGATAAACAGAAAACGAATATTTGGTAAAAGCAAAAAAACAGGAGAGAATGGGGTGCGCTATAGTCACACATCAATGACTCGTTTCTCTCTTGGTTTGTTCCAAATGGTGTCATATAGTTACGTTTCGTTTCATTAACTAAATATTGATTTAGGCTGCAAATCAAACTTGCTGTATTTGATTATACCAGCTGACTAAAGCAAAATGCCGCACAATGAGCCATATGGATCAAGTTTTCCTCCTCCAATGCCTCCACCACCACCACCCGCGATGCATTGGTGGTGTAACAACTGTCGTCAAGTGAATTCTATGAGTCGTTACCAATGTACACTTTGCAGAGGCAATGACACTTACGATCTTTGTGAACATTGCATCGGACACGCTTCATCAGTACATCCAGGACATACATTTGCTTTAATGCCAGCACTTCATATAATTCATTATTAGTTATATTAATAGAAACTCTAAGAGCTGAACGATGGCAAAAAACAACAGTTTATTGAGATGAACATTAATATAAGCAGCTCCTATTGAAAGTGTTTTTTTGAAAACTACAATAAATTCAATGAAAGATGAATATTGAAAAATAAATAGATAGCTGAAGAATTGTTGTTTATGGTTTTATTCAATTACTTAATGAAAAATACATGATCTGTTTTCTTGATGATAACCGGGAAAATTTACGCAAAATTCATCCAATTTTTTCTTTTATTACTTCAAATCTGATTGATCTTTTAAGCTATTTTAATGAGAAAATCATGCCACTAGTAGTATATGTTATCATTTCTAAGACAAATAGCGAATCTACCATCGCAATTGATTTTTGTTTTCGTTTGTTAATTGAAAACACTGTTGGAAATAAGAAGAACACCTGATGGGTGCATCGGTATTATTGAATTCGAATGCAAAAGATCTTTTCGGTCAAAAAGAAAGCAATAGTACTAATCAATATCAAAATAGATACATTGCTTATCATGCGCAGGATTTGTTGTTTTTATTAACGATTGTACAAGTTAGATGTCATAAATGTTGAATGAAACTGTATCAACTTTATTTTTCGAATGATAATTATTACTGTGCTCGCTTTCAAGATAATCGAATGAACTTGTTAATATATGTAAATAATAAACAAAGTTATATTTAAGCATAAAGATCAATATTCTTCGAAGATTTTGATGAAAACATCTCGAATGTTTCTCTAAAATCAACATATGTTTGTTATTTTAGCATCAGAATTTGCTTTGATAAGGCGTAAGAAACATATACAAAATAAAAAGCTATTATGAAAAAAAAACTGTTTAATTGATTAGGAAAAAAATAAAAGCCTAATGTTCTTGATCTTCATCATTAGTTTCTCTTCGCATCGACACGTCATCTTCATTTTCTTGATGATTTACGCCTTCTTCTCCTTGAGTTTCGTCGTTGTTTCCCTGATTTTCTTCTTCTTCTTCTTCATATTCACGATTCTGTTCTTGTTGTTGTTGTTGCTCGTCTGCATCGTCATACTGTATTGATTGGTCATATTCATGTGTAGGTTCTGTTGTTTCTCTTGATTGTGGTTTATCCGTAACCACAGAATCATTGAGATTCTCATTACAACTCGCTTTGACAACTCGATGAGCAGCTAACAAATATTTATGTTGAGCAAGACGAACTGCAGATGATACATATGAATTTAATTTAAAATCAATTTGTAATCATACCTTTATTACGACTTTCTTGTTTAGCAATTTCTGGTATGAGGAAACCATGGACTAATTCAGCAACAATACTTTCCGATTCAAGTTGAGTCCGTCTGTAAGAGAAAATAAAAATTTCAATAGGTCAAGAAAATCTCCTCATTTTTGGAAAAACCAATGCAGTAGACTTTACTAATCTAGATAAAAAAAAAGTCTAAACGAAACGTCAATGAATTTTTGAACGAGATGTTCACTATGGAGCACGAATGTATTCTATGAATTTACTTTGATTCTAATTCATGAGCGATTTCATCAATTGCCGTAGCTTGCTGTTGAATTTCAACACGAGCTTCTTCATTTGCTGTTTCAAAAGTACTTTCCATAATAATATCTTCTAGATATGTATCAACCGTATTTTGAGTCATCTTGAGCATCTTAAAAACAAGCGAAAAGTCGATTTTTAGCAAAAACCAACAATCAAACAAACTTGTTTAAAAAGTTCATCTTGTTCGCGTCGTCGACGTTCTTCGACTTGTCTCAAACCTGATTCTTCAGCTTCACGTAAACGTCGTTGACGTTCAGCTAGCATAGCGAATGCAGCAATACGACGTTCCTCTTGAAGGCGTATTAATTCTTTTGATAGATAATCAAATGTATCGCCGATCGCTTCGCCTTCAAGAGTTTGAAGCATTGAATCAATAAAATCTTCCTATCGATATTTTTCAAATTTATTTATTGTTTATAAATAAAATGAAAGAAGAATTTACTTTTGTAATATCTTTTCTTTGAGTATATTGTTCTGCTTGAATATCTTGTCGTTGAAGTTTCTTTCTATTCATATCTTGTTCTTGTAATGCATGTGTACTACGCATTTCATCAATTAATTCAATGCGTTCTTCTTTATTCTTGTACATCTATTGAAATAGTTTTCTTATGTGAAGAAAATCGACTGAAAAATAAAATCTAATAGCTTTACCATATTTTGTATAGCACGACCACGAAGAAGTTTTTGAATATAGATAATACTTTTCTCACGTTCCTCTTGTTCCTATTCAATCAAATTTCTTTTCTTTTCTTTGTTGCTAATGAATAATAATAATAATAAATAAATAAGCAAACAAACAAACCATATCAGGTAAATCAATGCCAGGTGTCGGTGGTCTTGGCACTGGTTTTTCGACTTTGACTAAAAATCGAAGCGGTTTCGGTTCTTCGACTTGTTTATCTTTTTGTTCAGCTACAGTCTAGAATTTGTTAGAGATCTTTGACTTGTTTTTCTTTTCTAAACTCTATAATCGTCTAAAAACGAACCTTGAATATATTTTCCAAATCTCGTTCACGTCGAAATTGTCGTTTAAGATGTCCATCTTTCGTTGAACTAATTCTTTTCGGTGCTGGAAGACGAATTTTCAATGCATTCGATGGTAACGTTGATTCGAGCTCCAATAAACCCGTATAGGTATCCAAAAATCGACTTTTCACTAGATATTTATCTGTGAGTTTATCTGGAAAATAGCCATTTCGTGTTAATGGACCATAGGCTGGTGATTCATACTTTGTATAAGCACGAACAATATCATTTTTAACATATTTTGTTTCTACTTGTGATCGTTTTCGAAGTAAAGCTCGAATAGCTTTATAATAAAAACAAATCGATGAGATTCATGGTTTAAATCAAAACAACTTACCTCGTAAATAATGAAGTCGATTAGTTTTAACAAAATCTTCACGTTCAACTTGTTTTTTACTCCATTGTCGATTAATACGTTCAATAGTGGCATCGTGTTGACGACTTTCATTATCTTTCAGCATTTTTTCTAATAATTCTATACGAAGATTTTGCAATCTTTTACGAAAAAACAAAACGATGAATTGATGATGTCAATAGAAGCGGTTTGGTTTTTTACTTTTCAATTTCATTTTCTCGTAAAAGCCATTCATGTCTTTCCATATCACTCATCATTTTAAAACGTTTTTCCCATTGTTGAGGATCGTCAAGTGGTGGTAAACTGGCTTCCCATGCACGTTTAGCACGTGCACCTAAATAGAGAAAATTCGTTTTTCTTCTCCTCATATCCGATGATTACTCGAATACTTACGTTCAATCATTTCTACTTCTGCAAGACCAGCCGGAAGACCCTTCTCTAGAAGAAAAAAGAATGATCGTAAATGTTTAAAAATTATACTCGTTCAAACAACGTACTATACATAAGAGTTGCTAAGGTCAATACTTCCGGTTGTTCACCTGGTTTCACAACATATTCAGGTGTGTAAGGATCTGTTTGAGCTTCACGTTCCATATAATCTGTTTGAATAGCTTGTGTTCGTGTTGCTGGTTGTCCCATCGATATTCCTGCTGTTGTCGAGCCTAGTAAACGTCCTGGACCAGGCATTGCACCAGCATCTCCGAAAGTACCTGTTGTCATTCGACCAGTATCAAGTTGAACTAGTGGTTGAATATTTTCCATGAAAGGTACAAGTGGTTTACGAAAAAATTTTGCTCGTTCACGGCCTCCAACATCTACATGGTCAAAGGTTCGTGGTGGAACAACGAATGCTTCGTTGCCTGTAAAACTAAATATATAAAATTAAAAGCAAAGAAATAGAAAAAATTAAAAAAAAATTCTATTTACAGTCGAGATATAGCAATTTGTTCTCGATGAGCATCTGCTTGTCCTATCCATTGTCGGCTGACATGTGCTGGAACAGGATCTCGAGCTTGAATTCGATAAGCAAAACGAGGATACTGACGTAGATCACTGAAAAGGTGTTCATAGACAGGTACAGCTTGCTACAAAACAAAAAGAAAGAAATCTATTTCATATAAATTCTAAAGATTATCTCCCACAAACCAATTGTTCTGAACTTGTCTTAGCTACAAATGTTTCCCGAGCATGATCACGAACACCTGACAATGAACATGTTGGATCTGAAATGTTTGTAGATTTTGTTGGAAATTTCCTGAATATTAAAATAAGATTGAAACAAACCATAAAGATAATCATGAATACGTGCCGGTTGGACGGCACCACGTTTTAGCACTTGAGTTTGAGTTGCCATTTATCTGTTTTTTAACAACAGTCCATTTTCTTATAGTAGATATACGAATAACAACAGTCGCCATTGTAGCTGACAGAACCATAGAAACAATATGTATGAAAGAACTGAAGACTATCTACCAATAGATGTCACTAGAGTATTTTCGTCGCATTGATTTATACTACATTTAAAGCCTATTTACACAATAAATTATCTATTGCACATTAATTATCAACGGTATATTGTGTAAATCGAACAATCTGTCATTATTTTCTGTATAGATAAAATTGTCTTTTTTTATTAATAACAATAAAGAAAATACGTCACTCTGATAAATAGGAGATGGCAAATGAGATCAAAAACACAAAACTGAGTCTGTCATTTATGTAATTATCAACAGTTAACTTAGAACACGTTGTGATATTGTATTTCGTCGGATGATAGTCAAATCTTCTTTTTTTAAAAGCCAATATATTGTCAAGATAAATTTTGAACGAAAATAACGTGATGTTAAACAATAAATATAAAAACCAATACCAAAATAGAGACTACTCCAAAGAAGCATAGGTGTACGTACATGATCGATACAATGTCTATAACGTACCATAGTCGTATAGAGATGAAATGGAACTTGTGTTATTACAAACGCTAAAACATTCGATATAGCTATGAATAGAAGCATGGTTTGTGTATTTGTTGAATGAGCAAATTTCGTTATATGCGGAAATACACGACGTTTCGATGCTCGTATTCGACGCCATAATCCTATATTTGCTGCAATCATTATTGAAACAGGCAAAATACAAACAAAAAATGTACGCATAGGTGGCCATACACTTGACATAAAGTTATCATAGATAGGATTGTTTCCTGTTGAACAAATCCCATTCGTATCTTCTCCCATATATGGTAGTAAATAGAATGATAAAGAAAAAGTAAAAATAATTGTATAGATAAAAACAGTTCGACATGCCATTCGACATGTACAATAATGTTTAGCTCGTAGGGAATGAGTCGCACGAAACATTCGATCTAAACTTATGGTACAAGCAATAAATGAACTTAATGAACGAAAAATATTTTGAAGCCAATAAACAAAACGACATCGAATTAATACAGAAGGAAATAACCGATCTAAAATAAGAAAGTACCATACCTATTGTTTTCTTTGTTTTCTTTTGTATGAAAATCAGATATGACTTACATTTATATGCAACATCTATAAATTCGACGGTTAATGTTAACAATTGAATAGTATTTGATATTGTTAAAAATAAAAAAAGTACTCCAGTAGAAACACGACGTATTTCAGTACGAATAAAAATCACCAATGATAGAAGATTGCCTATAAAACCACCTACATAAACAATAATTCCGAGAATAGCTGGTATAGCTATTTCTTCTTGTGTGAGACTATCGGACGTTGAATTTGGCATTTTTGTTTTTGTCAAATGAATAAAAACTAACTATTTAAATGGTCGCCAATCTTTGCTCTTTCTATATTAAATGAGTAAAAAAAATCATAAATCACAAAAACAATTTATCGCGATATAAAAGTCATAATGTGTTCAAATTCAAAGTCGATGGTTGTATGTAGCTAGAGCATAATCTGCCTCGCGCGTCGATTGATTACATCCATATTTTCGATACAAATAGACTATTTCGATGGTTAGGATAATACCAATGAAACTTATGCCTAAACCCATGCCTAATTGTGCAGCAGTACCTGGTGGCGATTCGCCCACTATGAAAATAAGTGTATAACATATTATATTATCTTTTTTTATTTATTACCTATACGTGCTACTGTTGTTGTTGGTATTGCACTTGGCGTATCTAATATTATAGATAACGTAGTAATTTATAGATCATTGAAATAAACTTACTATCGACAAATGCTGCACCTGATACAAGACTTACAGTTACTGAACTACCATCGGCACCTGGTAATATTATATTTTGCTTGGAAATGGATGAAGATGCAGAACTTTTGATACAAGTACTATTACAATCGGAACGACTACTTGTGAATAAAATATCAGTGAACAGGGTGTATTGAGTAGTAACCGTCCTATTTGTGAATAAAGAAAAGAATTTTCATTTCATATTTGAACATTTATGAAATACTTTGCTGTAGCTTGTATTTCAATACGTGTCACTATTATATTGAATCTTGTTAGATTGAATGATCCTATCACCTATGCAAATGAAGTGCACAGCCTCATTTTTTTCTTTTAAATCAAAATCTATACTTACCATACTTTGTACACTGGTTAAATATGTACTATTAGTAGTGTTTCCTGCAGCTAAAACAGATGAACTTGAGACAATATATTGATAAACTAAACTAATTGAAGTATCTAGAAAAAAGAAGAGAAATACTTTGATGGTACGAACTTTCGGTAAATATTACTTATCGAAAGAGTAGTAATCGATGCTGAGGTTATAGAAGAAGAACTAATCGATGTAACTGATGAAGATATGCCTGTTTGTGATGCACTGTTTTGAATCATGGAAGTTGCAACTGACGAAGACATCATTGATGCCGATGGAGTAGAAGAGGCGGTACTTGCTCCAGTAGAACCTACTGTTCCAGAGTTACTTGTGACAACAGAGGCTGCATAGGATGCAGATGAGCCTGTTTGTGATCCACTGTTTTGAATCATGGAAGTTGCAACTGACGAAGACATCATTGATGCCGATGGAGTAGAAGAGGTGGTACTTGCTCCAGTAGAACCTACGGTTCCAGAGTTACTTGTGACAACAGAGGCTGCATAGGATGCAGATGAGCCTGTTTGTGACCCACTGCTTTGAATCATGGAAGATGCTATCGACGAAGATATCATTGATGCCGATGGAGTAGAAGAGGTGTTCGCTGCTCCGGTAGAGACTACTGTTTCAGAGTTACTTGTTACGGCAGAGGTTCCATAGGATGACGGAAAACCTGTTTGCGATGCACTGTTTTGAATCATGGAAGTTGCAACTGACGAATACATCATTGCTGTCGATGGAGTAGAAGAGGTGTTGGCTGTTCCAGTAGAACCTACTGTCTCCGAGTTACTTGTGACAACAGACGCTGCATATGATGAAGGAGATGAAATCGTGTTAGTTGAATTTTGATATAAACTAGCCGATGAAATACTAGTATCGGATGCTGATATGGACATCGTACTACTAAATGATGAAGTTGACTGGCCATAAATTTGCACAGAAGCCAAACATACGAGACCAATAATTTGAAAAATATGAGCTCCCATTGTAATATGGAGATAAAGAAATGCTTCCTTTTATGAAAGAAAATTTTTTTATTTGACACAAAGCTAAGCGTACTTGTTATTCTTCCCTTTATTTTTTTTCTCCTTATTTTGCCCGATGTGTGGTTAATCGACCGAACTAGTTGACAGTTTTTCATTCGTTTTTTTCTCGTTTGCTTTTCTTTATTATGAGTTTTAGCAAACATAAAAAATGAAGTCTTCCTTCGAGTAAATACCAAAAGCAATTTAATGTAAACATTACACACAGAAAGAAATTTTTTACTGTATATTTAATGGTAATATATATATACGAATAAACAGCAGTCTACTGTTAGCTGGATTGATAAGTCATCTTACAGACTTACTAGTACTGTATTCGAATTTTTATATATGAACCTGTTCGAAATAGAAATCGATAAAGTTAAAATTTTAGCGTTTTAGTATATATATAATATCTTTTGCCTGGGTACGTTGTGGCAATAATTTACCGTGTTTCTAATAGCATAAAATTGTTTATAAATATGATAACGCTTTTAAATTTAAATTTTTTTTGTTTTTCGAGTAACTAAATTATGTTTATTCAGAGTTTTGTTAATGTCGACAAACCCAATGCTTTTCAACCAATTATTTTATTTGATTACGACTATGTTCTTCCCATTAATGTATCCACTCCGAATTCAGTGGATGTTTTATTTAACTTTCGCAACGTCCAGACAAGATGAAAGTGCATGAAGTTAATCATCAGAATGACTATTCGTGAAAAAAATAGCGTAACTAATCTTAACAAGAAATCATCAATTTTCTGATTCATTCAATTTTTTAGAGAAACCTATATAGCTATTCTCCCAACGTTTCTCTTACATTTTCGAACTTAAATTAAACGATGAGTTGATGAGTACTCATATTGCGTACTTCCGTTCTTTTATTTATTCAAGACATTATATTAAAAGCAGACATCGCAAAAAACTTGTTCACATTCAGTTTTGCAAAAATCGAAGAAAATCATTGTTTGATCGTTTCAGTTAGATCATAATAGCATCTCATATGAAATAATCGAGATCCATATTGTGTATAACTGTGGGTGTGGATGTGGCGCTATATGTTTTATAATCTTTCATAGACACACAGAGATACGATTAAGCGTTAGAAATATAAGCTTGTAAAATCTTGAGCTTTTTTAGAAGTGTCTTAATTAGTGGATGATTCCAAGGGGGAACAAACTGATTTCGTGATTTCTTGATTTCAAGTGTTTTCCTTGATTTCGTTGATTTCGTTGATTTCGTGTGATTTCGCGTGATTTCTGTTGATTTCTATTGATTTCAGTTTGATTTCTGTGCTGGAAATCAGTTTGTTCCCCCTTGAGATGAGACCTATGTTATTAAAAATTGCAGCCATGTCAGGATGATCACACGAGAGATATTGCTTACGAATTGCTAATGTTTTTTCATAATATGAGAAGGCAGTCGAGTAGCTGCCCATCTTATCGTATTCGAGACCAGTATTATTGTAGATAGTAGCTTCCAATAATTGGTTTTGTTTGGCTGAATTGCTTTGGATTTCAAACGGCTGCTGATAAATGTCGAGCGTCTGCTGATGATCACCCATGACACTTTTGATATAATCAAGCTGATGATAATAGTGAGCAAGTTCATTCTTTTCATCGCACGATGTGGAATTGATCAGCGTTTTATATATTTCTTCGGACTTATCAAATAGTCCCATTGTGATCATCAGTTTGTCCAAGTGATCCCGACTGCTTGATCCTTCGATCTTATTACGCAAGCATTCAGTAAGTATTTGGAGTTGGGAATCACTATCGTTTACCGATGTTAGCTCTACTTGCCACAACCTATCCTCGATCTCTACAATATTACCAATGCAAAAGACAGCGTGCATTGAGAATAAAATTTCCTTTTCGACGTCTGAAAAATAACTACGTTCGTCCAATGAAGCGAATGGTGTAGATATGAACGTTGGATGGATTTGAATTCGAAACAGAACTGACACGATGGTATCTTTGCTATGAGAATTACGAGCGAATTTTAATGATACTTCTTGAGCAGTGCTAGTCGAGAGAAAATTATTAAATGCCAAAAGTTCATCATGGTTCGCCTTCAACTTCTGAAACTCATTAAACAATATTCCTTGACCACGATAGACAATGAATGGATCTCGAATTTTTTTATTCTTCGCACAGACTTGTTCAATTTGCTTGTGTAGATCTCGAAGAAAAAAAGCCCATTTTGATTATGAGTTCGATATCCTGGGTGCGTAGTGCTCGATTGAACATCCCATATGTAAAACATTCTCGACTGTACCACTAGATAGGTGTATGTAGATGACAGCTTTCTTGAAATTCATTAATCACTGCTAATTCAGTTTCGTTGTTTTGGTATAGTTCGAGACAATAGCCAACAAGTTTCTGCTTAGCATTCGTGTTGTATTCTATTTTGAGTAAAATATCTTTAAGTAATTGTGAATACATGAAGGATTGATCGAGCTCGTTCAAATTTCGGTTAACATCATTCATTGGAGATAAAATGCTTATTGACGTTAAGTCGTGTTCACACTGTCGAGTATGTTGTCTAAGTAGGTTACATAAAAGTTCGAAATCATTAAATTCACCTTTCATTTTGCTCCATCGATTTTCCCATCGTTCCTGTTTTGTTTTATTGTTACAAAAATTGACTGATTTTATGTTTGAAAGTTCGATTGAATTCATCGATATTGCTATCCAGCCAGACGAGAATTAAGTTTTGAGCACTTCACACTTTTGAAGACTTCAAAAACGTGTTCTGCTTTTCAACCATGTGTCGATCAGTAGATGATGCCTTCCGAGGAGCAGCAGAGTTTAAGTCATTTAACATTTCTATTTTATTTTACTACTGATACGACTATTTGATGATTGTATCTGAAAATATTCGTCTTTCATGCACCGAAAATCTAAAATATTTACAAAGTAAATCTATTTTCTTATTTTTTCCAGGACATTTGTGTATACTCTAGAAAAAGTCATAGTACAAATACTGTTGTTCTCTCTGAATTTCTCACATAAAATCTTATCACAGCGCGCTTTTGGTTTACAATTTTTAAAAACTTATGGTATTGTTTTCGTGACAAGAAAAATTTTCGGGACTATAAATTTGAAGATGAAATTTTTACTAAATTGAATCCTTACATTGTGCCACTGCTCTAATAAAAATATGATCTGAAGCCATCATCGTCAAGAACAAAAGGTGAAATATAACACAAGTAAATGCTTCTGTGTGTGCGACCTTGCATTTTACAAAATTTTATCTTTGTTCTTTCGTTCTCAAAATAAACGACAGTAGTAGCGTTAAAAATAGAAATCGAGAAGAGAACAAAATTGAATTGAATTGTAGGGAAAAGTAATCAAATCGATATTCCTGCTGCATAAATTATTTACTCGGTTTTCACTGATCTTCAAAGAACAAAGACTCTTTGAAAGCATTGATGCATATGAGAAGAAAAGTTGATAATTTCATCAAACCAGACAACGTCGACCTAATATTTGATTAATATCTTGAAAAAATATTGAATGAAATTGATCTTATCAAGATTTTTTTCTTCATTTAAAAGAATTCTCGTAACAGCCTAAATTATTTTTCAATCCAGATCAATTTATTTAAAGCTTCAGTAAAATGACGACTTTCTTTACTCGTTTGAATTAAGATTCTATGTAGTACAAGACTAATTTTACTAAATCTTTGAAACTACCCAAAAGAAACGTGAATTTATTCAGTGCTGACTAAATCCATGATTCAAGAATTTGAAGGTATTCGACTGTTGAGTAATTATCTATAGTTTAAAAATTGAAGACATCAAGTGTTAGTGTGTTCAGACGAGGAAGATCTAAAGCTACGCGCTCAGAAAACTACTTTCGAAGTCAAATCAAGACGAGTAACAATAAATGGAAGTGAATCAATATGCCAGTGGTCGTAATTATGCGTAGCATATTCGAGTTCACAATCGATACATTTTTTATCTTTGATACAACTTGGGCAAATAATGTCATATTATATATGTTATCATATTGAATGAGCATGAAAACTGCAATGATGTACTCGTCAGTTTTAGATAAAAGTTGGAAAAAAAAGAATCATTCTTTCATAATGACTATTATTGCGATAGCGTACCGTTATTAACAGTTTCTAATTCAGACAAGATATCTTAATGAAGCCAATTGATAAAAATATGCAACACAAACTATTCATTTACCGATACTATTTTATCGTTCTGCATGGAATAAATGTCAATCCACTATCGATTCTATTCGGTTTTTTTCCGAAAATCGAAAATTCAAACGATGCCCATAAAACGAGACCTTTTGACTCATAACAATTATTGAATCACTAAATACATATGTATGGCTCTTTTTTGTGTAATTTCAACATTATTCTCGTTTTCTTCGACAATCATCGTCACTTACACGTCATCGTGTTGTGCTTTCACTTCTTATAAAAGCATGTGGCCTTTCGTATTGTATGCGTTTTTATCGATTACACCTGGCATTATATTTTATTTCTATTTGAAATCTATTCACGCTACAGCACTATGTCGATTCGTATCGTATCTTACAATTTATTAGCACCTATATTTGGTGATCGACCAGAAATGTATCGAAAATGTCAACCGCAATTTCTTAAAACTGATCACCGATGGAATTTGATTCAATCTCAATTGAAACAAGAAATTAACCATCATGATAACACGATTATCTGTCTACAAGAGATTTGTCTTGAATTTCTACCTAAACTCGACTTATTTTTTCATGAATTAAATTATAGCTTTTTTCAAAATCTCTATGGTCCACCATGCACTGATTATCTAGGTGTTGGTATTGCAATTCCAATATCGATGCAATTGCAATCGATTTCTTATATCAGAATTGGCGATTACATGCGATCAATGAGTAAACCACGCGAAACAAAGAATGGTCTCTTTGCATGGGGTCAACAGTGGTGGCAATTTTTGATGAATAAATTCGCCGAACCAGCTAAGGATACATGGGATCTGGCCATGTCACAAACGAATACATTGATTTGTTTACAAGTAGTAATCGATCATAAAATTGTATACGTTGCCAATTATCACATGCCAAGTCTCTACCTGATACCTGATCTTATGCAAATGCATGCTTCTGTCGTAAAAGATTGTATGTTTGAATTAGCAGCCGGTCAAAATTTTATTCTAAGTGGCGATTTCAATCTTAAGCCTTACGATGTCACTTATCGGATTCTAACTGAAAAAGGTTATGACCAGAATTTACCAGAATCATATATGTATGAAATATCTTATCGACCTAACAGTGAACGAGCGTTGAAAAGTGCTTACCTTGAGAAAAACGGAGCTGAACCTGTTTACACGAATTTTAGAGATGTGGCTAAGTCGCCTAACTTTTGTGAAACACTTGACTACATATTTTTTCAAGGAAATCTTATTGTCGAAAAAGTATTGGAACTACCAGATCAACCTTTGAGCGAATCTTATCCGGACGAAACACATCCTTCAGATCATTTGTTGATCGCAGCATCATTTCGATTGTTGTAGAGAAATTCGCTTTTGATTTTTAAATAATAAATTTCTTTTTCATTGAAATACTTATCCAAGCTAAACCTTTAACTTCCTAGAATCGATTTTGATTTCATTCATAAATATTTTAATTTGTATGCAAATACCTATACGAAAATAACACAAATCCTTATTTTATTTTGTACTTATTGATACCAACTATGCGTTGATAATATTTTTAAACACGAATAGTTTACTCAAAAGTCTGTTTGTCGACGATTTCTGAGATATTTAGTAAGGCTTGGATATTTTGCTACTTGTTGACGATTAATTTTCAATCATGCATATTCGTTAAGTATATTAGTATCGGCTTCGACAATACTTTCTAACGCATCGTACACACATAAATCAGCAAAATTCAAATGATTGCCAACGAAAAATTTACCACTTTCACTGTAGGCTTTGGCCAAGATGTCAATATTATGTAAATATTTTGATAATTCATTCACTAAGAATTGATCTAAACTTGCTTTTGTTTGGGATCCTTCTTGATACCAAATAATCGATCCGAATTTATTAAAAACTTCTGTCGCTGTATCAGCGAAAGCTTCGATTTTTGCCAACCAGATGAAATTGACGAGCAAGAAAGTGGGTGTATAGGTACTTGACCAAGAGGTATTTCGGACTTGTGCGATGGCCATTCTTTTTCTTCATATCTTATATCTTCAAATTTTTGTCCAGCTGCTACCAAAATAAGACGAGAAATTTCAGCACGACCACGACCATCAAAATAGTATAGTTTATAAGTCGACATCAGTAAAACAAATGTATGTAGCTGGTATGCAAACACAGAGAGAAAAAATATACAATGATAAGGTATTCTCTTTGAATAGATGGTGGTATTGATATGCGTAGAACAACGAAATGATAACGAATTGGCAAGGATTTTTGCCAAGTCACTAACACTCCACTGATGTGAGGGATTATTATTGTGTGAAGCATATATTCAGTGAAAGAAAATCGGACTCAGAATACCTCTAATTTCTTGAAGTCATATTAAAGCATTTGTTTAAAATTTTATTATAGCTATTTGACACATGTTTCATTTAATGGGCAGGTTGCCAACGAATTAAACGTATGAAATTGTTGCGAAATTTATCTGAGCAATTCATGTAAACTATAAAAGAAAAATAATCATAAAGTTTCATGATAAATGAGACTTTCGAAACCTAAATCATACCATAGAATTGAGCAACACAATAAATATAGCTTAATATTGGACAAACAATGTATCCAGCAAGTGCTTCAACAGTCAATTGCATTTGACTCTTACGTTGTGCAACGGGTGCAGTGCAGGATATAGACCAGTAGTTATTAGATAGACCAACACTGCAACTATTAACATTTTCATTAAATCATGATCAGCTTTACGCAAACGAATTCGAAACATGGCTGCAGCCAGGTGCAACTCGTGCTCGAACTTGCTTTAGATTACACCAAGCCAATACTCCACAGGAAATCATCAAAAACGGAGGAAGAAAACCAAGAAAAAAATAAATAGCAAATGCAAAAGCATAATAGGAAGGTGCACCGCAATGTCCCGAATAGTTATTAATAAATATAGCCATATGAACAGGTATAATGGGTCAAATCAATAAAAGACAAAATATAACAATACAAGCGGTATGCGATTGGCAAAAGGATCGAATTCGAGCTTGTGGAGAAGTCAGAGCCCATCGATCAATACATGCAGATATCACAAGAACAGTAAAACAAAAAATAAATATTTTTATCTGCAAAATAATTAAGTTTACTGAAACTTCGTGAAAGTATCAACAAAATTTGTCCTCCATACTAGCGCAGTTTACATACAACAATGGATCGATGTTGTGGATCAATATGATCAACATCGTAGACTGAAGAGATCAACGATGTATTAATTAAAATCCAATTCGTAATTGAAGGAGCTAGTAAATAAAATGCACATGAATTAGGCAGCTTTCTTAAATTTCGTATAAATATGAAGATGGTTAGAATGTTGACCCATATTACCCATTACAATTAACGTCGATAATCCATAACGATCAAGGTTTTGTTGAATATTAACTATAGTTGAAGCTGACATTCTAGAAAATTACAATCAAATGATAATTCAACAATGAAATGCAGAGAATTCAAAAAAAGCAATGTATATACCAATGTCATTTAAGAAGATAAAAAAAGGAGAAACAATTACATTTGACAATCTTCATTTCTCATAAAAGTAAATTACAGTTCATCTTTTCTTGACAATTGGTGATAAATATTTAAGGAAAAGAGAACGTTTATTAAAATAAAAAGCTGTTGAGGTAGATAAAAATTTTTTTCAGAATGTGGCATTTCTTTCTGAGTTTTGTTTTCGTGAAACCTGAAATTTGATTGCGCTATCATTAATGACATTCAATCCTAAGAAAAGATATACATCTTTTCAACTTAGTGGCGTAACCACGAGGGGGGCTGGGGGTGGCTGAGCCCCCTCCAGAACTGCTTGAGCCCCCCCTAGAAATATTTCTGTTTAGCTGTTACTTAATGTTATTCTAATTTTTCGAGCGACTTTTGTGTTAGAGAACACAATCTAGATGTTATTCTTGATCAACAATAGTAAAGAAAGAAAAAGAACAATTCTGTTCTGTTTATGTCGTCTTTGTACAATGTGAGTAATCGATCGTCATTTATCTGTTCAACAACGAAACTTTCGTCTTGATCAACAACAGTAAAGAGAAAAGAAAAAGAACAGTTCTGTTCTGCTGGTGTCGTCTATGTCAGAGTTGCAACCGGTAACGGTAAACGGCCGGTTCGGCCCGGTCTAGGATTCCTTACCGGCACCGCCAGATATACCGGCCGGTACAAGCGACTTTTTCAGACCGGCCCGGTCTAGATTTTTTAAAATTATTTTCGCTTTTTTCCCTTATTTTTTGCAAAAATAGATGATAAAAGTGTTTATTTTTGCATATCAAGCTAGTTTTTATGACATTAATGACGATTTCTAAGAAAAATTATGAGATATATTGTTTATATTAAATCAGTATTTATCAAAAATATATTTCTTAGTGACGAAGGAGAAGTCTTAAATAATTGGAATAGTGATTCAGAGTAAGATATGACTGATGTTAAATGAAAAAAGTCAATAGTGACTCATACGATGAAAAAAAACAACTATGACTCATGCCGGTCCGGTCCGGTCTGATCGGCTTAGACCGGTACTGGTACCGGTCTAGAAAAAACCCTACCGGTTGCAACTCTGGTGTATATTGTTGTTTTGTGTATTGATGTAGTGTATATTGTTGTTTTTCTTTAAAATGCTACTCTTAACATGAAAAATATGTTAGTGAACATCAAGCAAGTACAACATCTCCTAAAAAAGGTGGAAGAAATTCAGTTTTTAATTAATTCTAAAGAGTCTTGGGGCCGAGCCCCCCCTAGCTTAAAATCCTGGTTACGCCGCTATATGTAATACACATTAGATGTTTTTGTTTGCTTCAAAAACGATCGTTTTTTAGCAGTGCTGAATTCTATTTGTAAATGCAATACTGATAAGCATGTTTTTATTTTTTATTTTCAACAATAATTTGTTCTTAAAACACATAAGATCGATTTAGTGAAATTCATTTATTCATATTGAAGAATGAAAAAAAAAGAGTAACTTTTCTGCTCAATTTAAATTAAATGTATTCATAATATTTCCCATGTTTGATAATAATGATTTGTTTTTGTACTAATCTCTCAAATAAATATTATATAAAATATTAAATCTAATGTAATTTTGTTTATGATATTGCTAGGTGTTCTGTCAATTATATTATTATATATGCTAGTTGTTTCCTTTTTAGGTGGCTTTGACTCTGTTTTTGTCTACTTATGTATAGCTCTTAATTGATTAATATCACTTGAAAATCCTCATTGCCTTGTTTTGTTTTGTCATTACTTCATATTATGATGAGATGAACATTTGTTTTTCTTGAGGGTGTTTCTGCTTGTATCGTATATGTGACTCTGAAATGAAGGCGATTTCTCTGTGATATAATACAATCATCTACCGAAAATCATAAAAATAAGTAAAAGATATCATTAGTGAGGATGAAAATCAAAGTAAAACGCTCAAAACAATCAATACGCATCTGTTGGTATTAACCTAAAAAAAACATATTTTTATATGAACATGTACTTTTTATGCACTGAAATGTATCTAATATAGGGATGGACCATTTTTTTAACGGAACTTAATTAATGACATATAATTAATGGTTAATGTTGATGGCCCATCCCTAATCTAACAGCTATTCACTTCGATGCTGCACTTATGTTTTTCATGGGATAGCCATTGTTTTGATCATACATAACGATATTAAAAGCTAAACGTAGTTGCTCCAATATGAACAAGGTATCTCTATAGATTGCTTAAAATTGTGGAAAAGAAATACTGAGAAGTCGCTACTTGAAAAAGTGTATGGTTAAATATGTTTTTGCTATTATTTTCATGAATTCGTCATAGTTTCATGATATTTTTGCCGACTTGTTGGAAAGTGTGTTTTGAAATTTAATACTATGTGAATCTCAAACGTTGTATTCATGACAAAACTGGGCTCAACAATGACTCCTCATCATAGAATGGAAAAACATCTTTTGGAAAAAGAGTAGGATTCACCAATATCTTCTTGATCAACTCAAATGAAACGGGAGTCACTGTTATGAATCATCAAGTCAACTACTAGGAACTACGAAACTTACATTTGACTTGTGTTTAATGTACGAGCCTTCTACTACGAGGTGAATATCATCATAATTTATGATTTTTCATCTTTGATAAAACTATTGACGATGAAATTTTGTGTGTGAAGACACAATGCCCACCAAAATCTTCGCTTCAAACAGCCTTTATTTGAACATCATTTCATATTCATTTGAAAAATTAAAATTTACTAAAATTAAACATGGAAATTTTTAAATTTTTAATTTATGCTCATCAATGAGAGCAAACGATTTTTTACGTTACTGTTTTGTCATTGAGCTTACACAAACAACCCACACGGAATCATTATGAGAATCACAACATTAACTTTGTCTAGACTAATTGCCAGAGTAGTAAAAATACAATAAAAAGACATTAAATTTGACTCTCGTTGTATTTGAACCCACACGAATAAAATAAAATAAAATAAAATAAAATTCTAGTGTCTATAGAATGCTTTTTATAACTGAAAAATCATCGAACTTTGTCTTAACGTGAAATTTTCTTAACAAAAATCAACCATTCCATTTTTTTGAAATTTTTTCGTCGAATAAACAAATGAACATACGCGTCGGGTATAAACGAAAACAATGAAAACTTATTGGACAGGCACGAAAACAATGAACATGTGCATTAGACGGGAACAGAAACAAAGAACAAAAAGACATGATTAGAGTATAAATTTTACAGAGATGAATTGATAGAATAAAAGAACAATGACCAACGCTACATTTGAATCATTGCCTAATGAAGTTTTGCTGATTATATTTGGTTATTTATCTACATTCGATCTTTGTGAAGCCTTTCTTAATGTGAAGAATGTTCGTATCGAAAATCTTATTACGTCTATTCGCCATACTTTAGATGTTAGTTTAATGCATTATGACAAATTACACCAATTTCTAAGCAAAATTAACGAGTATACCAATCGTTCTGTTGCGTTGATAGATTCTGTTGTACTTCATGATTCCTCTGCTTGCACGATGCTGTGCAATCATCTGGAAACAAGATTGAATGATTCTGAAGATTCGAACGACTGGTTTCGATCAATCAAGAAACTTCATATATTGAATTCGAATAGTTACGGATATGATTTGGTTCAGCCAATATTAAAGCCTTTGGTTTATGGTACGCACACATTAAAGTATTTGCATCTCGTATTCGACCGACCTGCATATTCCTACCCTACAATACTTTCTGAACTCGTTCTTCATCGTATTTCAGTATATAGTATGATATTAGAAGTTGAACAAGGTATGTTGTTACACGCTATTGACTGAAAAAATAAGATGATTGTCTACGCAGTAGCTATATGATAATACATGCCCTTAAAAGATATTCTTCTATAATCTTGGTTTAATCAAAGATTTTTATTTCATTAATAGACTTGAGGATAAAAACTTGTCAACAGGAATATCTAAAATCATCTCGTTACTAATGCATAACAAGTCAAAATAATATTTTATTGTTTAGTAAATAATGAATTATATGCTGATTGTAACTTAATGCATATTGTGATTTGTGTAGCTGCTTTGTTGTACTTTCAAAACAAACCATATTTAGATTTAAGGAGCGAATTAAAGATCTTTTTTTATACAATATGTTTATTATGATACATATCAACATTGAACTTAGTTCAGAATACGAAATGAAACAAAATAATCGAAAAATTTATTCGGTACAACAGAATCGAATCAATGTCTCTTATTCATTGTAGTTCTCACTTTATTACGTTTTTATTTTGCTTCTCAATGAAAAATTTATTTTAAGTTATCAAGGTACAATATAAATTTATCCTTGTGCATATATGTTCATATATAGTTAGACACGACGTTTCATGAGATAGATGATAGCCTATGTCAATTTTGAATCAGTAGACGAGAGATTATTTTATGGGTATAGTTAATTATTCTTGAAGTTATGATAATAAATTTTGTTTAACAAGTATAGGAACAAGGAGAATTAATTCTGCTTCATAATGTAGAACTTAATTGAACTAGCTTTTCTAATCTGCTATAACGCGATAAGTACTAATATTGGTTTTATTAATAGGTCACGAATTTTATCCAAACGAGCTCACAAAGGATTTCCACAAAATGCAACCCCTATATTGGCCGAATACTGTCAAACTAACGTTAAGTATTCAACACCCAAGCGAACTTATGCTTCTCTTGAAACGTGATGCTCTGCCTGCACTCGAACATTTGAATGTTACTAATGAGGATATACATACTGTTTTACCATTAAGCCAATACAAACCTGTATCAAATATCCAATTTTGTGAACATGATTTGCGTCAAACAGCTGATGGTACTCGGTTGCGATCTTTAATATTACGCTTTATAACTCTTAGGGATGCTACTTTGTTACTTGGTTCATTGAGCATGCCTTTACTTGAAAAATTGATACTTGTTGATTTGTATGTTCACAGTAAGTTATCATTTGACGCTTCTTTTATCAATTATTCTAGTATCATCAATTGAAATCAATTAGCTTCTTCCTGTATTATATAGATTGAATCATCAAATAGACTTCAGACAGGAAAGATTAGTATGATATACATGCAAAAAAATTTATTGATAGTCTAGTTTTTGCATGTTTTTGTTCTTTACCCTAGTCGTAAAAGCTATTATTGTCAGATCTATTTGGTTTCGAATATATACTTCTCATATCAGAATACTTATTTTGTTGCTAATACTGTTTTTATTTTTTCACAGCACTAAATCACATTGACGAATTTCAAAAACTTTGTGGCCCAACGCATGTACCTGCTCTCAAAAATCTCTACTTCTCATTTTGTTTTCCTCAAGACATGGAACATGTATTGCGAAAGAGTTCGTTCCATCGTAATGGAGAATGGCCTTTTGACAACATTGATTGTTACATAGATGAAAGTTTGATTGCTACTGGTCGTCTGCACGATTTTGCCACGACGACACTATTCATCGTCTACAAACGACCGATCAGTGTCTTGTTACAACACAGGCGAACTTTACATAATCATCGATTTGCAACACACGCATCTGCTCCCATCTTTACAACGCGAAGACAATCACTTCTACTGACTTACGATAAAATAGACAAGCCCGATGAGCTGTTTAAAACCTTACAAGTACTTGCAAGGTGTTCAGTTGATAAACTACATTTGAAATATCGAGGTGACCAGGTAAATGTATGAACTGAAAAGCGAAAAAATATTTATGTTAAAATAGTTTTTGCACCCTGTCCAAAGTGAATTGAAGGAAGTATTTTTCTGATGTTCTCGGTTTCGAGTTAAAGTATAAAAGTGCCTAAAGCATGTAAGGAATGTTTTTGCCTTCAATAGATAACAAAACTATTTGATATACTTGAACTAATTTAAGATACTTCCTTATTCAACCGGTCGAGTCAGATCGTTGCAACTGAACTCAAATTGAACTTACCGTCCATGTTGGACATAGATTGAATGATGATTTTAGACAGTTCTTGAAAGCTATCTTACGCAATTAAATCTATTTTTATGAATTCAGTAATTGTTTCCTCTGATATTTTTTCTTTACTCAAGGTCTTTCGGTTGAGAACAGTTCGGTTGATATTAGCTTGATGTTTCGGAAGTTCAAAAATTGGAATCCACGATAGTTCATACACCAAAGTGGAGTATTGCTCGCTAAATTGAATTGCAATAGAATCTCAAACTTCAAAATAACTTAAATTTAAACGTTTCTTTCACCCTAATCATACTGTTCAGTATGTATTCATGAGTATTAGTAAAGATTTTCAAGTTTGCCTGGGACTGAAAGAATTATTTTCAAAGATTAATGCTACTAATAATGTCAGATATATACAATCAGTATTTAACGTGGTAAAAGAAATATAGGACAAAAAATAATTACTGCAATTATTACAATTTTTGGCTATATATATATATCTTGAGAAAAAAATTGAAAACGCGTACTAGGAGAAATCAAATTGAGATATCTAAACAAAATTCGTGGAAAACAGAGAAAAGTTCGGATTACCAGAACACGAAATACACAACAAAAGCTAAAGTGTAGGGCAACAATTCTGCATTTAATTCATTTTAGATGCTGCGCTGTAGTGCAATATCGTGGGAATATGGTTACCTTTTTTTCGAAAGAGCTATGTCTAGCGCAAGCCTAAAAAAAACTCGCGACGGACTACATGAATGCTGTGCTTCACACCGCATTAAAAAGATATGTATTGAAATTGTGAAACACGATGAAAATTTCAGAGCAAAGGGTGTCAGAAAACTTTTCCACTACCTTCTTCTTGAAAATGTTTTAGTTCAATGATTATTTGACGCTATCAGATAAATGATGAGATGCGTCAAATTCGCAAAATAATGGGAGTTGATATTGGCAAAAATCCTTTGATATAAAAAGATCGTAGAAAAAGTTTAGCCACTTGCTTTTGCCTATTTTATATGTATTATCAAAGGAATATGAAACTAAGTGCTACTGTCATGATCAATCTTGAATGAGAATTAGTCCAATTCATGTTTGAGAGTATCCTATTTCTTGATGAAAAATCTGACTAATAAACGTTACTATGTCGTTATCTTCATTTTCTTGCTGTGAAAATGCGATTTTATAAGCTTTGAGAACAGGGTGGCATAGATATTGAGAAATCGCACGTATTGTTTTCTTATCAAAATCATAAAAAATATCTAAAGAAATTTAAACCAAAAACATGGATGATTAATGCTTATTTTCTTTTTAGGCAAATGTGTCGATGGCATCAAACTGTGCTCTTAGTGGTAACTTGTTTCTTCGTCATCTAAGATCTATGACTTTTGATTTCGAGTCAATGTCAATCAAAAGATCAGCGACTGTAGCTATTGTTAAACAAATACTTCATGCGTCACCAAATCTTTCAGATCTTGTAATAGATTGGAGCGATTTTTGTCATTGTTCACAAACATATTCAAACTTAAAGCACTTGCATCTCATACTAGACCGAATATACCCGGAACCAAAGCAGCATTTTGATGTTCGTCGATTAGCTCAATTAGCACCTCATTTATGTTCTCTGGAAACAAGTGGTGCGAATATTATGCTGGATGAAAATTTAGTGAAATTTGTGTTGAAAATTATTCGTCAATTTGATCAACTAGTGTATTTAACATTAAACAAAAACAATCTTTATAAATCGAAAGAAAATAAAAAAGTTATATTTAAAGAAACTTTAATAGCAGCTGGTCATAATCGAGTATTTGATTGTAATAATATTCGAATTCAATTTTATACACGTGATGCGTTATATATTTGGCTTTGATGTTAAAACGTTGAGAATTATTTATAATAAATAAATTTTGTACGTCAATGTAAAGATGAAAAAAAAGAATGATCATCAAGTGTGATCTGATGAAACTCGATAGTTCAACTAGAATTCATTTTTTATTTTAATTCGCATAAATGATTGAAGCATTGAAATTGGTCAATCGAATAAAAGAAACGCATTTGCATACTTCGTTTGATTAGCGAGGTCGATTAATGAAACTTTATTGTAATTAGATTGATTTAGACAATGTATTTTTGTCACCATCTCTTGTAAGATTGGTTTTTATTATAATGAACAAAGCGTTCGCAATATATATCTTATCTTTTATTATTACAGATTTATTTCACAGATCGAATAGTTAATTATACGTTTTTGATATAACCTTATTTGCGACATTTAATAGTTTTGTGAGAAAATATATTACTTGCAATCGCATTTGATTCGTATGAGAAATCTTATATCATCATGTTTATTACTATTTAAAAAAAGATGTAATGTTGAAGGGACGTTGTTTTGTGTATCTGATTACAAACATAAAGAATTAAGTATTGATTGTTCTTTTAAAAAAATGGCTTTGTAATACTTCCAATTCAACTCAAAGAGCATGATAACTGTATCTGATGTTTGTGTTGCAATCTTCAACGAAATTTCTTTTTCAAACAAGTAGAAATTCTTTATTCATCAATTTGATGATAATATTTTGTCAATTCAAACATTTTATTCGAATATTTTGTTTCGAATAAAAAATAAATCTAAAATAAAATTTGCAAAATATATATCAATTATTAATGTCATATTTTTTTTTGTAACTTTATAGCGATTAATACATGTTAACGATGATCTTGATCACACATATAATGTATCATCAATTGTGTTTGTAAAGAATAATTATATCTAATTAATATATATAAGTTTGAGAATTTTCATAGATGCTTTAAAAATGCAAGGATAGTATTCCTCGAGAAAGTAATTGTAACTATAGTAACAGTTGATAGTATGTATAAATTCACGTGTCACGTATAGATACATGTGCATGAATATATGTCATTCTTTTTTCTCTTCTCTATCATAACAATCCAGATCATTCATTACTTAACAAGCTTTTAACTACCAAAGATTAACAATGACATCAACAACAAACGATCAGTTGATAAATGATATAGAGATGGATCATTTTGGATGTTCCACTCATCGTTTATCAACTACAGGTATTAACTCATGTGTTTCATTTATTATTCTTTTGAATCATGGTGAACACATATTCATGGAACATAGAAGCGACGTTTATTTTCCTACGTTATTGAACATGGAAAATGTTCGTCTATGCTTCGAAAATATTGCTGAACATATTTGTAGAATTCAGCCACAATCAGATGTCACGTAAGTTCCACAAATAACAAGCTTAAAAACTAATAAGCTGAAGTATTATTACATAAGGATTAATTTGTCTTTGTTGCTTTTTTCCTCAGTGAGTCAACAAAGATATCTTTAAGTATACGAAGTAAATCGCAGATTTGTATGGTGAAACTGTAGCTAAAAGAAACTTCAACTAAGTTCAGCGTTCATGAACAGGAAATATAAAGGATTGGTTTTCGCAAACAAAAGTATAAAACGTTTATCATTGAAAAATAAAGATTGATAAAAGTATAAGCTTCACAAAGATAAAATAATAAATGTATATTCTGATCGTAGAAATTAAAAGCAAACATGATTATAAGCAAAAATATAGAGAGTTAATATGAAATAATGGGACAACCTATTTGTTGATTGTATATAAATACCCAGGTCCAACATTACGGCCGTATATACATCGTGTCGTATACGATTGCTAGCGGTCTAAACTGACCGCTTACGGCCGAGTGTTTTTGATCTGGGTAGCTCAATGTTAAATGGTTACATAAAACTGTAACCTTATTTATATGGATGATCTAATTGAAAGAAAATTCGTTTTCCTTTATTAGACTAGATATTTCTCTTCATTGCCTAAAAATGAATAATTTTGAATTTTTACTTACTATATTAAGGAATTTTATATTTTGCTTTTAAAAAAAGAAATTCTTAGTTTGTTCTAATTCTTTAAAAGGCGAATGAACATCCCTCAGTAGAAAACATCTCTTAGTAGAGAAAAATTCATTTAAATAAAAGAAATCTTTGCAGGGGTATTGTGATGTTGGGAGGTATTGATAATCAACTACGGTCAAGCGAACTTCAAAAATGCATTAATGAAGTTATTGAAATTGGTGTTGATAGCAATGATACAAATAAATCACGCCATTTTAAACAATTATTCAATAATATAATATGTAATGATGTGTGTTTTAATATTGCACCCAAAGGAAAACGAGGCATAGAATCAATTACTGGCGAGCCGTGCTTTGATTTAATTGTTGATAAATATATTGGAGATGGTGATGGTTTAATAGTTGTAGTTCAACATATCAAGAAATTTGTAACATCTGATATAATAATTGGCGTACTGGCTATTGGAATAAAAAGCAACAATAGATGGTTTATCATTGATAAATACGAAGCAAAAAATAATCAAGGTAAAATAAATAGTTTTTTGTCACCGTTCCACGAAGAGAAAAACATCAGAAGAAAATCGAAAAATGACGATTAGTATGAGAAATCATTTCAAAATTTAGATGTGGACATGTTGTTTTTGTTGAACGCACGCGACTGTTTATTTGCACGTAATATTTTATTACTGTGTGCAACAAGACGGAAAAAACTTATTCGAGGCATTTCTGTCTAATTACTTGAATGATTTCGAAAGAGGTTTCCCTTTTTCACCTATATTCATAATATTAACTGTATAAAATCAAAAGAAATTTACATCAAGCGTACTTAATTCACACTAATTTGCTTTAAATTAAAACTGGCTTTTTATCTTTCACTAGATTTGCCTAATTCTTAAAAGAGTGAGACTCAGTTACGTAAGTCAGTTGATTGTCTTTTGAATTTTTTTTTACAATCGATTATGTTTGGACAGTGAATGCCAATGTTGATAGTAAAATTAATGATAACATAATAAAGACATCTTACGTTAGATATTATTCTACGCAGGCATCATATATTGGAAATCAAAATAAATCAAATGATAAATAATACTTTGAAATAAACTCTATATACTTGATTGAACCTATCTTCTGAGGAGACTCGTTCATATTTTAACTGTGCGTATATAATAAACTTGATAGAATCTAATATCTTTAATCGCAATGATCAAGTCCATGAGAAGCATATTTCCATGGGTTCACGTTACCAGCTGTCACAGTCAATTTAAAAATTCCTAGTGACTTCAAAATATATTTAAGGAGCCGCAGTAACACCGTTGATATTCATACTATTGTGTTCGATGAAGTAATTCATGTATAAATATTTTGAATAGTCAACTTGAAAACTATACATTGAATCTCCGTTCAACTATTGTTATTGATGTAATTTATTTGAAACTTTAAATAATCATTTGTAAACCAATATCCTTAGTGAGATTTATAATAGATAAATATATCAAGCATTGATTTAAGCGACAAGAGCAAAATAATATAAAATTTACTTTGACTAAATAAGTTATATTTTAATCAACTAAGATTTTGAATTACTGTTCTCATTTCCAATTGACGTAAGACTGGATCCTACTATGTAAGCAACAATTTTATCAACATCATTCTGCATTAGTGTTGAATTGGAGCAATTATTATTTTTTCTCAGAATATTTAATATCTTCAAAGTAAAAATTAAACTGTGAACAATCCTTTTGATTTTTATAGACTAGAATATTGAGTATTGTTGAAATTCTATACTAGAGAAATTTCCTGAAAAAATTATTGCATATAAAGATCATAATTATTGTATTCCAACGTTGGAATCATTACATTTGTATAGGACAATCATCGTACTATTGAAGATTTCATATGAGATAGTAAATAATAGATTTAACGAATCTTAAAGTATTTTTTCATCTGAGATCACCGCGTGGATCTTCACTGCAGCATTGCATTTTCAAGAGGTTTTTTATCTTAGTATTTATCATTTACAGATGTGTTCAAATAAAACAAAACAAAAGGTGACAAATATTTCATGATACACTCAAACTAAATGACCAATTAGATACAGAATAAAAGAAATAATCTCGAGACTTTTACGGAGTGCATTCATAGTGCAAAGAACAACAATGTTATTAAATGAAATCATGTTGTTCTAGAAGATTCAGTAGTAGATATATTAATTAAAAAATCAAGTATGATGTCACTCATATTGATACACAATCGAACGATGCCTTCTATTCATCACATTGAAATAGATAAAATTTAATTGGCAGTTACTTTTAAAAAGAACTTGTTAGATTCTTCTGTAACGATTACTAATTCAACTTCATTCGATTTTAGATAAAACAGAACGCGAACTGAATTATCTACTTGATGCGACAAACCACTTTTGTTTACGTGCTAAAGCTCTTGGTGCAGTGGAAGTTCAGGGTGATATGGCGAGATATCTATTAAATTACGGAAAAACAGTGTCAAAAAAACAACAGTTGATCTTGAAAGTCAAATAAGTTTGAATTTTTCTGATCGGCTAATGTACAAGGTAAAAATTTCGTATTTCCATGTAATGCAAACTTAATAATTGAAAGTCGAAGATCGATTCTCTTTTATATTTGTATTGTTATCTCCTAAGTCTGATCGTAAAAGTGCAATATAAATTTTATTTTATTTTATTCGATAATTAGTGATGCACTGGCAGGTCACTTTTTTGAGCTTCAATTATATTTTATTCCTCATATTTTCTTTCGTGTACCATGATCATAATAAAGCTCTTTATACAATGTAATTTTTCGTCAATCAGGGCCCGCGCGAAGAACCTAAGATTGAGGGGAATGGGGGAAGGAGTTTTTGGAGGGTGGTAAAGGGAGTATTTGCAACGAAATTTTGCAAAAACAAAAAGGTAAAACATACAGAAAGTCTATTGTTACTGACAAAAGTTGAAAATTTTCAATTGTTGCGAGAGAGGAAGATGTACATTCCCTCCTACTTTCGCGGCCCTGTCGTCACTTATGATAAGTATTCTTTGAAAATTTGCTTCCTGTGTCAAAAGAATGTTATATTAAATGCAATATCTTAATTTAACTTTAAAATCAATTTTTAGAATCCTGAACCTTCAAATGGCGGATTGGCAACGTATGACGATGATAATGCATTTTAAATAGACCCATGTGTTCAAGAACATACATATATATGTAGGCAATAAAAAAAATTAGTTTATACTTAAGAAAAAACGAAAAATTTTGTTCTCATATACTTTCATAATTGAATATGTGCTGAAGAAATATTTCAGGCATTGATTTTTCATTCACTCAACCACTCTCTCAGTTCTTTTTAAAAGCACTGATGATATTATACAAAAACAAGTTCGATTCAATTGTTTGATGATTGAAATAATCGATGTTTAGAATGTATTTCTCCTTGAATTGATTTACAATGATTGGCAATTTCTAAATTCAATTGAATCATATTTATTATCATAGGTATATTATTATTGAAGATTGATTTATTTATGATGTATACAAATTCTTGATAGACTCATGCAAAATATCACTTTGAAAATAATGCAACTTATACCCAAAACCAAAGGAATAGAAAGTATATAATTTGTAGCTTTTCATGAATTACTGACTATCGAAATTCTACACATGATCTGCATATACTAGTAGTATTGAGATACGAAATTAATTTTTGAATACTGAATTATCTAAGTTCAAAATGATATTAGTTAAATAGCTACAATTCTATACATAGTTGGAAATCATTGTACGACACTTCGATATCAATGCGGCGACGAAAATTTCATTTTGTTCCTTTGGAATAAAATGATTTGCTTTACGTTTCGTTCTGGTCAGTATTGACCTAGCAACTAATAGTTTTATATGAATATGCATTTTTTTATTATCGAGGAGCATATACTTCATTACTATTAATTAGCTTCTACCACACACGTCTTTGTTTGATTCCATATTAATTATTCTGATCATCCATTAATTGATTCGAATAAAAAAGTAAAAGTTCAAATCAAGATATGGTGTTTTTTTTATCGATTGTACAGAAGCACACAAAAAGAGATGATGAAAAGTTACTCATTGGAAAATCTCAATGATTAAATGTGTTTTATATTTTTATTCTTGCGTGGTATTCATGAGTACTTTCATGTTATCTTGCCGACTGCATAACTAGGTATGAATTAATATATATTCTATTCATTTTCATTTAGAATTGTAGATAGTATGTATCTAACCAATATCAAACATTTGTATATAAGCAATAAAACGCTGAAAAATTGGTCATTTTTTATAATACTTTTCGATTTATTTTTATCAGTATTGATTTATCATTCTCCTCGGAAAACACATTTTCATATAGATCGTCGTATAAACTATTAGTGCTATGAAATATATTGTGAATTTTCACATAGCATAAACTTGAAACTTTGCTTCTTTGATACAATTCAGTTCAACGATAACTTTCTCACCATGTAGCTATTTGAAAACACATTATTGGAAAAAAAAAGTGACCAGAAGAAAGTGTAGTATTCATCGATATCGTCTAAATAAAGTTCGAATGACATGATACTAAATGCTAGGGATCAATAAGTAACTAATTGTAATTCAAAACCTTCAATATCGATTCTGTTTAACATAGGAGATTAATATTACATCCAACAGTAATGATTTTTTATATTTGTATATCTATACACGAATTCGCGTATGAAGTTGATGAAATAGTGAAACGACAGACAACTTCAATCGATATTATTTGTCTCGTTCTTTCGACAGAAACAAATAATTATGGTTTTTATAATAATTTAAAACAAATTTATATTATAATTTACAGTTATAGCTACTTGCGAACATACTTGAAGAGTAAATGAAAAGATCGAATATTTCAATGATTTCATATTTTGAATACGTGCAAATATGTGTATCTATTGAAATTTATTGCAAAGCGCGTGACAATATCAAGTAACAAAGTTTACAGATAGCTCAAATCTGTTTCAAATACGTAGTATAAGACCTATGTTATAGAATAAGTACAAATCTTTATAAGAACTGAATGTTTATTTTAATATAAAATAAAACATCGTTTTATATTATATTACAATATGTTGCTATGAGACAAACTACAGTAGTTTTCTCTCTTCTCCTTATCTGAAGAAATATTTTTTTCTTACCATGGTCTCGTAACTGACACTAAATTTGTCTTATTCTTGTTTCTTTGATCTTTTCCATTGATTGTAAGAAAAGGCTGTTTCTGTGTATGGAAATTTGTAGTGAAAGACGGAGTGATAGATTATTTCTAATTTACTTTCAACCAATTAGTATATAATGACACATTCAATCTTAATCTCATTGCATTAGACTCATAAAACAAACTTAATTGTTCATCTGAACTAGTTAGTATTTAATAAAAATGAAAGACAAAACAGGTCAAAGTGCGGACATTCTCTATTTACTCTTTACTATAATAGAATTCTCGAGACAATGGTAGATCTTGACGACGAAAATCTATATCCTTATTAAAGAGATAATTTATCGTACCTTGATAATATAGTCTTTCTTGCAATATACGATTTTGTTTTTTTGAATCAACACTCATTCCTTTAAATCAGTTTATTGTAGACAATAGACGTCGATAAAAATAACGAAAGATAGTAGAGATTCTTTTTTTTAGCTCTAATGTTGAAAAAAATGATTTGATGGTCTTTTCGTATGAAATTCAGGGAGTTTTAAAATATTCTATGTCAGATACATTCTGATGAAGAATGCAAACTTGGATTTTATCATAAGAATTTAGCTTTTCTTAATAGCAAGTATACGAGAGACTGTCATTAGACTCATAATCTACCGAGTGAAAATTCTTGCTTCATATAATAGCTCTCTCATTAAGATATGCAATATAATAATAATAATGATGAAATGAAAAAATCATATGATGTTTATTTTTAAAGAACATAATTGATTTATGGACAATAATCATTTACGTGGAATTATATTGAAACTTCAAGATTGTCTAAGTGATAATGATCGACAACGTTTACATTTTTTTCTTGGTGACGATGTTCCACGACCAATTAGAGATGACCCAACGCTCAATGGTACTCTCAGATTGATGGAATCACTTTTTGATCAAGATAAGATCAACGAACGAGATGTCACATTTTTAATCAAAGCCTTTCATGCAATTCAATGTATTGATGCTGTCAAAATTCTGAATGGTATACTATTTTGTTTGATTAATGTGTTGCTAGATTTTGTTTTGTTCATCTAGAACACATGAAACAGATTCAATCAAACAGGTTACATCGATCAACACAGAGTTTATCATCGATAATGCCATCATTGATTGATCAAGTTATTTTAGATCAAGAAGATAGAAATTCAACTCAAACCTGTACGTAAAAATATTATTTTTTTTTAAAATTTGTTTACATTTCGCTAATAAAAATAGTTTTTCTGAGCCAGACGAACAGTTGCAGTAAAAACAACAAGATTATCAATAGTAACAATACAAATATAAATCCGCTGACGATCACTATCGACAATAAGAAAATATTATCGGCACAATCCAAACGAAATCAATTATTTTATATGTCATTCATTACAAATAAATGTTTTTTTTTAATCGTTCTATTATTAATGATTGCAGTTGGAATATTAGCATGTGCTTTCTTTATTAAAATCAAAGAAATCAAAGAACTGAATCATTCTGTTAAAAAAATGAATGGTACTATTTCCGAAGAACGCATAATTAATAATCAAACTATTCTAAAATTGAAACATGTTGAATTCGAAAACAACCAGTTGAACAAGCAAATAACACTAATGAAGAAACAGAAAAGTAAAATAAATACACTCATTTCTTAAACATTCAGTATGAAATTCGTGTTTAATTGAGCAGTCATCCTATTCCGCAAGGTTGAACATTCTGGAACCAGTTCCACCCCTCCCCCCCCCCGCAATTAGTTCCGTCAATTCCAGAACTAAGTCAAGCCTGAACACTGTCCGATTCCGGAATTAGTTCGTCCAATTCCATGGATTGCTCGGAAGTCAGTCTAATTCCGAAATTAGGTGAAAGCGGAATAACTGGGAATTCCTAGGAATTCCGTAAAGGAATTGCAGGGTGTGAGTGTCAATGTTGGTGCTGCGATAAGTGTGGATGTCAGTGCGGGTGCACTGAATGCCGGAATCGATGGGAATTAGACGGAATCCCGAGGAATTTCGTGTAATTCCGGAATTGAGTCGGAAGGGATAAGCGGAATCGCCAGAATTAGATGGAATTGGTTCCGTGAGCGGAACTGTTTCCGGAATGTTCAACACTGCGGAATAGGATGCATTCTCGTTTAATTGAAACAGAGATTATTTTAATTAAACCTGGTGAAAAGTTCGGTGGTATCAATGGCGATTTTTTCGATGATTCTGCAGTACCAGATTTCACTTGTCGTTATATAAGCGGAATTTCTGCTTATGGTAATAACGAAAGTATGGAATCCTATCAGTTTTCCTATTCATCTGATAATGATAATCAAAACTCAATTGAAACACAAGTTTACGGCGATCAAAAATCTGTGATTAGTAAAAAATTTGACGTAACTAAAGATGAAAGGATTTACAAGGTAACAGGACAAATTATTAATGAAAAAATTGTTGCTCCAAACAGTACCAACATCGCAGTAGTAAGAATTACAGGACTTCAATTCTTTTCAACAAACGGTCTTGTAAGTCCATCGTATAACGGTCGGTTGGGTCAAAGCTTCACTGAAAAATTTGACGGATACACTTTACGTTATGTTACCGGACGATCAACTCAATATATTCATCAGCTACAATTTTTTTGGTATCGGACAGTAAACGAATGTTAATTGATTCGTAGACATTATTGCATTTTTCCTATTGTATAGTTTTTCGAACAAATATTTTAAATTTTAACCAATGGCTATATTTCTTTATTTGAAATTTTTATTAGGACTATTCATTCATTTCGAAATCAATTATCCACTAGTGAATTGATTCAATTATTATTGAAAGAGAAGATGTTATCATAATGTAAACAATCTGTATTAATTATGAGAGAAATTTCACTAAGACATACACACAGATGTAGTAATTCTCTCATATCAGTGTATCATAAAGCAAACAACAATTGGATATTGAATAACTAGTTGCCAATAGGAATTTCGGCATGATCTTTCGTGCTATTATAAAGTCAATATTCATGCTTGGTTCAGATAATTTTAAGATTCAAACGAGGGTCATTCATCGCGAAGAAGAAAACTATAATCTTTGATGAATCCTACTGTAATGGAAAATAAAATATCAAAACATTAATTTTGCGAGTTCTGAGCATAACCAAGTTTTAATAGCTGTTGTTATTGAAAAAAAACATATTTATCAAAAAAAAATGAATTTGCAGTAGATATTCGGTTAAAAGCACGAAATTTACCTTGATCAAGCAGTAGAATTTAGTTGTAAATATATTTTGTGTTAACTTCTATATATGTTATGCCGACGACTAACTGTGTAACAGCGCCATCTATTGATATAAAAATGCCATAGGTGCATAGAAAATTCTTGCTTTAATCCATATAAAATCAAATAATCAGTTAATTGAACGAACGAGTGAGTGGGAGCAGACGATGAACAAATACTTAATCGGACAACAGAGCAATTACTCTACAAAAATGATATCTTTTCTATCGCCATGCTCGAAATTGGTCTAAGAGTGGTAAACCTTTTTTTTTATTGTTGTTGTTGTTGTTTCCTTTATTTATAATTATTTTCATTCATAAATAATTATTATAAAAAGGTTCGCGGTCCTGATTGGAAATGGGCTCAGCAAGATGATGGAGAAGGTCATGTAGGTACTGTTGTTGAACTAGGTAAACCAGGTAGTAACACATCTCCTGATAAAACTGTAGTTGTTCAATGGGATTCGGGATCTCGAACAAAGTAAATTTATTACTATTTGATCGATGCTTTGAATAAAACAAATAAGATTTTCGTTTTTTGTTAAGTTATCGTGTTGGATATCAATGTGCATATGATTTACGTGTGTACGATAATGCACCGATTGGTGTTCGTCATCCAAATGTAATTTGTGATGCTTGTCGAAAACATGGAATTATTGGAATGAGATGGAAATGTGCTCGATGTTTTGATTTTGATCTTTGTACACATTGTTATATGGCTCTCGACAAACATGATCTTACTCATCCATTTCTTCGATTCGAAACAGCTACCAATACTCAAGTAAACATTGACAAGACATTGATTATACATTTCATAGATGTTTATTTCTTTTTCTTTAATTAAAGGGCGTGAAAGTCCCAGCTCGAAGTCAAAGTCTTGATACACGTCTTATTGCAAAAGGTATTTTCAAAGGTGCTGTTGTTGTACGAGGTGCTGATTGGGATTGGGGAGATCAAGATGGTGGTCCTGGTGGACAAGGAAAAGTTCAAGAAATAAAAGGGTGGGAAAACGAATCTGGACGAAGTGTTGCAGCTGTTGCATGGTTACATAATCCTCATGTTGCGAATGTTTATCGTGTTGGACATAAAGGAAAAGTTGATCTAAAATATGTGCATGAAGCAAAAAATGGACAATATTATAAAACTCATCTACCTGTGCTTGGAGAACATATTGAACGTCTTGTTCCTCCACTTGAAATTTCACAATTTTCTGTTGGCGATAATGTTCGTGTTATGTCCGATATTGATCTAGTAAAGCAACTACAAGAAGGCCATGGTGGATGGAATATACGCATGGCTGATGTTTTAGGTAAAGAAGGGCATGTTCATCGTGTTACAGAAAGAGGTGATGTACGAGTTCAGTTTCATATTGCTGATGAAAATAATCAAGATCAATCATCATCAATAGCACAACAAAATCGTTGGACATTTCATCCAGGTGCACTATGTAAAATTCATTCGTTTACTATTGGTGATCAAGTTATTATTTGTGGTGATGAACAACGTTTAAGACAAGCACAAAAAGGACATGGTGAATGGTCACATGAGATGACTGGTGTACTTGGAAAACAAGGAAAAGTTTTACAAGTTTATGGCGATGGTGATATTCGTGTAAATGTTAATGGTCAATCATTCACATTTAATCCGCAATGTTGCACACCATTAACAACATCTTCATCAAGTCTTTTAAATTCAACAAGTCATAATACGCTTCAAGCATATCAAGCACAACAACAAATGGAATATGCTTCAAGTATTGATTGGAGTTTACAAGGTGGTTCATCGATTGGTGGTGGTACAACGAATTCATCATCATGTAAACAAATGCTTATTTATAATACACTTTTGGGACATAATGATATATTATCATCATCATCAATCGTTAGAGATGCTGCACAAGGAAAAATTCAAGCTATTAGAGATGCACTAAATAAAAATCCTCAACTCGTAATAATAATTATTTGTTTTTGTCTCTTTTATTTTGATAATATTATCTAAATTTAGGTCGAAAGTAGATCAGGTGATAAATCTGCATTGATGTTAGCAGCACATCAAGGTCATATTGATATCGTACGAATTCTACTTTCACATGGAGCAAATTTAGAACAACGTGATGCTGATGGCGATACAGCACTTCATTATGCTTGTTTCGGTAATCAACCTGATTGTATATCACTTTTATTATCAAAAGGAGCTGATATTAATTCAATTAATTCAACTGGTTGTTCATCTCTTCATATTGCAATTAATAAACAACTATTGGAATGTACCAAGAGATTATTAGAACATCAACAACCATCGATTGATGTCAATTTACAAGATATTTATGGAGACACTGCATTACATGATATTGGTATTATTTTATTGTGTTGTTGAGAAAGAAATTGAAATTATTCTGTTTCTCTTTTTCTTTTTCTCCATAGCAAATACTCGTGTTTTTGGCCATTTTGGTGGTCTCGATGAGTTAGCATCATGTGGAAGTCATCCGAGTATATTAAATTTAATAAAAGAATTAGAAGAAACACGCCATCAAACAAGTCTCATTCCATCCGAAGAAAATTCACCTGATCGGTAATTGCATTATTTTATATATTCATAATAAATAACTTTTCGTCAACTTTTAGTTCAAATAATGAACCCATTGACGGAAGAGAATTAATTGATCTTCTTCTTTCAGTATCAAATATTAATTTTAATTTAAAAAATAAACGAGGTTTTAATGTTCTTCATCATGCTGCACTTAAGGGAAATGCTTAGTAAGTTGCTTATTTATTTTTTAAAGAAAAACTAAGCGATTTATTTTAAATGTTTCTTTTCCTAGTGTTACATGGCGTTTAATTGAATTATGTCGACAGTTAGTTGATTCAAAAAAAGACGATGGGTTTTCATCGCTTCATCTAGGTAAAATTTTAATAATTTCCCTTTTGTTTTTTAATAATAAAAAAATTCTTTTAGCATGTTTAAACGGTCATTTATTAGTAACATGTTTATTACTTCGTTGTGGACATGCCACAATTGAAATATGTAATAGTCGTAAACAAACTCCTCTCCATCTAGCTGTTGCACAAGGACATTCATCAATAGTTATATTATTAGTACGTGATCATCGCGCATCAACGAAAGTTTTAGATGAAGATGGTGATACACCACTTCATTTGATCTTATCAAAAACTCAACAATCAGATGAATCATGTTTATCATTACTTGCATCTGATTTAATTCCACAAATGCCAGTTGATTATCGTCAAATCCCAAATATTGTTTTAGCTGCTTTTTTAATAAAATGTGATGCACCATTGTTAGTTAAAAATCGTCAAAATAAATTGCCACTAGATTATATCAGTGATCAAAAACTGAAAGAATATTTTATTCTTCTTAATCGTTCAACAATTATAAGACAAGTTATGCCAAATACTTCAGCGTTATCACCATGTATTATATGTGATGAATGTCCGGCTGATATTCTTTTTGAACCATGTAAACATAAAATATCTTGTAAAGATTGTTGTATCAAAATGAAACGATGTGTTCTATGCCAACTTAACATTGATTCGAAATATACACAAGGTAAAGATGTTATGAAATTAATTTTCTAAAATTAAAGACGATAATGAATAAAGATTTGATTTGAACACAAGAAAATGTTCCGTTCTCTTATGCATAAAAAGTTACTCAAACTATTATCCGTTCCAGAAGTCAAGGCAGTCGGTTGTTTTTTGAATAACGTTTGATAGGAACAAGATAGAGACCTACGGTTTTCACTGTTTCATAGCTAAGACCCAGACACATATTTCCGCAAGCAAAATTTTTTCTAAGGAAACATTTGAAGACCGGTTTTTCAGAGGATCTTGAGGGTGTGGGTGTGAAAAAGAGCAAGGTTGACACCCACCCACACCCTGAATTTCTCGACAAAAACAAAAGTTTGTGAAAGATTCAAAATATGTATTGGTCGGCTCAGTTTTTAATGCTGATTCCGAATGTGTAAGAAAATCTATAGACTTCTATAACACTTACCAGAAATCCAGAGTGGTTTTCCAGTGATCCTCTGAAAAACCGGTCTTCAGATTTTTCCTTAGAAACTATTTTGCTTGTGGAAATATGCGTCTGGGTCTTGGCTATCAAACAGGGAAAACCGCAGGTCTCTATCTTGTTCTTGTCAAACGTTATTAAAAAAACAGCCGATTGCCTTGACTTCTGGAACGGATAATAGTTGTTGTAGGATTTATTTAAATTTATCAGCTTTTCTTGCAACAGGATATGATAGGTTTTAAACGATTTCAAACAAACAAATAAAAATTAGGAATGACAGTTGAGAACAAAAGAGAATTCTCATTGGAATTCTTTCTATTTCATTTCAAAGTAATATTCGAAATCATAATAGAATCTTTGCATTATAAATCTTAAAAGTGATTGGTATAGATTGCCTAAATAATTTTGCCAATTATCAATTCTTCCAAAGAACGATTATTGTATCGTAAAATACACTACTCAAAAATTGGCTTTTGTAACGGTTATTTAGGCTAAGCTTATTTGATCTATACACAAACACACACTCTTAATCTTATCGATAGTTTTCACTAATCTTCTACTCGTTAACAAACATGCTCTTTAATGCTAAATAGCACTTCACTTGAAACTAAAGAAAATTGTTTTATGCTTAAAAATTCATTTAGTACTAACATAATAGACATATTTACCTATGAAAGGTTCCTCTCAAAGTATTCTTTTTTTTCTGTATTAAAATCTCATTGTTTAGATGGTCAATTGTTGACTAGTTCATCGACAAATGTCACTCGTCATACTCACCGATTACCATCAACCACAATGGGAAATAATTCTGATGGAGAAATTATCAGTAAAGTTGTCCGTGAACTTGAAACAAAAGTTCAAGAATTAGAAGATGGACAATCGTGTTCGATTTGCATGGAAAGGTCACGAAATGTTGCTTTTTTATGTGGACATACAGCCTGTTCAAATTGTGCACAACCATTAAAAACTTGTCATATATGTCGGAAACCTATTACAAAAAAAATTAATCTTTATTCATGAAATTATTTTATTCATTAGAGTTTTCGTTGTTGTTTATTTCTTTAAGAAAATATTTGTCTTCTATTTAAATAAATATTTTGAAATCTTCAGTTTTACGGTCACTTGTTCAATATCAATATAATAAATTAATACGAACACTTGATAGACATTTATTTAAATTGTTTTAATTTACAATAAGATCTCGAATGATTCGTTATTCTGAAGGTACTATTAAATTGTTCTTAAATAGTTTTCGCTTCTCAAAAATATTTCTCATCTGCGCAGGAATTGTTAAAATTTCTGGACAATATGTTGCTTCTTTTCGTAGCTTCGTTGAAATTAGACTTTTATTCTCTTTCAGAATAAATATGTACATCATTTTCTTAAAAAGCTTCTTTCCATGACAAAGCTTTTAGTAAAAGATTTCTTGACGTCTTTAAAACTTTAGAGAATTATCCCGTTTCTTTAAGTTATGCAAAAACTTGTCAAAAATGGTGCACCATAATGGCACGCTTATTGTGAAAAGAACATATCGAAGTACTGATTCAGAAATTTTCGAAATATAATGCGAATCGGTAGGTAAGCTCAACTAAACGTCTCTATGATAATAATTAAGAGATTTCTCAAGAAAATACATGACTAGCGACATGAGGTCAATTTTTAAAGGTCTACATTCGTCTTTCTGTCTCTAGATCTAATATTTCTCGTCCAAAGTTCAATTTTGAGCCTTTCAAAGATTCACTCACACGTCTTACATTTTGGCCTCTACAAAGTTGCCGAAAATAGTTTAGAAAAAATTATAAAAATTCGATCCCAACTAAAAATTCTAAATGCTCTGCTGACTCACTTAGTAATTTAGAAAATGAAAAAGCACTTTGTTCAGAAAGTTTCGCATTATCAATTATTTTAATCCAAAATCTAGCATTGAATGAAATTTTGTGCAATATATTTCAATATATAGAACAAGTTCAGATACTTATGTTTATTTATTTAATAGAATTAGACTTGAAATTAGTGATTAAAGAATTAATACGTAAACTATTTTCTTTGACATATCCATGAACTCCTTGTAATCCTTGATTTATCATTAAACGCACAATATTTTGTCAACATCGATAAATGATTTCCATTATTAATGCGGTGCTTCGCACCGCATTCTTGTAGTCCGACGCGAGTTAATGTGATGCGAAGTAGAAGCATTTCGGTAGTCCGTCGCGTACGCATCCAAATTCAGTATTCTTGTGGCGCGATGATCTCAAGAATGGAATTTCGTCTGATGCTCGTTGAAACGGTGTTAGTAACATTAAAATCTCTATATCATACAAATTTTGTCCGATTTCACCTGTCGAATTCGGTTTGGGCAAAGTAAAANCTTGTTACATTTTTTTCAAATTTTCAATACTAAGTTTCTTTCGCCTAAAAATATCATTCAAAAATGATGATTTTGTAAGGTTTTTATCGTTAGAGAGTTTCGAGATAATTAAAATGATGTCATCAAGCAATAGTAGCCAATAGTCTATTGCTTTACATATGATTCAGGACAATGATTCATGAAAGTAGATAATCGTTCAATGAAAAAACTCGTTAGAAAACTGGTTGTTACATTTTCAAAGAGATCTCCTAGTGATGAAAATTCATAATGGTCGATTTAAGAATGGTGAATGCGAAACATAAATTCAAAATTCGTAGACATTAAGAAAAAAAACGATTCTAATGAACTCTGAAATTGATGATTCGTTTTTTTTATCTTATTCACCATGTTTTCGAAAATTCGGCCCGTGTGCGTCGCATCGCATTTCGTAATCGAGTGGAGCTCGGATATCATCTAGTTTTGTAACATTTATTTAAAGTTTAATTAACTATGAATTTGTCACTCATTGTATACAAGTCTTCGTTATGTAGGTATTCATTTTAACTGTCGTACTTTTTCTAGAAAATGTGATTGAATGTTTATTTTCTCTTGAGATGCTATCAATTCAATTTAATTCTACATTAGCTAAGCAATTTTACCTTTATAAACCAGAAATTATAGAAAAATTTCATCAAATATTATCAATCGATATGATAAGGTAAAACAAATGCAGCATCATTTTATCATCGTTGAGTAAGAGAAATAATAGATACGTTGTCTTCATATCTCATTAAACGAACTTTTGGTTATTATATCACTATGAACAAAACATTTTTTATTATCTATATTAACAACTCTATACACTAGGTGAGTTTTTCTCTTCACTACATGTCTTCGAAGTTGATATAGACATTTTTTTCTGTATCTGAAAAGACAAACAATGGTTAACAAGCATAATTTATTCATTTAATCAGAAGGAGAGTGTATGTTTGATGTGACCATTATACTTGTTTACACAAACCATCAAGTGATAACTTATCACTGATAAGTCAATTGAAAGTCAAAAAACATTTTTTCATTGAAACTAATTATTTAGTCTGAAATCGCCAACGGTAACCAATTTAAATTGGAAATACTAGTTTTTCGTATTCTTAATTTCGACAATAAATATTTAGTTCGGTAAGATTCTTGATAAGAAATGATTATTAACAAAATATTTTCATTTTTGAGTTTAAATCACAGAAGTGCCTGTTATTTATTCTATGCCGGATATTATAATTGCATAGTCTTGACAAAATCATTATAAGCATTCTTGAATCGACTTGTGAGATACATGTACTTCGATCAGATATATACCCAAGAGCAAAAAACCTCATTCTAGGCCATTCGAATGGGTAGGAAGAGTTGGAAATGCCCGAATAAGTTTTTTCCCTTTGGATTTTACCCATAATTTGTTATGTGGGCTAATGCTTGGGTATTAATCTAATTGAAGAGTAGATGCAACTACAGATCCACCTATACCATAAAAAAATGCATGGTTTAGAAAAACATATTTTATCAGTTGACTTGTTTAATACATAATTTATTCTTCAAAAATATATATTTTTAGATTCACAGAAAAAGATCAGCAATTCGAGAACACAGAGGAAATAAGTGAAATAACTAGGAATAAATTCACGAGATAACCTGATTCGAATGCGAATATAAATAAACTGCCCAGAAGAATTCAATCGAGTTTGATGTAGATTTCTGTTCAATTTCAGGTTGATAGACGACACTCAGATATCTAGTGTGATAATTCACAGTATTTTGTTCTATGTTTACGCACACGATTAAAATATTGATAATGTAACAATATCTTGCAAAGACACGCCAAAATCTTGAATTCTCTCACTTAGAAATGCATATGCTGTTGAACGTTGTAGTCTAACGGGAAAAATAGAAGAATGCCATCAGTTAGTATGTTTTATCGATGTCATTCATTTTTACGTTCATTTGTAGATGAAATGGGTCAATTCGAAATGGAAATGGAAATAATGGGAAAGAATAAAATTCAATGAATCAACTGCGAGAGATGAGTGTGTCTGCAGTAATACGTATATTTGTTTATAACATTTCATTTTACCATAAACGATAAGCATTGTGACAGATGTTACTTTATCAATAGATAATATCCGTGGCAACTTATGAATCTGTAAAACAGTCTACGTTATCTATGATCATAAATTGTTATTTCTCTTCACGTGTCTTATCGTCAAGATACGAAGAAATTATGTGAAACAGCAGTATTTGCTAGTCTCGTGTTTTCATTTTCTTTCACTATGACTCATCAATAGTAAACAAAAGCTTGTATACGTGGCGCTTCCTATGAAATTTTCAAATATATAGCTATGACACAGAAATCTTCAGATTCAGAGATTGTCTACTCTAGTCTATCTACCAACTTGAAAATAAAATAAAAACATGACTTCTATCACAGCTTTTCCAGATTCAAATGGTTACACGCAGTCATTTAGTATTGAAGAAACAGCTGAACTTTTGAAATTTTTTGAAGAGTATGGATTTGTCGTTGTCAGAAATATCATCGAATCTGAATCGCAAATAGAAGAAACTATTGATGAAATCTGGAGTTTGCTGAGAGTACTTAATCCAAAGATTGACAAATATGATAGTTCAACATGGGATAATAAGTATTGGCCAATTCAAATGGGCCTCAAGGATGGTTAGTACACAGATAGAATCATTTTTATTGCTAAAAAACGTTTACGAATATAAAAGGAGGTTTCATATCACATATGGCGGATGTTGCAACAAAAATGTGTTGGGAAAATAGACAACATCCTAATGTTGTTCGATTATTTCAAATTCTTCTCAAACAAGACGAACTCTGGGTTAAATTTGATCGATATGGAATGATGAGACCTACCAAAGGTATCAGTTTTAAACAGAACGAGACAGATGGGTCCATTATAGTGGAAGATAGACCTGAATGGAGATCAAAACCAAATTGGTAAGAGCGAATGAAATAGGAAATGTTTAAATATTGATATAAACTTTATTTTAATTTCACTTCAAATAACATCGAATATTGGTGAAAAAACGTTTCAATTCTTTGTCTATGATAAGGTTTACTTATGAAGATAAAATCTACTTGTTTCATAGTTCTCATTTTTATGTACTCATGTGGTGAAAGTGAGAAATTCTTTTTGTAGATAATTTTTCTCAATTTTATTTCAAGTTTTAAAATATACATTGTAAATTTATGTTTGTTTTATAGGCTACATTGGGATCAGGTATAAGGATCAATACATTCAATCGAAACCGTATAAGTACTTTTTCACAAAAACAACTATTTGATTTCTATTCGAAGAATCCTTGGAGATATCCAGATTTTATTGGTATACAAGGTCTGCTTGCATTGAGCAACACAAATTCAAATACTGGAGGTATTTGGTCTTTGTTAGAAAACAAGTAATGCTTTCATTTGTTTTTTCTTGTATTTCTATACAAATCAGGATTTCATTGTGTTCCCGGATTCACTCATCGTTTTAAACAATGGTCAATAGATAATGAAAATAAACATAAATGTCGTGGTGGAGTTGTTAATGTACCCGAAGATGATCCTATTCGAAATGAAATCAAACAGATTCATGTTCGAAAGGGTTCTTTCATTGTATGGGATTCACGGTTACCTCACGGTAGGTTATTTTACATCGGTTTTATACGGAAAAACATTGTTGAGTTTCCTCTAACAAAAATATGGTTTAGGAAACTTTCCGAATGAGAACGACCAATTTCGAATCGTTCAATACATTACATTTGAACCACCCAAAGAAGCTGATAATTATGAATTGACACATCGAATTAATGCTTTTCACATGCGTATGCTAAGTTCAGAGGCTGATGAACAACTTATTGGGTTTCCAGAACCACAGCTAACCGAACTCGGAGAAAAGATTGTTGGATTGAGAAGTTGGACAACAAACGAGAGAGTAAAAAGTGATTTTGAATGAATAATTTTTTGATAATTTTTAAAATTTTTCAATAAAAGAATTTTTATCTCGTTATGACTTGAGTTGAAATATTTGTGATCGAATACAACGGTGTATGGGCGATATCAATGTTAGTAACATCGAATTCTAGTTTTGCTGCCAAATAAAATATTTGTTCGATCTAATAAATCAAAAACAAAACATAATTTGATCTAGCATGAGCTGATATAGTGATGAGTTTTGTCTATAGGATATATCGACAATGTTACAACTGACTTCATAGCAACAAAACGAGTAACAAGTATTTTGTAAGAGAAGCAATGAATATTATATTAAATTGTTGAAAATTTTCTCACTACCACGATCATTGTATATATTCATTGTGAGTGCATTTGTTTTGAGTATAGCAGTTAGAAAATACAGTCTATTCGTATCTGTTTTCAGGACCTACCCTAGATCGGCATATAAACAGATCGTGAAGTTAAGAAAGTTGAATGTTCGTTCATATTATGTGTCGGCCAAATCTAAGCTCAATTGAAATTTGAACTATCAATATCGAGTACTAGACTACAGTTTACAAACCTCTACTAAACAGACTACTCTGCTTTTATGATAATTAAATGTTTTATGTTTTGTGTTCTTTTCTGGATACAAACAACGAACAATTTTACGTGAATTCTATCAATAATGACAATAAATAGCTGTTGTACACCGCAGAGATAGACAATCAACTATTTTTACACAGAAATCAAATCAACCATGACATTCATTAAGGCTCCCCAGTCGATTCAAGTCGAATTATCGGCCGAGCATAGTTCTTTTAGTCAATTCGTTGATACTGAATGAAAATTCCACATCAAAGAAACGTAAAGTCAACTTCAAGTTGTTGTCTTCAGTTTTTCATTTTGTTGTGATTGTATTTACATCAGTTTAATGAAGAAAATTCTTATTTGTATGCAGTCATATTTTATTATGTGTAATGTTTGCGATGTCTTTTTGAACATTTCAACTCTGTGCCCTATCGAACGACAAAGTCATATTTAGAAAATATTTTCAGAGCAGGAAATGGTATTGTAGGATTTCTATTTCCAATCTGTCCAATTATTTGTATTTAATTCATTGAAAAATGACAACCATCGTTTTTGGATTTATTACTTTCAACAGTAAGATCATTATCAGTATCATCCTTGATAAGCATTTTTCTACTTGTTTTGGTGTTTTAGCACGGTTAGTTTAGTGTCTAAGATAGTTGTACCACAGTGCATAGCTCAATAGATGGTGTTCATCTTGAGTTAGTATCAATAGAAGCGCAGAAACCTGTTGAATTCATACAAAAGGTGTTCGCATAGAAGCGACAAGCAACCAAAGAAGAGCATATGCTTTACTATTGATATTTGTTTCGTTCGAGCATATTCATCGTTTAAGCACAACAATATATCAGTCACTTAATGCTTATAAATTATAGTATACGAACGTGAACTCAATTAATACGTACAATAGTGACTGTTCATAACATAATCATACCTATATCTTTATGGAATAAATGTTGAATGAAAACTGAACACATTCTCTTGTTTCTAAAATTGTAATCTTTAGAAATGCGTCCGTGTATTATATTTATGCGAGGAAGTCAGTTGCCTAAAATATGTTTACGTTATTGAATAGTCAGATCGATCAAGTTCAATGGAAGTCAACAAAGAGAATCCATTAAGAAAATTTTGAATTCTAAGGAAAGATTACGAAATTTTGACAAAAGCTGTAGCTCCATGAATTACTAATTACGAAAGAGCTCTTCTTCTACAGCTATGAATCAAACAAATGCTTGTATACATATATTTATTATTGTATCACTAGAAAACGTTGGTAAAACTGAGGCTATTCTATCAAACGGACTAATTTTTATAATCATCAAACCAGTTAATTCTGCTGAAATTCATCTAAAACTTTTGAAGTATTTAAATCTGACGAATACGTTACGATGAATATTGATAGATCTTCAGATGACTAATCGTTTTTAGTCTATGCCTCATAGCGTTTTATTTCGCGGATTTATAATAATGCTCTTGAATAATATAAGTAATTAAAAACAAAAAACAAAAATTGATGATCATAATTTTGTATAAGAATTATAATATACCAATTCGATATTTTCACCTCGATAAAATAATCGTGTCGACCTATGTGAAGAAGAATACAATGAAAATAATGCACTGATGTGAAGAAGAAGAGTTAATAGACAATTACTGTTTTGATTTTTCAGTAATATGTTGCATCATCTTTGGTTCATTTAAAGCAACAGATGTATTCGTGTTAGTAAAGTCTTGGTCTCTGGCCGTTGTTAAATAAATATGAAAATCTGTGTAATAAAATAAAAATCTATTTGAAGAAACAGACGAATAAAAGAAAAAGATCTACCAGATCTAACTGATGTTTGCGGAAGCATAAGAAGTCGAAGACAACAATTGTAGATTGACAGATCGCTTACCACAATTGTACATGGCGAAAAAAGAGTGACTTGAATTAAAAAAATTCATTCATTAAAGAAAATCAATTACAAAAGACATTGTTTACAGTAAAAGTTGATTCGTTTTACTATGATACTAATGTTTGAATAAATCAATGGCAAAGATTTTAAATGCAAAATTATTTTCGTTAGAGTTTTCTTAGATAACTGTATATCACCCATGACGATCTTTAAATCAATACGCCAACTGATATATAGAGAAAAACAGAGATCATGGATAATTCCAACAAAAAATATTATACTTTGTTGAATTTGAAGCATTCGAAGCGATATACCTATAAAAGTTTATATCGATTAATGATGTTCGTCGGAGAATATGTAGTCGTTTCCTGTCTATAAAGAAGGATGGATAGATAGTTTAACTTCATATATAAAATAGGAGAAGGTACTTGGCTTAGAATAGATTATTCTTAGATCGCACAATTCTAATTTGTATTTTGCATAGAATCGTTGTTCATCATACTTGATCTACGAAGAAAATAGTTATAATGATCAAGTTACATTTCAAGAATAATTTTGGATCAACATTTCTGAATAGATAGAGGAGGAACAATAGTATATACCTTAAATAAAGATCTATCGATATCTTCATCGCTTGTATCGAGACATGACTTGAGCAATATATTGCCAAAATGAATGTAAATCATTCCAAAACCTCTATACAAGAAAAGAACGATAGAAAAAAAAGATAAAAAAAATTTACTGTTGATGGACTCCAAACTCCGGTAGAAGAACCGATACTCCTTTAAAGTTGATGGTCATGTCGAAGATTTTCTTATATGATAATTTCTGTTTCCTAGTCATTGAGATATGTTGTAATTTTCTAAACGTGTCAGAGGTGAATTATGTATCCGTCGGGAAAGGACAGATAAACGTACGCTGATGCTGGTTGCCAGATAACATTGCCATTTGCTTCAAAGCAATCGACAAGTTGGTTAACTGAAGGCTATGAAATAAGAAAAACAATTCTAACTTTTGATACTTCAAATTGAAAGAAGTGAAAATCACATTTAGTTGTCTGCGAAATAAATTTTTATAGATTTATTTATTCCTAATACTATATGCATCTTATTTTTACTCACAGCATCATAGATAAGATGTATTGGTTCGATAGTCAAATGAAAGCGATTGTCTGCTTGTGGATTCACAGAAAATAATTCAAACTCAAAATGCACAAGTGGATATGATGATGAAGATGATGGTTTTATTAATATGGGTCGATATTCTTCTTCACGATCCATCCCAAATACGTGAACAGAGTCAATATCACCCTTGCATCTTAATCATGAAAAAAATAAAATGAAGTGAAAAAATAGATAAAATAGAGTTAGCTTGATGTACTCGATTCTGGATGTAATACACATTTTCTTCATGCTGACTCGAACATCAGTTATGGTAATGAAAGCAATTATTTCGTCACCAGTTCTGTTCGGAATCAATCTAAATGAATAATAATTATCCAAAGAACTGATTAAGCTAAGGTATGCGCAAAATCAAATTTTGTTCCCAGCTTTTATTCTGTTGTGAGTCGCACAGATTTTTCATTGAGATAGAATTATTTGGCAAGATACCTAGCATTTGTAGTCGATGATAAGAGATTAAGATCAAATTTGCTGCAGTGTATTTCAAAATCGATATTGGGCAACTTTAACGAGCAAATAGAAAAGAAAATAATTTGATAATGTGAAGAATTTTTCAATAGATATGCAGAAAACTTACATCTTCAAATAAAACTTCTCTTTCTGTTAGATTATTTGTTGTAGTTGTTTTTCTCATGTGTTGATGAACTAAAGCAAATGAAAAAAAGTATTCCAGAAAGACTATCTACAAATATTGTATTGAATGAGCTTATTGATTATTCAGTCTTGTTGAATTCGTTAAATCATGTGAACTCAATGCAATATATTTCTTGAAGAAAGCAGACAAATTATTTCTTAATCGTTATCTCGAATAATTAAAAACTATTTAAAACCTCACATACTGTGAAAAATCTTCGGAATAAGTTGGTGAAATGAATTCATCTTTCGGTCTATAAATATATCTTAATTTTTGTAAAAAGACATCCTTTTTATTTGTCAAAAAATCTCATTATTTGAAGAGTCCGCTAAAATGTTTTTGTGTTATTGAACATTAGAGACAACCGATTAAAAATAAGGTGTTGTGATCATACATACTTTTAGTTAAATTACCGAAACTAGTTTTCATTTTAGACCATGAATTGAATCGATTACGATGATGATCTGTATTATTATTTTGAACAGCAATGTTGAGAGGCACTTGACTTGTAATCATCTGTTGTTCTTGATCAATATCATTCATTTCCATGTTTGAAGGAAAACGGCTACATTCTATCTCAACTTTATGACGAATATAAGCGAGATGAAAAATGTCCAGCTTTGATTCAAGAAACTTTTGCATAAAAGAAATGAATCATATTTTTTTATACAATTACTGATCAGTAAAGTACCTGAATGTGTTGCTGTTGTTCTGGTGTTAATGTTTGGACACCGAGTGAATCTTGCAATAGCAGTTCACGATACTCACGACATCGATCTTTTAAAGAAACAATGCAAATATTCAAAATGATTCTAGAACTAATTAATGAAAATTACAATACCATAGATAGTTGTATAATTTTGAAATTTGATAAAATCAAGTATATCAGAAATTTGTTCTGAATTGATATAAAAATTCAGTTTTGGAATTTGAATACTAAAAGTTAATTTTGATCGTTCATAATGATGTTGTTTAGGTTTTAATGTCACTAATGACTCAGTCATAATATTGGAAGGACGAAGAACTGTAATAGAAAAATAAAATAAAATGTATATTGTTACTACATCACATAAAAAGATTGAGTAGAAAACAAACTATATTTCATTTCGTTGTCGTTTGGTATAAAATTATTCGTCGCTATTTTGGATTTTAGATCATCCTAGAAGGAAACAATGTTTTATAGATGACTTGAGTTATAACACAGGCAACAGCGAAAATTGCTTTTTTTAACCGATCAGAACGTGTTGAAAAATCCTACTAAGACTTTATGAAAACAATATACATAATTTCTATGAATATTTTATTCTCTGGATTGTCTAAAACTGTTTGTATACGGCAATCTGCAGAATTTTGTTTAAAATGGCCCGTTCACGGTATAGTTTAATTCCAATTACGTAGTAGTTAAGGAGACGTGAACAGAATACTTTTTACGAAATGCAGACGAGGCCATATGTGACCTGCTTTCCAACTCTTCTCGTAAAACATTTCCAATTGTTTGTTTCACGATATGATAACGATTATTATAACATGAAAATAAATTTAGACAGCGCAGTATCTAAGACCTGATCATAATGGATCATTAGATCTCCGACCGAACTGGAATTGTTCGTTTCATTTTTTAACTATGACTCAATCCATGCTCAGGCATTATACAATGATACGTAATCCAAACTCTGATAAATTGAATTGAATATAATAAAACATAATGTTAGAACAGTATCGCTCATTTTTATATCATAAAAATATTTTCTTTGATTTATATCTTATATTCGAAATTCTCTTTTTTTTATATTAGTGTCAAGTTTCTAACCGTATGTGTAAACCGTGTTTTACATCAATTAATAACTTTCATTGAGTTTTGTAAGCCGAAACAAAATAAGATACTGAACAATTTCTTAACTTCTAAGTTTCTTTGCTGTTAATATTGCTTTTACTGTTGAAATGCCGAAAATGAATAAATATCTGTGTTGAATTTTACTGTGGATTGTTTCTTTGGTGAATGCACAAGTACCTCAAATGATACGGATTTCTCTGTTTCTCTTAGTCTAACCGCTCAAAACAAAAAATGTTTCTAGTTCGTGGTTTATCTACTTATGATATGTCTAGGTTAAAGGCATATGGTATAATGAAGTAATCATATATGATGCCGTCGGATACAAAAGGTAATGCATCACAATTAAAACTGATTGCAGTAGGCGACTAGATCATTTTCATGGGGCTACTCTATAGATCAGTAACGTAAATTTTTCATTATAAACTTGGCTTCGTTTGCGAATATCTTAACGTATGTTATTTGATCAGTACACGATTCATTTACTATTATTATAAAGTAAGAATTTATATTTAGGTGTCGTGTACAACAATAGAAATACTAATCGAAAATAGTCTTTATTACCACCTTTTACTGCTATAAAACTTCTATTTTCAACATCTACAACCACAGTATTACTTCGAAAATCTCTAAATATATATTTGATTCGTTATGACATCACATTACATAGATAACTTAAAGTAATATCTCATGAGCGTGACTAAAACTCGTTAGATCTATAAAAAAATCTAGGTCTAAATTCGATTTATCGAAACATTTTTCACTCTTTAAAGAACCCGATTAGGGCCGTATTTTACTCGACGATCTCTGATATTTACAAATGATTTTAGTTTCATAGAAGAGACTTATAAAAATCTCACCAGAACATCTTTGACTGGCATGTCAAGTCTTGATTTACAATTTGCATTCCAATAGATTGACATAGAGTTCATTTCATTCAGCTACAATCATACCTAATAATATTTATCATCAATAGAAACCGAATTTCCAACAAACCCTATATATTAGAAGTTTCTCTTCCTTAATTTGTTTATTTGATTTGATGCCAGTTGCTGTCTAAACAATGATGTTTTAGTTTTTACAAAAAAAAAGTATCAAAGCGCTTCCTACGGTCAATTCAAGATAATGAAGGGTGACGCCAAACGAGAATGGATGTCCCAATTTAGTTGGAGATTTCATTTCATAACTAATGTGCAAATTCCGAATTGTTAAAACTAAGTTTGCCATAACTTGAAATCTCATTCGTTCAACAAATGCAGTTTCCTTATTGTCATGTGCTAGATTGTCTATTAAATTATTTGTACAAATGAAAAATAAAACCACAACTAACCTGATGCAGTTTTTCGCAAATTGTCCAATTTTTGTTGAACCCGTTTAAATTTGTCTGCGTAGTGTTCGCTCAAATCTTGACTCATTTCTATAAAAGAAATAGTTTTATTTTTCATTTGAACGATAGCTACTGTTTATATTAGGATTGAAGCGCTATGATCAAATATAAACTTACGCTTAAAATATGCTGATTGAAAACAATGAAGAGGAAATCTGATATGAACTAAAAATATTTCTACTTCTTATCTTAATATCAATTGAAGAAATCTTTCGTGGGAAATATATAGACGGTTACTTCGATTGCTAGCAATAGTTTGTCTTTCAGTAGAACACGATAGGAATGTAGGAAAGCTAATAAATATAATGCTAAGGATTCGTTGGTCAACTATTGCATTGTATTTTTACTGTTCCTTTTTTTATATCCGATAAAATATTCACAAGTAGCTATTACGAAAAAATCTTACATATACCTAATTCTTTTCATATGCGGATCGAATGATTTCTAGCATGTATCAAGATCTCAAGTAAAAATAGATAGTTTCTTCATTTGATATCGAGTTTCTAGAATATGTTGTCTTTAATAGAACGTGTCCTAACGATTCATTAACAGCTCATGGTAACAAACGGTTTTCAAAGTTTTTAAATCGCGTCAAATCCTTCTGATCGACAAAATATCAACTGAAAAACAAGAAAATAATCTTGATTTTTACCTCATTAGATCTTTAGAGTTTTAACACTATGAAGTGTAATTCGTAAAGAGAATTAAATTCCTTTCGTTTTATCATCAATATTAATCAATATTGTATAGGAACTTTTCCTTGACATTGTATGTACGCTAATCTATTTCAAGAAATCTTCGTTTATTGATATGGGATTCCTCGATCATACAAAATTGAATGAACTTCAATTCTAATTCTAAACATCTTGAAGCAAACAATATACCTATGTTTTTTATTTAGTAAGTAAACAAATAAATTATTTACGTACCATTTTTGGGCACAATCAATAAATAGAGTCCTTCAATGTGAATTTCTGTTGGACTCGAAGTAAGAGCGTTCCATGGTATAGACACTTTCAGTTGTTCTATTGCAAATATTTATAGACTTTACATTTTTATTGTAGTCATAAAACTAATGCTAACCTAAATATCCAACGGCCACCGTTACAGGAATATTGAGATAGGCCTATATAACATAAGTTACAGAAAAAGGTTAAAAAAAAATCACAAATTTCAGCATCGGCTATCTGTTTGTTTAAAGGAAATTCTTGATAGAAATAAGTTCGTCTTACTAGAGCGTCTGGCTTTACACGAAGATTCTCCAAGCAGATCTTTCCTGTAGTGAAAAACAATGGATTTGATTAAAAAGCCGCATTAAGTAATACTGACCACTTGTCAAATTTAGTTTTACTTTGTCATAGTCAAATCGTTCAATATAATTTTTAAGATATTTATTGATAAGATAATTGATGAAAGTTTTTAATACCATAGCGCTATTTCAATGAATACTGTTGATATATGCAGCTAATGATGCGTATAAAAAAAGCATCATTTATTTTTTTATGCAAATCTACATGTATATGTAATGTTATCATACGTGTTGCATAAACAAGAATAAAGTAAAAGTGGCCCGCACATGTAATAATGCTTTTTTCTTTCTTTCTTTCTTTTTCTGTTAATATTTGTCATCTAAATATGAGCAAAACGATAGAACAGAACAAAGCGAGAACCTTAATCGCAACATATGATAATTCAATTTTCAAATAAACGCCTATAAAAATTGGCGCATCAAAATTAATTTTCATAAAATCATTTTGATATGGATTTCATAAATGAAATAGAGGTTCAGGTTAAGCGAAACCTGAGTAGATGTCACCTGTTATTTGTTGTAATATTGAGAAATATTCTTTTAGAATATATTCATAGACAAAAGCTCCGCACAGTTAGTTAAAATTCATCAATATAAGGGTTGCTTACAGTGAAAATTTTATCATAAGAAGAGCTTGATGAGCTCTAATCTCCTCGGGCAAGAGCTTATGTTATGATTCTATATCCAGAATAAGATCTAAGGACTATATCAATGAATTTTTCTCATTGTATCATATCGGCATACGAAGAAAATATAATGTTATTTGAATCATATATTAAAAAAATCTAGCTTTTTCTCTGTCGACAGTATAGTTAAGGATGGGTGTTGATATTCCTTTTGTTATGTTATGAATTATTTATTATCTTTCGATTTAACAACATGTCCCGATTTCACCCGTATTCAGTTTAAATATCGATATAGGTCTCAATCGTTTGATTTGAATATTCTTTCAGAATCTACTTAGGTATGACTCAGTTTGCCAACTCAATGTATTATTGTCTATCGTTCTTTGTAGTAAAAGTTCGTTGCCATCGAAAACCTGTTCTTATTAAGATTATTTATGAATTCATGAGAATAAATCTAGGAAAACTGAGTTGCCAATCATTATTTTTCAAAATTGCGATAAGAACTAGTGAACGAAGAGGTATTGCTAGTACGAATCTGGTGTATTAAAAAGAACAGTATTCTAATTTTATAAGTCTGTTAAGTAGCATATGACTCCAAGTATACTTTACAATTATGCATTCTACACTTCATCCCAATTTCATGTTTCACATGGGGATCCTGTTCATGCATAAAATACGGTTGAAATGGTGGCATGTTCGTTCCATCATTAGATCAAGCATAATTCATAGCATAACCAAAGAAACATTCCCACTCCTTCTCAACTGTATTGCCAATCGAAAAAGAGTTTAACTTTCTAGAGATGGTTCGAATACAATTAAATTTTCTTGGTGTCTCCAGATGACAGAAAAACAAAAAATTCATTGATCTGTCCTTCTTATATCAGTAATGAAATATTGTTGTGTTAACGTTTCACAAGCTACTATTTCAGTTTATTTCAATAGCAAATATTTACTACAAGAATACTAGTGAATGTGCATGCTCATATATTTGAGTGCATAACTGTAACAATGTACACATTCTCATTTTTTTTCTCTAGCTTATCATATATCCGAGAAGAGACGAGAATGTATGAGTGTAATTGAAGACAACAACGAAACCGACCCTCTCAATTCGTACTCACATCTTCTCTCGATAAGCGCGGATTCGTTTGAAGAGTGCTTCACTGTTCTGTTGCATGGCTCTGTTTATTGAACGTGCTATAAAAAAAAAGGTTTTTACCCAGATAGAAACGTCATCATTATTTATGACTGTACTCTCTAAAACTAAAATAAGATGTCATACTGAACCATTTAGTGGAGATTTCGAAACTTTTAAGTGTTTGATTTGAATACTATTTTAAGTTCTAGATTTTTTCGCTAGAATTTAAAAATGACTCTAAAAATTAGTACCAAGAAAATATTCAGTATGACACATTTTGTTTTTGAGAGTAAGCGACGAAGAAATTCACATTTAGTCCATTACTTTGCATTCTACATTATAAAAATGAATTTCTGAAAAACCTTTAACGCTATTCTCACATTTTTATCTCTCTTATATAGTTTCTTAAGTTAGAATCTTTATTTTCGTGCAACAACTAGAGTGTCTGACCCTAATTCTATCACTAAATTCACTATTTTGGTTGGAAAAATTCATATCTCTGATGTACTATGTCTGCTTGAGATCACCTGTTTTCTGGGATAGATCAACAAAGTCATTTTAACGGTTCCAATTGTTCACGGGAGAATTTTATTGATAGTTTCAGACATTACAACATGAATTGAGATTTGATCATAATTTATTTTATTCCTTGTCTAAGAAAAACAGACGGAACAAATCTTGCGGTTTTTTATATTTTTGAGTTTCTAAAAAATATTGTAGATAATTTCGAAGAATAGTCCAAAAGATAAGATTTATGCATCATTGTTTTTCGGTACAATAGGAATATTTTTTTGTTTATTTTTATTTTTATTTTTCTTCTTTCTTTTTGAATTCGATTCAGCATTGTTTTGAGTTTCATCGTAAATTTTCATTAACACAGGATAGACTATCCAAGCAAAACTAAATAGGTCGTCGAGACATTTTGGTTCTTCTGTTTGTTGATTATTTTTAACCAAGCTTGGTTTTTTCTTTTGGCTTTTTCTATATTTGTTTATTTTGATTATCCATGGTTCATAAGTGGCATGGAACCAAGCGGATGCTTTTTTCTTTGCTTCCTCCATTACTGATAATTTCTCATAAAATTCTAATGTATCAATCTGATTTTTCCATGTTAATTCTTTCGATGCTTCAGACCATTTAACTTGTTTGACTTGTGATTCATCTGTTACTTGATAGAATTCTTCCCAAAACAAATGTAAGTGTCTAAGAAAAACGAGTCAATCAAAGAAAACCTATGAGTATAAACACGCTTACTTTTCTTGTATAACTCTGTAGGCATGTGTAATTTCATTTCTTAAATCGAATAAATTTTTTGTTTCTTTTGCATATTGTTTTGAAGTAAATTGAAGAATATAACCCGAAACAACTTCAGCTTCATTTCTAATACCGTACTGTCGCATAAGTCTTTTCAGATCTCGATCATATTCACCTTTGATGACGCGAGCATCTCGCATATATGTATCGCTTCCATTAACAAAGAAAGATCGATAGGGAAATGATGATGTAGCGTCAATCTCGTATTCTTGATTTATATATAAATTACTACTGTAATTTGCGACTTTGTCATAAATTAGGCCAAGAACTGTTTTTGACTGATAGGACTCCTTGTCTTTCTTTTCCATATAATGTGGATACGTAAGAGGGCGAAGTTCAGATGAAAGACGAGGTGCACTGATTCCTTTTTTAGCGAAATCAACAGCCACACTATGTAAAATCAACGATAGATTTTTATGAAACAAAAACAAAAATAAAAATAGTTGTCAGTAGAGAAGAACAAATACGATCGTAAGATATTTTCTTCTTATTTAATTGTACTTTTGATAAATAGCTTTTCATCCAACATCACAGTATTTTCATGTTGAGAAATTCGATAAATATTCTTTTTTTCTAAAACTTTGTATATATCAAGAGCAGCAAAGATGTGAAGTATGTGTTTCACAATTTGAATTTTATTTTAATTTAAGTTTGGCAACTAGAACTTTTAGAGGAATCTCAAATAGGATTACACAGTAAATGATATTGCTTCAAAAAATGAAAATATCTTCAGAAAACTAAAATATAAGTTTCTTTTTTTGGGATCAAATCTTACTGAAAAATTCACTCTGTGTATAGTTCATAGATTGAAATCTATTCTGAAAAATACTTCAGATCTTTCACAAACACTTAGAGTTTCAGTTTTTAATTTTGTGAGAACTCGAAGAACTGATCAGTTTTGCCTATATTTATGACTAAATCGTTTTTAGTTATAACGATGTCATAACACATCGTAGTCTTAAATATAATAATCATGCGTTTTCTGTGACTGATATTACTCATATTTTAAATTAGTCTTCGTTTTCACATTGTCGAAATGTACAATGTATATTTTTAATTTAGCATACCTGTGCATTCTAGCTAATTGAAGGCATTTATCATGCTTGACGCCCTCTTTTAATTGATCGGCAAAAGCCAAATGCCGATTAGCAATAAGACCGAGACTATAAACGAGCACTGATGATTGAAGTTCTTCTAGAGTATTTATGACTCACTTGTCAGCTGCAATGTATTCACCAAAAAAATCACACACGTTCTGAATGGTATATTGAACATTTGTAAGTGATTTTGTTTCGTTATTAGCTTGGTCTTCCTGATCTTGATAATCAAATGGTTTTTCATTTTTTGAAAATATTAAATTTGGATTCGAACTTATCCAGAATGTATCACCATCCAGATCTCCACCTGACATTTCCATAGGATGAGGACGAGGTCCTTGCATAGGAAAAACAATCACATTTTTTAATTCGTGCAAAGCTGGTAGATCAACGGCGGTTAGCTTTCGTATGTCACCTTATAATACCGAACAAAACAAAAACACTACTCCATACGGAAACCTAATAATAGTTCATTTAAATACATACCGGGATGAAAACAAGGATTTCGTGTTACTACTACGGGGCCTTGTAGAATTTGTTTTCGAGAATTTTCTTTCTGTTGATGACTATTATCTATTTGAATAAAAACTTCACCATAGTTGAGTGTCCGTGTTTCGTCTATTACTCCCAATAAACACCATGAATTTGGTACATGAATTTTTGCTTTTGTTCGCAATTCTTTAACCAGAAATGCTTGAAAAGCAAAAAGAAGTTGGCGAGCAAATGGATCTTTTTTTTCGTCTAAGCTTTTTAAATATGCTATCAGAAATGCAAGATACCCATTGCCACCAAATTCATTTAATTCTTTTATTGCTTTCTGTGCCTCATATGAATTTCCTGTTAATGCTGCTAACTGTTGTAGCATTTCATCTTGGAACGAAATAAAAATATCATTTGGAATTCCAAGAGATGATAGAAGAAGAATAATTTGCCTATTTAGATAAGCAACTGACGGGTTAAGTGACGTACGTACAACATCAATGGAAAAACTATTTGCATCGAATTTTTTCATGGAACCACGAAAATAGACGTTTACATTAGAATCAGTGATGCTATTAGCAATATCCAAACAGACCATGCCTATAAGCAAATGTTTGAAAATAATTTCTCAAAACACTTTTAAGATAAAATAGTACCTTTATAGCCTCCGCAACGAATCTGAAATGCACATGGACAAACTTTTTGAGGCAACTTCATTTGTTGAGCTAATCGTTTTGCAAATGTCCGTGAAATAATACCGATGCCATCCGTAAAACAATGTTCACGTGAATGTTCACCGAGTATTTCCATTTTTTTGAAATCAGATATTTCTCTCCGTTGAATACTTTCAAGTTGAATACCTTTTACACTTGTCGAAAACGATTGCCCTAACTAGACAGATAATAAAATCTTAAAATATGAATATAAATATGCATATTGACTAACACGAGCAGCTAGTTTAGCTACTGGGCGAACATTTCGAAAATCTCCCATCCATGCACGAATCGAATCCGCCGTTATATCATCATCAGCTCTAGCAAACATCCAGCAGGAGTGTTCACGTAACTGTGAACTTGAAAACGCTAAAAATTCATAATGTCGATCGCATATATTCACTCCGTTTATCAAGATTTTCTTGATGCGTTCATATATTTTCGTCATATTATCATTATAATTATGTAACACACGATAGTCTATGTAAAACAAAAGCGATGCAATATGAAACGGTTTCTTTTCTTCATTTCCTTAAAAAATTATTTTACCTTCATCGCGAAAAGTTACACGGAGAAATCGATCTTGATGTTGTACATACTGTCGTGTTACGGCACATTTTTCCTCACGATACGGACCTTCATAAAGAATAGTTGATGGTGTAATGTAGATCTTCCGCATTAAAAATGGATCAACACTTGCAGTACGTAATTCAAGTTTAGTAACATAAATTTTCGTCGTTGTTATTTGACAAAGCTCATATTTTTTTAGTAGTTCTTGAAATGCAGAAATTAGAAAACGACTAAATATTCCAATGTGACATTTGCTTGGTGCTAATGAAAAATTTGCTATCCCTGTTTTCAAAGATGCAATATCAGTATCTGTATTATTAACGACTGATCCAGTAGCACATAAGCGAATATGCTTGGATATGAATCGATCATCCGTACGAAGCTCTTTAATGTTGGTTCGCTTTTGGTTTCTTTCTATTTCTACATGCGGTTCGTCTTGCCAATTTTCATGATTCCAATCTTCATATTCGTGGTCACATATTGTTGTAAACCGTCGAGGAGCTATTTCAACAATTTTATCTGTAAAAACATATGCACCATTATGTGTAGTGAAATACAAGTTTTGATTTTGACATTTACCTGTAAGAGCTATCAATGTATTAATAGAGCATAATTTTAAGAGATTTTCGGCTTGCTCATCAACGATTAAATCATTAACTGTGATAATACGTTTTGAAATTAGTTTCATGATTTCGAACTTTGTTTCGAAAGGATATGATGGCCATCGACGATTAAAAAAATCATCTACTTTTGCTTGATTTCCTTTTATCCATTCATCGTTGGATATAAGTGGAATCGATTCGAGATGCTTTCGTGCATGTTCTGTTCTTTCAACTAAATGCATAATATTGTATTCAGAGAACTGTCTTGGCGATAAGTTATATCGACGCAGGATTTCAAATAACTTCAGATACTCATCGTGCTGATTATTTGGCAATAATTTGAAGAGCCATGCATTAGCATAGCCAATAAGTCCCCAACCAGGTAAACGTTTCTCATCGGATTCGTCACCAATCATATTCGATGTAGTTTGCGTTTGAAAAATTATTGGAGGCCGTTTCAGTTCCACAAGTAAAAATACTTCGCCCTGATTAATTAATACCGGACTTATTTTTCTCGATTTCAGGCTAAATTATATAAAACATTTTTAAAACAAAGCAAATTATTCGAAAATCCTTCGCGATCTTATGTTGATATCATATAACAAGTAGGATAAAAAAAGAATGCTTACAATCAGTAGAACTTACTCTAGGAAATTCCATTCAAATGTTAGTGTAGTAGCAGAATCAAAATAGTCCGTATGACCCAACTGGAAATTACCAATAATAGCTATTTTTTTCTTGTCCGCATCGATACTCAGATTCATACTTATGCATTTATCGGTTAAAAGACGGTGGGCAATGATGCCGCATTTGCTGTCATTTGAAACAGTAGTGTTTTCTGTTTGTATATTTCTCATAGCTGCCCCTGTAATGAGCGTTCCATAGTGAATATCTGTGATTGTCAAATGTATGCTTTTAGATATGTTATCGCTTGTTGTTGTTGTTCTAATTATCGGAGTATTTTTAGGCTGTCGAAAAGGTTTATTATGAGAATGGTTGATATGCAGTTGTTGGCCTTTGAAAACAAATGTTTTTGATTTTACTGTACTGGCATATACAACTTCCAACGCTGTTTGAATTGAATCGAAACGAACAAAAGCATAACGTGCACCTTTCTGAAAATAATTGACAACAATCTGTATCAGTAACAAGTTAAATCTTAAATCTACTCCTACCTTATTTGTTTTCATGTCGACGTGGTTGACGGGATAACCTTGCTCGATGAACCAATTTTTCAAGTCTTTCCATGCAATATTAGGAGGCAGATTTCCAACATAGATTGCTGAATTTGTTGAGACTTTCTTTTCAGACTCATCAGACATAAGATCAGATGTGAAACAATACTTTTCTGTATTTGGCTTTTTTCGGACTAGGGGTGGAGCTGTCAAATACATTCGAAGCGAATCATTGACAAATGCTGCAGACGTATTTACCATTGTTAAATCATGTAGATTAGAAGTCATTGCTGTACGAGCAGCATAATTCGCAGGGATATTGACTGAAGGAATTTCAAAACCATCAAGTCGAGCTTGTCTCAATATAGCATTAATTAATTTCGTAAAATGATTAGTATCATCGAAATCGTAATCATCTTCGTAATCATTATTATCATCATCATCATCATTAATATCGACGAGTTCATCATCCATAATATCATCGAAGGGATTATCGTCGAACTCTGGTTCCGATTCCGATGTTGACATTTTACCTGTTGTAAAATTTGATAAACAGTCGCCTTTAGAAGAATTTATTCTGTAGAATATAATCTAAATTTAACTCAGCCGACTATAAAATTATATAATTTCTCGATTAGTTGTTCTTGGTATTACAAAAATTTTACTGTTACCGTGGCAGCTTGTTCTATGATTTACTTCTAAGCAAACTCAATTTTCTCCCAATGATGACTAATACGTGACTTGAACTTTATTTGCATTCAGTCTCGTATCACATAAATAACTCTCATATGATGTACTTCTTGCAAATCAATTTTGTTTTCGTTAAATAACTGCTTGCAACTAAAGTGGCAAATAAAAACAAAAGTATCATGGATAGACGCATATCTAGAGAGCGTAAATATTGATAGTTACAACTTTGAGAAAAAGAAAAACAACGAATTGCAACACTTCACATGTAATGAAAAAAAGTAATGACCTTTGGAACTTTATTTTTGCTTTCTATGAGTAAAAAAATTCGACAGCAAAAGATCTCCGAAATACATAAATAATAGGTCACGGAATCAATCCAAACTAACTCTAAAATAATCATATATTTGTTTTAAGAAAAAATATAAATCTCATAGAAATATCCAATAAATCTTGTGATTGAAAATAGAATTATTTTCAACTAGAAGTTTGCTTTTCTTGTATTTATTTACCTTACTTAAGTAAGTTTTACTTATTGTTTTTTATAGAGACATGTGTGCGCCATTTCAGATTAAAAATAAATACTCTTTCAACTCGCGTGCTCTGGTGGAGTATTTCATTAGAAAAATTTTGACCATTATATATTTTACATTTTTGTAACAATCGACGAGATATGATTCATAAGATAGATATAAAACTTAGCAAAGTTCTCAGTATATACTTTCTTGTAACATAAAGAAAGCTTTTAAAGGCATCATCATGCGGTATAATTAAAAGAAGGGCTATTTCATTATGCAAAACTTGTCACCCTACAAACAAACGATACATCATAGTATATATAATTCTAGGTCTTTCATAAGAATGAATCTATCGATGTGCTATACATGGATCAACGTAAAAACGAAAAATAAATTAGTATTAGCGTCAAACATACATATCCAATAAGAATTTACATAATTTCAATGAATAAATTGCTAAAAAGTTGACTTCTCTCGTCCAGCCTGAAACAGTCTTATCGTACGTTTGTATTATCTCATATCACATGTATCGCTAGCTCTTGACCTGTACAATATTTTCTTGTTTCCACGTCAGCTGTCAATTGTATACTACGGATAGGGTGCACATGTTTATTTCGCTGCTTCATTGCAATTCAATGTATTTCCCATTGGGTGATCAGATTAGGACAATAAATATACATCGTGATCGAATAATGTAGAACACTCTAATGTGCTCACAATTGTGACACACAAAAAAAAGAATGAGGATGATGATAGAAATTGATAGAAAAAATGCAGGGTGATTAATTTTGAGCTGAAGAATTGAGCAATATAATTTTTTCATCATAATAAGAACATTTTCCGGTGATAACATTATACCAGCAGCAGAACGAAAACAGTGATGTTTCAGTGTTTTTGTTATTACTCAAAGAATAAAATAACTGACTATATTAAAAAGCCGACAGAAATATAGAACGTCTATGGATCTATCCCTGAAAAAAAGATGAGTTCAAACAGATAGAGTGAAGTGAAGATATGAATTTTTCCAAAAAAGGAGTGAATTTAGTGATCGAATTGGGGCCAGACACTCTATATCAATAGGAAAATTTCTGAGAAGTCTTCTCTATACATTAAATCTATTGATGAAGTAACACAATGTGCGCCAGATACTTTTCTTATTCAAGCATGCTAGTTTTGATCATATGCTTAGTTGTTCTCAATCCAGGTGTTGAAAGTACAAGGTCTCTCACGAAATAGAAAATCAAATGATACAGCCTTGTTTATAAAACGAACTATGCTTTGAAATCAATTCTAATTGTTGCAGTGCTGTTTCATGACATAAAAAAGAAATCATAGAAATCAAAAGAGAAAACAATATTAATGTCGATCGAAAAATGTTGATTCTTATTTTCCTCTGTTGAATGACATTGAGTTGAGTTGCATTACTGATCATTTCTTAACAAAAGCAAATCAGCTAAAAAAGAATTATCTATGATCAAGAATAAATGAAGTCTTTTGAGTTGACTTAAACTCTTCTATTTAATGCGATATCATTAATACGCACAACTACTACACACTACTGGAAGCCATGAAGCGATATATTCACGATTCCGCTTACGAAAAAACTCGCATAAAATAGTGTACATCGAGGTATACAACATGTGGTTGTCATAAAAGCAAAGTATGTCATGGTAACATTGATTATCAAAGCCAGAGTAAAAGTTTGTCTTCAAAAAATTTAAGAAATCATTTTAAACCTACAGCATCACTTTTAATCGATATCAAGCAATTTAGGAACGAGACTACTTGTCATCCAGATCATACACTTCGGTTTGACCCGGTAGCTTGGCATGACAGGCTAACATCTCTCGTTAATTCTAAAATACTGAACAACATAATAAATATATTCTCGCTACATGAAAAAATTCGAACACATCACCAATAAAAAGAATATTCATACAAAAAATGATTTCTAGAATGATAATCTTTCAAATAAAACAGGATCTAGCTTCTTCCTTCTTGCTTGTGTCCAAAACTGTGGTGCCAAACCAAGAAAATAAAGAAAAGGCGTAGCAGCAACAATATATTCTGGAATACCTTTGGCAGTTAGGAGCCAGACAATAAAAAATGCGATAAGCAATATGCTGCAAAAAAGAAACCATATCGGCCAAATAATATTTGTATGTTGTGGAACATCTGATCGGTGTATAAAAAGATAGAAGACGATCATAGTATGAAGAAAACAATACAATGAGATAAGTCCAAACAAGCCATATGCGCCAGTCAGATGAATCGAAGGATTGTCATCAATACTTGCAATAGCCATAAGAAGAAGAAACACAATGGAAAACAGACCAATGCCATGAACAACACTGATAATACCACGATGAATGATATATTGAGTTTGGAAAAGATATTGAATTCGGCCAAGAAGAATTACCAGTAATTGAATTGATAAAATTACAAATCCAGTGACAAAATAAGGATATGCCTGACCGGTACCAAGTTGAGAAATTTGAGGAAATTTTTCATCTTTCGGTGCATTATTAGGAATTTGAATACATACAATCAATGTTGAAATAAATGTGAGAATAGCAGTGAATGGTAAAATAGTTAAAGACCAAAACCATATCAATGGACCAACTCTTGCCATATTTTAAAGACAAAATCTATGTATTCGTTGAGGATCGTTCCGAATTGCAATCCTTCTATATTGAGTGCAAAGTATATTGCATGTATTGTTACTTGTAGAATAACATAAGAATGCAGTGAAATGATGTTACAGTTATCTTTGCTTATCGGCAAACCTGATTCAGACCAAGATATACCTTTATGAAATTATGATGACATCACTATTTGTTTTATCATAAAAATTACCTTGTCATTCTCTGACAATGAACAATAATTAATTTTTAATATCATAATCTAGTGTACAAATGCTTTTTCATCTATACGTCATTATTTTCTATTATTTGAAAAATATCTGTTTTTTTCTTCGTGATTTATTTATTTGTTTTTTCCTTTCTCTTGAATATGCATTAATATGAAAAAGAAAAAGATTATATTCAACATAAGACTAAAATGAAAGATGATTGCACGATCATTGCTCATCATCATATACCATGTAAACAACAGATTCGTGACTTGCAGGTGATACTGTTTCACCATTTAGTTTTCCTGAAAAAATTATCATAAGTTTTTATTAAGTTGAAAAAATATCGTGAACTAACTATTTCCTTCAACTTGTTGATTTGAACAAATAATTGAATTTAGAATTTCAGATTTCGAGCCAATTGTTGAACGAGAACATAAAATAGAATTTTGTAGTATTACTCTAGAATGATTAAAAAGAAAACCAAACTGAGTAAGTTAATATATCTTTATTTTTACCCTTCTTTAACATAAACATTATCTAGTAGAACGCAATTAATAATTTTACATTTGTCTTCAATTCGACAATTTTTTCCAATAATAGTTCTTTTTATTGTTGTTCTCTTTCCAATCTCATGTCCATCACCAACGACACAGTCTGGACTGATCTATAATAAAAGCAAAAAAACAATTAGATTCCAATTTCACTATTCATAAAAACAAATTTTCAAAACAATTTGAATAAATGAAACAATTCTGACTTCTATTATGGCTTCAGGAAAAACTGAATTCTCTACGAAAACATTATCTAAAATAAATAATATTTTACTTGAATCTGTTCCAATCTATCTTTAAATGTAATATCTTCATTTGTGAATGATAAAATTTGTGATGAAGCCTTCAAAATAGAAAGATAATTACAATGATAAACTAAACTAATATTCATAGGTTACTTGTCGATTAGCTTCAAGATACGAAAGAACATTTTTAACACGAAACACTTGTGTTTCATCAATAGAATAATAACATCCACCTCTTATTTGTTTATTGTCACAATCATATTGTTCTAGAAGTCTTGATAAATCCGTAAGATCATCCAAATCAGTGGCTATTTTTTTAATTCAATGAAATATAAATAAGAGAATACGAATGAAAATGATAACAAACTTGTTTGTCGAATCATCATCTTTTTATTAGCAGTTGTCGAAATGAGAACCTCAAGTGATTGACCAGTTGCCATTTGTCGAATCATTTTCGGTAGAAATTCTTTACGAAATGAAGAATACTTTGAACAAATAGCTATGTCCAAACAGGATTTTTTTATTAAATATAAATGAGCATCAACCAAATCTGTTCGAATTATTGTACGAGGATATCTAATAAGAATAAGATTTTTTTCAAATTAAAAGCATAAAATAATTAAATTACTTTGCAAGAATATTTTGTTTCAATGGAAAATATTCATCTAAATCAGCTTTTAATCGAATTGATGTTACACTATTTGTTGATTGATCAACAGTGTAGAATTCAGGTTCTATTTTCGAAAAGGAAAAAATATATGTTACATTCAATGTATCACAAAAATATTCTCCATTGTTGTTTTGTTTATAGATATTTCTAATTCGTAATTAAACAAAAAAAGATCGAGATGAAATTCTAATCAAACTTGTTACGAGCAGAATTAAGTTTTAAAAGATTTTTCAAGAAAAGTTTTAATTACTCGTCAATGTTTATAGTTCTATTGGGTAAATCCGTGTTGATCTTTTCTTGTTGTAATTTTATTCGATAGGATCAAAAAGCCTTTTTTAAAAATAGTTTGACCTAATCATCATTAGAATTTTTAACATCTGATTTTCTAAGGGCAGAAATCAAGGAATAAGTTAAATTGTAAAAGTGAAACTATCAGTTTTTCGAGATAATATGTTTTTATCATCACTCATCAAAAATAGTTGTCTGATAATTTTCAAAATACTCAACTGGTCTATAGATTTTTATCAGATCTCTGATTTGTAGAAACATTTGAAACTGAGGATTGCAGTTTAAGACTAGAAAATATGAAATACAGGCAAATGAAACGAAGATAGAAGATACATGTTTTCTTTTTGTAGGCTATTAAAGGCAATATCTATTCATGGTCAAATATTTTCTGTCAACAAAAATATCTAAAAAATATAGGAGTAATCAATCTGATGATTGGGTATAATGCAATCAGTGAAACACTGCTTTATGAATATTACTGTAGCAGTTCTAATTTGAATGAGTTTATTTAATTAAGGAATTCAATAAGAAAAGAATAGTTGAATTATTTTTATTATTCATAAAACAAGTTATATAACTGACCAAATATAGCCGATCAATAAAAACTTTCTATTGACTAACCTGCAGTATATTTTATTTTTTGTCCGGGTTGTACTAGTGATTCTTTTCCAGTGGTTGATGATGTTGTTGTTTTAAGTAACAGCATACATAATGATGCATCTCTTACACGAAACATATTAATTAATGGCGTAAGATTAACTTTTCCATACAGATCACAAGTAAAAAGACATATTGATTCAGTTCGAATACGCGAATAACATGAACGAAGTATATCTAATGTTCCTAATTCATCTTGTGCTTGTTGTTGATCGTCACTGGTTGATTCATGATGTTGTCTATAAACAATTAATTCATAGGTTATATTCAATGTTGACAGATAATCATCAAGAACTTGTCGAGATTGACTAGATGTTAAAATAAGCAATACTGATGATGCAAGCGCCGGATGTGATTGAATTAGTTGAAGATTGTACCATATTAATGGACGATTTCCAACAGGTAAAAGTGATTTGGGAAGAGATAAATCTGTCGATAGACGATTATTTCCACCAGCATATAATATTACTGTGAATTCTTTCATTTTTATTTTTAAATTTATCTTGAAGAAATGAATTTATTCAACTATTGAATCAAAAAGTATTTTACATAAGAAAATAAATAAAACTTTGTCGATTCTTTCATTTCATTTTGTAAATTGCAAAATTTCTTGCATCAAAACTAAATGATGTAATATTACATCAGAACTCATATTTAATACATGTTATTGATGTAAACATGAAAACAGCACAAAAAAATAAAAAATATTATTTTTTTTCTAAAGATTAAATGACCAATTTCATCTATTTTTACTTATACATAATTCAAGACAATTAATTATACATTCATTTGATTATGGCAGATATTACCTCAAAATCTGAAACTAAGAACAAATGAAATATTTTTGTTTCATTTATTTTTAAACCAATAAGATAGAAGAATTGTTTTTGTTTTTGTTCTAAACTTTGACATAATACTTAACACACAAACAAAGAAAAAAGTCTTTATCAATGTTTTTTTTAATTAGATTAAAAATGGAATAATTGATTTGCGTTGCTTTGGATATTTATCGGCGAAGTCTTTTTTATAAGCTCGATGTTTTTGCTTAGCCCAAATAGTCATTTGTACTGCTCCAGCAAATGCAAATAAGAGTGCTGTTAATGTTTGTGTCATTAATGAGAAACCTAACCATGAACCAATTTCATACGTATAGTTAGGACATGAAACTAGATGAAATAAATTTGTGAATGGATTGGTTTTATTTGGATATGGAATACGACGTTCAGTTGAACCAGCAGGACGAAGATCACGAAGAAGTAAATGAATTGATAAATTTCCAATCTCATTGAGCTAGATTTATTTTATCAGAAAATTTAAAATAAAACTATTGAAAAAAAAATTAACTTACAATAAAAATTCCTAAACCTAAATAAATTTGAGCATTACCAAATGATGGTGGAGTATATTTTGGATGATTAACAAAAAATGAAACCAATGCAGTGAAACCCCAATAATAGCTACAGTTCTAAGTGTGATAATGAATGTTTTTATTTTATTTTCGTATAATATAAAAAAAACGTATTACTTTAAATAAATTGAACACTGGCATTGTCGAATGTGAAAAACGATGAACAAATATTGTCTCTAAAATACGCTTTGCATAATGTGCTATCCAACAAGCAGCACCCAAACTAGATAATAAATAAAATGAAAATTTTGATTTTTAAATAAATGAAACTAACTGAGCAGCTAAATGCACTGGTTTTGAACCAGCTGATGAACCATAAACAAGACTTGGTCGAATATAAAATAATAGATAGATGAACAATGGGCCTGCATATTCAGCAACAAATACCTAAATAAGAAATATATTTTACTAGAAAAACAATCAAAGCTTGTATTTCTTACTGTGCTCCAACCGATTTGTGTACCCAAATCTTTGAAATAAATTTTTCCAACTTTATCGATATTCAATTCAGATAATTTTTGCGTATCTTTCACGGATTTTCCAGCTAGAATAAAACTTATCAGTAAATATCAAATGCATATTTCTTTTCATTTTTACTTGGCTCAGTTCGATATGATTGGCGATCAAAATAAAGCTCTGGTTCTAAAAAAATAATTTGAAATTTTCCTTTTGCATGTTATAGAATTTACTTTGTTGAGCGACTCGTTTTTTTAATTCACCAATTGTTGCATCTGCTGAAATCTTAAGAGAAAAAAACAAGAAAATTTGATATCCCTGTCAATCTATCGATTGTAAGCATACATTATCAATGGTTGTCAATGCTCCATTTCCACGAGCTTTGAGAACTTCAAGCTAACACAAATTAAGAAATATCATATTGTAAATCAATTTCGATAGAAATATTTTACTCGAAAAGTATTGCCTTGATTTTTTCCAGACATATTCTCTTTTTTTGTATCCTGCTTGCTTTCGAAAAACGATGAGGACCGCAAACAATAAAAGTAGAAGTCTAAAGAAATGACTCCATTATTTGTACTAATCGAAAAAATATTTAAAATATAATTTATTGATTATTTTCCAAAGTTTTCTATTAAACTTTGCTGACAATATCTACTCCTACGTTTCAAATTTCAAACTTTTTTCGTTATAAAAGATGTCGCTACTATGCAATATCACATCCAACACTTTTTAACAATAAATACTTTCAGTACAAGCGATCAAGACGAACGTCTCATCTATAGGCGCACCGCATTACTATATATACTTAAAGTGTGCCGTATTTTAAGTTTATCTCAATCCATTAGTCATTGAAGAACCACACTGGCATTGTATGTTGATCATGTTGTCAGTATTATGAGATTTTAAAAAAAGGAGCTATGTGCCATTACTCAACAACTGGCAAGGTTGAAAATTCGATCGAAAAATGAACACACATAGTATATATGTATAAGATTTTTCAATAGGAAAAATTCGAGAATGCAAGTGTAAATAATTATCAAATTTGCAGATACAGCATCTTGTATTAATAATAGCATTAAAAAGATGAATACAATTTAATTGTAACAACGAAATTCATTTGATAAATTCGTCTATTTTAAATAATTTCAAAAGTGCATAAAGTTTTCTATTTGGAATTTATTCTTGTTAAACGTAAACAAAATATTAACGAACAAAGGTGTTCAATTCTATTCAGTTTCATTGAAATCAGCTGATTTTTTAATTTTCATCGATTTTTATTAATAGTTTCTCACTCAAATCATATTTATGAACAAATCACACAAAACATTTTAATTATGATAATTAATAATAGAAGAAAAATATTCTAAATTAATTATTTTTTCGTCGTTGATAAACAATTAAATGTGTTGGTAAAGCTAAATGGGTATCTTCATTTTGCAATAAGCTAAAATCATCATTTAAATCGTATTTAGCTAATTGTAGAGTAAATATATAGTGTTTTCCGTCAGTTGAACGACGACTTCCATACAAATGACTATTTAACGCATCGCGTGTCAAGCATATTGATCTAATTGATTGATTTTCAAATTTATCACCTGAAAGTAAAATAAATAGAAATAAAATAAATAATTTTGTCAAACTAAAAACCATAAATCGAAGCATTTGTCGAATGTAAACCATAATGAATGATCGATTGAATTGATGAATAAGAACAACCATGAAAATATAATTGACTTTCTTGCGTCCTTTTATTCATAAAATGAATATATAAAGGATAATTTTCAATTGAATCAATCTATTTAAATCATTAAAAGAGTTTGTTGAAATTTAAAATTATTATAAAAATAACTCGTTCAATTTGCCAACTATCTTTCGCCATTGTTTGATAGAACACTTGAAAACATTGTAATGATTCATATGAAGATTTGCTTATTACATTTGTACGAATCATAAGCAAAGATGAAGACCATGATGATGGAATTTTTATTTTTGGACCAACTAAAAGAAAACACACCAGATAAAGAAATAATTTTATCATTAAAATGAATTTCTCTTACGATTGATTTGTCTTTTAATAAGATAAGCAGAGTCTCTGATTCCATTAATTTTTATTTGTAAATGATTTAAATCAATATTTAAAATTGTTTGATCATTATCGTTTACACAAATCTATTCAAAAGTTTCTTTGAAGAAAGAAAGAAAAGAAAATACAAGAGTGACTAACATTTGATTCTTCAACAGCGAAAGCTTCATCGATTTTTAATGAAATAAATGAATTTATTTTGTTTTCGTCGGACTTTTCTCCATGTTGCGTAAATACATAAGTATATTGATGAACTTTTTTGTCGTGTCGAAGATTAGAAAAACATTGAAAGCATGAATCTTTATCGCCATAAAGTTTTAATTCTTTTCGAACAAAATCAATATGTGGATGAACATGATATTGTAAACAAATATCAATTAACAAATCGATCTTTGAAATAATACAAAAAAAAATTTTAATACAATAAATAACTAAACATATACTTTATCAATTAATGTTGATTCAATTAATGATAAATCGAATATTTTTTCGTACATCAAATTTTCCAATGATTTTATCAATAAATGATGATATTCAATTATATTTGATGAATTTGATAATGTTAACACACGTTTACCTAAATAATAATCAACCTTTTTTTTCAAATTCATTCTAAAAATTGAAACATTTTCCAAACGATAACTATTTATAAAATAATATAACTGGATGTATATCGATATTTAATAAAAATTCATTGTTTCTTGCGATTTCTCAAACACGTTTCATTTTAAATAAACTATTTAACTCATCAGATAGATAAATAATACAAATGTAATATCTCAAATTTTCATATGTCATTCTAATCACAAGTTGAATCGATTGTTTTAATAAATATCGATTGAAAATAGAGAAATAAAATTTTAAAAACTATTGAAAAAGCTTATCAATACGAAGCAGTTCTTAAACCTCATCGAAAGCAGTTACAATTAATATTGATGCATACCTACAATTATATTTCGATGAACAGAAAATTAGCAATTTATCTTATTCAAACAGATAAAATTGAAAGCTTTACATTTTAATACCGTTGACAATTATATCAAAACTATATTCTCAAACCTGTTGGAGTTCCTATATATTTGCTTTTAATATCTGTATAGCCAGGTATGTTAGTTTAAATTTCTTTTATAGATATTTATCTGACAATTCAGTTAACATACTTAATTGCAGTTCAATACTCTTGAAATATAATCTAATATTTTGACTCAATTAACAGGTAGATTTCTATAGAATCGATATGAACTAATATGTTCTTTACACACATTTATCGTAAACTTGAAATAGTGGAAATTCTCTAGAGAATATCTTTTATAAATCTTTGAATTATAATGACAGAGAGAATTACGAATGTTTGTTCTTTAAGATGATATGACATTTTGCGATAGAAAACCTGTTTTGAAAACTATTAGAAATCAATATTAACTTTTTACTTTCTGATCTGATTATTGGGATAATTATTCGATAATTTGAAATGGATAAGCAATGTGTTATAGTTAATAATTTAAAGATTATAAAAAAAAAATGTTTAACAGGAAAAGAATAAAATCTAACCTAGTATATCTCGTTGAATAGATGTTTTTTCCATATCAAAACTCTTTGACATTTGTTGTTGATTATTAATTGCTGATGTCGCGACTTTAATAGATTTAATCTGTTCATTAAGACTATCAAGATAAATTCTAAAAATCTATTTAAAAAAAAAGAAGATAAATATCTAGAAAACAAAAATCCTTTGAAGTAACTTGATAACATTCATCATCATTATCATGATGACTATTGAGTCCAGTTGATGAATAAATAACAAATAGAACATCCATTTTATACTGATGTAAGCGTTCACTTGCCGCACTAATCATTGCTTCGCAAACAAAAGCTGGATCAAGACCAAGTTGACCAGTACCAATCTATTTCAATAATTAAATATTTTATTTTCAATAATTAAATAATAAAAATATATCTCACCGGTGGAAACGAGATTGATTTCATTTTTCTTTGATGTGCTTGTTCAATGCACCATTTGATTAAATCGGATAAGGACTTTAAAAGATTAATAGAATTATTTTTTATTCTCATCAAATGTAATAAATATACTTTTTGAGTTTTTGTTGTTTCTGTTTGTTCAACTTCTGTTTGCCAAGGTACAAAGAGTATTTTTCGTGCTGCAGTTGAACCCCCATCAAGAAGTAAAGCATCCGTTGGACGATAACGCTCCTTATATTGAGACTCAATTTGAATCCCAGCACGACGAAGAATACTATCACGTAAATTATTCGATGTACTTACGCATATCATCATATCAACCTTTAAAAAATCAATTTTAATTAACTAATAAAGTAAATAAATTTACTGGAATTTGACTTATATCACCAGAAATAACACTCATTGATGAATCAGTTGCACTTATATGAAATTTTCCATCCGATGAAAACTATAAGAAAAATTTTCTTTACTGTTTGTTCTTGGGTTGAAATTTAAAAGAAGAAGAAAACAAACTTGTTGTGAATCGCTTTTCTCAATAGAAGACGATGCGTTCTAATAAAAAATATTTGAATTACAAGGCATAATTTTTAGCAATTTTTTATAACAATCTGATACATTTTTAGTTGATACTGGTGATGATCGTTTTTGATTAGTGGTTGATTCATTTATTACGTCAATATTGACTAAAATAAAATAAACTGTTGTTTATCAATGATCAAACTTTGATTTAAAACAAGATATTTCAAGATTCTTTTTTTGTCATGTCATTTAAAGTAACTCTTAATAGCTGTACCAAAACTTTTTTATTAATTTAATTCATAATTTAAGTAGAAATTTCGCAGATATTGAGATAATGTTTTTCGGTTCTTTTGTATCTTGTAGTTATGATAACTTGTTCAAAAAAAATACGTTGATTATGATCGAAATACGATAGAACACATGAGAAAATATTTACATTGGATTTTTTAGGCATTAAGACTTAATTAGTCATGTTAAAATATTTCTGCTGTTTTTATTATTATTAATTTATTTTATTAGCCTTTTTAAAATTAATAAGTATTTAAATAGCTAATAGATATAAATCGAAGAATTGCTGATAAATAGTTACAAAATATTTTCGGGATCAACTGTTTTTTATTGCAACCATTGCTTCGTTTTTCTTTATATGATTTTAATCAATTTTTATGATTTTATTTATGACAAAAAAATCAACAATTACGTTCAATAGATTAGAAACCAATCTATAATAATATATCTTCAAATTTTAGAATTTCCTAAGACGATTGCTGATATAGATCATCATTGTAAAAAATTATTTCGATTTTTCAGATATCGACTGCTTTAGGATCAATTTAGTGATGAGTTGCTATCAAAGATCACCTTTATGGATAAATCAGTTACAATCATATCAGTCATTTCAGATTATATTTATTTTTGACAAGAGTGATCTTGTCAAAACTAGAAGAAACCTAAGTGAATTTACTTCGATAAATCTTTTTCCTAAATTTTCGATTCTACCTTCAGTTATGTATATATAAACTAAAAAGGACTCATTCAATCAGCAGTGTTCAAGGATTGAGAAATAGGATATTCCTAATGTGTCGAGGAATTGTCAGTGCCGCTGTGATAATTCCTAGAGGAAATGGGAACCAACTATAGGTTCCCTCACAGTTCCACCATTCACGAAAGTTGCGATATTGCTGTTTTAAAAATAATTTTTGCATGAAATCATTGATTCTCATAATTTTTCAAGTGAAAATGAGTGTAAGAACAAAAATTATCGTGAATATTCCATATTTTTACCTTTAGTATGCAAGGAACTATGGAGGAGCTAATGAGGAATTCCTAATCCTCAGTCCTTGGACACCCCTCCAGTATACGACCGTTTACGGTCATGATATTGGATGCAGGAATACGGCCGTATCGTAATGAGAATCCGGCGTATATACGACCGTATACGGCGAAAATCCGGTATCGTTTACAGTGCCGTATTACTGCATCCAGTACTACGGGAAAATCCGGACAGTTTACTGCCGTAAAGATGTCGTTTTCCTACCGTTTACTTTCAGAAAACGGACGTAAACGATTATCGTTTTGATCGACCTGGGTATTTATTGGTACTCGCCTAATCAAAATATCTTTCTAGGTACTGCAATATAAATTCGAACGAAAAGTATTATCTTAGATCATTTCCTTGTTATGGTATTGATCGTAAAGAATCATAACAAGATAATGAAAATCTATGAAATATCTTTCTGCATAAATTGTTGCAATATGTGTTAAAAATTGATCAAATAAATTTACCATGAACTTGTGATGGTTCAGTAATGATAGCATAGTGTGTTTGACCTAAAAATGTTACAAAAAATTTGATTAAAAAAGCATGAAAAGGAAAGATTACTTTGTTGAAAAATATATTCAGCAGCTGGTGAGCAAACAAGCAGTGCAAGATGATTATTAATTTTTAGGGTTTCAATATTTAATGTATCAGATAAAATCGAATACAATCGTTTTTCAATATCTTTTCCTTGTTCAATATTGGCCGATCGACAATATCCCGATGGTAAAAAAGCTAATATTTGACATTGATCATTTTCAACAATATGTTCTTTGCCAGGACCAAGAAGATAACACAACTGCAATATCAAACACAAAGGATTTATTTTATGAAAATCAAACAATATTTTAAATAAATCCCGTCTGAACGTATAAGGAATAAATAAAATAAATAAAAAGGCAGACATATTTAATGCATACATTTTGATCAGTAAATTGCTTTTTGTAAATGTAATTCACTGGTGTTTGACTTCTTTGCCGAACTATACTTTTTTCTTTACTTTTTGTATCATATCCACGAAGAACAAACCGTGTTTTCGAATTAACATCTGAACACATGGATGAGACATTTTGAGGCAATTTAACTCCACTAGAATCTAAAGATATTTATAGTGTTATTGAAAAATTTACATGGTTCATTCAAAGAAAATGAAGAAAATCTGATCGAAAATTTTCAAATGATTTAAAATATTGAAGAGGGTCCACAATTTTATTTAGTACATTGGCTAAAAGCTATATGCTATTAAGTTGACTTGGTTTTCGAACAGTATTTACGAGATTTTTTCAGAATTATTACAGTAAACAAAAACAATAAAATGGTCGAATTTTAATGGAAGAAAATTCTTTTTTTTTCGAAAGACTAAGTATCACTCCTTTGATCTACAGCACTAACATTCACATCACACCATTGACACAAGTATTAAATCAGATAAAACTGCTAACAAACTACTAACCATTATTTGACGGTGAATTATGATTATGAATTTCATATTGATTATTTTCTTGCTGTTCGAATTTTGTTGAATGTGATGAATTATTTAATTGAGACGTGTTATGATAAGAAAACTTATCTACATCATGATTTTTCTCTTTGTTATTTATTTCTGATATTGTATTTGTATTATTATCAACCAGTTTTGGTTTAGTGCTTTGTGAAGTATCCTCAACTTTCATTGAATAAAGACGTTGAGAAAATATAATTTTTTTTTCATTTGCTTTCAATGAATCGAGAGATGATAATTGATTTTTTCTACTAATTTCAGGTGACGTACTATTATACAAACAAGATAAATTTTCTTTTGATGATAACGAAGGTGATGGTGGAACATTATTTAATTGTTTTTTTCCACGACCTCGTCCAAATGTACCAATACGGTTGGAATATTCACTTGGAGATTTATTTAAGTATACATCTTTCTCATTACTTTTGAATTGTTGAGCGAATGTTGAAGAACTCTTAAATAAATCATAATAAAATGGTATAATAATCAAAAGAAAAACAAAGGATATTCTTACTTGTGAAGTTGATGATTCAACTTCATTATCAAGATCTTTCTCTTGTCGATCATGATTCGAATTTGAAATAAGTTGATCTTGTATTTGAAAGATTTTTGATTTATTCAAAGATGATATTTCATCAAATGAGAGATTTTTCTTTATTAATACTGTTCTTCGATGATTTTCCATTATGAAATTTTCCATCATTGAAGCAACTAATTCACAAGTGAAAAGAATATTTATTTTAAATAAATAATTTTTTTAAATACTTTCATCGTCCTCAAATATAAGTTGAACGGTATTTTCATTAATGAATTTTTTATCACGCAAGAAAGGTTTATGGCCATTTAGCCATAAATCAATTAAATTATCTGTTATTTTTTGCCCATCCAATGTTTGTAAAATTAAATTCGATGGATTGTTCAATGATAATGAAATTCTTATTAAATGAGTAATCAGTGCAAATGTTCGTTCATCTTCAGATGGTAAATTTAATTTGTCAAGAATATTCTTATTATGTTTTGTTAATAATGAATGAGAATGTAAACATCTTCCAGAATTATCAAATTGTAAACAATTAATATTTAAAAGATAATTTTTACAAATATGAAGTTCGTCGCATGATGATGAATTACATGAACCCCCTTTATTTTGATCCGTTGCACATAAACGAAGCTAAAATAAATACTGTTTTTATTTATTTTATCTTAAACAATTTGTTTTTACATTGTTTTGAAAACAAACTGTATTTTGATCTTCTGATAAGTAAAAAATCTTGGGCATTCTTTCATCAGTAAGAAGATCAATAATTATTTTTCTTGGAAGCGGAATAATTGGTAATAAATCTTGCTCGATATTTATTTGAAGAGGTTTTCCAATAGTTTGAAAATTATCAAATAAATTTAAAATCTTCTCTAGTACTTGCGAACTCATTTAGAAAAGTTTTAAATTCAAGAAAAACTTATTTTTTCCCAGTAAGGGAGCAAATGAGAAGCATATTTTGCATCGAAAACTAAACTGAGTTTTTTATGGACAGAATGTCAAAACAATATTTTGTAGATGACGCTATTCTCCATCGACTCATTTATTGGTGAATAATTATAAATTAAAAAGTCAATCAATGCGATGAATTGTGGTCGCCTTTTCTTATATTCTGCTACTACGAAAACTCTTTTTTACATAATCACAATATTAACACGCATTTTATTTGATACACGAGTGTGAGACTTGAAATATTTCTTGGAATGAATATTGACAGATTCAGCAAAAGGAATTCCAGGATTTCTTTGGATTTTTCGAAATTATAGGAGAACGCTTCGAGATCTAGTTAATTCAAATTTCCATTTGGTAAAACATATGAAATTTCACTTACATGTGAAAATCACGATTTTACTCCATCAAAACTAGCACAATCTTACTACCACGGAAAAATTAATGCAAATCATATTTTTGATCTAAAACACGTAGAGTTAATGGTCAGAAGCAGTTTTCTTGGATATATGAATATTACAAGATTAGACATTTATAATACAAACAAAAATCCTAAACCGCAATGTGAACTAGAAAATGCTGGTGACGAAGTTTTAAATGGTTTATCATTAAGTGTTATTCAAGCATGTATTAAACAGACTCAAAAAGTATATATAAAAAGTTGGTATCTTCATATTAGATTTTTATATGTATTATAAATGTATATTCTTGTAATATTCATATATATCCAAGAAAACTTCTTCTGACCATTAACTCTTTGTTTTAGATCAAAAATACGATTTGCATTAATTTTTTACGTAGTAGGTGTAACGATAAATAGGACTCTTGCTAGTTGATGTATTAAGACAATCTGGATTGAAGCGGAGTAGCTTACCGCCACTTCAAGCAATGATGTTTATTCGCTTCTTCACATATCCAGAATATAGCAACTTCATACATAACACACGTATATAGGAGAGTGACAGGAGAGAGAGATATTAGAACAATGGAAAGAGAACCGAAGGACACGGAAGGAGAATCATCGAAGCGTACCATCAATATCGGCACAGTTGGTATATTCCTTCAAGAAGTATCGTTTTTCAAAAAATAATCGAGTTGATATGGATTTTGAACACACAATCAAAAGAAATCCAGTTTCAAATTAGAAATCAACATAATCGTTTCCAAGAAGAGAAAATTGAATAGATTTTAATGAAAGAAAAATCCTATTAGAAGGATTCAAACCTTAAAAAATCGAAGAATCTGGCTAAATCTGTCATCAGAAGTTTAACTAGTTTTTATTATCAGTTTTACTATCCATCATATAGAAATGCTATAATTTTCATCGCTTTTTAAGCCCACAAAATCATTCAACTAAGATTTTTTTATGAGTTTTAAACATGAGGAATATACAAATAGAATATCGAAATAAACCGTAGCACATCCACAGTTCTCTATTGCGGAGAAAAATCCGAAATCCAACGGTGAATTTCTGAACTACCCAGGAACATTCTCATAAATCAACCCATAAATCACACATTATAGAGCTTACTTGCGGATATGATTCATTCCAGCTTATATGACAGAGACGTCTATCAATCGATCTATCATGAAGGCTCTCATAACCTACACAAGCCTGTTATTTCAGGCATATCCCGTGCTTGAAGTTCAAATAGTTAATGTGAAAAAATTATGGAAACACCAAGAAATACTGCCTGAACTGGCAAATCATTTTCAATGTTACAGTGGAACAGTACCGCAAAGTCTGACTGGTACACTGAACATCGTTAAAGCTAACTCTCTATCAACACAATTATACTAAAATTTATTCAGAAACCAAATACTCTATACTCCAAAATAATCTGGCAGCTCCTTCATTATTTCTATGATTTCTGCTTGTGATTTCTGACCCATTTCCATGATTCTTAAGTCTTTCATCATTTATCAAAAAGAAGTGTCATAAAACATCTGTTTTTATCCTTAGCACAGCATCTGCGACAAACCCTATCATTTACGGCTCATCTTCACTGAAAAAATCAAAAAGCAGGATTACTGCATCTTAAACGTTATAGGTAAAGACAGAAGACATAACGCGCCCCACCGTTTAACTCAACATAATTTTAAGTTCACGAGATCATTAATCAACCTCGCCAACTCGTCAGATTCACCTATACCAAGCTGTTTCTGGTTCATTCCAATGCCACTTCTGATCTTAAGTTCGTCAAAGCCGGTTTCTATCACAAACCAAACTTCGAGCAAAAGTCAGAAACTGCAGTGGCCTGAATGTAACGGGTGGGCCATAAAGAATGATGGGTTTCGTATTTCTCGATTATCTCCGCGAGTTTTTATTCGTTCGAGCGGATCTTTTTTTTGAAAGAATCGTCGTTCAATTCTCTACAAATACGGATATTTTTATTATCTGATATAATTTCCTTTGTCTTGAGACAATCGATTTGTCCCGGAAGCACAACTTTTCTCCACTACATCTTGAGAAATTTCACGAACAGCACGCTTTAGGGCAGTGATCAATCTTGTTTTAGATGTCACCGTATCCCACTTGTCTAGTTGAGCGAATTCGTTCCTGATGCAGTAATCCAATGGGTTCAAGTCTGGACTATTTGGAGGCCAATGGTCCTTGTCAATGAACGACGGAAAGTGCTTAGCACACCATTCTTGCGATTTTGCATGGGTGTGTGGCCTTGCACCATCTTGTTGGAAGATCCAATCGTTCCCGAACATGCCATTGACGAACTTGAGAGCGATCGCAAGCACTTCTTTGATGTATTGATCATGATTGACTGTCCCATTCTTGAAAATCACCAAAGGTGATACACCTTTAGGACAAACTCCGAGCCAAACCATAATCTTTTGCGGAAATTTACGTTTCTGCCGAGTACCACCTTTGGTATCGGCTTCTGAACGATCAACTGCCCAGATACGATCATTTTGAGAGTTATAAACTCCATCAATGTCGAGCATCTTCTCGTCAGAAAACAGAATTTTCATCGTGTCTTCTTTTCGGAAGTTGTTTCGTATCCAATTAGCAAATTGGATTCTTTTTTCTTTATGCTCATCAGTGAGCATTGGTTCATTTTGCACTTTGTAGGCATGGCTTCTTAGATCATCCTTGAGTATTCTCCGTACACTCGTTCGAGAAATACCCGATTCACGGGCTAATTTCCGAGATGAGACAGACTTTCGCTTATTCAGCCGATGCTTGACCTTTTGAATGGCTGCCTTCGTTCGGATTGTTTTTGGACGACCGGTTGATATGGACAGAGTGATACAGCCAGTCTGTCGAATGCTCCTGCGCCATCGTTCAATGGTCGGAAGACTAACGGAACTACTGAGATCTTCAAAAACCTTTTGCGGTCCATCGCCATTTTGGTACTTAGAAAATACGAGCGTTTGTAAATCTTTACTTTTCATTTTCTCAACCCAGGTCGAACATACACGGTCGTATACGACGGTAAATCGCCGTATTTGGCCGTATTACGATCGTAAATCTCCGTGCCGTATACGGCGAAATACGGCGCTTTACGGTCGTTTTTGATCGTATTTCACCGTATTACGACACGGAGATTTACGATCGTAATACGGAGCCATGTAATACGGCCAAATACGGCGATTTACCGTCGTATACGGCCCGTATTTCACCGTATACGGACGTCGTAAAGCTCGTCCTGGGAAATGAAACGAATTCGATCGAACGCAATAGAAAATACCCATCTTCGTATAGAGAATCGAACGGCGATTCGTTCAAAAAAAATCAGCTCGAACGAATGAAAACTCGTAGAGATATTCGAGAAATACGAAACCCATCATTCTTTATGGCCCACCCGTTACAACATTCAAGAAATCCTATACATATTCACTGAAAACGTCAGAATACATAGGTTCCAAATAATCTCTAGAAGCCGTATGTCACAAAGACTCGGAAATCCCACTTGACCTTTCGCGATAAATCAAACAGAAACATCGTTTTCCCTTACAACCGAGTTAAACTTTGAAGTCGCTCTATATTGAACATATTCTTATATCGAATTCCTGTTGAACCCTACTGAATAAATCCACTAAAATAAGAAAAAATCTTTAAACGTATTTCTATGATCGGAAAGATGAAATTTCGTAACAAACATCAAAGAAATTTTAGTGATTCTTCTAATTTTTATCACCAATTTCCATGCGTGCTATTACTGGTGTTGCCCTGTATCAGATTTTTTCTATTTTCTATTTTTATCATGATCTTCACTGAAAGTAACAACCAATGATTTTTGAAGATTTCCATTTAACCAATTTTCCTGTCTGTCTTGCATAAATACTCATCATTTAAAGATTTATTATTCTCGATACTATATGATTAATCGTAAATCACACCATAAACACTTATTGTTATTGATGCCAAATATCATTGTCGCAAATTATTAGCGCTTTTCGATGAATTTTATACGGAAAACATTCATTTTAACAGGATTTGTTTGGTGATTTTTTTTGTATCTTTTTAGATTCCTCATGGTCCGGACTGCAGGATAGAGCATAAATCACCAAATGCGGATTTCTTCGTGCTCTAGATCTAGTGCTGCTATCCACGATTCTCTACGATGCTTCCTTCACAAAGTGATGTTAGCATGATTTCTTTGATGCTTCTTGTTTTTTTCATATTTCTCATGATTTGTGCAATTTCTTGCACGGAAAATCGTAGGGACTTAGCTTTAGGTGCTCTCGGTAGATTTAGGGTATAGACAATGCTCCGAAAAGATCTGTGGAAAATATGATTTCTGTGATTTTCGGTGTGATTTTGAGTAAGGTTTTTGGCTGCTTGCATTTTCAGTGTGATTTCTATAGAAATGTAGTAGAATTAATGTCTCTAGTGTGCTCACTGTCGATCGAAGGGGTTTATGAATGTATTTTTCTTTTTGTTCAGAATTACGGTCGTAAACGGTCGTCTACGTTGCAGCGCTTGGTCGTTTCCTGTTTATGATACGGCCGTATCTAGTCGTCGCAATGCTCGACCCGTGTGCTTGTGGAGTGCTTCTTATTCACAACTATTTCTGTTCATTTAATAAATAGTTGGATCTTCATCTAATATTCAATACTATTTTATTTTTATTGCTGTCATTCTGTTCTGTCATAACCAATAGTGTGGCACCTGGCATTTTTATTAGTTGCGTCTCTGATCCTCATCAAGCCGTTACAGGGGGTGTAGCGTTCATCAGCTTTAATCTTTAAATTTAAAACTAAAACAAGCATATCGTAAAGTTTAACTTTCTAAAATGTCAAAATTTCAAGTATATTTTCAGAAAAAAGTTTTTAGAAAATCTTTCTTTTGTTAAAATTATTTTATAATGAAAGTCAAATAGTTCTGAACAAAAAAATTCCTTTCATGAAAAAATCTATTTGAACATTTACTCTTTGGACTACAAATTTTAATCATGGTTCTTTCAACTTGAAAGTAAAGTTATGCTAGCGTTCTTAACAAATACGTAGTTTATTAATCAAAAACAGATCTAGAACAAAATGTATTCTTTAACATGTAATCAAATTTTCTAGTTGAATCTGGGGATCGCTCTAAAGACACGACATACTTCTGTCCTTTTTTGGTATGCAAGTAGTACATGTTAGATGTTCTTTCAACTATCCGATAAAGAGTTTTTAACAATTAATTTATAATGGACTCCGATTCCTAGCGATTCGTTAGTAGTGTGCAACTCCGGATGGAATAAGGAATGAATTCATTAAAGTATTTATATTGTTTTTTATATTCGACAACTTCATCATCAATAACATCGGCTTTGTTTTTGTTCAATTATATGCATAAAAAATTTCTCGTGCTCTGGCCCAATGAGCAAAAATATTTTTAATCTGGAGCCAAATCCGGTCGAAAATAAACTTCAGGCCCAGACCCGACGGCTCTACATGGGAACATATAGAACAGGAATATATATTTTATATACAGTACGAAAAAACAGTTCTTCTGTAGATGACACTGTTCTACATTGATCTATTTATTGATGAATATAAATTAACACGTTGATGATCGACAAATTTTCTTAGTACTTTGAATTATACAAGACCTATGTATGAACCAGAAAACGCCAGTCGATGTGATGATTACTTGCATATATGCAATGCAACTAGACCACACATGACATGACGAATACATCTGCTATAAGTTTTGCTTTGTAATACAATGTAGTTAGGTTATCCTACGAACAAGCTTGAAAGAATTATTTGACTATGGAAAAATTACAAATTTAACTTAAGAATAAATGAAAAAAATTCTATCCAAAGTAAATTTGAATAAATACGTATTCTACATTCTACATTCACAATATGTTGCATGTGCTGCTCTCTAGATATTTTTCATTTATGTAGAATTTGACACGAGGTATTAATAAATGAACGTTACTAGTAAATACATGACAGTGATGTTTCTGTTGTAGCTTTGATCAATACAACAAATTAAAAATTTTGTACTTTTCCGAATGGTCAAAATATGTCATGTAGATGTCACTGGTTGAATATGCATCTTTATAATCTTTATAGTTAGAAAGACACATCTCTAATTGATATGACTGTCTAATGATTGTCCTTGTTGCTTGCTGTTGTTCTGTTTCTCAAACATCGGTCAATTGTAAGTTGACTGTTGTAGAAATATTTTATGGATGTCAATTAATTTCTTGTTAGTTTTTCTATTAAACTTTTATGTCTGAGAAATAATAACATCGAGTTTTTTTTTAGATAATTTAAACATGATAAAATTGCAGGATTAGGAATGTTCAATGATTTTCTGTATGATCATCATTGATTGGTTACGTTGATTGTTTAACGTAGTCACTGCATGAATAATCATTAGTATTTTTTTTTCTTTTTCGTTCACTTGGACGATAACTCTAATGCATCATTTATTTCTAATATTAGATTTAGAATTATAATTAATATGAGTAAGTGACGCAAAAAATTAATCAACTAAGCATAATTGGATTGTTTTCAGAAAAAAACTTAAGAAATTGAATTACTTACATTAGATTATATCAATAGTTAAGAAGTATTGATCGTTCAATCAGAGTGAGACTTTCATTTCTAGGAAATTCTTCATAACCATTACTGAAAATTATATAATATTTATTTATCATTCTAGATTTTCTGAATTATATTCTATTGTAAGAGATAATATTCGTAAGACAAAAATTGATCATCAAAATCGGAAATTTTTCAGATACTTATTTTTTAAATTTGAAATCATACTAATGTTTATCATTCGAATAGTTTTGATTCGATTTGACTAAATCTAAATCATATGGAATTCTTTCAATTAAATTTTGAATTAGTTTTTACAAAATATTTTCTATTGTGAAATGGTATTCGATATCAATAAGAATTAATCAAAGTGAATAATTTTAGAGTATTTTGCTAAGGTTTATGCATAGTATGATAACTGCTTATTAATGATTTATTGTCATTTAAAAGCCGAAGTAATCCTTAATAAAATCCATGTATTTGTATATAAATTCATTTTTTAATTAAAGATTGGTGATAATCGATTCAATCGAATCGAGTGACAATAACAACCGATTGATTGCCAATGTCTAGAGCTGCTACTGCCACGACTTATTTTGAAGAAAACTCTCAAGAACAACATATTCGTCAAAGATTATCGAAAACATTTCAGAAAACTATGATTCCATTGTTTCATCGTCGAAAATCTTCAGCAAATATGTTTTATTTGATGCGAAATTTACTATTTATACTAATTCTGATAACATTTGTATTAATATTATATTCATCATTGTCTTTGTCGCCTTTACTTCGCTTTCTTGATCCATATTCTTATGTGTTAGTATTAGATGCTGGTTCTACTGGTACACGACTTCATGTCTACAAATTTCGATCATCAACAGATGATGAGAATGGTGATACATTTGTTTTAAAAAGTGAAATATTTAAAGAACATAAACCCGGCTTATCATCATTTGCTGATGAAATTTATAAAGCTGAAGAACAAATAAATGATTTATTAAAAATAGCTGATCAAGAAGTTAGTCGATTTAAACATCGAAGTACACCATTAGTTTTACGTGCTACAGCTGGTCTAAGATTATTAAATGAAACAAAACAAAAACTTTTATTAGATAGTGTTGGAATTACTTTTAACAAATATGGATTTTATCGGCCAAAAATGGATATTGCTGTTATGAATGAAACAGAAGAAGGCATTGATGCTTGGCTCACGCTGGTTTATCTTAAAGGTATTTATTTTTTGAAAAAATAGACAACGAAATTAATTCGTAGTTAGAATTTATTTTGAATTTAAAATATAATAAATAACTTTCACATTGCACAATATATAATTTTTAATATTTATTATTCGAGAAAAAACTCCAGATCATATTCTAGAAGCTTTTTTCATTGAAATTCTCATCTAGATCTCTTAATTGGTCACAAAAAAAAATAAATTCTTTCATAAACAGTTTTAAAATGTTTCGAATTAACAAATGAACAGAAATACTTCAACAAAAAAATCATTGATAATTTTATAGTTTGAAAAATAAATTTGATTATTGATCATAATCTATCCGTCAAAAGCAAATAATTTTTCTTTCTATTTTAATAAAATTTTTAATTGTTCAGAATAGTATTCAAAATATTAAACAAATAATTTGAATGAAATTTCTCTTGTTGAATTCAAAATATATTCAGGAAAATGTTCATTATTTTCTTAGTTTTTTTACTGATATAAAAATCCCAATTCTTTTACTTAAAAATGACTAATAATAAAGTTCTTGTAATCAGTAAATATTTTCCTGTTTTTTCTTCTTCGGTGAACTTATCACTTGTAGTGATAAATTAAAAATTTCCTTAATGGAAATCTTTTTCTTTGTATTATCTCGTTAGAAAATTATGAAAACTATTCCAATTAATTGTAAACACATTGGTCGATATGAATTCATATTTCAAAGTAATTATTCGGCCTTTTTGCCTACTTTGCTAAGTATTTTCTATTTGTTTGATCTTTTTTTAAATTGAATGTAGCAAACACTTTGAAACATAACTTTTTATTTTAGGTGAACAATTTTATGGAAGCCGTATAGCTGCACTCGATTTAGGCGGTGGTTCAACTCAAATAACTTATAATCCATCATTATCGAATACAAGTTTAGCTGAAAAATTAAATTTATTATTAAAAGCTCAGCAACCCATAGAGCCTGGAGAAGTAAATGCATTTCGTGATTTAAGGAATAAAGAGAAAAAGCAAATGCCTAGAATTGATGTTAATCAAGCTGATTTTGAAGAAATAAAACCAGCTAAAATAGTTAAAATTGGCGATCAATCAAATAGTGAAAACAAACTAAGTGAAGAAGAAATCTTAATGAAACATATGCATCAATTTCGAATGTTTCGCAGAGATATCAAACTTTATTCACGCTCATACTTAGGTTATGGTTTAATGATTGCTCGTCAAACAATATTTATCAATGAAACAAATGATAAACAATTAATTGAATCACATCAATTGAGAAGTCGATGTTTTCTGAATGATATTACAGGAAAATTTAAATTTCAAGAAATTGTTTGGACTGTTCAATCACATCAAAGTTTTTAATTGAGTTTTGTTGTGATAAAAGAACAAATTTTTTTTTCGATTTTCTTTAGATGTAAATTCTGATGAACGTTTTTATTCATGCATGGCATTAATTGATAGTTATGTTGGTTTAAATGTTCAGACAGCTGTTGGTCTTGATCAAATGTCAATATACGTATTTTCATATTTTTATGATATTGCAAATGATGCTGGTCTTTTATCAACTGAAGATGATTCATCGTCAATAACAATGCTACCAATAAGAGTATTGAAACAAACAGCTAAAAATGTTTGCAGTAGTAAAACAACAACATCAAAAGAATATCCTTTCTTATGTTTTGATTTAACATATATTTATTCATTATTAACCAAAGGTTATGGCCTATCAGAAAATACTCAAATTCATATTTGTAAAAAAATTCAACAATTTGAAGTTGCTTGGTCTCTTGGTTTAGCATTGAAATTGTTATAGAACATTTCGTTTTATTCCCTCTTTATAATTATAACTTTTATTGTTATTCATCTCTTTTTTTGTGACAACGGCAAGAAGGCGTTTCTTTTTCAATAAATACCTTGTTTTGTTGTTGTTTTCTTATTAATATATTACAGATTGATAATTATTCTTATTTATATTTCATGAGAAAAGCATTATTTGGGAATATTATAGTATTGAATTTAAGAAGAAAACTACAAGTTGATCTAATGTCAAATTCACAAAAAACAAATGAAAATAAACAAGAACTTAAAATCGACATAATTAGTGATAATATTTGTCGTGAGTGAAAAATGAATAAAATTGAGAAAAACTTGAATGTTTTTATTTTCTTATAGCATGGTGCTACATAGGCAAACTTCGTTTAGAAAAAGCACTATCTCAAATCAATACATCTGTGATAAATATTTCTATAATATGGCATCCATTTGAGTTGGATCCTCATCTTCCACGTAATGGATCATTAATGAAATTGGATCGTTATAAACAAAAATTTGGTGAAGAATTTGTTAAATTAAGATTACCAGCTATGATTGAAACAGGTAAACAAGAAGGAATTCATTTTTCATTTGGAGGGAAAATAGGATCGACATTTGATTCTCATCGTCTTCTCTACTATGTTAAACAACAAGAAAATGGAGAAAAGAAACAAAATGATTTAATTAATGTTTTATTTCGTTATTATTTTGAACAAGAACAAGATTTGTCAGATCATCAAGTTTTAATTAACGCAGCTGAACAAATCGGATTAAAATCAAATGAAATCAAAGAATTTCTTCAATCTGATCAATATAAAAAAGAAGTTAGAGAAGAAATAAATCAAAATCAACGAGATGGTATATCTGGTGTACCTAATTTTCGTATTAATGATCGTATTGAACTTAGTGGAGCTCAAGAACCCAAGGAATTTATTCAAGCTTTTAGAAAAGTTGGTCTTAATATTTAAATGAACCAAATGACTGAATATATTTATTTGAGATGTTGTTTATTTATTTTTCTCGAGATATTTAACAGCAAAAATGATTTTCTTAATATTTTCAAATCTTTTTTTGGTTTTTATGATTCAAATAACAATTTTATAAAATTGAGTTATTCCGTTTATGAGTAATGATAATATATTTTAATAACGAAAATTAAGTTGTCTTGGCGTCATAAATTGTCGTACGACATCGGATGTAACTTGTTTTCGTCGTTCTTGATGTTGAGCAACTAATGTTTGTAAAACTTCAATTAAAATCTTTTTCAGTTCACCAGTTAATAATTTTCCAGATGAATAGTCCTTTATCAGTGAAAAATATAAATTGAAAAATTGAAAACTAAAATAAATATAAATTACTTGTCGAATCTCTTCAAGTCTTTGATCATCATCCATAAAAAATGTCAGATATTGAAATGATACATCAATATCACAATCACCACCTTTAGCTCGATGTTCTTCGATTGAATCCTTTCCTCCACTAAATGCATGTTTATTGATCTATTTATCAAAATTAAATTTTTTCATTTTTTCATTAAAAATGAATTTACTTTTGTTTTAATATCTTTTGGTGAATCCGTGAGAAAAATCGATGAATTTGGATCGGATGCTGACATTTTCGATTTTGAACCTTGAAGTGCAGGAAAAAAAGTTGAATGAATTAGTGATGGTTTCGGAAAATTTAAGCGTGGTGCAACATCACGTGTCATTCGAAAATAGGGATCCTTTGTTAATAAAAATAAAAATAAAAGTAATAATAATAATAATAATAATCAATACTTTCATCTTTAATTAACCTGATCAATAGCACATGGAATTAGACAAGGTAATTCTTGTTTTAGTTTTTCACCAAAAATGAATGGAAATGATGAGCTAACACTAGGTGCAGCTTGAATAGCAGGAAACGCTATTTTCCCAATACAATCACTTTCAGTAAAACCAAATATTCCTATTGAAATAAAAATACAGCCAAAAAATTATTTTATAGAACAATTTTATATATATTTTTGAGTTAACCTTTAACTTGATTAAAAGTAACACTTTTTTGAATACGACAAATATTTCGATAGAAATTTGGACATTGACTATTTTCATTGATAAATCAAAATTCGGAAAATAACAAAAACAAGAACAAACTTACGCCATGAAATCAAAATCAGAAAAAATGAATGTTTTTGTTGGATCAAATCCACATGCAATGATATCTTTAGCATTCTCATATGCATATTTGTTTGCATCGTCAATTGTTATGTCTTTCCAGAGAAATTTTTCATCGTCTGTCATTTGAATAACTAATGGAACATCAAAAGCATCTTGTAACCATCTTAAATTACAAATTTATGTTGTTTTTCATCTTTATTTTATGAGATTTGTTTCTTCTTTTTACTTTGTCATAATAAATGGAATAAGATGACCAAGATGCATGGCTTCAGATGATGGTCCACGACCGGTATATAAGAAAAATGGTTTTTGCTGCTCATAAACTGTAAGAATTGATTCCAGATCCCTACAAAAAAAGAAAATAACAGAATATTGTTTTTCTAAAATAATTATATTTTTCTTCCTTGACCTGTGTGAAAAAAAGATGCCTCGTCGAATAAAGTGATGAACCGGTTTTTTAATGATCGATTCAATGCGTGTTATTAATTCAGGCGAAATTTTCGATGAACCAAATCGACCTTAAGAAATCATTAGAATATTGAATAAATCATATTCAAAAATATCATACGGATAAGTTTATCATAGTCGATTCCAGTGTCTGATTCGGCGTTTACATCCCATGGAGTAACCTTATCTCCGGTTTCGTCGGACTTTCTTTCGATTGTTTCTTCTAGTTTTGGCGAGGACATTCTAAAAAATATAATAACACGACATTGAATGTCGAGCTTATATATTCAATGAATTGCATCATAAAATATCCTTGTATGATGAAAATGTTAGGTTCTTACAAAAAGAAATACACTACTTATTCTATCAAATTTTCTATTGGTGCAATAATCGTCCGTTTAAATCAACATTGGGTTATGTGTGTGTGTGTGTGTTGCATCACAGTATGAATCTTAAGGAAAGAGTATTGATTTACTTATAAAACTTTAAAAAAACCTGATAGATATATATTTTATATTCCAGTTTAATACGATCGAATAGATAATTTATATTCATGTATAATTCATTTTCGATAGATAACACTAAAAGTCTGTAGAAATTTTATGAAAACCTAAGATATGAACAGGCATATCGGATCTAGCTGTCTACTCTTGCATTTATTTCTTTGAAAATTGAGGAAGAAAAATAATTATCTACTAAATTATTCAAAGTATATCGATAGTGATCTATTATGAGCTGGTATATTCAATTATGTTGATATGTTGAATCGCAATGAATGTTAGTCTCATACATCTCATAGATTCGATAAATGATCAAACTTGCCCGACTGATTTGAATATGTGATGTTTCATGTTCAAAAATTAAACTCGTTTCGATCCAATCAAGACGTGTCTATATGATGCTAAATTTATTGGTTATTTTAATGAAATTGAATAAAAGTTACAAGAAAAAATTTATTCGAATGTCGTTAGAAATAAAATGCATAAAAAAAATAAGCTCATCGGTGACAAGAATGCGTAAAAGTTGTCAAACAAATATTAAATAGATTGAACGGCTAACCATATTGTATAAACAATAGTATGAATCAATTGGACAACCACCGTACAGTTCAATAGATTTGAAAAGTAGTAACGTTTTGTATCATTTTACCTTGTAATGAATTTATTTATAGTTGTAGAAAAAAAGAACATTCAATGACACAAAGTTTTCTTTTAATATAGTTTTTCGATGAGCTAGTTTTCTTCCTTGTGAAAACATAAATAATTAACGAATCTTATTCGAATCCTACAGTTAGATTAATAACCATAAACTTACAAGACAATGGTAAATATTTCGACAGATAATCAGGTTCAAATTGTGCAATCTATTCTTTTACTATATTGGTATGATAATCGTTGGGTAACTGAGCTACCTAGTTTCTAAACTTTATCTAATATAGAATCTTGTGGTGACAAAAGAAGAGAGAATAACTAGTGATAAAACTACGGTAAATAAGTTAAAAAGAAACATATGAATAATAGTTATTGACAAATCTTTAGTATATCAAACACAGTCGTGCAGTAAAATCTTCGACATTTGATTTTATACTACTCTTGTGAGGATTCTTCGAAGAATACATTAAGTATCGATAATCTTAATAATCATCGATATTATAAAAAAATTCTTTCTAAATTAACATTTATCATGAAAAAACGAATTATATTGAAGAGACTTAAATGGCTTTACAGGAAATATTTTCAAATAATATGTTGTATCATTCAATGTTTCAGGCGTACTCAATGTCTGTTTCGTATCAAAGTTGTTTTTATTAAGTTCAACGCTAGATAAGATGATTATTCACATATTAATGAAACAAAAACGTATAGGTATATGCATGTACAAATCTTTTTGGCAGATTTCTCAGTTTAGAGCTTTATCACTTCTCTGTTTGTCATATACGTATGTCAAACTTGAAACTTAAATTCAATTGAAAATTGAAATTTTCTATTTTCAACTGAATTCAAGCTTCAAGTTTGACACTACTGTTGCTTGTCAGATCTTGTAGTTTTTCGGTGTACTATGCGATAGCAATTTTTCTCTCGTTTAGATAAAGGAGAAAGCATTTATATTCAACTGAATACTTTATTCAGGTAGCCATATTTATTAAAAATACTATTAAGTGTAATTAAATAAGTTAAGAGTTCTAAATAGAAAGTATTAGTAAGAGTGAACGTTGTTGGGACGTGGAATCTTCTTGGATTAAAAACAGATACAGATTAGAACAATAAAAGGAGCTGTCTCTAAAGTCTCAAGATATGATGATTAAAATCGAGCTGATTAAGATATAAGTAGTTCGAAATTAGTGAAACCTTTTGGGTGTTTTCTCATAATCAGATTGAAAAAGTGAGGCTGATTCTAGAAACTTTACTACTGATATTTTCGAACGGATTTGTGTATCTAAAATTCCCAATTTATTCTCAATTAATTAATTATTACTTAAACTATATAAAAAAGCGAAGTTGTTCCATCACAATTCGATTATCTTATGGTAATCTCATTCAAATGGATCTGTAATTTTGATATAATTTGATTTGTCGTTGTGTCTATGTTACAGTCAGATTGTTCGTTTGTTGAGTTTGATAAAAATGGCTTCGGGATGAATGACAGTCATTTCTGTCAAATGAAAATTTTCATCTATTTTATCTCCAGGTAAAATATTATATTCACTGAGAATACGTGTCAAACATATTTTGAGTTCCATGATTGCAAAACGCATTCCAACACAATTTCTTGGACCATTCCCGAATGGCATCCATGATATTGGATGACGCTTTGTTAAATGCCTTTCAGGAATAAATTCATTTGGATCATCAGGACCCCAAAGATCAGGACTGAAATGAATGGTCATTATGTCCGCTTGTATGATACAACCTAAATATAGAATAAAAATTGTTACATTCAATATTTTTTCCTAGTAGAATTTTCATCCAACCTTCTTCAATACGATGACCACATATAGTTGTCGTCTTGTTACATTCTCGTGATGTTGCTTGTATTATAATAGGAAATACTCGAAGTACTTCACGAATAAACATGTCTATATAGGACATATTTGTAACCAGATCATAATTGTCTTCGTAATCTTTTTGACCGAGATGTGCATCGATTTCGGCCATCACTTTTTGTTGAATATCTTGTTTTTTCGCTAAAATATATGTACAATATGCTAATGCGGTCGATGTCGTTTCATAACCAGCGATCATGAAGATAAGAATATTGCCTGTAATTTCATCTGGATGCAAAATCTTTTGTTCTTTTTCTTCTTCTATATTTTCCTATGAGAATTGCAAGGAATAAATATTTGGATATTCGAGTTGAAATATTCAACAAACTAGTTTATCTTTTTCATCAGGCACTTCTGCGTCGATCATAAGCTGAAGTAAATCAATACGTTTCTTTTCCGAAGAATGTTGTTTTCGATAGTTAACAATTTCTTGAGCTCGATTAATAATCCAGAACGGAGCCAGCTCTTCCATAAAACAATTCATAAATGGAAATATTCTTCCGAGTGTTCGAATCAGTTTTAGTTGATATATGGAAAATGTTATAAGAAATGGTTTGAGAAATGGCATCACATTACTCAACTGAATAACAAACAATTTATCATAATTAAGTTCTACTACTTCAGCGGATTTTTTCAAGTAAATATTGTCAATTTCATTTTGCATATCGCTTTCAATCCCAAATCCTGAACGCCCTAGAAATAATAATCAAAGTTAGTAACAAAAAAAACCTTTTCGTTTCTTCCTGAAGTTCTTCGATGAAAACAACATTATTGTCTTCTTCTTACTCACAGATAATATCTACTGTCATGCGTTTATACATATCATAAATATTGAATTCGTGATTATTTTCATTAATAGTAGCTAGTTTATTCATCAAAGTTTCAATACATTGATTTACAGCGGGTAACATAAGCTTCATTTTGCTAAGTGAAAAAGTTCGATTGACAACGCGTCGTTGACGTTTCCATGTAGCTCCTGCTGCTCCAAATAGATTTTCAGGTGTTCCAGGTCCCATACGTGCCAAAAATAAAACACGACGTGAATGAAATGATGAAAATTGCTTGATGAAAACTTCCTGTAAAAATTCAACATCAGATACAACATACAGCGGACGTGTACCTTCGTACAATCCGTAGATCGAACCATATTTACGTGTCCATTCCTGCAACTGTTTCGAATACCGTTTTGTTGACCATAATGTTTTGAAATGACCAAAGAAAAAGCGGGGTGGTGGTCCTGGAATATTACGATGTATGAAATAATTATAACTATTGTTAATTGTCCACAAATATAATACTATCAAACATACAAGACACGCACACAGACTAGCTGTAAGAATCATACTTCTATACTTTGTAGAATAGAAAAATGAAAAAGAAAACACTTTTGATAAGAATATCATTTCGTCGAAGAAAAGTATAAATAAACATTCATTGCTAAAACGAAGACATTATCTATCGTACCATAATCGTATGCTCACTTGTATGAGTCATATAATTCTAATAAAGTCAAGTGTTAATGTATAGATAGAGAATGTGTAAATAAAATAATTTATCGTTGTAATTTATTTTAATTACTAAAAAAGTTCTCTGATATTAGTACATATATATTGTTAACGAAAACAAAAACAAAATTTTAAATCTCTAAAATAAAAATGCTCTTGTTGCCTAGAATACAAAAGTTTTAGTTAGTATCTGAAATATATTTCAGATAACGAATGAAATGTGAAAACAATATGAATGTTCGATGAAATACCCCATGTATCTGGTGCATTTATAACAAGTTTTATTATTTATTGATTGAACTAATGTCATATAAAGAGAAAAAGATCGATGACATAATATAATAGTGGTCTCGATTAATTTTATACTATTCAGTGAAAGTTTTAGCTTGTTTCTTACACAAAAAGAAGAATACGATAAAATGTTTTTCAGTGACTAGATAACATAGAAGAGCAGAGTTTTCAAAATGAGTTTTTGTCATCAAATTATAAAATAGAAAAGTGATCAACAGATCCATATAATCTCATGATCTTCGCGCTCGCGCTGATGTGTTTACATCTAGAAAAAAGGATGATTGAAATGAGAAAATAAAAGATCATCGCAGTATTAACCTTCACTCTTAGCTTGATTTTGCTCTTCTAATGTTAAATTTTCTTCATCATGATGAATTAAAAATGAATCATGTTCACAATAGGAAATAATTGTATCGCCATGATCATTAAGAAGATTTCGTAAAATTTTATCTTGAACTCGACTGGCATCATATTTGTCCATAGGATCATAATCCATATCGAAATCAAATTGATAAAGTTGAGCAAGTTCATCATACGTGAAATGACGAGCAAGTTGTTTAGCATCAACTACACCTTGAGCGACAAAAGACAAATTATAGAAGAATACAAATAAAAGTCAACGAACGATGAAACATAGCTTGTTTGGTTATTTGTCGTTTATAGATTTTTTCTTCCATCGTACCTTTGACAATGAGACCTAATTAAGTTAAGATCGCAATGAATTGTTTATATTTTGTTTAATTTCTATCGAACATTAAATGGAAAACTCACGATAGATATAGACAGGCTTCGTTTGACCAAGTCGATATGAACGAAACATCGCTTGAAGATCGTGAGCTGAGAATAAAGATGAGCAGAGAAATTTAAATATATTTTTCTTTTTAACTTCTCAAAAATGAACCTGGATTCCAACTAGTATCCAAAATAATCACACGATTAGCAGAAAAAAGATTTATTCCTAAACCACCAGCAACTGTTGAGATTAAAAATAGACGACTACGCGTATTTTTAATATCATTGAATAATTCAATATCAGCTGCTCTTTGTTTCATTTGAACTTTACCTAAAGATTAAAATAGTATTTTTGTTTTTCTTAAAGAAATCGATTGATTAATCTGACCATCTATTCGAAAATAATCAACACCTTTCATCCATTTGGATGAAAAAGATTGTGCACTCCAATAAGCAAGACATTGTTCAAGATAATTCAGAGCAATTAAACTTCGAGTAAAAACAAGTAACTTGTCACCAATCGATTCACATTCATCCAAAATTGCTTTGAATATTAGAAACTTTCCCGATAATTCAAACTACAAGTATTAATAATAAAAATAAAGATTTAGCTATTCTTTCTTTCTATCATGTTTAATATACATCAAACTTTGAATTGTTCAAATCAACTATGTTGAACCACCATTGTTGTTTCATAAAATTAGATAAATTTTCTTCAGAAGATTCATTTATTATATTTATGGTTGGTAATGATAATATATTTTGTGTAACTAATGCTTTGTTTGTTTTACTATTTGCATCATTTGAATCATTTGAATCATCTTCAAATATGTTTTCTATCTCTTGTTCGTTTGAATTATGAAACATTTTATTGTAATATTCTATACAATATGGTCGAAGAAGCCAAGGATGCTAGAATTGAAAAATAAATAAATAAATACTTTATAGAAAATAATCGTAACATACTGTCCAGATCTTCATTAAATATTGATAATCACTAAATAATTTAGTCATATCTATTAACAAAAATAAAAAACGAATAAAATTTATATTAATTTAATAGAACATTTACTAAGATTAGTATTTATCGCATTTGAGTTTTGAAGCATAAGATATGTTTCATAAAGTTTCCGCTGCATCGGCCGACATTTGATCTTAATTGCTTAAATATAATAAATAAGTATTTTAATTGAAAGTCAAATAAAGCAATATGTTCTATACTATATTCAAACTTTGGTGGTAAAAACAAACGTAACACCTCAAAACCTCGTCGATGTATAATAGTTTGTAAACGTTGTCTGAGTGCATAGATACGACGACGCATTAATGCAACATCCTTTGGTGAACTATCTCGATGTTGACCTGCTTCAATCGGTGTACGAAATTGGTAAGAAAACTCATAGTCAGTACCTAAAATAGATTTTTTTTTAAATTGAATCGATCCTTTTTCGTTATATAATAAAACTAACCAAGAAAATTTGGTTTACAAAAGTTAACCATAGAAAAATATTCTTTCAAATTATTTTGCATTGGTGTACCTGTCAGTACAATACGACGACGTGTACGTATCCTATGTAATGTGCAAGCTATTGCACTTCTTGGATTTTTACTATAATGAAATAATGAAATAATTCAGAAAACATTTATCATAAAACTTACAGAATATGTCCTTCATCACAGATGACTAGATCGGGACCTGGATTGCGTAGATATTTACCTTAAAGAAAATTAAAAGTAATTAATACAACATAGATAATAATAGAATACGATATTTTTCAATATTTGCTTGTTCAATCAGTGATGGCATTCGCTTATTCATATTGAAACGATTTCTATTTCTACAAAGTTCTTTAGGATTATCCTCAATTGTATATGTTAATTGACGATACATTTCATAGCCCATCAATAAAATTCCACCATTTTCATACCACTAAAGAAAGTTATTAAATCGATTTAATAAATAGTAGATAAAGATAAATACTAACGCAACGAAGAAAATCATCTCGCTTTTCTGGTCGTATCTCATCATTATTGAATACATATGCATTAATAGTTGGTTCAAGATCTTTTAGCCAATTATGAAATTCATTTTTCCAACTGAAATAAAATTTAGAAAATGATTTATGCAACTTCTCATTGTTGTTTGACGAAACAAAATTGAATTAACGATAGTTTTCAAAAGAAAAAAATAATAATCATACTTGATAGCAGTGCTAATTGGACATAAAATTAGTACTCGATGAATATTTGTCAATTTAGAATATCGGATGAGTGTATGAAGAAATGCAATTGTAGTAAAGGTTTTTCCTAATCCCATACAATGAGCTAATATTGCACCCGAACCACCTAGATCAAGATGAGATTGCTCGTCAATACTAGCAGCAATTCGAGTTGTTGATTCAAAAACTTGATTCCATAAAAATTTCACACCATCAACTAAAAAGAAAATAATGAAAAGAAATTCTGAAATAATCAATTTTTTTCTTACTTTGATGAGGTTTCATATTGATTACGAGTAATAGAGAAACTTCTATGATAATATCATTTGTGTAGTGATTGGTCTCAAGCACTAATTCAAATTCGATATCTTGGTCTTGATTATAAGCATCAATCAAAGCACCATTGTATATTTGTTGTTTTCTGATACGTTCAATACGAGCAAGCTCTTCTCGATTGCATTGCAATTTTAAACGTTCATCAAGTTCAAATTGCTCTCTTACTACTTTCTTAGATTTATTATCCCAATATTCGTTTAGAATTTTTTCTAAGCGAACGATAATAAATGAGATGTACGTATATATTTAGGTATATAGAAAAATATTTATACCTTGAGATGTTTTTTTATGAGATTTTTTGTGAAAACTATTTGTTTCAACACAATTAGACGAATTTTCATCATCTACCTTCGCCTTTTTGGCAATAGGCTCCAATGGAATACATAGGCCATTAGCAATATTGCACGTCAAGAGATTTGTTATAGGCGGCCATGATCGTTTCGTTAATGTATTGCTATTTAATGGATTCGATTGATTAGATGAATAAGGTATGATTGATCTAAATTTAATTCCTTAATTCGATGATGGATTCAAATAACAGATTACACTGTGGTTTAATTTAGTTTCGCCAACAAATGAGAAATCAGGTAATAGAGAACAGTAAGAATTATTATTAGATGACTTCAATTTAATCTACGAATATAACTAATCGCTACAGCTTCCATGTATTTCAAAAAATAATATTAAACAAGAACGACTAGATTTAGTAGCAGACTGAAAAACAAGGGGAGAATAGAGGACTTCGCGATTACAAAAATTCAAATTAGTGAAAACGATGCTAAAAACTGAAGAGATAGTTCGAATAGCTCGACATACTGTTTTAGTAGCTCTCGTTTTAGTCTCTTTTATTTTGTACATTTTTACTTCAGATTTCTATAATTAAATCGAATAGATAAGAAAACGAAAAAAAATTTCACGTTATTTTGGCTTCTTTTTCGTGTTGGTTGATCAACTTATTGTTTTATTCGAAACTATCATCTCTAATTGAAATTAATCCTTTCAAGGCGTCTTACTGATGTATTTTTAATCGTTTGAATCATGAATAAGAAAATATGAACAGTGATACAAAACTACAGTGACCGATTATTTTCTAAAACAAACGAAACATTCATCATGTTATTATTCAATAAGCTAATTTTTGACTTGTCGACTGAGCCAGAAAATTATGTTTTATCGATGAAACGGGAGAATATCTTTTATTCAATTCAACAAAACAACAGTTTATCTAGTTAAAAATTAATTTTAGTCTCAATATAACACACAATATATTCGTTGTATATCACTTCATATACATATACGTTTGTTTATCCTCAAATCAAAAATGATTCTTTTACTTCTATAAGAAAATCGTTTTTTTTATAAAAACAAAGTTTAATCGAAAGAGTATAACTACAATGTGTATATGTATCAAGACTGAGTTAAAAATCAATACGAAGGCAATATTTCTAGAGTTTTAGATATTATTGCATATTCTTTTTTCGAAGATATATGCTTTTAAAGTACTTATTTTTCGCTCCCGTTGAATCCACATGTGTGTTTAATTGCAATTAAGAAACACTTACGGATAAGCCAGTTGATTTGTTCTACATATCATTCGATCAAACGGTGCCATTTCCATTGGATTTATTGAGAGCGTTCCTTGATCGAGAAGTAGATTCTTATTGTAGCTAACTTCGTTCATCTATTACATATAAAATATCAATGTTTTCATGAAGAGCTAAAAATATAACCTGTGACTATTGTAACTTCGCAATAAGCTTTATCTTGTTTATCATAAATTTTTAAGGATCTGCCAATTTTTATAAAACACGATTTGAAAATAGTATTGAAGTAAATCAGGTAGAAATTTTCACTTATTCCCCAGTGCTCCGCAGACTATGACAGACATTTTACTGAGTTAATTCACTTATGATATGTTATGAATATTAAATTAATTGAATAGGTTTTAATTAATTAATCGTAAATCACAGAGCATGAAAGACAGAATTCGGAGCTTGTCGGTCAAGGTTTGTGATGGGACCAGAACTATCTGAAGACGTGACAGACTTTTTGAAACGTGATTAACTATATACGTATGCATATCAGTACAATCTCATGAAAATATATTAGCTGTTTCATTGTTATAATTCTACGAATTTAAACAAGAAGTGATGAAAAAATGACTTCCAAGATGTATAGAAGAAAACAATATTCCTGTAACTACTGACATGAGCTTTATTGTATTTCACATTTTAGTTCCACAAGGATTGCACTAATCGTTTTTACGTATGGATTAATAATCATGAAAGAATATTGAAGGGCGCTGCATGACTCATGAACGAGATCTCTCAGGCTGCTTTTAGGCTTTCGAGTTCATCGATCTATACTCGACTTTCAGCATAGAGCAATTTGTCACAGCCGAAACCGACACAATATGCTCTCGAAGAAACAATAGAAAATGACTTGCTTACCGTATCTGAGGTCAACTACTAGCTATGGTTAATCACGAGAAAATGTCCTCATGATTGTAATTTAGAGCAAGTTTTGTTTGTACGAAGGTGACGTTAGAAAACCAAGTATATGAATTCAATTGGAGAGTATGAGAAAAATATCTGCTCCTTTTGTAACATGAAACATTAATGAGTTTTCCAGTCTAGTTGAAAACGAAATATTAAAATTATGTTGGTAAATTCCAAAATAAATGGCGTGCATATCGATCGGAAGAAAAGAAAGCGAAAGAAAAAATACAGTAGACTCGGCTTTTTCCTGCACATGCTTTGACTACCTTTGATCAAATCGTGAATCATCGTATTCGTATTAGTCATAGGTAAACACTCACAACTCATGACTTTAAATCTGCTCAAGCGTTTATATTAAACCATGTTAATATGAAAGTTATCGGTTCTTTCGATATTTCAAGATATTCTTTTTGTCTGGTGATAATTTCAAAACAAATGATTCATAGAGTATTTTGTAAAGCGTTTCGAAAATCAATAAGAACTAGTAAAGAAAAACTCATGGGTGTCGCCCTCAGGAAGACTTTCAAACGTAAGCATCCTCCATTTCGGAAAATTTTCATTTTGTTTTCTTTGTTAAAATGAAAAATGTAAATATAACACTTACACAAGTCGCTTTGCCCTATTTTTGTAAGAAGTTCTTTTTTATGTCGACACAAAGAAGACTTATATGCATAGTTAGTATTATTTACGTGAAAAAAAATCCTTTTATTTCATGTAACTGAATTTGATTAATTTTGACATGTGACAAAAACTTAATTTCAATCATCATTCCCGAGAATCTTTTTCTGGTTCCTATTAAAAAGGTGTCATATCTAAATTATGCACTGCACGTCGAGATAGAATTATAATTCAAAAACCTGAGCAGAACAATTCAAGGCGATTTTTAGTCGAAAAAGCTACAGTTAAATCGCTGAGTTTTGTTAGGTTTTGATCTTAAAACTAAGCTAATCGAATATCGAAAGCTATTTTGTTTGCACTGTTCCATTTTGAAAATTAGCATCATTGTTGACGAAGTCAACAATATAAATGACATTTCATTTTCAGTTAAATTAAAAATTTGACTTTTCTTCTGTAGAGATGAATAAGGTTTTCTACTTTTGGTTGCCATCCTCAAAGAAACGATGCGTAAATGAATAAACTAAACAGATACATCTATGAAATCAATATGGAACATGTTTCTTATATGCCATTTAGTCCTCATAAAATGATATCGTATGTATACACTCATTCATCTTATATAGATGATAGCGTTTGTTTCCCTCTGTTGGCAACCAATGAACTGATAACTAGTTCATATGGTTATCATGTCAGATGTAGTTAGATTAAATCGATTCACTATTCAACTAGAGTAAATTAAAATAAAATTCTATATCTAGAATGAAGCATGTTTGATTCTGTATTTTTCGGATACTAATTTATTCGACGAACATGGACTGATTCAATCACGTTTATTTCTTTTGTACCTGTATCGCATGAGTAAAATATGGATTGTTGTAATAACACCAACATTTGGCAATTGCAGCGTGCAAATAAATGCGGAAACATCGGATTTGCATCCGATTGTTATGTGTACTTCAAAAAGCAAAAATGTACATCCATTTTTTTCTGTTCCTATTTCGTCGTAAATGTTTTATATCATGCACAGCAAAACTAGAAAGAGNTCAGCCATTTCTTCACAGATTGCTTTCATCTTCGAACTCGACTGAGATATTGATGAGATCATTCTGTGTACAAAATTTCATAACAATTGGATGAGGCTTTCAAAAGTTATCGTGTTAACGGACGGCCGGACACACTGACCGAATCTAGAGTGTACTCATTTTTTTGGAGTACACAAAAAGAAAAGACAAATAAAATTTACATGTCATTTTTTTCTCTTTCTATTTCTTTTGCCTTGCGAAATTACTCAAGAAGTTTCACAACATGTGCTATTTCATGTAGGCATGTCTCATATATATATATATATATATATTGTATAAGTTGAAAAGCATACATCTTTAATTATAATAACAGCAACAAATGGCTCAAGCAGCTGGCTCAAATACAAATGATCAATTATTGAAACTTGATCGTGTTGGAGTTAAAATTGATAGTAGAACAAAATCACAACGTTTCTCATGTCAAAATCCTGAGACACTCGCTGCTGGATTACGTCACCTTGACGAACATGGATACACAATTATATCAGACGTATTAAGCGAAAGTGAAATCGACAATGCGAAGAATCTCATATGGCAACATTTAGAAGGACTTAAGTCACCGTATAAGATAAAGCGTGGACAAATTCATACATGGAATATATGGCCAGGTAGACATGAAGCTGGAATAATTGAAGATTTTGGAATTGGTAACTCTCAAGCTCAATGGTTCATTCGTTCTATACCTGCAATAAAAGATGTTTTTGCTGAAATCTGGCATACTCGAGATTTATTGTCTTCTATGGATGGTATTGGTATCTTTAGACCTTGGCAGTTGAATCCACAAATTCAACGTAAGAATAGCAATACTAAACTCTCAGTTGATCGCTTTTCTTTTCAATAGAAGATAAATTTTATTAAAATTTTCTTTGTTGCTACTTGTAGAAAGAGACATAACAAATAACGCAAATCCATGGAAAACCACTGGAGCTAATTGGCATGTCGATCAAAGCCCAGTTCAAAAACCAAATCGAGTTTGTGTTCAAGGTATTATTAATCTATTACCTGCTGATGAAACAACCGGTGGACTAATGGTAATACCTGGTTCACACAATCGATTTCATGAATTACTTTCCATTTGGACCAAATCAAAAAATAACTCGAAGATTCCTGTATATCACGAAATATTACAAGAAGGATACGGTTTATTAATTCATGCTCAACCAGGTGATCTATTGTTATGGGATTCTCGTACTGTTCATTGTAACACTCCGGCATTTACCACACCACCTCCACTAAATAATGGCGAAATACCTCGTTTGTTACGAATGGTTAGTTATATTTGTATGACACCATTGACGTTCGCTGAAAATCCACAGGAATTAATTGATCGTCGACTGAATGCATTTCTTTATCGATTAACAACGTCACATTGGCCGCACGAGTTTCAAACAATGGGTGGGGAGATTTCAAGAGGTGAAAATAATATTCAACTGACAGATTATCAAAGAAATCTCATTTTAGGAACTGATCAATAAAATATGTGTAGTGTATTTTATGAGAATCATGTATGCTAGTTTTCTAACAGAATACTCGATATACTGAATTGTATAATTGTGACAAATGTAAAATTATCCTTACATTATAGGTAGAAGATAATTTTCTAGTGTTCTCTAAAATGATTTCACGTATAAAATCCATTATATTTTATATGAGAAAAATTAGTCAATGAACACATCAATTGAAAACTACTGAAACAAATATCTAACTAGTATCGATATAGATACTATATATTGATATATTATTGCCAATTATTATGTGTTTTCAAATGAATGCAATTAACAATTGTTAAAATCAAATAATGAAATTTATTCATAAGTTGAATTATATCTGCTTGCACTTTTCTAGATAAAATAAATGAGAAAACACCGGATTCGCATCCGATTGTTACGTGTACTGCAAAAACCGAGTCGATTTATATATGTTGTGAATAATTCTGCGAAAAAATCCCTGTACCCCCCTCAGGGATGGTCTGGTCAATAATGGCAATTTTTTCAATAGCTCAGCCATTTCTTGGCGGATCCTTCTCATCTTCGAACTTGACTGAGATATTGATGAGATCATTCTGTATACAAAATTTCAATATAATTGGATGAGGCTTTCGAGAGTTATCGTGTTAACAGCCGGACACACTGGCCGAATCTAGTGCACTCATTTTTTGAGTACACAAAAACAACATTCATGAAAAGTAGAGATTGTTAGATTTAAATTTTTTTCTTCTGCATAGTTTCTTCTTGTAGATGGCACTATTTTAGCATTTGTAAAAGATATAAATTTTTTTTTCAAAAGCAAAAACCTAGATATCGTTTTAATCCAACAAATCTGATTGTTTGATTAACGATTCAAAAAACGCTTTATCAAATCATCAAAATATTATTATGTTAATGATTACTTCTCTATCTAAAAGGTAATGACGATCAATCGTGTTCATCGCTTTTTCTTTTAAAACAATGATTATTTTGTTTTCCATGAAACTTGCAAACATGGGCAACATAGGCCTCTCTAGAACTGCTGTAAAGTAACAGAAAGCCATGAAGATTCTTCAATTGTACAGCCAACCCTAGAGAATGGAATATTTCGAATTTCTTCTATACGCTACAGTTCGTCTACGTTTCTCTCATTGATCTTATCAAATCAAATTCTATCCCAGAAAAGTTTAGCTACCCTAGTTAGAAAATGACTTCTCAGTTTTAGTGAATGGTCAGAATAATATAACTTAATATAATGTTGTTGTAGACTTGCTTCTGATCATTCTTCGAACTTCAACTTCTATTCGTTCACAAAATGTTGTGTATGAGTTTGAATTCACTTGAACATTTTTTAAAAAGATTACATTTTGTTTTTGAGCAATTACTCATGTTTTCTTGGCGGCAGTATCAAATATCACTTATATTTCTAGTTGTAGCCACGTCTCTAAAGAAGATAATACATCTACAGCGGCGAAAGACCACATCTTCCGAATGCGAATATCGCGTTTCTAGCGGCGAATACAACATTCAATAGAAGACATGTGACACTATTCTTTCTTAGAAAGGAAGAACAAACTCTGATATAAATTTTACATGATTGTTATTATGACTAGTAGTCATCGACTAATGATTGATTGTGTTCAATTGAACTGGTTTATTATCACAGAAGTTCTTGAATTAATCATACACATTCTTTGATATATTAGCTAAGTTGAAGTTCTCTGACATACTTTATAAAATCATTTTGGATAAAAGTGATTTTATTTGTCAATATGAAACGAACAAGAAACATAACAACTAATTGGTTATTGCTGTTTAAGCAAGACTATGCACACTTGAAAGACAATAAAATCTGTAAAAGATGCATGATTTGTTTGAATACTGACAGAAAAATGATTCCATCCACTTGCACTCTGTCTTATTGGTTGAACATTCACATTTCTCTATTTGTCCACAGTTAGTAGCATATGGCATTATATGTGGATTCGAAAACGAAATGGTAATGACAGGAGAAAAACAAGCTTTGCAACATCCGCCATTAAAGTTCTTGTTCCGTGCCCATGCAATCATTTCGCATCCTTCGTGTAAAAAGAAAAATTCAAGTGCAATAGCGATAGCACTATCAATCCACCATCCACCAAGCCATAGCTTGTAGACTAAACTTCCAATGAAAAGAACGATGGTAAGACAAATACATGCTAGATAACAAGCTGCTTCGTCACGCGTCAGAGAGCTATTGAGTTCAGCAGCTATCCATGATTTAGGTAACCAGACAAATATCATCAAGAAAAGTGAAGCAGCTGAAACGATTAGAGAAGGTTTCGAAGAATTAGGTTCTACACGTGTAACAAGAGCCATAATGGAGGCGACCCGAGTTCCTAAAGCAAGAATCATCAAGAGAATGCCTATTCCAAGATTAGCTCGTTTCTCAAGAGCTGAATTGATAGATGAATTGTTTTGAATTTCACGACGAAAGCGGTAGACAGCCAACGCAGCTGAGAGCATTTCTACCAATGACTGAATACTGAAGACAATAAGCGCTCTTGCCATCACATCTGCACCAAGTCCAATTGATACGTTCCCTTCAATAGCATTGTAAATTATACTAATCCACGAGATAGTCAGCGGAAAAACACGCATCCGAGTCTTTTCATACTTCTCTTTTGGAAATAAACACTCTGGAAAATTGAACAGCATGTTATGGCAAAGAAAGAAAGAAGAGCATGTGATAATTGTTTTTGACTTGCGCGTGGATTCCCATCGGGAGATAAAGAAAATGACTATCTGTTATAACAAGAAAGAAAGTTTCGGCATATCTCTCTATTGACGAGCGATACACGTATTCATTCAAATAAGTGTAGCGCGAAACTGTATTCTTGCACGTGTGAACATGAAAGGGAGAAAATATGCGATTGCGAAAATGTTTTTTTTATCGAACTCAAACAAAAAGTTTGAATCTAAAATTATAACCATATATCAATATGGAACACAATAATGATGCTTGTTTAGCCTAAAACAAAACGTATATTAGTCAAGTTTTACTCAAACTATTTTAATAAACTTGTTTCTATTTTACGGACAAATACGCTGTTTTTGTCAAGGCTTGTTTGATTGGATTCTAGTGAGAATGTGATCAACAATTTTTTCTCATATTCCCAAATACTAATGAGTGGCTATGCCATCGTTCACTATTTATGTTGATGACTTGTATAACAAAACAATTTTATTGTACAACGGTCTCTTACATACGTCCACTCATGCTTTTCTCTACATCGCGTCTGACCGATTGACTTTCTTGTTTGTATATAGAATGTTCTTTTTTATTCAACAAAGCAATCAACGAAATATCTATTGGAAACGAAGGAAGATACAATCATGAATCTTGTACTTGGTTTATGACAATATATTGCACGTATATAAGATACGTATTTAGTAATTGATATCGCTTTGTATTGGTTGACTGTAGCTCAACCTATTGACAATAGTGTGACTAGAACGTAGTCAAGCGATAATAGTCTTACAAAAACCTAAATGGCATATAATTTTTAAGTATTCTTTTTAGAAACAAATTAAAATAAATTTTCGTTGAAAGTATTTTAATTGTAATGTTAATTCTCTAGATTGGTTTTTTAAAAACAAGCTGTTGACTTTCTGTTCATTGATACTACTGTTCCTTTTTATTGTTCACATATACCATGATATAATTATGTACAAATAAATGTTCACGAAGACGAAACGAAAAGGAAAAAACTGTTAACTATGTAGTCGCTTCATAATAGTTTTAATTAGCAGACATATTAATGAATTTGCAATATTTCCATAATTCAATGGAACTTACTCATGCTATAAAATATATTGAACATGAAATTGATTCTTTTGTTGTACCGAATAACCACATTATCGGATTGCGTTCAAGAAAATATCGACTGATATCAACTAGACATACACAATAAAATTATAGCTTTGCGCTTTGATTGATTGGAATGGTAAGATAAGCGAATTTAAAAGACAAATATTCCGAAACTATGATTTTTCTACTTAACATGAGCTTATTTTATTATTTATTCACCAAAGATAGAGCAAATAATATTTGTATAAGTCGATTAAATATATTAGAGGAAAAATACTATAACTAATTACCGCTTGCTTTATACGAATACAAGCTAAAGTGTATTTCTCAGTATTGATTTGTTGCATATTAGAGTTAAAGAAAAAATGCTCACGCTCATGAGTGTGAGTTGTACACCCCTAGTGAATCTATGATTTTATACTATATATACTTACGGCAGTCTATCTCAATATCCTGGTTTTCCGTCAGGATGTCCGTCATATTTCGAACAGTGCCGGGCTGGATGTTCAAATCCACCATGTGACCCCATTTTTTTAATCTGCTTACTAGTCTGGACTGGGTCAACAGACAAAACGGACTAGACATCGCTGTGAAAAGAATTCGCAGAATAATAAACGGAAAAAAAACGTTTTTGATAGGGTGTTAAACGAAAAAAAGAGTTTATGAATGTGCAACGGGACACAAACCCTTTCTTCCGTATATGACGAAGACAATAAACGATTTTTCGGTTGATGATGTGGAAAATGGTTTATCATGTATTTCAAAAACGGAAAAAAGGTTTGTGCCCCGTTGCAAATTCATAACTCCTTATTTGTTGCAGTGATGACTGGGCTGATGGACATTTCAGACTAGTTCAGACGTGTTTGTAAGACATTCCTCCTTAAGCTGACTAGACAAGACAAGTATGCAAGACGTTTCCGACTAGACTTGACGGATGCTGTGAACATTTCAGACTAGTCATGTCTACAGTCTTTCTTCATTTTTTGCTTACTTGGGACTCAGGTGGTGGCGGTGCAGCACGAACCGGCTGGAATACCACTTCCACTTTTAAACAATTTTCCGTGGTTTTCTGGGGAACATGGCCATTTTTCTCATCTTTCCAACCGGTTCCGACAGTATCCGGTGGCCAAAAGGATTGACCTGGGTATTCATGAAAATTCAAATTAGCATTCTTCGCTAAAACGTTGTTTGAGATTTATACAAAATAGATTGATATTTATGCCTTGGCTCTATATCGACCATGAAATGTTTTCAACTGGCAAATATATTTAGGGTTCGGTTCGGATTGTATTCATCAGATAAGCCTCAGTGAGATTTGAAAAAATCCAAAAGAATGACGTCCCAGAGACATTAAAATCCCAGAAAAGCAGAAGATTCTAGCACGCTTTAAACCATATGCGTATTTTTTGGAACTATATTATCTGAATGGGGAAAATCTCAGAATAAAACGTCATCATTCAACTTGCTGATGTATACCATGTTTGAGACTGAAATCCCAATAACATGATTATAGTTCTGGACAGAAGATCAAGCGAGACTGATTCTTTTGAGGTTTTTCAGATCTCACTGAAGTCTACCTAATGTATACAGCCCGAACCCAAAAGCAATTTGGCAGTTGAAAACGTTCCTTCGTCGGACCAGACTTGCACATTATCGTCTGCACGAGTACAATTATAAATGAAAAAAATCTTAGCTCACTGCAACGTATATTGATTGGTATGGTTACTTTTTTCCTGGTAAGATGACCCTTACAGTTGTAATAGTTCTATATCCCCTCAGGAGCAAGCCAGAAAAGCACCCATGTAATAAAAACCGCATAAAAATCGGCGGTTAACCGCCGATTTTACCGATCCAGTTACCGGCTCTCATATCAGTGTAATTTACCGCAGGTAGGATAAATAGCGCGGTTTACCGCAAAAAGATGAATCGGTATTCGCAACATGAGCAGATTGCTTTTTATCATAGATACAGCCCACTGGGGGCTATTTATACATGTTTATGGTACTCCGACTGAAAAGTGTTCCCACACTTGAGAAAGTTATCACGTTTGTATTTTCTTTGACGTGATGTCTTCGGAAAACTTCGTAGTAGTATCTCTTTTGACTCAATTAATACTTATTGGTTGGTTACAAACAAATATAATGTAGTTTGATAAATTTCTGTCGTATGATCGTTTCTTACAATACAAGAACGACTGCTCAATATGTTAGATAGTCATTAACATTTTTTATTTTTTATGAATTCGCGAAAGAGATTTTTACAGTGAGTCAATTTTTCAATGTCTTATTTTGTTGTGTCAATCTTTTAACTATTCATATTCATATTGAATGACATGAATAACAAGATTGCCAACCAAAATCGAATGATAGGAAAAAATAGAATTAGTAAAATTTATTGGTTCTCTATCAATAATGAATATGTACGAAGATATTTGTATTATCAGGGGTTACATTTTTTCAACTTGTTCAATCATCAAGTTATTTATCATGATACGTTTATAATAAATAAAAAGAAAGGTTTTATACATAGAATTCATTTCAATGAAGTATTGGTGTTTGAAAAGATACAGAAAAAAAACATAAACTAATCAAAGAGTTATTTGATTTAGATCAATAAAATTTAAGAAGATTATTAGTAAAAATATCTTTGTTTTCTGTTTCATGCGAATGGTAATTTTTCGATATAATGTCAATTAGATATTTGATATTTTCTTTCACAATTATGACACTGCAGAAGAGAAAGGAAAATCGTTTATTACTTTTCAATAGCAAAATCAAAGTTATAAAAGCCTCTTTTTCTGTAAAAAGAATGCTTCAAATTATTTCCAATTTTGATGCAGCTGCTTGATCAAGATACCAAACAAGATTTTCTACTTGACCAATAGGATATGTTCGATTTTTATCTTGTAGAACTTCTTTGACAATAGTTGATTTATTTTCACCGGCGACAACAGCAATTTTATATTTTGCTTGATTAATTGTATTCAATGTTAATGTAATGCGTTCAGGTGGAGGTTTCGGTGAATCTTTTACAAATGTTACTAATCCTTTATTTATATTGAGAGCCGAATGATTAGGAAATAGACTTGCTGTATGGCCATCAGGACCCATACCAAGAAGAAGTATATCAAATGACTAGAAATTAAAAATAAATTATGATTTTAGAAAATGAAAAAGTCGTGATTAACTTTATCTGGTCCAATAAATAATTCTTCCAATTTGTTTTGATAATCTTGTGCACATTCTTCAACAGTTGTCAATGTTGAATCAATTTTAATAATATTTTTTTCACTAATTGGTAATTGTCGAAATAATTTTAATTGATAACTTCCATAATTGGAATCATCTGATGTACACGGAACAAATCTTTCGTCAACAAAAAAAAATCGAATACGAGACCAAGGCAATTGAAGATGAGGAACAATTGATGCTAACATATCGATCAAAGATCCACCAGATAAGCCAATTGTTATTATTTCTTTGGTATTCATTATTTGTAATATAATTTCTTCAAGATGATAACCAACCTTCTCTGATATTAATTTATTATTATCAAGAATATTTATATTTGATGATGACATTTTTTTCTTTTCAAAAATCTATAATTTTTCTTTAAAAAAAAGAAGCAATGTTTAGAAAATAAGATTATAACCGTAAAAGAAACGAAATAAATACATTGATTTGTATTCATTAATCTAGAAATGAAGATATTTTATTTTATTTTATTTTATTTAAGAAAATCTTCTATTTTATCGATGTCAAACTTTTGTAAGATGAAATATAGCTATGAGTTCAGACCAATTAATTTAACCATTTCATTTATTAAGTTTTCTAAAGTTTGTTAACATGATAATTATTTTTTCATAATTTTTCATTTAATCAAATTATTTTTACAGCGTCCCTTGTAATGCAATGCTTCCTCTTATTTTTTCGTCTGAACATTTAAAATTAAAATGTCTGATTCTGGATTATTCTGTGCTATAAAAATCTTGACATATATATTTTCCACTGATTGAGTGCAATCTGAGAAATAATCTTTGGTGATAAAAATTGAAACTTCTAATATGATATTAGACTAGCTACATTTCAATTGTTTGAAAACATAACGTATGGCTAAGATTAACCAAGATTTATAACTAAAGTCTAGTAAAATTCAAACAAATTCTGTAGATTTAGTTCATCAAATTCGAAGACTTAGAATATTTATCGGTATGAATGCAATTTATTTATTGGGCAAATCAAATCGACAACAAACAATAACTATATTGAATAATGCTCAATGCATTGATAACGAAGCTGTTGGAATTCATATAACTAATATTACTGATATAACTAGCAATGATGGTTAACAACACTGAAGCATTGACATTATTTTGACGATCACTCGTGTTTTGCATTTGCAATAAATATCAAAAGAACATTTTTTTAAAATAAACATTGAAAGAGTTGACGGCTCGTCGAATATTTCGAATTCAATTTCAAACAAAGAACAATACATTTTAAAATTTTATTTCGAAAAGATTTGTATAACCCATACCGATAAAAGATGAAAATTTTTTTTATTATAATCTTTTTTCAACCAAAAACTTAGCCAATAAAATCATTTCAAATAAATCAATTATGAATATTTTCAAAAAGAATCGTTCTTAATTTTTGGTAACAATCTAATCTTACTTTTCCATAATTAGCATAATCAAAATCAATTTGTGATAAACGTGATTGAACTAATGCCCAAAGTCCCCACATTAAATGCGAAAGTGCTGCAAATCGATTAATACGATGACATAGATCATCAATATCTATTGGTTGATTCATTGGACGATTGTGAAAATAAATATTTAACCATCGTTTTTGTTCATCAAGTGTTGGATATAAATCAAAATTAGCATCATCAACACCAGCATATTCAACAAAATGATTTGCAATATCAAATAAATAATAATTTAAATGTGTATATTCAAAATCAATAAATGATATTTTTTCATTTTTTTCATCATAAATTATATTTTTCACAAGTAAATCATTATGACAATAAACAAGATCTTTACCTAATTCTGCATTTGGAACAATGTCGGTAAGAATATGTTGTTCAATAATATCGATGTCCGATATTATCGATGAAATTTCTTCAAGAAAAATAATTCAATTATTTCTTTTTATTATAAACAGAAAAAAACCTTTCTTTGATTGTTCATTTTCACTGATTAATTGAATAAATTTTCTTAAAAGTAAAATAATATGAGGTGTTTCATATTTTTCTATGGGTACGGAATGCATTTGCGCAAGTTTAATAGCAATCAATTTGGAAATATTTTCTTTTCTTACGTCATCCCTTGAACATGGTTTACCATTGGTAAAGTCATATACAATGCCATTATTGAATTTTATAAGAATATGTTGCGATAAAACACCACATTCAGATAATTTAATCATGGCATCGATTTCTTCTGAACGATCAATAAATAATTCTGTTTTTGAACCAAATATTTTTATAATTACTCCTTTCGATTCATTATCAGATGTTCTACTATCAAAAAGTCCTAAAATTGCATTTGTTATACCTTCTGTAAATGTTATCAAGCGAGTATTTGACGAATTCCAATCAGGTCTAATTTTAGATATTAATTTAAATATATCATCCGAAATATTCGATAATGATAATGTTATATTTTCAATAATTGGATATGAACACATCTTAAAATAAATACAAGAAAAAGAACATAGAAATTTTAATAAAAGAAAAAAATATGGATGATCAATTTTACTATCGCATTTTTATTTTATAATTTTTATACTTCATCAATGAAGTTTACATTATTTCCTCAACTGAAATAAAACGAGAATGAGACGTTATACAACTGAAACGAGCGAAGATCTGCTGATTGATTACATAGAACGAAAGACACCCTGTATAATGACGACAATTTTCACAAAAGTAGAAAGCTCTGTCATGTTCTGTACTAAGGCAAAGAATAACGCTTTCTTCTACTGAGGTTTTTTCATCAAAACTCATTAGATATTGTTTACTAAATTCAAAATTAGTCTCTCACAACATTTTTATTATCTATAATCTGACTTATTATTGAGAAAGTTTGATTTATTTATTACTAGAATTATTTTAAATTTTTTCTTATTGATTCTTGTGAGTATGGTTGTTTTTAATTAAAATGCCTCGATGAATTAAAATTGATAGAAGATAATTTGAGAAAAAAAAAACGCTAAGATTAATCATTTTGATACATGAATAATAATATTCATTTCCAATTATTTCCAAAAAAAAAAACATTATAATCATTTAATTATCAATTCATTTTATCGTCGACATCACTTTAAACAATCTGTCATAACGATCGGCTTCAGTAATATCGAGCAAAACAAATTGACTAGCAAGGTCTTTCCTATTCAATATATCAGCGATTTCTAGTAAATCATGAATACATGTGGTCCACTGCAGTCTTCAGATATTTCTCAATGCAAAGTATTTTGTGAAACGAAATATTTGGCGATTTTTCATGAAATCCGTTTTGATTAAAATATAATGAACTCTCAGTGTATTGCTAATCTTTTGCAAAACAAAAAGTCTAAAAATGAGCACATATCATGGGACCAATGTTGACAGAATCATATTTAAAAAAGAAAATATGATATTAATATCTTCTATTATTTTTGAACGATATAAATATCCACAATTGAGCTTGAAAAGCATGCGAAGTCTTCTAGTGGGAGAGATGTAACAGTCACTATTGATGCTGTCAGCAAGGAAAAAGAGACAGAAGCGCAGTGGACAAATCAATGATGTTACTGGCACTGGAGTTAACCCCGATCTGTAGCTAATTATACTCTAAACTCGGATTGCGACAGACTAGTTTTTTCTTACAGCAGGTAGTAAATAATAAAAGTGTTTCATCAGACGTTTTGAGTGATTTTTTCGTAAATTTCAACTCATTCTCGAACAAAATCAACAATAAAAGTTTGAACTAGTAATTAACTTTCAATATTTCTTGTTTTCTTTTTAGTTGAAATGTCTTTATGTGAATTTGAATTTTTCTTCAAATCTAAATAATCACAATAATATATTTTAGAAATAAATAATTGAACATTTCAAATCTTTGTTTTAACCTATAAGTGATTATGATAAATTGCACGGCGATAATGTAAGTACTATATTTATTTTTTTGTGTAAGTGTTTCAAATAGATGATAAATAATATTGTTTTTTTCAAAGAAATCTTTAATAGATGGAACACATTATTTTTAATGTTATATCTCAATGAAATCATAGTAACAATTTAATCAGACCTGCACTAACTCTAGCTATCAAAAAATAGATCCTACAACGAAATTTACCACTAGAAGATCTTACACAGACAAAGAATTGAATTATTACTTATTACTATTTCTATCTCTATGATATATTATTGATTGATTGTTTTATTCTCATCTACAATTTTGATCAAAGAATAGAAACATTTCTATGTAAATTTTTTAAATAATTAATTTCTAGAAAACGAAATTAAAAGAAAATAAAAAAGAAAATATTTTGATGAAAATCATCGAGATAACATCAGTGTTTATTGTTATCTCATTTAATTGCAAGAACAAAAATTCTTATAGGTAAAAGTTCTCTAACAACTTTTTTTAATTTTGAACATTGATCTTTAACAACAGTAAAACCAGCTCGATGTGCAATATCATAAAATTGTTCTCCTGTTCTAACATAATACTGATCGTCTGGATCGAATTCTGCTTCTTGTCTGTTTGCAACACAATTATCTTTTATAACAATTAAACCATTTTTTTTTAATGTTAATTTTAATTTACGTAAAAGACCAACAAGATCATCACCATTCAAATATCCTAATACCCCTTAAAGAAAATAGATGCAAAATATTTTTTTAAATAAAATAGATGTTAAAAATTTTACATTGTGCCCATATAAGATCATATTTTGGAAATTTATCTAATTCAAGTTCACCTATTGAACAAGCAAACGATCGATCAATCTTATTTTCATCATTTTCAAATAATGTTCGAGTTTGTTCACAATAATCTTCTAGCAAATCATTTATATCAATACGATCAAAGTAACGGGATAACAAATTTTTTGTTACTCGACCAATTCCACAGCCGAGTTCAAGGCAATGTGCTGAACTTAATTTTCCATTATATTGCTAAAATACATCTTTATGTACGAATCAAAAAGTATTTTCTTATATAAAAATCAAACTTTAAAGAGTGCTTGAAGTAATTGATTAGATTCTTGAATATCTGTATCATGTACTTGTGTATAACCACCCAACATTGTATCAAAAGTTTTTGGACGCGATGAATAATAATTTCGTGTTACACTTTGTCTTTCTTGAGCATCTTCACGTTCACCTTCCATACGTTCATTCATTTCTTAATTTTCTTTCTTGTTAAATATTTATTGTTTCAATAAAAAACAAAATGAAATGCAATGTTTTATATTCATCTACAATATCTATACATTTTATTTCTTTCTTCTTTCTTGTTTCTTAGTAATTTATTCTTAATGGTAGTTTGTAAACCAATGGAAATGATAAAAAACACTGTGAGAGAGGACATGTCTTAACAGACGATAGAAACATGAAAAAAGAAAGAAATCGAACGTTTCTATTAAGTTAAGAATTGAAAATAAATAATGACAAGTACTGGACAATATCCTGAACCATGGAAAAGTACAGCAGCAACATTATTCAATCCATATTTGAATATAAATCAAATGTCAAATCGAAGTCGTCAACAATCTGTTCGTACACGTGTATTAACACCAACTCGACATTCACGAGCGCCACCAGAAAGTCTTGTTGAAACAGGAAATTTAAGAGTAACAACATCAGAATCAAAGAAAAGACCAAGATCAAAACGATTTCCAAGTCAAAATGCAGCAGAGGAAGTTTCAATTTATGTTCAACAAATGATTCATAATCAATTTTGTGGTCGAAGTGGAACACCGAGTGATTTGAGATATGATGATCAAAAAGTTCGACGTAGAATGAGTTCACCAGATAGTAGAATTACAATGCAAAAAAGAATTTCATCAAGCAAACATCAATCACGAGGTGAAATCTTTTTTCTTCGAATCCTTAAAAAGACAGAAATTTCTTTTTTCTTTCGAATCTTTTTTAGTATCTCAATATACATTAGATGATTTTTTCAATACAACTGATGAACAAATGTCACGTATGGCATCAATGATGCCCGGTAGAGAATCAAGTTTTAGTGAAAACTATTCTCTATGGGGAGAAAGGTTGGTTTCATTTTTCGCTTTCTTTTCTTTCTTTTTCAAAAAATGAAATCAATATTTCGAAATAAAAAAAACACTTGTTATAATTAATCTCTAGTCCACAACATAAATCAAACGGTGGCGAGCGCTTAACATTGGCAGATATGTGTCATATAGCTTCGAATGTAGGAGACAAAATGAGTCAGAGTAAAGAAAAGGTATTCATATCAAATAATGTGTGATTAACCTAATACACCGTTTGACTGAATACACTTGATTTAATGTGTTTGTTTTCATTTCATTTTATTTTTAATAAAAATTTTCTATAATTAATTAGGTTGGCCTTGAAGCAATACGCGGCTTTCGTTTACCATCTGCCAGATTAACTTATGAACCGTATGAATATCACGCAATGGACACACCACTTGTATTTGGTCAACATAATGCAACGTAATTTTTATTCATTTCAATAAAAATCAATCAGTCTTTTTTATTTTTGGATTTTTAGTGATCGAATTCGATTAAGTGATATTCTCACTGATGATAATTTTTCAAATGCACCAATGATTGAAATCGTTACCAATGATGTTGTTGATGATAAAGCATCTCGTGCCAGTCGTACTCATTTAAAATCAAGTACAACAACAGTTACGACAAAAATTAATGAATTTAAAGATTGGAGAGGAAAAATTAGTCAAGCAAATTTACCGGAGTATTTTCTTTCGTATCTAAATATTTTGTCAAATGTTATTATTCTCTTTGAAGTGTTCGAAATCGATCAAGAAGACAACATTCAGCATCAATTGTATCTCCACAACGACCTTGCACAGCTGCAAGTAATTTTTCAAAATCGAGACCTGAATCAAGTGGTTTACTTATTAATGATTCTCAAAAAGCAGATATTGTAAAATTATCAATATTGACATTTACTTTGATTTTATATTTAAAAATCTCAAAATAGGAAATTCCATCATCATTATCAGAAAAAATGATTGTTGTACCTGTTGCGTCAGTCTTAAAAAATCCATCAAATAATAAACAACGACAAAGGAATTATCCATTGAATGTTCGTATTGACGAAGCCAATGTTAAACAGGTTCTTGATAAATTAGAAAATTTCATTCATATTTTTATTTTTATTTTCGATAAATAAAATTAAAGACCATAGATTTAAGTGAAACTGGTCGAGCTCAAAGTTATGAAAGCGTTGATAATCTGAGTAAGACAAATAATCAAATAAATTTTCTTGTAAATAAAGCATAAAAATAATTTTTCCAGTTGATCCACCGTGTTTAAGTCTTCCAAGTGAAAATAATGATGATTTATTAAAAACAAGTGAAATGATGCCTAATTCAACGCCAGTTCCAATGATGTCAACAAGTACAACACCGTTTACGATGTATACACAGGAGTTACACGCTCGTGATGATCTCTCACCAGATCCAATGTTAAATAAACGAAATTATAAGTTGATTCAAAGTTCATCTAGACAAATTTATCGAACAATACCGGAACCGAATCGTAATTCACATTCAAATCAAACAAATGAACAATTGACACAGTTAACACTTTCACAATTGGAACTTTTAGAAAATTATGATCCGATGGTTAGTGCAAAGATTGGTATTCCATTTATTCCGGTTCAAATGTTAGCAAGACCACGTGAAGCCTATCAATCAGCTAAACTTTCTATTGATCAAATTCAACGAAGATATCCAAAGTATAATTTTGTTTTCCTTTTTTTTGAACAATTTTTAATTTTGTTAATTTTATATTATAGAAAAAATGGTCAACCTATATTTGAACCTCGTGTACCTCGTTCTTGTCATAGTTTAATTGATATTTCTCAAACACTTCAATTAACAAAATCAAAAAGAATACGTGTCGAAAGACAAACTACATTTGAAAAACCGGAAAATGAATCATCAATTGAAGAAAGTATTCAAATTAAATCATTAGAAAATCCAAATCGCTTGACTATTTCACTTTATTCTCCATCTGAACAACATTTATTTGTTAAACATACAAATTCAATAAGAACATCATCAAAAGCATATCGAAGTCAATTAGATGATATTTCAACTTTCGGAAATTCAGTCGATCAGCAAGCAAATCTTTCTATTCAGTAAGATTTCATTTTTATTTATCTTAAATAGTTTTAGTTTAAGAAACACAAAGAAGAAAAGAAAAATGACTATGACATGATTGGCAGTTATGTCACATAAATGCATTCTCATCATTTTCTAGTTTTGAAAGTTGTATCCATGAACTATCTAATAGTTAATCTCATAACAAAGAAAAATCGATAAGCTAGAAATACAAAATTACTAATAATACAGTTTGATTTGTAGTGTCTCAGTTTTTTCAATGAACACGTTTTCAATATCACATGATTATTGTTATCTTCTTCTTCTTCTTCTTATCATTGATTGTTATGAATCTTCTTAGTTGAATAATCTTAGAATAGAGCTGGAATACATATATGCATATTTTTTCTTTTTGAAACTCAATATAATGTTTTAATGAAAAATTTCGATTAGGATTTTATTTTATATCTAGTCCTATCTATGAAAATCAACTAATCGAGAATAAATATTTTCTTATCACAAGTGAAAAATTGAAAACATTTAATTATATACTATGATATTGCAAAAATTAATATTAATAAGCTTATTTATGTATTTAAGAATTTAGAAAAATATGTTATAGTTGAATTTTTTTCAATCACGATTTCATCCTTGAATCATAGAATCTCCATAGTTTAATGATATCATTATGAAATGAATTGCAGAAAAGAAAGTTTATTTATTATCTCCTCTATTGTATAATATTCAGTTTAGGATTGAACTGTTGAAACGATTTTTACGTAAAAGTTTTTTGTTTCACCTATGGCAATATAGAAAACGAGAGGAATTTCTATAATATAAAGACATTTTACTAAGCGTCTATTCAAATATTGATTTGTTCATTATGATAAATTCTAAAGTAAAATTTTGATTTTTCTATAGGTCAAAAGATGAACAACAAATGGAATATAATTTGAATGTTCTTAATATTCGAACACAGCAAGGTTCATTGAAAAAGAATATTTTTACAAAATATTTTCTTTATTCGTTTTACTTTTTCTATAACAGAAGTTAATCAAAGACATCACAAAGGAAAACCAAGTCAAAAACGTCTTGTATTTCCAACTTCTATAATAACAAGTTCTAATGTACATTCTACTCATAATCGAATTATGAAACAACAAGGCAGACCAATTCCAAGTGTATTTCTGACACAAGATCCAGTGAGAAATATTTTTGGTTTATTTCGTTTTGTTTTGTTTTTATATAATAATTAATAAAATGTGTTTAGGATGAATATAATTATTCAACGTCTATTTATCATCAAGCAAGACAAGATACAGATATTCAACGTGCATTTAAAGGATTTGTTGTTGAAAATATTCAAAAAAAATTATCTCCTGATGAAAGAATGAAACGTGAAGAACAACAAAAAGCTGCAATTACAATTCAAAGGTTCATTTTGAAGAAAAAAATTATTTTCTTTAGTAATTTAATTTTGTTTTTAATTTTAATTTTAATTTTAATTAGAGCATATCGAGAACATTTAGAAAGACGGATAAAAATTGAAAAGCGTCGTCCATCAGCAAGTAAACGACGTGAAGAAGAACGCCATCATCGAAGAATTCTTTCAGCTAAACGAGCCCAACATATTGAACAAAAATTAATTGAACAAACAAGGTGACATGAAATTCAATTTATTTTTTTTATTTTTGCTGCTTTATATTTAGAATTCGAGATGAAAATAAAGAATATAAAAAAATGATTGAGGATACAGGACCATCTCTTCGAATATTTGCGTAAATTATTTTTTATTATTTAATAAACTTTGTCAGATAAAAAAAGGAAATTTTTATTTTCAGAAATTTTAATGAAATTGATGTTAAATTTTCTGCAGCAACACTTAATCGAGCTGCAATATGTATTCAACGATGGTGGAGAGGATTTCTTGTTAGACATACATGGCATTGTTTGAAAGAAGAGGTAGACTTTAATTTTAGCTGACTTTTTCTTTTCTGAAAACAATATCTTCATATTGATTAAATCAAGGTTGCTCATTTTGGTTTAACATGGTTTGAATTTTCTTCTCGTTATCGACAAGTTATTAAACGTATTCAAAAAATGCGCCAATCAGAAAATCAACAATTCCTATTTAACATTAATCAAGCTAAAGATTTTCTTACTGCTGAAAAAAGTCTGTTTTCTATTTGCTAACGCTATTTTTAATTGATTATATTATTTTTTGTTTTCTTCTAAATAGAATTAACAACCATTTATAAAAAACTTTCATTTAATGATAAATTAGATCGAAATGAATTAGAAAAATTCTTTGAATGTTGTGATTTATCGGCAACGTCTTATGAAATTGATGAAGCTTTAGAAAGTGTTCTTCAACGTAAATTTCTTCAACCATTTATTTATTTAATAATAATTAAATTATTTTCTAGATTATTCACAAAATAAAAATGATTCATTCACAAAAGAAATTATTTTTGATGTTATTTATTATATTTATCCGCCGAAAGCAACTGGCCTTGAAACATCGAGAAAATCAACTTGGATTCGACCGATTATTGATGATGAAGATGAAACTGCGATTCAAGGTAGATTGAAAAGAAATTTTATTTGTTTACTATAAAAAATTTTCTATGCATATATTCTCCTTTTAAGGTACACGTTTCTTAGAACCAATCGATATGAATATTGTTTATAAATTTCTAGAAAAACAATAATTATTTTATATATATATATATTCATATATTTCTTGTAAACATTTTGTTTTTCAATTTTTTATTTTATAAGACTTATTCTTTAAGTGAATTTATATCCTTTTTTAAATTTAATATCTTTAAATCAGTTTGTTTTTTTGTATTTTGTATTTTGAATAAAAATAAAAGAAATCCCAAATTTATTACTTTGATGCCTTCTTTGTAAATATTCAGTTAAATTAAGATTATATTATTTAGAGTTCTGCCATGGAAAGGATTGAACTGAGAATAGTTATTGTCCTATATAAAATTTATATTGAATGTTAATAAAAAAAGATTAAATTCATCTATAACAATAAGTTCAGATATTGTATTAATTTGTTTTTCAGAAAAGAAAACTGGACTTTTAACGTATATAGTTTTCATTGCCTATATTCAAAAGTTTAAAATAAACTTTTGACAAAATTAAAAACAAAGTTCCTTGTGATATTGTCCAACATAAACATTAAATTGACAGGCAATACTTATTTCTTTGATATTATTGATGGTGAATGAAAAATATTTTATTGAATCAAAATAAATTTTTATTTTCTAATTTCAACAGTCACAGACTTTTAGTTACATAATGTATTTAAAGTTTTAGTTCATTTCGAGCGAGAAAAATTTAGCCATTCGATTTTTTTATGATGGTGACGAAAATATAAAAGTGACAAATCAATATTTATCTATATAGTGTGTTTGGAAAATAAGTTGAATAAAATCTTGCCTATTTTAAAGACAAACATGCTTCCACTAGAAAAATCTACTGGTTAGATTTGAGAAGCAACAAATTAAAAAGTAGTTTGCTTATCAAATGAAAATTTATACTAAAATCTATCCGTGAACGTAAGTATCATTAGCGTTGCCTAAAATTTTCAAATCTATTCAAGATTAGTCAATCACTTTTATCTTAAAGCTCAACATTATTGCATTTCTAATACAAATTTCATGAGAAATAATCAAGTTATAGATCGGATTTTCATACGGTTGATAATTTTTTATGAATTATTTGCGACGCTTGTAAATTTCTAACAATAAAGTTATATATCTAGAAAATTGTTGGACTGAGAATGAGATTATAATTAATTGGTTTATATTTTAGACGAAAAGAAAACACTGTAGAATATCTTTCATGCTTAAATTTACCAAAAGATAGAATAGGAATATTATCATGTGTGCATACCACTCATTATTATCGTGTAAATATTCTCAATAACTTTTGATTTTTAGAAGTTACATAATGAAAATAGGTCAGAAATATCTTTATAGAGAAATACTAATTGAACTTGTTTGCTGATAAAAATTAATCGCACTTTAAACAATTCAATATGAATACTCAATGTAATATTAACTATTAGGATTTAGAACACACTGATAAATGGTTCATTTTTCGATGAATCGTTCCATCTTTCACATAAATAATTACTTTCTTAATAAATAATATTCATAATCTATCGAGTCTTTTTTTTTCAAATTTCATATGAAATTTGAAAATTCTTATAAGCAGTCGATTTTCGGTGATGAATCGTCTCATCGTGATCGTATATATATATATAATAATATCGACAATATTTATGTCCTAATGAATATTATTCATCTATTTCTTTAATAAAATCGCTGATACATACTAGCACGACATTTTTTTTCTGTGCATTCTAATTGATGTTATTTTGTGTATCTTGATCAACGATGTATAACTCGAACATAGATAAAAATCTGTAATGAAAACGAGCGAAAAACAAAGTTTAGTCTAGTATGTCAAATATACAAATGAATAATAAGATTGAAAAATAAAATATGTCGTCCATAGAAAGGTGAATGTCAATTTTTTCTCTATTACTTTGATAATTATTTTCCATTTGATAAATAATGAGACGATAATTTCACTATTTTAAATCATGTCTCAAAATACACATCCATTTTTACGCGTCGAAATATTAAAATGCAATGTAGGTAATAGTAAGCAAACTGTAGATTTAAGTAAATTAAAAACTGAAATTGAAATAATAGAAAAGCGTGATTCAACAAAAACATGTATGCTTAAGAATTACTGATATTATATATTCAAATAGAGACATAGATATCTTTCGATTACTTTTTAGCACGAATAAAAAAGCCAATCTATAATGAAGACAATCAGTCTATTCGATTTGATGTTGGCGTATTCATTAATATTGAACGACAAGTTTTTATTAGAATATCTTATCATGATACTATATATATGTTTGAATCCAGTATAAAATCTCTTCAAAAATTAGCAGATGGATTTCGACATCAGGTATTTCGTTGTCTTATTATCATTAATTTCAAAGCCGATTTGCTTTTCTTTTTTGTCATATAGCTAGTTTTTGCACCAAAAGCTCATGTAGAAGTGACTATTGAATATAAAGGTTAGCTTATTTCAAATTTTATTTGTTATTTGTATTTTAACTATTGTTTTTTATGCAATTAGATCCATCTTCTATAAAAGACTATGCATTGCAAATAAAACTACATGGTCAACGTTATGCTGAACGTTATCAAACTGTTTATAAACATTTTGGTCATAAATTTGTTGCAAAAGTATTTAAAACACCAACATTTTGTTCGATCTGTGGTGATCTTCTCTGGTATAAAAAATTCGAAATTATTAATTATACATAGATTTTCTTGTTTTCAAGGGGCTTTGCTTATAAAGGTTTTCAATGTCAACGATGTGATTGTGTTGTACATAAAGATTGCTATGAACGTTGTAAACATCCTTGTACAGGCAAAAAATATGATGATGTAAGTTTTTCCTTTTTATGATTAAATTTAAAAATTTCTAAATAAAATGAGATTCATATTTATTAATATTTGTCATGAGGCAACAAACAAATTATTGCAACTTTGATTATCGTTTCTATTTAGTCTAGCGCGATAAAACCTCATCATTTTGAACATCAACAATTTTCTTTACAAAAACTTTTTTGCGATCATGATGGAAGTTTCATAAGACCAGGGCATTCATATAAATGCACACGTAATTCAATTGATATTGATTCTCAAATATTGTTGAAAATAAAATCATTTTAGACTGCTCAATCGTTGTACATCGACGATGTCGATCAAAACTCGGAGATTATTGTGGATATCAAGGAAATAGTTCAAAACTTTATGAAACATGGAAAAATAATGTATTGTTATTGGCATGAAAAAAATCTTTTGTTTCTATTCAATTTTTTCTTTAGAATAAATCAGATGCAGATTATAACTATCAATATAATGGTGGTTTATGTGAAATTTATTCGAGTTTAGATACATTTCAGCGGTCAACTGATGTACAGGAAGTAATCGAACGAATGACAAGAATTTCTCGACCAAATATAACTTCAGGTTTTGACATGAAAGAAATTCAACTTTTACAAACATTAGGCGTTGGAATGTCCGGATCGGTTCGTCAATATATTTTTTTTCTACACATTTTGTTTTCTAGGAGAATAAAAATCAATTTAATGTAAATTCTGACAAAGTCGAAGGTACATTAACCTCGAGGAATAGACACATTTCACTGAGAAAAATATCAAAACAAACATAATTAAAGAGGTCGTAGGCAAATACTTACGACTAGGGGTGTCAATTTACAGTTTATTTTATTTTAATTTAACTTTATGAAAAGTTAATTTAATTTTAAATTAAATTCTATCAAGTTAAATTAAATTTTTGAAAATTTTTTTCTTGATTTAATAAATTTTTTTAAATTTAAATTTTAAATTTAATACACTGTTTGGATGGATAACAATCAAGTCAAAAACTATTTTTATCTGCTAGTTTTCAAAATTTAACTAATTTGAATTTCAAACAATTTAATTTAAATTTAGTTAAATTTAAATGATACAAAATTTAAAATTTAATTAATTCTTAGAATTTCTTGAATTTAAATTTATTTTAAATTTAAGTTTTCATTTAAAAAAAATTTAATTTATTTTAAATTTAAATTTTTGAAAATTTATTTCCCGATTTAATAAATTTTTTTAAATTTAAATGTGACACCCCTACTTACGACGAACAATGTGATCCGAATGCGTTTTTCTTTTGATATTAAATGAATCTTTTAAAGCATTTAGGAAACGAGAAATATTCCAATTAGTTTCTGTTATTTATCGAGATTTGTGTTTGCAGCTTAATTTTTAGCAATAGATCTTAGCATTCAACTTAAATCTGAAGACAAGAGTTTTTCACTTTTGTTTTTGCCAGGAATTCTGAAGAAAAACTACATGAGAAAAATTTGTAGATTTTCAGTTAGTTATAGGTCTCAATCATAAAAGCAAAATTTTTCATTGAATCAAATTTTCCAACTATTTTCTTCTATGAAAAATAGAGATCACAAGAAAAAAAACATTATCCAAATAATCTCGCTGTCACAATTTTTTGTATATTCTGACAAAAAGTAACGCGAGTCTTCATATTTTCGAATAGAAAAATAAATATATAACTTTTTCAACAGTTTTTGTTATAAGCACAGTTAAATCTTCAGTGAGATGAAATCTACTTTTATTCGACGAAGAAAAAGAGTAGTCAAGTATAAGTGTTGATTCAAATCAATACCACCAACTGTTAATTTTGATCTTTTTAAGTAAAAACATTCAATTTTTTCATTTCTTAACACTTAAATTTAATTATTAATTCTTGCATTGGGCCCCGTAGAATAAGAGTACTTCGAAGAAGAATCTTCGCTAATACTTTGGTTTTTCGATTCTTCGAGCACAAAATGAATACGTATAGTTATAGTTATAGTTATCATCAATATATTTCGCAGTAGCAAGAAAATTAATAATATGAATACATCTTTGAAAAATCTGTACCTCTAAAAAACGGTTCAATAACTAACTAAACAAACTCTTTTAATGAGTGCTATAATTCATAAGTCAGAAAATTTAAAATACGTCGTCCTCAGTATTATTAACACAATTGAGATTCTATGAATTGGTTTTTGAATATTAAATTTATTTATTTTTCTAATCGTGAAACTGTAATTCAATGCATTATAGGTTTATTTAGTAAAACGTGGTGACTCTTATTATGCAATGAAAACTCTTCATAAAAACACGGTATTAGAAGGACAAAATCTTGAATATATTCAGTCCGAACGAGATATTCTTATTAAATGTCAATCAAATCCATTTTTAGTTCAACTCTTTTATGCATTTCAAAATGCTGAACGGCTTTTTTTCTTAATGGAAGTTGCTAGGGCTGGAACATTGTTTAATATTCTTGAATACCAAGCACCTAGACCATTTAAACAAGAACGAATTATTTTTTATACCGGTGAAATAACATGCGCACTTATGTTTCTTCATTCAAAACGAATTGTATGCATTTTAAATCTTTTAAAAAATATCATTGAAAATTTATTTACATAGGTTTATCGGGATCTAAAACCTGAAAATATATTTCTCTTCGAAGATGGACACATTAAACTAGGAGATTTTGGTTTATCGAAACAAAATATTGATACAAATCATAAAACACAAACAATCTGTGGCACAGCTGAATACATCGCTTATGAAATTTATCATCAAGATCCATATGATGAAAATGTTGATTGGTGGTCATTAGGCATTATCATTTTTGAATTATGTACTTTTAAAACACCATTCTATGCCAATAATAGTACAGATATTACAAATAATGTTCTTTCAAATCAAGTTATTTATCCAGAAACCATATCAAAACGAACTAAACAAATTATTTCTGGTTTACTTGAACGCGACCCAAAACGAAGATTAGGAAATGTTAATTCTCCACAAGGATTACTGAAAGATCAACCATTTTTTCAGTAGAAAATATTTTTATTATTTCTATATTCATCATTTATTGAAATAATATTTTAGAGAACCATATACACTCTATGCAATTGAACACCGTCGTGTTCCTCCACCTTGGGTTCCCACTGTATGTACTATAATAAAAAAAGAAAAATAGATAAAATTTGAAAGATCTTATTTTCTTCTAGTCATTGCTATCGTTTAAACCGAAAACTAAAGTTCCACAATTATCTGAACTCGACCAAAAAGATGCTGTTTTATTGTTATCAATACCAGAAAATACTTTTCGTAATTTTTCTTTTACCAGTCCTAACCTTGTTACTTCTTTTTAGGACCTTTTTTTTAATGTAAAGCATTTCGTCTTCTATTTAAATAAGAATTTATTCGATGGGCAATTATTCGATTGAATTAAAATTTAATTTCATATTTAATAAACTTTAAATCGATTGGCAAGTTCAAAATTTTTCAAATAAATTGCTATTCAAATATTGTCAGTTGAAATATAAACGGACAACCGAAAAAGAAAAACTAAGAAATTTTTCTAGGAATAGATTTACTTTTAGATTAATTTTCATTTAAATGAAAAACAAATATTCTAATCCTTCTCCACATGAGAAAGTGAGATTCTCTCAAATATGAGAGAGAACAGCTAGATTTACTCCTCATTTTGATCAATCATTTTCGAATTGATAGTATATAGTCCGTTCACCCTTTATATCTGCACTCGAATTAGATAATCTTGCATCTACACTCTTTTCTCTATAAGAGTTATAGAAGTGTAGCAATAATGTCTCAATTTATCTATTTCTTTTTCTTGTTGTTAACAGGGGCGTGCCTCGACTTTGTAAGTTATAAAAAACGTTATCTATCTTTTTCCTGCTGGCCAACAGTTGGTGCGTTGCTCGGCAAATTTTTTCTTTTACTGTCAGGTTGTTTCGGCATAGATACGGTTATTTTTATTTATTTTCGAACTGTAAATAACTGTTTAAGTCTTATTATATTAACTAAACAGTTCATTTGTTTTAGCATTCCCTGCGTACCAACAAGTCGAATTCATTTCGCTTGTATTGAGTAAGAAATTACGTAAAAGAAGAAAGAAAGACTCATAAGAGAGTCAATCGACTTCAATTTTCCAACCCATTTTCGTCACTATGGATGAAATCAAACAAATACTAGAACATGCATTTGATAATATCGATCCAACACATGATCAAATGATACGACATTTACATCGAGCTAACCAAATTGCAAAACGTGCATTACAATTTGGTCATCATCCATTTGGTTGCATACTTGTTGGACCAGATAATGAAGTCATATTGATCGATCAAGGTAATGTCGATGTCGTTAATCATGCTGAATCAATGCTTGCACGAGTAGCTTACACAAATTTTTCTTCAGAATATCTCTGGAGATGTACACTTTATACGACCTTTGAACCCTGTGTGATGTGTGCAGGTACATTATATTGGGCTAATATTGGTCGTCTCGTATTTGGTGCAACAGAAAAACGATTATTAGAGCTTACTGGAAATAGCGAGACAAATCCGACACTAGACATTCCTTGCCGTTATGTATTCGAACATGGCCAGAAAAATATTAAAGTATGGGGCCCATTTCCTGAAGTTGAAAAAGAATTCATTGAATTACATAAAGGATTTTGGAAATAAAGGCTTAGTTGCATTTTTCGCATAATTGAATTATCAGTAAATCACCAGAAAAGAATACAAAGAATTTTTTGTCACGAATAATCTTTTACTGATGAAAAATACTTTCGGATGCCCTTTTTTTGTTTCTTAATGAAAATTTTTAATAGTTTCAAGGAGGCTTATGTGCTAAATTCCTCTGATCGATTTTTACGAATAATATCAGATGATGTTTTTCATCTACTTCGAATATGCTGACAAACATAATAATAATGTGAAATAATTAGATAAATTATTAAATAATATAATAGTTGAATAAATATTAAATCAATAATTTATTGCCTTGATTATTCAGACAGTCATGATCTATTAGTCTATCTCAAGTAAGTGACATTTTTCATTTATTCATTCAAAACAAATCCAAATTCTTTTCTATATATTTATTTATTTTTTCTAAGATCAGTTGTTCGATGAACTCTGAGTTAAATTTTATCGTTGTATTGAGCTTTTCATTTTTTTTCTGATAAAAATATTGCCATATAAGTATTACCTTCAAATAGACGGATAGTAAAACAAATGATTTACATTGAAGAAGAAAATATAAAACAGGTGCATTTTTTTCAATTTTACTTCGATGAAAAAGAATTTTTTGCATACGATCGAATGTAGTAGGATGGAATGACTTGTTGACATTCTTGTGGAGCTCTACGTACTCCTGTCCATAAAAAGCAATCATTTAATATACAACGAAGTAAATTATTTTGTGGAAATCATACATATGTTCGAAGAAAATGCCAAGAGAAAGTATTACAATGAGATTTTTTGCAGCTTTCCATTTCCTTCCTTCTATGATAGACATTAAGGAGTTTTAAAACGTGCTAACTAGAAACAAGACTAATGAGGTTGTTCTTCCTTCTTTTTCTTGCAATAGAAACTATACGAAAAAGTCAAGGTCTCCTTCCGAGCAGCGAACAAGAAAGAGGGCCTATCTTTTCGTCCCCTACCAAAACAGAAGGTCAGTAAAATTAATACATGACGAGAGTTGTATCAATGGAATTCATCACTTTAACGTTAGATTAAAGTATTTTTATGTTTCTAAGAAATGATTATTGTCATGTTTATCAATGCGTTAGTTAAAAGGATAATGATGAACCAAAGAGTTATAGCTACACATAATAGACGTCAGTGTAAAAACCTTTTTCAAGTCCCTTCAATAGTCTTTTGACTGATTTAATCGAATTTTGCTAGGCACACTGGTGTCTTTGTTCAGCATATCTTAACAAACAGAAAAGTTCCAAATGCAAATTATATAATAATGAAATAATAAATCGATATGTTGTATTGAAAAATAATTATCTATGTTGAATATGAATACTACCATTCAATGAGAATCTCTAAATGTTGCATGCCGATGACAAGTTCATGTGCGAAGTTTAAGAATAGTATTCATTCAGGAAACAATGCTCCTGGAAAGTCAATTTTGAGGTAAAAAAAGTAATAGAACATAACCGATTAATCCATAGCATAGTTGAAAATAGAAAGCTTGATTAAGATCTTCTATGCTACGCGGAGAATCGTTGGAATCACGAGAGATTTAATTAAATTAATAAGTTTAAATATATATAAAAATAAAATTATTTCTTTTATCCACTTGAGAAGTTTTTCCAAAAGTCATTATTGTCTATAGGATACGTCTATCACAACAAAAAGTATATCGATAGAGATAACTGTTGTATTATCAATTCTTTCTCAGTTAGTATCATTGTAGTAATGAAGTGAATCATTTTTATTTAGTTACATTAAACAACAATTTTTGTTTCAAACAATTTACTTCTCTTTTTATGAATTATTTTGAAATGTATTGTCATCGATAATGGTGAAAACAATTGAACGATATGTTGAGATTCGAAAATAATTTTAATTGAGACGCATCAAAATGAAGAACTACCATTGAGTTGGTTGTAATTACTAAGGTATAATAAATTTTATTTAGTCAAATTACGTAATACTCTTACGTAAGATTCGATAAAAAATATTTTTAATTGAGATGTAATGTCAAAAAGAAACCAAGTGATACAAAATAAATAAATAATTATTATTTCATTGATAAATATGTATAGTTAAAATATTATTACAGATTATAGGAAAAACAAGAACAAGAACATTTAAGAAAATCTTCGCAAAAACTACTGTATTCTTTTTTCAAAGATTCCAAAAGCCACTTTGAAACTGACTCGCTTACAACACCATCTCAGTTGAAAATTGATTGGAATATTTTCGATAAAAATTTTTGAAGAAACCATCCATAAGTTCAATTCAATAAGTTTCAAAAAATATTCATTTTATTCGATCTATGAAGTCGAACTTTTCTATATCGAAATAATCGCATAATACCAATGCTAATAATTCCACTAATAAAAAAAAATGATGATCCAGTAATAATATAAAAAGCATATGGATTTTGTTCAATACCATTGAATAAATTCATTCCATATATTCCTGTAATAAAAGCACCGATTCCAAATCCCATCGTTATTATATTTATTCGAATTTCAAATGCAAGAAGTTCATTTCGAACAGCATCAAGCATAAAGCCCGTAGCACTTTCAAGTGTATGAACTGAATCAGAAAGATCAGATATTGAACGACGTACTTCAGCCATTTCTTTCGTACATGCTTCAAGTAATAGTTCAACTTGTATATGATCAGATATGTCTCGTTTACGATTATCAGTAACATACATTCCAATCATATCTTCATCTTGAGCAAGAACATCAACAATAGCTTGATGGGCAAGATCGGCATTTCGTTTATATTTATCAACTTTTTCTTTGAGTAAAGCAAGTTCACGTAAACTTCCAAGAGTAATACGATCATAAGCCCGTTCTCTAACATTTTGAAATTCATTTAAAAGTTCATTTGCTTTTAATTTTAATTGGTGAGCAACAGTTTCTAAATTTATTTCCGTAATTCGAAATTCAAATGGTATTGAATCAAGATTGTTCAATTTATCAGTAACAAATCGTTCATTATAAAGTTCATAGATATATCTGACATTTCGATGATAAGCTTGAGCAATACGTTCCCAATGAATAGCACCTTTTATTCCAGAAGGTTCTCGAAGAACTTTATCAGCAGATGGTACGAAAAAAATGCTTCGATCCAATTGAATTAAACTTCGAAGTCTTCGAAATGAAAAACAAATAAATCGATTTTGACGTACATCAATTATTGGAACATTAATAATAATATCAGTATCAATCTTTTGTAAATCTCTTGGTTCAAGACTATATTGCTGACATATTTGTGCACGATCAAAGGGACCTCGATGAACTTGTAATGTGCCATCTTTAGTTAATATAAATATATCACAATTTAATTTATGGGAATAACTTGATGAAAAATTTTCGTTTGCTTTTGTTTCAGATGATTGAAATCGAGATGGAATTCGACAGCATGATAAACTATTATTATTTAAACGAAATAGAAAATGCAACTTTCTCTTAATCGATTGAAATATAGGTTTTTTCCAATGCGATCCATATAATTCTTTTGATAATATAGACAAAACAAACCGCATGATTTATTAAATATAGATTTTGTCTTATTTTGCTACACAAGTCTGGTGAGACAAACCAATAGAAACAACCATTTGTAATTTATTTTGTTCTAAACATTGACAAGCCTGTAAGCACAAATGTAAGGAAAGAAGAAAAAAGAAAGTAACCATTTTTTCATACGACAACAACAACAACAACAACACAGAACGAATAAACTATAAAAAAAAACAATATCAATAATATAATTCTTGGCGTATGTAAAGTACATTTAAAACCTCTCGGCTGATGAAAATTATTAATATTGATAGTCAATCGTTTTTGATACTGACAATGGAATATATATCTTCGCTGAACACATTTATAGAGCCTAACAAAAAAAAAGAAGTTTCATCCATCTCTACTTTAGTGACATCCTCACATACGATTGGTAAGTTAGCCATATCAACCAACGTGCATGTGCAAACGTAAGAGAAGATAGATAATTTTTATAGTAGAGAAAAATAAGAATTAAATATAAATCAGTAGCAGATCTAGCAAATTTTTTGAAAGAGCATATAATGGTAAAAAATGCATATCTTCTAAAGAAAATCGTTAGAAACAAACTTGAAGTATAATGCAAAGTGTAGTTTCAGCTTGGTCTCATTCCACTTGTACATCCCATCGATAAATCTTGTTCCATTATTTCTAGAACAACAATACAATTGTCGAAGTCTGCTAGAGAAAAACGAACGTTTTTCAGAGTGAACGTCAAAATTGTCCGTTGATATACATATTGAAGTGCCATCTATAATTTTTCGAATTTGTGTAAATCTTGAATTAGAAGTCAGTTATAAGATAGTGCTCACAAGATGCATCAACTATTTTCATAAAATGACTAACATAATTGATTTATATCTTTTTTTCAATAGACAACATGTTACATTATAAAAATTATAAAATAGTCAATTATAATAGTTATTTATGATATAATAATTGTTTGAATGTAATATAATTGATAATTCATTTTTTTTACATTGTACGTATATTGAATGAAAAGGCTAAATAACAGTGAAAAATATAAGTTGTGGTAAAAGAAACGGTATACTATTCATATGTTTTGAGTTGTGAACACGTTCGAAATAGTTTTGAAAGTTAAACATGATGGAGAAAATAAAATGATACCAAACACAAGTATTTTTAGGATTCTGTAAATAGCTAACCGAACTTATTTTTAATAATTTATACTACCAAATCGATATAATATCTATTCCGTCTCTATTGCTTAAGTTAATCTATTCGACGTTAACGCTGACTAGAGAAAGAGCGTCGCACGAGTAAAATGTTCTCTTTGAGATCATGAATTATTCTTTGACGTAGGATTTTGTTTAATTGATATTTTTGTTTTAAACTCACTTTTTTATGGTTTTTATTAATTTCTAAATGAATATCTTCCATTGAACAATGACAACGTAATAGTTTCACTTGTTTTTTCTTCTTTTAGAAATCTTTCTTAGATCTGAAAAAATTCATCGACTTGTATACAATCAAAGTTACTTCAAAAATCACTTTAAAAACATGGAAGATAAATAATTGAATAAATCAATTTTTTAAAAATATATCCGTATGGACGCATATACGGAGGCATATAATCATATAAGAAGGCAGTGAATATACACAATATAAATATTAGTAGTCGATAAGGATTGAAATGAACGTACTTTTTAATATTTGTAAATTATTGGATTTCTGAATATAAGATTGTTGTATGTGATTCATAGAATCAACAAATCCTAAAGGCGAAAAAGATGACGTGTCATATAATTAAACGTACAAAAAAAAACAATATTTTCAAATTCCTCGATTGAAACGAGTTTTTTAACGAAGCAAAAACGGTTGATAAAATTTCTAAATCCAAATTATGCAATGAATATAGTATGACAATGTCTGTTGTATATACTCAACGAAGTTTTAAAAATCATAGATAGTTTGTACGTTTCACAATTTATAATACCATTTTTTCTTTATTTCTCAAGTCCTTGAACTGATGATGAGAGTGACTGAAGAAAATACTCAGCCACACATCGACACTCATAGTCAAAGTATTTCTACAATGGTTTACAATATATACAGCTATTTCTTTCACTTTTTTATCATTAAATATTTAATTTTAAGTACCCCATAATTTAGAGAATGCACTGAAGAATGTAAAAATATTACCTTTGGGAATGCCTGATTTACCAACTAAAATATTGGATGGAGTTACTATTAATTGTTCGAATATGGAGAATTTAAAAGCGACTTTCGCAAAATATCGTGAATCAACTTCATCAATTGTCTGCAAATCCGATGATCTTATAGGAGCAGATAGATTAATAAGGGATAATCAAATTGAGACATTATATGTTCTTATTGATGAAAAAGATGAAGATATCAAGGAATGGCAAAATAGTTTTGTATCTGCAAATATAATTGAAGTTCATATTTGAAAAACAATTGATGCGTCGTTTGTGTACGAAGGCAATGATTTATCATTATAATCAAGGTTTAGAACACCGAAGAAGAGAAAACAATAGTTTAGCTAGTATATGTTTTCTTGATTCGCTAAATGCACTTATTTATTCTAATAAATTTTATTGATACTTTTTTTGTTTATGTAATAAATCAGAAATTTTAAATTAGTAATCTTCCAAGAAAAAAAATGATTACTAAGTGGCTTTTATAGTCAAAAGTATATCTCAACGCTTGAAGCACACAGAAACGAAGGGAAATCTTATATATCTAAAACGAAACAATAACTAATCTAAGAAACAGCATCGCTTACGTGAAACTAGTTTATATATTCAGAAAATATAAAACTGGCTTTTAACAGGCTCTGCTATTTTTTTCGAGTGTTGAGAAATAATTATGCATTTGACTATTCTTTTTTTCACTTGTGATTACTCTTTTTCTTTTTTTATTCTGCTCTTCCGTTGTGTTGTTTAGAGTCTTGAAACATTTCGAGGGAGGTAAGTTGGAAAAAAACGTTACAGGTCATACGTTCTTTTCGTTCTTTTTGCTTTCAAAACCCATGAAGTACAATAAATGATTTATCTATTAAAAGATTTTTGCCAAAAGCAGCGTGTAAATCACAGTATAAGTTACAATTCTTAACGAAGAATTTCAATTATCAAGCTTAGTTTTTTGAATATTTATCATTTATTCAATTACAATAGTTTCTCATGCAAAGACAAGATAAAACTTAAGTTATAAATCTTACTGTTTGATGCCCTACTGCAAAATTTTCTGATTATCATTTTTGTACATTGCTCAAAAATATATAATTTTTTTCGTTCTTTGTGAATTCGAAAACAACCTAACAGCTTAATCTAAAATTATAATTTCTTTCAAAAATTGAAAAAGATGCATTCAATAATTTTGTTAAGTTATTCAATATATCGATGTATTTATAAGTCTATTGGACTATGATAAAAAGTTCATCGAAAATATATTGAATAAAGACGTATTTTAAAACTGTAGATATTCGCAGAAATAAATTTATACAAGAATAACACTGGTAGATTCCAAATTTTATTTTTCAGAGGCTCTATACGTCGGCAGGATATTTCTTTCATTTGAGTCCAAGTCAATTTTTCTGTACTGCCAAGCTAACATATTTTTACCATGTATAATACTTTCCAACAATTTGCATACAACATACATCAAAACAAAGCTCACATCTCAAAAGAAATAATGTCTCATACTACATTCGAACTGCAGTCAAGCAAAATAGGCAAGTACTGTTATAATAATGTAAATAAAAGCGCAATTCTTAGAAAATTCCGACAACCTCTTTCGGTAGGTCGTGCACGTATTTTGGTCACCAATACAACGTTAATGAATGTTGTATTTTCCCTACGATTCTATTTCGGATTGGCAATAAGACGCTTAATCAGAAGCATTTCTTACCGAAATTTCATAGATAACTTATGAATGGAAGATTTTTGTGAAATCAAACTTCGTAACTTTCACATTGCAGAAACAATGCGAAAATTAATCTTCAAGAATGATAAGCTAAAACAAAAGGAAACTGTTGGATATAACGAAACTTTATCACATTTTCTAAGACCATTGCTTAAAATTTTATACAAAACTTATGGGTTTTGTCGAACGTCCGTAAGTCTATGATATATGCGGAATTTTTTCCATTTTAAAGAATAGTCACACAGTTTGAAAGGAAAGTGATAATAAATGTAATAACTTCTCGTAGCATACAGGACTTGGTGACTTTAATATGGAACTCTTAAGAGTTAATTTAGTTCTCACCCTTCTGAATCCTGAAAATTACCGTTTTTAGTTTTATAAAAAGCTTCGTCTTACGTAAGAAACAAAGAATTTTATTTGTTATAGAATTGAAAATAAAAAAACGACAAATAAATAATCGAATGTGAGCACATATGTATCAGAGAATATTATGTTCAATGAAATATATTCTACATATTACATGTTGTAGATCGAATTTTTTTCTTTTTCTTATCTTATTCGGATGATTAATATATTGACTGATCACTTACCAAATTGTCGCCACCGATTTCCAATCTATAGAAATCAAACTTGTGCACGAATTCACCATGAATGACTGTGTATATGAAATTATTTCTTCTCTAAATCGGCTAAGATAGATAACAAACGAAACGGACACAAATATTTGCAAATTTTTAAAGAATAGTAACATATACGAAAGAAAGTAAAATATTCAGGTCAGATATCACTAGTTACGAATAAAATAGAAGTGAAAACAATCTTTTCATTTGTTTTAATATCTTATCAAAATAGTTTTGCTGCGGCATGGAACAATATGAATTAATCTTTGCTTTTTTCCAATGAGATCAAAAACTTGCATTGACTAGTTTAATCCTTGCATATTCAAAAATGAATAAACGTTTTTATTTAGATTTAATGAAAAATCGAAACGCTTTCATGATTTCTGCCAGTCGTATACGAAATAGTTGAGCAACATAAAAATGTATTCAAGTCAGGTGCTTTTTTATCGATAGTTAATATAATCAATGTGAAACATCATCGTCGTTCTGATTTATTAATGATTTATTTTAATATCGAACTTAATGTATATATTTTTTTCTTTATAAGCCATGTCGTTTTTTCTAGTGTTTTCTTTTTCAGATTCGATTTTAATTGTTTTCTCTATTGATGTAATAGCTGGGTGTGTGGGTGTGGACGTGTTCATGGATGTAGTAATGATGCTTCTTCCCATCAAACCCCCCCATATTGAATAGAATTGCTACATTCTCATAATTAGTACACCGAATTCCTATGAAAGAACTCGTCAATGGAGTCAGTTCTTAGAACTGTGATCTTTCACAGATCTCACCTGTACACTCATCCTCATTAACTTTAAACATGTTCTCCTCATTGAAATAATAAGTATCCTTAAAAGTGAAGTAAAGCAAATTTAAGTTACGCGACTAAGATTACTATTTTATTGCTATAATCACAGATGATACCGTCAATATATATAAATCAACACAATGAAAACATTCTAAATTATTATTATTATTATTATTATTATTATTATTATTATTATTATTATATTTAATAATATGCAACAAGAGGAAAAAAAATAAACACTCAGGTCGCATTCAACCTGTTGAATTCAGCGAAATCCGATAGAATGGAAGTAACTCTAGATGCATTATTTCATGTATTTTATTTTCATTTTTATTTTATTATATTTTACTTTACGTTGTTTTAGATTATATTAAGACACGAAGTCAAATAAAATTTAGTGTAAATTATTTTATTTCTATTTTTAGTTAATTCTATAGTTATTGTTATTTTACTGCTTTTTTTATTTTATTTTTTTTCATGCTGTTTTCCAATATATATTATGACGTGAAGTTTATTGGCAGTGAGTATGAACTGTTTATTTTATTTTCTTCTGTATTATTCTATTTTAATGTTATTTTTAATTTATTAATACTTGAATTTAATAAAAAAGTTAAAATAAACTTGATTTAAGTGTTGATTTGCAGCTAGTTGCAGGTCCGAAAGAAAATTGGGGGAGAGGGATGACCATGAAGGGGCGGATAAAACAATGTCCAATATTCAAATATAAATTCTACTTGATCCCATGAGATCCTTGATGTATCCAACGTTGTCCAACTAGCGAATGTGAGAACTTCCTATCAAAATTTAATCCCAAGAATTCCGACTATTTTCGACGAGATCCTATCGGAAGTTGTCGGATGCCTGTGGGATATTATTGGATTATTTGAAGTATTCCACAGGATCCCAGTTTGGAATTCTTCGACTTGGGTATCTATTAAAATTTATGAATTTGATAAATACCTATTCTGAGAAAATACGCAAAAAAAGTGGTCAAGAATATGACACATGCAATGTTATCACTCTTATAAAGCACAACATATTCTCATATTTCGCATTTGCCGAGTTTAAACAAGAGAATTTAATAATTCAGTGCATGAGCTGTTGATAACTGGCTCCCTCTATATATAGTCTAATTTAATGAATAAGAATTGTTACAAGAAATGACCTATCGATGCATCGCATTGGATAACCGACCTGATTCAACCAGAGGTTAAAAAAGGGCATATGAATATGATAGAATTACTAAAATAGGACAATGAAGTCAATCAAACAGAGGAACAATGATAGAGAAGCAAAGATATTCCTTTTATAGTTGGTGTTCCATCATGCATACAAAAGAACTTTGTAAATGAGATTTTCTCAATGAAACAGCGATTTTCCGTTCAATCTTGTTGCATCATCCACAGCCAATGCTATACCAGTCAACAAAATCGGAAAATCAATTTTCTTTCATTAAAAAATTTAGTAGGAAAGTATTTCTGCACAGTTTTTCCAATAGAATTCTGCATACATGCTGGAGCACTAGTTAACGGAATGCCCATAAACGAAATAATATGACATCCTATATAATATTTTTATTTTTTCTTTTAGATGTAAATTGCTCATTTTTAAGATTTATTTTAAATGGATATGGCATTTCTTTCATTATCAGAAGCTGATAAAGCTTTACTTACTGAAGGTTACGATAAAGCTTTATCAGAAGCTGATAAAGCTTTACGCAATGAAGATTACAATAGAGCTCACAAAGTATGTATTTTCTTTCTTCGTAACTATAAAATAAACAGGATGTTTCATAAGTATTGATGCATGTAAAATTAATTGATATACAGACAGAAAATAATCAATAGTCGAATGTTTTTATATGAGCATTGAGTAGTGGTGACAGTCATTCAAACGGCATACTATTAGATGATATCTCTGATAATGATAAAAATATAAACACAATAATCTGAAAATAGATTTTGCGCAATCAACCAACATGATATTTTATTTTAAAAAAACCTAACGTTCTATTTTATAAATACCTATATTGATCTGGTTGGATAATAAAATTATACAACTGTCAAGTATTTGTTATCGATAAATTTTTATTAATCATTTT